GCGGTCCCTCCCACATACCTATTGCTGAGAGAAGCCTCCTCCTGAGGTCCTTCTGGAAAGTTGGCAAACGTCTTGAGCCTAAGCCAGGGAATCAGCTCTCATCTCGAGACGATTTGGGGTACACGGAGCATTCCTCGAGTTGCTGTGCTGAAGTTGGTGTTCCTCTAGACTTGGGACAGTGTTCTCGGGGCATCTCTGGAGTTGCCTGAAGGAAGTCGAGCCACCGGTCGTGTTGAATGGGGAACGGGGAATGGCTCTGGAGTCAATGCAGGGGAATCGGGCCTCATCTCGAGTTGATTTGGGGCAAATGGAGCTGCTTTGCGTTGCTGGAGTGACCTCAGCTTCCGTCTAGACTGGTGACAGTGTTCTTGGGGACTGTCTCGAGATCCATTAAGCAAGTCGAATCTCCTGACTTGTTTGAATGGGATCACGGAATAGCTCTGCATGCACTGCAGGGGAATGGGGCCTCATCTCGCCTCTAGGGGGAAGATTCATGGTTTTTCTCGAGTTGCGGCGGGGACCTGGGGTATGTTCTCGACTTACGGCGGGGATGGCCCTTCAAAACCCGAGTTTCTTCAGTGACGTCAGGACTCCTGTCTAGTAACGAGGGACACCTCAGGAATCTCTTCGAGGCTTGGCAGGGCAAAAGGGACGCTTCTCGAGGTGAGGCAGGGCACCCAAGGACCCTTTCCAGTAGCCACAGGGATTTTGGGATTCCTATCAGTATTCAAGAGGAGTGAGGCATCGTCACCTTTAGAAGCAATGAACTCCGCGTGCCTCTCGAGGTGTCAACGGGATGTGAGGAATTCCGTCAAAATGAGGCAGGGACCTAGGGCTTTCTCTAAGGTCCCCACAGGGGATTCAGACATCCCTTCATGTTGTGAGATGAAAGACGAGCCTGTATTCAAGCCAATGCAAGGAAATCCGGCCTCCTTTCAAGTTAGGGCTTCTCGCTGTATATTCCACTTGAGGCAGCGATCTCGGGGTCCATACCACATACCTATTGCTGAGAGAAGCCTCCTCCTGAGGTGCTTCTGGAAAGTTGGCATATGTCTTGAGCCTAAGCCAGGGAATCAGCTCTCATCTAGAGACGATTTGAAGTACACGGAGCATTCCTCGAATTGCTGTGCTGAAGTTGGTGTTCCTCTAGACTTGGGACAGTGTTCTCGGGGCATCTCTGGAGTTGCCTGAAGGATGTCGAGCCACCGGTCGTGTTGAATGAGGAACGGGGAATGGCTCTAGAGTCAATGCAGGGGAATCGGGCCTCATCTCGAGTTGATTTGGGGCACATGGAGCTGCTTTGCTTTGCTGGGGTGACCTCAGGGTCCGTCTAGACTGGTGACAGTGTTCTTGGGGACTGTCTCGAGATCCATTAAGCAAGTTGAGGCTCGTGACTTGTTTGAATGGGATCACGGAATAGCTCTGCATGCACTGCAGGGGAATGGGGCCTCATCTCGCCTCTAGGGGGAAGTCTCATGGTTTTTTTGGAGTTGTGGCCGGGACCTGGGTTACGTTCTCGCCTTACGGCGGGGATGGCCCTTCAAAACACGAGTTTCTTCAGTGACGTCAGGACTCCTGTCTACTAACGAGGGACACCTCAGGAATCTCTTCGAGGCTTGCCATGGCAAAAGGGACGCTTCTCGAGGTGAGGCAGGGCACCCAAGGACCCTGTCCAGTAGCCACAGAGATTTTGGGATCCCTATCAGTATTCAAGAGGAGTCAGGCATCGTCACCTTTTGAAGCAATGAACTCCGCGTGCCTCTCGAGGTGTCAACGGGATGTGAGGCATTCCGTCAAAATGAGGCAGGGAACTAGGGCTTACTCTAAGGTCTCCACAGGGGATTCAGAGAGCACTTCATGTTTTGAGATTAAAGACGAGCCTGTATTCAAGCCACTGCAAGGAAATCCGGCCTCCTTTCAAGTTAGGGCTTCTCGCTGTATATTCCCCTTGAGGCAGCAAACTTGGGGTCCCTCCCACATACCAATTGCTGAGAGAAGCCTCCTCTTGAGGTGCTTCTGGAAAGTTGGCATATGTCTTGAGCCTAAGCCGGGGTATCTGCTCTCATCTCAAGACGATTTGGGGTACACGGAGCATTCCTCGAGTTGCTGTGCTGAAGTTGGTGTTCCTCTAGACTTGGGACAGTGTTCTCGGGGCATCTCTGGAGTTGCCTGAAGGAAGTCGAGCCACCTGTCGTGTTGAATGAGGAACGGGGAATGGCTCTGGAGTCAATGCATGGGAATCGGGCCTCATCTCGAGTTGATTTGGGGCAAATGGAGCTGCTTTGCGTTGCTGGGGTGACATCAGGGTCCGTCTAGACGGGTGACAGTGTTCTTGGGGACTGTCTCGAGATCCATTAAGCAAGTCGAAGCTCCTGACTTGTTTGAATGGGATCACGGAATAGCTCTGCATGCACTGCAGGGGAATGGGGCCTCATCTCGCCTCTAGGGGGAAGTCTCATGGTTTTTCTCGAGTTGCGGCGGGGACCTGGGCTGTGTTCTCGACTTACGGCGGGGATGGCCCTTCAAAACATGAGTTTCTTCAGTGACGTCAGGACTCCTGTCTAGTAACGAGGGACACCTCAGGAATCTCTTCGAGGCTTGGCAGGGCAAAAGGGACGCTTCTCGAGGTGAGTCAGGGCACCCAAGGACCCTTTCCAATAGCCACAGGGATTTTGGGATTCCTGTCAGTATTCAAGAGGAGTCAGGCATCGTCACCTTTTGAAGCAATGAACTCCGCGTGCCTCCCTGGTTGTCAACGGGATGTGAGGCATTCCGTCAAAATGAGGCAGGGACCTAGAGCTTTCTCTAAGGTCTCCACAGGGGATTCAGACTTCCCTTCATGTTTTGAGATCAAAGACGAGCCTGTATTCAAGCCACTGCAAGGAAATCCGGCCTCCTTTCAAGTTAGGGCTTCTCGCTGTATATTCCACTTGAGGCAGCGATCTCGGGGTCCCTGCCACATACCAATTGCTGAGAGAAGCCTCCTCTTGAGGTGCTTCTGGAAAGTTGGCATATGTCTTGAGCCTAAGCCAGGGAATCAGCTCTCATCTCAAGACGATTTGGGGTACACGGAGCATTCCTCGAGTTGCTGTGCTGAAGTTGGTGTTCCTCTAGACTTGGGACAGTGTTCTCGGGGCATCTCTGGAGTTGCCTGAAGGAAGTCGAGCCACCGGTCGTGTTGAATGAGGAATGGGGAATGGCTCTGGAGTCAATGCAGGGGAATCGGGCCTCATCTCGAGTTGATTTGGGGCACATGGAGCTGCTTTGCGTTGCTGGGGTGACTTCAGGGTCCGTCTAGATGGGTGACAGTGTTCTTGGGGACTGTCTCGAGATCCATTAAGCAAGTCGAAGCTCCTGACTTTTTGAATGGGATCACGGAATAGCTCTGCATGCACGGCAGGGGAATGGGGCCTCATCTCGCCTCTAGGGGGAAGTCTCATGGTTTTTCTCGAGTTGCGGCGGGGACCTGGTGTATGTTCTCGACTTGCGGCGGGGATGGCCCTTCAAAACACGTGTTTCTACAGTGACGTCTGGACTCCTGTCTAGTAACGAGGGACACCTCAGGAATCGCTTCGAGGATTGGCAGGGCAAAAGGGACGCTTCTCGAGATGAGGCCCGGCACCCAAGCACCCTTTCCAGTAGCCACAGGGATTTTGGGATTCCTATCAGTATTCAAGAGGAGTCAGGCATCGTCACCTTTAGAAGCAATGAACTCCCCGTGCCTCTCGAGGTGTCAACGTGATGTGAGGCATTCCGTCAAAATGAGACAGGGACCTAGAGCTTTCTCTAAGGTCTCCACAGGGGATTCAGGCATCCCTTCATGTTTTGAGATAAAAGTCGAGCCTGTATTCAAGCCACTGCAAGGAAATACGGCCTCCTTTCAAGTTAGGGCTTCTCGCTGTATATTCCACTTGAGGCAGCGATCTCGGGGTCCTTACCACATAACTATTGCTGAGAAAAGCCTCCTCCTGAGGTGCTTCTGGAAAGTTGGCAAACGTCTTGAGCCTAAGCCAGGGAATCAGCTCTCATCTCAAGACGATTTGGGGTACACGGAGCATTTCTCGAATTGCTGTGCTGAAGTTGGTGTTCCTCTAGACTTGGGAAAGTGTTCTCGGGGCATCTCTGGAGTTGCCTGAAGGAAGTCGAGCCACCAGTCGTGTTGAATGAGAAACGGGGAATGGCTCTGGAGTCAATGCAGGGGAATCGGGCCTCATCTCGAGTTGATTTGGGGCACATGGGGCTGCTTTGCTTTGCTGGGGTGACCTCAGGGTCCGTCTAGACTGGTGACAGTGTTCTTGGGGACTGTCTCGAGATCCATTTAGCAAGTTGAAGCTCCTGACTTGTTTGAATGGGATCACGGAATAGCTCTGCATGCACTGCAGGGGAATGGGGCCTCATCTCGCCTCTAGGGGGAAGTCTCATGGTTTTTGTCGAGTTGCGGCGGGGACCTGGGGTATGTTCTCGACTTACGGCGGGGATGGCCCTTCAAAACCCGAGTTTCTTCAGTGACGTCAGGACTCCTGTCTAGTAACGAGGGACACCTCAGGAATCTCTTCGAGGCTTGGCAGGGCAAAAGGGACGCTTCTCGAGGTGAGGCAGGGCACCCAAGGACCCTTTCCAGTAGCCACAGGGATTTTGGGATTCCTATCAGTATTCAAGAGGAGTGAGGCATCGTCACCTTTAGAAGCAATGAACTCCGCGTGCCTCTCGAGGTGTCAACGGGATGTGAGGAATTCCGTCAAAATGAGGCAGGGACCTAGGGCTTTCTCTAAGGTCCCCACAGGGGATTCAGACATCCCTTCATGTTGTGAGATGAAAGACGAGCCTGTATTCAAGCCAATGCAAGGAAATCCGGCCTCCTTTCAAGTTAGGGCTTCTCGCTGTATATTCCACTTGAGGCAGCGATCTCGGGGTCCATACCACATACCTATTGCTGAGAGAAGCCTCCTCCTGAGGTGCTTCTGGAAAGTTGGCATATGTCTTGAGCCTAAGCCAGGGAATCAGCTCTCATCTAGAGACGATTTGAGGTACACGGAGCATTCCTCGAATTGCTGTGCTGAAGTTGGTGTTCCTCTAGACTTGGGACAGTGTTCTCGGGGCATCTCTGGAGTTGCCTGAAGGATGTCGAGCCACCGGTCGTGTTGAATGAGGAACGGGGAATGGCTCTAGAGTCAATGCAGGGGAATCGGGCCTCATCTCGAGTTGATTTGGGGCACATGGAGCTGCTTTGCTTTGCTGGGGTGACCTCAGGGTCCGTCTAGACTGGTGACAGTGTTCTTGGGGACTGTCTCGAGATCCATTAAGCAAGTTGAGGCTCGTGACTTGTTTGAATGGGATCACGGAATAGCTCTGCATGCACTGCAGGGGAATGGGGCCTCATCTCGCCTCTAGGGGGAAGTCTCATGGTTTTTTTGGAGTTGTGGCCGGGACCTGGGTTACGTTCTCGCCTTACGGCGGGGATGGCCCTTCAAAACACGAGTTTCTTCAGTGACGTCAGGACTCCTGTCTACTAACGAGGGACACCTCAGGAATCTCTTCGAGGCTTGCCATGGCAAAAGGGACGCTTCTCGAGGTGAGGCAGGGCACCCAAGGACCCTGTCCAGTAGCCACAGAGATTTTGGGATCCCTATCAGTATTCAAGAGGAGTCAGGCATCGTCACCTTTTGAAGCAATGAACTCCGCGTGCCTCTCGAGGTGTCAACGGGATGTGAGGCATTCCGTCAAAATGAGGCAGGGACCTAGGGCTTACTCTAAGGTCTCCACAGGGGATTCAGAGAGCACTTCATGTTTTGAGATTAAAGACGAGCCTGTATTCAAGCCACTGCAAGGAAATCCGGCCTCCTTTCAAGTTAGGGCTTCTCGCTGTATATTCCCCTTGAGGCAGCAAACTTGGGGTCCCTCCCACATACCAATTGCTGAGAGAAGCCTCCTCTTGAGGTGCTTCTGGAAAGTTGGCATATGTCTTGAGCCTAAGCCGGGGTATCTGCTCTCATCTCAAGACGATTTGGGGTACACGGAGCATTCCTCGAGTTGCTGTGCTGAAGTTGGTGTTCCTCTAGACTTGGGACAGTGTTCTCGGGGCATCTCTGGAGTTGCCTGAAGGAAGTCGAGCCACCTGTCGTGTTGAATGAGGAACGGGGAATGGCTCTGGAGTCAATGCATGGGAATCGGGCCTCATCTCGAGTTGATTTGGGGCAAATGGAGCTGCTTTGCGTTGCTGGGGTGACATCAGGGTCCGTCTAGACGGGTGACAGTGTTCTTGGGGACGGTCTCGAGATCCATTAAGCAAGTCGAAGCTCCTGACTTGTTTGAATGGGATCACGGAATAGCTCTGCATGCACGGCAGGGGAATGGGGCCTCATCTCGCCTCTAGGGGGAAGTCTCATGGTTTTTCTCGAGTTGCGGCGACGACCTGGGGTATGTTCTCGACTTGCGGCGGGGATGGCCTTTCAAAACACGTGTTTCTTCAGTGACGTCTGGACTCCTGTCTAGTAACGAGGGACACCTCAGGAATCGCTTCGAGGCTTGGCAGGGCAAAAGGGACGCTTCTCGAGGTGAGGCCCGGCAACCAAGCACCCTTTCCAGTAGCCACAGGGATTTTGGGGTTCCTATCAATATTCAAGAGGGGTCAGGCATCGTCACCTTTTGAAGTAATGAACTCCGCGTGCCTCTCGAGGTGTCAACGGAATGTGAGGCATTCCGTCAAAATGAGGCAGTGACCTTGGGCTTTCTCAAAGGTCTCCTCAGGGGATTCAGACATCCCTTCATGTTTTGAGATCAAAGACGAGCCTGTATTCAAGCCACTGCAAGGAAATCCGGCCTCCTTTCAAGTTAGGGCTTCTCGCTGTATATTCCCCTTGAGGCAGCAAACTCGGGGTCCCTCCCACATACCTATTGCTGAGAGAAGCCTCCTCCTGAGGTGCTTCTGGAAAGTTGGCATACGTCTTGAGCCTAAGCCAGGGAATCAGCTCTCACCTCGAGACGATTTGGAGTACACGGAGCATTCCTCGAGTTGCTGTGCTAAAGTTGGTGTTCCTCTAAACTTGGGACAGTGTTCTCGGGGCATCTCTGGAGTTGCCTGAAGGAAGTTGAGCCACCAGTCGTGTTGAATGAGGAACGGGGAATGGCTCTGGAGTCAATGCAGGGGAATCGGGCCTCATCTCGAGTTGAGTTGGGGCACATGGAGCTGCTTTGCTTTGCTGGGGTGAACTCAGGGTCCGTCTAGACTGGTGACAGTGTTCTTGGGGACTGTCTCGAGATCCATTAAGCAAGTTGAAGCTCCTGACTTGTTTGAATGGGATCACGGAATAGCTCTGCATGCACTGCAGGGGAATGGGGCCTCATCTCGCCTCTAGGGGGAAGTCTCATGGTTTTCTCGAGTTGTGGCGGGGACCTGGGGTATGTTCTCCTCTTTCGGCGGGGATGGCCCTTCAAAACACGAGTTTCTTCAGTGACGTCAGGACTCCTGTCTAGTAACGAGGGACACCTCAGGAATCTCTTCGAGGCTTGGCAGGGCAAAAGGGTCGCTTCTCGAGGTGAGTCAGGGCACCAAGGACCCTTTCCTGTAGCCACAGGGATTTTGGGATTCCTATCAGTATTCAAGAGGAGTCAGGCATCGTCAGCTTTTGAAGCAATGAACTCCGCATGCCTCTCGAGGTGTCAATGGGATGTGAGGCATTCCGTCAAAATGAGGCAGGGACCTAGGGCTTTCTCTAAGGTCTCCACAGGGGATTCAGACATCCCTTCATGTTGTGAGATGAGAGACGAGCCTGTATTCAAGCCACTGCAAGGAAATCAGGCCTCCTTTCAAGTTAGGGTTTCTCGCTGTATATTCCACTTGAGGCAGCGATCTCGGGGTCCATCCCACATACCTATTGATGAGAGAAGCCTCCTCTTGAGGTGCTTCTGGAAAGTTGGCATACATCTTCAGCCTAAGCCAGGGAATCAGCTCTCATCTCGAGACGATTTGGGGTACACGGAGCATTCCTCGAGTTGCTGTGCTGAAGTTGGTGTTCCTCTAGACCTGGGACAGTGTTCTCGGGGCATCTCTGGAGTTGCCTGAAAGAAGTCGAGCCACCGGTCGTGTTGAATGGGGAACGGGGAATTGCTCTGGAGTCAATGCAGGTGAATCGGGCGTCATCTCGACTTGATTTGGGGCACATGGAGCTGCTTTGCATTGCTGCGGTGACATCAGGGTCCGTCTAGACTGGTGACAGTGTTCTTGGGGACCGTCTCGAGATCCATTAGCAAGTCGAAGCTCCTGACTTGTTTGAATGGGATCACGGAATAGCTCTGCATGCACTGCAGGGGAATGGGGCCTCATCTCGCCTCTAGGGGGAAGTCTCATGGTTTTTCTCGAGTTGCGGCGGGGACCTGGGCTGTGTTCTCGACTTACGGCGGGGATGGCCCTTCAAAACATGAGTTTCTTCAGTGACGTCAGGACTCATGTCTAGTAACGAGGGACACCTCAGGAATCTCTTCGAGGCTTGGCAGGGCAAAAGGGACGCTTCTCGAGGTGAGGCAGGGCACCCAAGGACCCTTTCCAATAGCCACAGGGATTTTGGGATTCCTGTCAGTATTCAAGAGGAGTCAGGCATCGTCACCTTTTGAAGCAATGAACTCCGCGTGCCTCTCTAGTTGTCAACGGGATGTGAGGCATTCCGTCAAAATGAGGCAGGGACCTAGGGCTTTCTCTAAGGTCTCCACAGGGGATTCAGACTTCCCTTCATGTTTTGAGATCAAAGACGAGCCTGTATTCAAGCCACTGCAAGGAAATCCGGCCTCCTTTCAAGTTAGGGCTTCTCGCTGTATATTCCACTTGAGGCAGCGATCTCGGGGTCCCTGCCACATACCAATTGCTGAGAGAAGCCTCCTCTTGAGGTGCTTCTGGAAAGTTGGCATATGTCTTGAGACTAAGCCAGGGAATCAGCTCTCATCTCAAGACGATTTGGGGTACACGGAGCATTCCTCGAGTTGCTGTGCTGAAGTTGGTGTTCCTCTAGACTTGGGACAGTGTTCTCGGGGCATCTCTGGAGTTGCCTGAAGGAAGTCGAACCACCTGTCGTGTTGAATGAGGAACGGGGAATGGCTCTGGAGTCAATGCAGGGGAATCGGGGCTCATCTCGAGTTGATTTGTGGCACATGGAGCTGCTTTGCGTTGCTGGGGTGACCTCAGGGTCCGTCTAGACGGGTGACAGTGTTCTTGGGGACTGTCTCGAGATCCATTAAGCAAGTCGAAGCTCCTGACTTGTTTGAATGGGATCACGGAATAGCTCTGCATGCACGGCAGGGGAATGGGGCCTCATCTCGCCTCTAGGGGGAAGTCTCATGGTTTTTGTCGAGTTGCGGCGGGGACCTGGGTTATGTTCTCGACTTACGGCGGGGATGGCCCTTGAAAAGACGAGTTTCCTCAGTGACGTCAGGACTCCTGTCTAGTAACAAGGGACACCTCAGGAATCTCTTCGAGGCTTGGCAGGGCAAAAGGGACGCTTCTCGAGGTGAGGCAGCACACCCAAGGACCCTTTCCAGTAGCCACAGGGATTTTGGGATTCCCATCAGTATTCAAGAGGAGTCAGGCATCGTCACCTTTAGAAGCAATGAACTCCGCGTGCCTCTCGAGGTGTCAACGTGATGTGAGGCATTCCGTCAAAATGAGACAGGGACCTAGAGCTTTCTCTAAGGTCTCCACAGGGGATTCAGGCATCCCTTCATGTTTTGAGATCAAAGTCGAGCCTGTATTCAAGCCACTGCAAGGAAATCCGGCCTCCTTTCAAGTTAGGGCTTCTCGCTGTATATTCCACTTGAGGCAGCGATCTCGGGGTCCTTACCACATAACTATTGCTGAGAAAAGCCTCCTCCTGAGGTGCTTCTGGAAAGTTGGCAAACGTCTTGAGCGTAAGCCAGGGAATCAGCTCTCATCTCAGGACGATTTGGGGTACACGGAGCATTTCTCGAATTGCTGTGCTGAAGTTGGTGTTCCTCTAGACTTGGGACAGTGTTCTCGGGGCATCTCTGGAGTTGCCTGAAGGAAGTCGAGCCACCGGTCGTGTTGAATGGGGAACGGGGAATTGCTCTGGAGTCAATGCAGGGGAATCGGGCGTCATCTCGACTTGATTTGGGGCACATGGAGCTGCTTTGCATTGTTGCGGTGACATCAGGGTCCGTCTAGACTGGTGACAGTGTTCTTGGGGACCGTCTCGAGATCCATTAGCAAGTCGAAGCTCCTGACTTGTTTGAATGGGATCACGGAATAGCTCTGCATGCACTGCAGGGGAATGGGGCCTCATCTCGCCTCTAGGGGGAAGTCTCATGGTTTTTCTCGAGTTGCGGCGGGGACCTGGGCTGTGTTCTCGACTTACGGCGGGGATGGCCCTTCAAAACATGAGTTTCTTCAGTGACGTCAGGACTCCTGTCTAGTAACGAGGGACACCTCAGGAATCTCTTCGAGGCTTGGCAGGGCAAAAGGGACGCTTCTCGAGGTGAGTCAGGGCACCCAAGGACCCTTTCCAATAGCCACAGGGATTTTGGGATTCCTGTCAGTATTCAAGAGGAGTCAGGCATCGTCACCTTTTGAAGCAATGAACTCCGCGTGCCTCCCTGGTTGTCAACGGGATGTGAGGCATTCCGTCAAAATGAGGCAGGGACCTAGAGCTTTCTCTAAGGTCTCCACAGGGGATTCAGACTTCCCTTCATGTTTTGAGATCAAAGACGAGCCTGTATTCAAGCCACTGCAAGGAAATCCGGCCTCCTTTCAAGTTAGGGCTTCTCGCTGTATATTCCACTTGAGGCAGCGATCTCGGGGTCCCTGCCACATACCAATTGCTGAGAGAAGCCTCCTCTTGAGGTGCTTCTGGAAAGTTGGCATATGTCTTGAGCCTAAGCCAGGGAATCAGCTCTCATCTCAAGACGATTTGGGGTACACGGAGCATTCCTCGAGTTGCTGTGCTGAAGTTGGTGTTCCTCTAGACTTGGGACAGTGTTCTCGGGGCATCTCTGGAGTTGCCTGAAGGAAGTCGAGCCACCGGTCGTGTTGAATGAGGAATGGGGAATGGCTCTGGAGTCAATGCAGGGGAATCGGGCCTCATCTCGAGTTGATTTGGGGCACATGGAGCTGCTTTGCGTTGCTGGGGTGACTTCAGGGTCCGTCTAGATGGGTGACAGTGTTCTTGGGGACTGTCTCGAGATCCATTAAGCAAGTCGAAGCTCCTGACTTTTTGAATGGGATCACGGAATAGCTCTGCATGCACGGCAGGGGAATGGGGCCTCATCTCGCCTCTAGGGGGAAGTCTCATGGTTTTTCTCGAGTTGGGGCGGGGACCTGGTGTATGTTCTCGACTTGCGGCGGGGATGGCCCTTCAAAACACGTGTTTCTACAGTGACGTCTGGACTCCTGTCTAGTAACGAGGGACACCTCAGGAATCGCTTCGAGGATTGGCAGGGCAAAAGGGACGCTTCTCGAGATGAGGCCCGGCACCCAAGCACCCTTTCCAGTAGCCACAGGGATTTTGGGATTCCTATCAGTATTCAAGAGGAGTCAGGCATCGTCACCTTTAGAAGCAATGAACTCCCCGTGCCTCTCGAGGTGTCAACGTGATGTGAGGCATTCCGTCAAAATGAGACAGGGACCTAGAGCTTTCTCTAAGGTCTCCACAGGGGATTCAGGCATCCCTTCATGTTTTGAGATAAAAGTCGAGCCTGTATTCAAGCCACTGCAAGGAAATACGGCCTCCTTTCAAGTTAGGGCTTCTCGCTGTATATTCCACTTGAGGCAGCGATCTCGGGGTCCTTACCACATAACTATTGCTGAGAAAAGCCTCCTCCTGAGGTGCTTCTGGAAAGTTGGCAAACGTCTTGAGCCTAAGCCAGGGAATCAGCTCTCATCTCAAGACGATTTGGGGTACACGGAGCATTTCTCGAATTGCTGTGCTGAAGTTGGTGTTCCTCTAGACTTGGGAAAGTGTTCTCGGGGCATCTCTGGAGTTGCCTGAAGGAAGTCGAGCCACCAGTCGTGTTGAATGAGAAACGGGGAATGGCTCTGGAGTCAATGCAGGGGAATCGGGCCTCATCTCGAGTTGATTTGGGGCACATGGAGCTGCTTTGCTTTGCTGGGGTGACCTCAGGGTCCGTCTAGACTGGTGACAGTGTTCTTGGGGACTGTCTCGAGATCCATTTAGCAAGTTGAAGCTCCTGACTTGTTTGAATGGGATCACGGAATAGCTCTGCATGCACTGCAGGGGAATGGGGCCTCATCTCGCCTCTAGGGGGAAGTCTCATGGTTTTTGTCGAGTTGCGGCGGGGACCTGGGGTATGTTCTCGACTTACGGCGGGGATGGCCCTTCAAAACACGAGTTTCTTCAGTGACGTCAGGACTCCTGTCTAGTAACGAGGGACACCTCAGGAATCTCTTCGAGGCTTGGCAGGGCAAAAGGGACGCTTCTCGAGGTGAGTCAGGGCACCAAGGACCTTTTCCTGTAGCCAGAGGGATTTTGGGATTCCTATCAGTATTCAAGAGGAGTCAGGCATCGTCAGCTTTTGAAGCAATGAACTCCGCATGCCTCTCGAGGTGTCAACGGGATGTGAGGAATTCCGTCAAAATGAGGCAGGGACCTAGGGCTTTCTCTAAGGTCTCCACAGGGGATTCAGACATCCCTTCATGTTGTGAGATGAGAGACGAGCCTGTATTCAAGCCACTGCAAGGAAATCAGGCCTCCTTTCAAGTTAGGGTTTCTCGCTGTATATTCCACTTGAGGCAGCGATCTCGGGGTCCATCCCACATACCTATTGATGAGAGAAGCCTCCTCTTGAGGTGCTTCTGGAAAGTTGGCATGCGTCTTCAGCCTAAGCCAGGGAATCAGCTGTCATCTCGAGACGATTTGTGGTACACGGAGCATTCCTCGAGTTGCTGTGCTGAAGTTGGTGTTCCTCTAGACCTGGGACAGTGTTCTCGGGGCATCTCTGGAGTTGCCTGAAAGAAGTCGAGCCACCGGTCGTGTTGAATGGGGAACGGGGAATTGCTCTGGAGTCAATGCAGGGGAATCGGGCGTCATCTCGACTTGATTTGGGGCACATGGAGCTGCTTTGCATTGCTGCGGTGACATCAGGGTCCGTCTAGACTGGTGACAGTGTTCTTGGGGACCGTCTCGAGATCCATTGGCAAGTCGAAGCTCCTGACTTGTTTGAATGGGATCACGGAATAGCTCTGCATGCACTGCAGGGGAATGGGGCCTCATCTTGCCTCTAGGGGGAAGTCTCATGGTTTTTCTCGAGTTGCGGCGGGGACCTGGGCTGTGTTCTCGACTTACGGCGGGGATGGCCCTTCAAAACATGAGTTTCTTCAGTGACGTCAGGACTCCTGTCTAGTAACGAGGGACACCTCAGGAATCTATTCGAGGCTTGGCAGGGCAAAAGGGACGCTTCTCGAGGTGAGGCAGGGCACCCAAGGACCCTTTTCAATAGCCAGAGGGATTTTGGGATTCCTGTCAGTATTCAAGAGGAGTCAGGCATCGTCACCTTTTGAAGCAATGAACTCCGCGTGCCTCTCTAGTTGTCAAAGGGATGTGAGGCATTCCGTCAAAATGAGGCAGGGACCTAGGGCTTTCTCTAAGGTCTGCACAGGGGATTCAGACTTCCCTTCATGTTTTGAGATCAAAGTCGAGCCTGTATTCAAGCCACTGCAAGGAAATCCGGCCTCCTGTCAAGTTAGGGCTTCTCGCTGTATATTCCACTTGAGGCAGCGATCTCGGGGTCCCTCCCCCATAACTATTGCTGAGAGAAGCCTCTTTCTGAGGTGCTTCTGGAAAGTTGGCATACGTCTTGAGCCTAAGCCAGGGAATCAGCTCTCATCTCGAGAGGATTTGGGGTACATGGAGCATCCCTCGAGTTGCTGTGCTGAAGTTGGTGTTCCTCTAGACTTGGGACAGTGTTCTCGGGGCATCTCTGGAGTTCCCTGAAGGAAGTCGAGCCACCGGTCGTGTTGAATGGGGAACAGGGAATGGCTCTGGGGTCAATGCAGGGGAATCGGGCCTCATCTCGAGTTGATTTGGGGTACATGGAGCTGCTTTGCATTGCTGCGGTGACATCAGGGTCCGTCTAGACTGGTGACAGTGTTTTTGGGGACTGTCTCGAGATCCATTAGCAAGTCGAAGCTCCTGACTTGTTTGAATGGGATCACGGAATAGCTCTGCATGCACTGCAGGGGAATGAGGCCTCATCTCCCCTCTAGGGGGCAGTCTCATGGTTTTTCTCGAGTTGCGGCGGGGACCTGGGTTATGTTCTCGACTTACGGCGGGGATGGCCCTTCAAAACACGAGTTTCTTCAGTGACGTCAGGACTCCTGTCTAGTAACGAGGGACACCTCAGGAATCTCTTCGAGGCTTGGCAGGGCAAAAGGGACGCTTCTCGAGGTGAGGCAGGGCACCCAAGGACCCTTTCCAGTAGCCACAGGGATTTTGGGATTCCTATCAGTATTGAAGAGGATTCAGGGAATGTCACCTTTAGAAGCAATGAACTCCGCGTGCCTCTCGAGGTGTCAACGTGATGTGAGGCATTCCGTCAAAATGAGGCAGGGACCTAGGGCTTTCTCTAAGGTCTCCACAGGGGATTCAGACATCCCTTCATGTTTTGAGATTAAAGACGGGCCTGTATTCAAGCCACTGCAATGAAATCCGGCCTCCTTTCAAGTTAGGGCTTCTCGCTGTATATTCCACTTGAGGCAGCGATCTCGGGGTCCCTCCCACATACCTATTGCTGAGAGAAGCCTCCTCTTGAGGTGCTTCTGGAAAGTTGGCATACATCTTGAGCCTAAGCCAGGGAATCAGCTCTCATCTCGAGACGATTTGGGGTACACGGAGCATTCCTCGAGTTGCTGTGCTGAAGTTGGTGTTCCTCTAGACTTGGGACAGTGTTCTCGGGGCATCTCTGGAGTTGCCTGAAGGAAGTCGAGCCAACGGTTGTTTTGAATGGGAAACGGGGAATGGCCCTGGAGTCAATGCAGGGGAATCGGGCCTCATCTCGAATTGATTTGGGGCACATGGAGCTGCTTTGCATTGCTGCCGTGACATCAGGGTCCGTCTAGACTGGTGACAGTGTTCTTGGGGACTGTCTCGAGATCCATTAAGCAAGTCGAAGCTCCTGACTTGTTTGAATGGGATCACGGAGTAGCTCTGCATGCACTGCAGGGGAATGGGGCCTCATCTCGCCTCTAGGGGGAAGTCTCATGGTTTTTCTGTAGTTGCGGCGGGGACTTGGTGTATGTTCTCGACTTACGGCGGGGATGGCCCTTCAAAACACGAGTTTCTTCAGTGACGTCAGGACTCCTGTCTAGTAACGAGGGACACCTCAGGAATCTCTTCGAGACTTGGCAGGGCAAAAGGGACGATTCTCGAGGTGAGGCAGGGCACCCAAGGACGCTTTCCAGTAGCCACAGGGATTTTGGGATTCCTATCAGTATTCAAGAGGTGTCAGGCATCGTCAGCTTTTGAAGCAATGAACTCCGCGTGCATCTCGAGGTGTCAATGGGATGTGAGGTAATCCGTCAAAATGAGTCAGGGACCTAGGGCTTTCTCTAAGGTCTCCACAGGCGATTCAGACTTCCCTTCATGTTTTGAGATCAAAGACGAGCCTGTATTCAAGCCACTGCAAGGAAATCCGGCCTCCTTTCAAGTTAGGGCTTCTCGCTGTATATTCCACTTGAGGCAGCGATCTCGGGGTCCCTCCCACATACCTATTGATGAGAGAAGCCTCCTCTTGAGGTGCTTCTGGAAAGTTGGCATACGTCTTGAGCCTAAGCCAGGGAATCAGCTCTCATCTCGAGACGATTTGGTGTACACGGAGCATTCCTCGAGTTGCTGTGCTGAAGTTGGTGTTCCTCTAGACTTGGGACAGTGTTCTCGGGGCATCTCTGGAGTTGCCTGAAGGAAGTCGAGCCACCGGTCGTGTTGAATGGGGAACGGGGAATGGCTCTGGAGTCAATGCAGGGCAATCGGGCCTCATCTCGAGTTGATTTGGGGCACATGGAGCTGCTTTGCGTTGCTGGGGTGACCTCAGGGTCCGTCTAGACTGGTGACAGTGTTCTTGGGGACTGTCTCGAGATCCATTAAGCAAGTCGAAGCTCCTGACCTGTTTGAATGGGATCACGGAATAGCTCTGCATGCACTACAGGGGAATGGGGCCTCATTTCGCCTCTAGGGGGAAGTCTCATGTTTTTTCTCCACTTGCGGCGGGGACCTGGGGTATGTTCTCGACTTACGGCGGGGATGGCCCTTCAAAACACGAGTTTCTTCAGTGACGTAGGACTTCTGTCTAGTAACGAGGGACACCTCAGGAATCTCTTCGAGGCTTGGCAGGGCAAAAGGGACGCTTCTCGAGGTGAGGCAGGGCAGCAAAGGACGCTTTCTAGTAGCCACAGGGATTTTGGGATTCCTATCAGTATTCAAGAGGAGTCAGGCATCGTCACCTTTAGAAGCAATGAACTCCGCGTGCCTCTCGAGGTGTCAACGGGATGTGAGGCATTCCGTCAAAATGAGGCAGGGAGCTAGGTATTTCTCTAAGGTCTCCACAGGGGATTCAGACATCCCTTCATGTTTTGAGATCAAAGACGAGCCTGTATTCAAGCCACTGCAAGGAAATCCGGCCTCCTTTCAAGTTAGGGCTTCTCGCTGTATATTCCACTTGAGGCATCGATCTCGGGGTCCCTCCCACATAGCAATTGCTGAGAGAAGCCTCCTCTTGAGGTGCTTCTGGAAAGTTGGCATACGTCTTGAGCCTAAGCCAGGGAATCAGCTCTCATCTCGAGACGATTTGGGGTACACGGAGCATTCCTCGAGTTGCTGTGCTGAAGTTGGTGTTCCTCTAGACTTGGGACAGTGTTCTCGGGGCATCTCTGGAGTTGCCTGAAGGAAGTCGAGCCACCGGTTGTGTTGAATGGGGAACGGGGAATGGCCCTGGAGTCAATGCAGGGGAATCGGGCCTCATCTCGAGTTGATTTGGGGCACATGGAGCTGCTTTGCATTGCTGCGGTGACATCAGGGTCCGTCTAGACTGGTGACAGTGTTCTTGGGGACTGTCTCGAGATCCATTAAGCAAATCGAAGCTCCTGACTTGTTTGAATGGGATCACGGAGTAGCTCTGCATGCACTGCAGGGGAATGGGGCCTCATCTCGCCTCTAGGGGGAAGTCTCATGGTTTTTCTGTAGTTGCGGCGGGGACCTGGGGTATGTTCTCGACTTATGGCGGGGATGGCCCTTCAAAACACGCGTTTCTTCAGTGACGTCAGGACTCCTGTCTAGTAACGAGGGTCACCTCAGGAATCTCTTCGAGGCTTGGCAGGGCAAATGGGAGGCTTCTCGAGGTGAGGTAGGGCGCCCAAGGACCCTTTCCAGTAGCCACAGGGATTTTGGGATTCCTCTCAATATTCAAGAGGTGTCAGGCATCGTCAGCTTTTGAAGCAATGAACTCCGCGTGCGTCCAGAGGTGTCAACGGGATATGAGTTAATCCGTCAAAATGAGGCAGGGACCTAGGGCTTTCTCTAAGGTCTCCACAGGCGATTCAGACTTCCCTTCATGTTTTGAGATCAAAGACGAGCCTGTATTCAAGCCACTGCAAGGAAATCAGGCCTCCTTTCAAGTTAGGGCTTCTCGCTGTATATTCCACTTGAGGCAGCGATCTCGGGGTCCCTCCCACATACCTATTGATGAGAGAAGCCTCCTCTTGAGGTGCTTCTGGAAAGTTGGCATACGTCTTGAGCCTAAGCCAGGGAATCAGCTCTCATCTCGAGACGATTTGGGGTACACGGAGCATTCCTCGAGTTGCTGTGCTGAAGTTGGTGTTCCTCTAGACTTGGGACAGTGTTCTCGGGGCATCTCTGGAGTTGCCTGAAGGAAGTCGAGCCACCGGTCGTGTTGAATGGGGAACGGGGAATGGCTCTTGGGTCAATGCAGGGGAATCGGGCCTCATCTCGAGTTGATTTGGGGCACATGGAGCTGCTTTGCTTTGCGGGGGTGACCTCAGGGTCCGTCTGGAGTGGTGCCAGTGTTCTTGGGGACTGTCTCGAGATCCATTAAGCAAGTTGAAGCTCCTGACTTGTTTGAATGGGATCACGGAATAGCTCTGCATGCACTGTAAGGGAATGGGGCCTCATCTCGCCTCTAGGGGGAAGTCTCATGGTTTTTTTTTTTAGTTGTGGCCGGGACCTGGGTTATGTTCTCGACTTACGGCGGGGATGGCCCTTCAAAACACGAGTTTCTTCAGTGACGTCAGGACTCCTGTCTAGTAATGAGGGACACCTCAGGAATCTCTTCGAGGCTTGGCATGGCAAAGGGACGCTTCTCGCGGTGAGGCAGGGCACCCAAGGACCCTTTCCAGTAGCCACAGTGATTTTGGGATCCCTATCAGTATTCAAGAGGAGTCAGGCATCGTCACCTTTTTAAGCAATGAACTCCGCGAACCTCTCAAGGTGTCAACGGGATGTGAGGCATTCCGTCAAAATGAGGCAGGGACCTAGGGCTTTCTCTAAGGTCTCCACAGGGGATTCAGACATCCCTTCATGTTTTGAGATGAAAGACGAGCCTGTATTCAAGCCACTGCAAGGAAATCCGGCCTCCTTTCAAGTTAGAGCTTCTCGCTATATTCCCCTTGAGGCAGCAAACTCGGGGTCCCTCCCACATACCTATTGCTGACAGAAGCCTCCTCCTGGGGTGCTTCTGGAAAGTTGGCATACGGCTTGAGGCTAAGCCAGGGAATTAGCTCTCATCTCGAGACGTGTTGGGGTACACGGAGCATTCCTCGAGTTGCTGTGCTGAAGTTGGTGTTCCTCTAGACTTGGGACAGAGTTCCCGGGGCATCTCTGGAGTTGCCTGAAGGAAGTCCAGCCACCGATCGTGTTGAATGGGGAACGGGGAATGGCTCTGGAGTCAATGCAGGGGAATCAGGCCTCATCTCGAGTTGATTTGGGGCACATGGAGCTGCTTTGCGTTGCTGGGGTGACCTCAGGGTCCGTCTCGACTGGTGACAGTGTTCTTGGGGACTGTCTCGAGATCCATTAAGCAAGTCGAAGCTCCTGACTTGTTTGAATGGGATCACGGAATAGCTCGGCATGCACGGCAGGGGAATGGTGCCTCATCTCGCCTCTAGCGGGAAGTCTCATGGTTTTTCTGGAGTTGCGGCGGGGACCTGGGGTATGTTCACGACCTCCGGCGGGGATGGCCCTTCAAAACACGAGTTTCTTCAGTGACATCGGGACTCCTGTCTAGTAACGAGGGACACCTCAGGAATCTCTTCGAGGCTTGGCAGGGCAAAAGGGACGCTTCTCGAGGTGAGGCAGGGCACCCAAGGACCCTTTCCAGTAGCCACAGGGATTTTGGGATTCCTATCAGTATTCAAGAGGAGTCAGGCATCGTCACCTTTTGAGGCAATGAACTCCGCGTGCCTCTCGAGGTGTCAACGGGATGTGAGGCATTCCGTCAAAATGAGGCAGGGACCTAGGGCTTTCTCTAAGGTCTCCACAGGGGATTCAGACATCCCTTCATGTTGTGAGATGAGACATGAGCCTGTATTCAAGCCACTGCAAGGAAATCCGGCCTCCTTTCAAGTTAGGGCTTCTCGTTGTATATTCCACTTGAGGCAGCGATCTCGGGGTCCCACGAATATACCTATTGCTAAGAGAAGCCTCTTCCTGAGGGGCTTCTGGAAAGTTAGCGTACATCTTGAGCCTAAGCCAGGGAATAAGCTCTCATCTCGAGACGATTTGGGGTACACGGAGCATTCCTCGAGTTGCTGTGCTGAAGTTGGTGTTCCTCTAGACTTGGGACAGTGTTCCCGGGGCATCTCTGGAGTTGCCTGAAGGAAGTCGAGCCACCGGTAGTGTTGAATGGGAAACGGGGAATGGCTCTGGAGTCAATGCAGGGGAATCGGGCCTCATCTCGAGTTGATTTGGGGCACATGGAGCTGCTTTGCATTGCTGCGGTGACATCAGGGTCCGTCTAGACTGGTGACAGTGTTCTTGGGGACTGTCTCGAGATCCATTAAGCAAGTCGAAGCTCCTGACTTGTTTGAATGGGATCACGGAGTAGCTCTGCATGCACTGCAGGGGAATGGGGCCTCATCTCGCCTCTAGGGGGATGTCTCATGGTTTTTCTGTAGTTGCGGCGGGGACCTGGGGTATGTTCTCGACTTATGGCGGGGATGGCCCTTCAAAACACGCGTTTCTTCAGTGACGTCAGGACTCCTGTCTAGTAACGAGGGACACCTCAGGAATCTCTTCGAGGCTTGGCAGGGCAAATGGGAGGCTTCTCGAGGTGAGGTAGGGCGCCCAAGGACCCTTTCCAGTAGCCACAGGGATTTTGGGATTCCTCTCAATATTCAAGAGGTGTCAGGCATCGTCAGCTTTTGAAGCAATGAACTCCGCGTGCGTCCCGAGGTGTCAACGGGATGTGAGGTAATCCGTCAAAATGAGGCAGGGACCTAGGGCTTTCTCTAAGGTCTCCACAGGCGATTCAGACTTCCCTTCATGTTTTGAGATCAAAGACGAGCCTGTATTCAAGCCACTGCAAGGAAATCCGGCCTCCTTTCAAGTTAGGGCTTCTCGTTGTATATTCCACTTGAGGCAGCGATCTCGGGGTCCCTCCCACATACCTATTGATGAGAGAAGCCTCCTCTTGAGGTGCTTCTGGAAAGTTGGCATACGTCTTGAGCCTAAGCCAGGGAATCAGCTCTCATCTCGAGACGATTTGGGGTACACGGAGCATTCCTCGAGTTGCTGTGCTGAAGTTGGTGTTCCTCTAGACTTGGGACAGTGTTCTCGGGGCATCTCTGGAGTTGCCTGAAGGAAGTCGAGCCACCGGTCGTGTTGAATGGGGAATGGGGAATGGCTCTTGGGTCAATGCAGGGGAATCGGGCCTCATCTCGAGTTGATTTGGGGCTCATGGAGCTGCTTTGCTTTGCGGGGGTGACCTCAGGGTCCGTCTGGAGTGGTGCCAGTGTTCTTGGGGACTGTCTCGAGATCCATTAAGCAAGTTGAAGCTCCTGACTTGTTTCAATGGGATCACGAAATAGCTCTGCATGCACTGTAGGGGAATGGGGCCTCATCTCGCCTCTAGGGGGAAGTCTCATGGTTTCTTTTTTTAGTTGTGGCCGGGACCTGGGTTATGTTCTCGACTTACGGCGGGGATGGCCCTTCAAAACACGAGTTTCTTCAGTGACGTCAGGACTTGTGTCTAGTAATGAGGGACACCTCAGGAATCTCTTCGAGGCTTGGCATGGCAAAGGGACGCTTCTCGAGGTGAGGCAGGGCACCCAAGGACCCTTTCCAGTAGCCACAGTGATTTTGGGATCCCTATCAGTATTCAAGAGGAGTCAGGCATCGTCACCTTTTTAAGCAATGAACTCCGCGAACCTCTCAAGGTGTCAACGGGATGTGAGGCATTCCGTCAAAATGAGGCAGGGACCTAGGGCTTTCTCTAAGGTCTCCACAGGGGATTCAGACATCCCTTCATGTTTTGAGATGAAAGACGAGCCTGTATTCAAGCCACTGCAAGGAAATCCGGCCTCCTTTCAAGTTAGAGCTTCTCGCTATATTCCCCTTGAGGCAGCAAACTCGGGGTCCCTCCCACATACCTATTGCTGAGAGAAGCCTCCTCCTGGGGTGCTTCTGGAAAGTTGGCATACGGCTTGAGGCTAAGCCAGGGAATTAGCTCTCATCTCGAGACGTGTTGGGGTACACGGAGCATTCCTCGAGTTGCTGTGCTGAAGTTGGTGTTCCTCTAGACTTGGGACAGAGTTCCCGGGGCATCTCTGGAGTTGCCTGAAGGAAGTCCAGCCACCGATCGTGTTGAATGGTTAACGGGGAATGGCTCTGGAGTCAATGCAGGGGAATCAGGCCTCATCTCGAGTTGATTTGGGGCACATGGAGCTGCTTTGCGTTGCTGGGGTGACCTCAGGGTCCGTCTCGACTGGTGACAGTGTTCTTGGGGACTGTCTCGAGATCCATTAAGCAAGTCGAAGCTCCTGACTTGTTTGAATGGGATCACAGAATAGCTCGGCATGCACGGCAGGGGAATGGTGCCTCATCTCGCCTCTAGCGGGAAGTCTCATGGTTTTTCTGGAGTTGCGGCGGGGACCTGGGGTATGTTCACGACTTACGGCGGGGATGGCCCTTCAAAACACGAGTTTCTTCAGTGACATCGGGACTCCTGTCTAGTAACGAGGGACACCTCAGGAATCTCTTCGAGGCTTGGCAGGGCAAAAGGGACGCTTCTCGAGGTGAGGCAGGGCACCCAAGGACCCATTCCAGTAGCCACAGGGATTTTGGGATTCCTATCAGTATTCAAGAGGAGTCAGGCATCGTCACCTTTTGAGGCAATGAACTCCGCGTGCCTCTCGAGGTGTCAACGGGATGTGAGGCATTCCGTCAAAATGAGGCAGGGACCTAGGGCTTTCTCTAAGGTCTCCACAGGGGATTCAGACATCCCTTCATGTTGTGAGATGAGACACGAGCCTGTATTCAAGCCACTGCAAGGAAATCCGGCCTCCTTTCAAGTTAGGGCTTCTCGTTGTATATTCCACTTGAGGCAGCGATCTCGGGGTCCCACGAATATACCTATTGCTAAGAGAAGCCTCTTCCTGAGGGGCTTCTGGAAAGTTAGCGTACATCTTGAGCCTAAGCCAGGGAATAAGCTCTCATCTCGAGACGATTTGGGGTACACGGAGCATTCCTCGAGTTGCTGTGCTGAAGTTGGTGTTCCTCTAGACTTGGGACAGTGTTCCCGGGGCATCTCTGGAGTTGCCTGAAGGAAGTCGAGCCACCGGTAGTGTTGAATGGGAAACGGGGAATGGCTCTGGAGTCAATGCAGGGGAATCGGGCCTCATCTCGAGTTGATTTGGGGCACATGGAGCTGCTTTGCATTGCTGCGGTGACATCAGGGTCCGTCTAGACTGGTGACAGTGTTCTTGGGGACTGTCTCGAGATCCATTAAGCAAGTCGAAGCTCCTGACTTGTTTGAATGGGATCACGGAGTAGCTCTGCATGCACTGCAGGGGAATGGGGCCTCATCTCGCCTCTAGGGGGAAGTCTCATGGTTTTTGTCGAGTTGCGGCGGGGACCTGGGGTATGTTCTCGACTTACGGCGGGGATGGCCCTTCAAAACACGAGTTTCTTCAGTGACGTCAGGACTCCTGTCTAGTAACGAGGGACACCTCAGGAATCTCTTCGAGGCTTGGCAGGGCAAAAGGGAGGCTTCTCGAGGTGAGGTAGGGCGCCCAAGAACCCTTTCCAGTAGCCACAGGGATTTTGGGATTCCTCTCAATATTCAAGAGGTGTCAGGCATCGTCAGCTTATGAAGCAATAAACTCCGCGTGCGTCTCGAGGTGTCAACGGGATGTGAGGTAATCCGTCAAAATGAGGCAGGGACCTAGGGCTTTCTCTAAGGTCTCCACAGGCGATTCAGACTTCCCTTCATGTTTTGAGATCAAAGACGAGCCTGTATTCAAGCCACTGCAAGAAATCCGGCCTCCTTTCAAGTTAGGGCTTCTCGCTGTATATTCCCCTTGAGGCAGCAAACTAGGGGTCCCTCCCACATACCTATTGCTGAGAGAAGCCTCCTCCTGGGGTGTTTCTGGAAAGTTGGCATACGGCTTGAGCCTAAGCCAGGGAATCAGCTCTCCTCTCTAGACCTGTTGGGGTACATGATGCATTCCTCGAGTTGGTGTGCTGAAGTTGGTGTTCCTCTAGACTTGGGACAGTGTTCCCGGGGCATTTCTGGAGTTGCCTGAAGGAAGTCAAGCCACCGGTCGTGTTGAATGGGGAATGGCGAATGGCTCTGGAGTCAATACAGGAAAATCGGGCCTCATCTCGAGTTGATTTGGGGCACATGGAGCTGCTTTGCGTTGCTGGGGTGACCTCAGGGTCCGTCTAGACTGGTGACAGTGTTCTTGGGGACTGTCTCGAGATCCATTAAGCAAGTCGAAGCTCCTGACTTGTTTGAATGGGATCACGGAATAGCTCTGCATGCACTGCAGGGGAATGGGGCCTCATCTCTCCTCTAGGGGGAAGTCTCATGGTTTTTCTCGAGTTGCGGCGAGGACCTGGGGTATGTTCTCGACTTACGGCGGGGATGGCCCTTCAAAACACGAGTTTCTTCAGTGACGTCAGGACTCCTGTCTAGTAACGAGGGACACCTCAGGAATCTCTTCGAGGCTTGGCAGGGCAAAAGGGACGCTTCTTGGGGTGAGGCACGGCACCCAAAGACCCTTTCCAGTAGCCAGAGTGATTTTGGGATTCCTATCAGTATTCAAGAGGAGTCAGGCATCGTCACCATTTGAAGCAATGAACTCCGCGTGCCTCTCGAGTTGTCAACGGGATGTGAGGCATTCCGTCAAAATGAGGCAGGGACCTAGGGCTTTCTCTAAGGTCTCCACAGGGGATTCAGACATCCCTTCATGTTTTGAGATCAAAGACGAGCCAGTATTCAAGCCACTGCAAGGAAATCCGGCCTCCTTTCAAGTTAGGGCTTCTCGCTGTATATTCCCCTTGAGGCAGCGAACTCGGGGTACCTCCCACATACCTATTGTTGAGAGAAGCCTCTTCCTAAGGTGCTTTTGGAAAGTTGGCATACGTCTTGAGCCTAAGCCAGGGAATCAGCTCTCATCTCGAGACGATTTGGGGTACACGGAGCATTCCTCGAGTTGCTGTGCTGAAGATAGTGTTCCTCTAGACCTGGGACAGTGTTCTCGGGGCATCTCTGGAGTTGCCTGAAGGAAGTCGACCCACCGGTCGTGTTGAAGGGGAACGGGGAATGGCTCTGGAGTCAATGTAGGGGAATCGGATCTCATCTCGATTTGATTTGGGGCACATGGAGCTGCTTTGCGTTGCTGGGGTGACCTCAGGGTCCGTCTAGACTGGTGACAGTGTTCTTGGGGACTGTCTCGACACCCATTAAGCAAGTCGAAGATCCTGACTTGTTTGAATGGGATCACGGAATAGCTCTGCATGCACTGCAGGGGAATGGGGCCTCATCTCGCCTCTAGGGGGAAGTCTCATGGTTATTCTCGAGTTGTGGCGGGGACCTGGGGTATGTTCACGACTTACGGCGGGGATTGCCCTTCAAAACACGAGTTTCATCAGTGACGTCAGGACTCCTGTCTAGTAATGAGGGACACCTCAGGAATCTCTTCGAGGCTTGGCAGGGCAAAAGGGATGTTTCTCGAGGTGAGGTAGGGCACCCAAGGACCCTTTCCAGTAGCCACAGGGATTTTGGGATTCCTATCAGTATTCAAGAGGATTCAGGCATCGTCACCTTTTGAAGCATTGAACTCCGCGTGCCTCTCGAGGTGTCAGCGGAATGTGAGGCATTCCGTTAAAATGAGGCAGGGACCTAGGGCTTTCTCTAAGGTCTCCGCAGGGGATTCAGACATCCCTTCATGTTTTGAGATGAAAAGGAGCCTGTATTCAAGCCACTGCAAGGAAATCCGGCCTCCTTTCAAGTTAGGGCTTCTCGCTGTATATTCCCATTGAGGCAGCAAACTCGGGGTCCCTCCCAGATACCTATTGCTGAGAGAAGCCTCCTCCTGAGGTGCTTCTGGAAAGTTGGCATACGTCTTGAGCCTAAGCCAGGGAATCAGCTCTCATCTCGAAATGATTTGGGGTACACGGAGCATTCCTCGAGTTGCTGTGCTGAAGTTGGTGTTCCTCTAGACTTGGGACTGTGATCTCGGGGCATCTCTAGAGTTGCCTGAAGGAAGTCGAGCCACCGGTCGTGTTGAATGGGGGACGGGGAATGGCTCTGGTGTCAATGCAGGGGAATCGGGCCTCATCTCGAGTTGATTTGGGGCACATGGAGCTGCTTTGCGTTGCTGGGGTGAACTCAGGGTCCGTCTAGACTGGTGACAGTGTCTTGGGGACTGTCTCGAGATCCATTAAGCAAGTCGAAGCTCCTGACTTGTTTGAATGGGATCACGGAATAGCTCTGCATGCACTGCAGGTTAATGGGGCCTCATCTCGCCTCTAGGGGGAAGTCTCATGGTTTTTCTCGAGTTGCGGCAGGGACCTGGGGTATGTTCTAGACTTAGGGCGGGGATGGCCCTTCAAAACACGAGTTTCTTCAGTGACGTCAGGACTCCTGTCTAGTAACGAGGGACACCTCAGGAATCTCTTCGAGGCTTGGCAGCGCAAAAGGGACGCTTCTCGAGGTGAGGCAGGGCACCCAAGGACCCTTTCCAGTATCCACAGTGATTTTGGGATTCCTATCAGTATTCAAGAGGAGTCAGGCATCATCACCTTTTGAAGCAATGAACTCCGCGTGCCTCTCGAGGTGTCAGCGGGATGTGAGGCATTCCGTCAAAATGAGGCAGGGACCTAGGACTTTCTCTAAGGTCTCCACAGGGGATTCAGACATCCCTTCATGTTGTGCGATGAGAGACGAGCCTGTATTCAAGCCACTGCAAGGAAATCCGGCCTCCTTTCAAGTTAGTGCTTCTCGTTGTATATTCCACTTGAGGCAGCGATCTCGGGGTCGCTCACACATACCTATTGCTGAGAGAAGCCTCCTCCTCAGGTGCTTCTGGAAAGTTGGCATACGTCTTGAGCCTAAGCCAGGGAATCAGCTCTCATCTCGAGAACATTTGGGGTATACGGAGCATTCCTCGAGTTGCTGTGCTGAAGTTGGTGTTCCTCTAGACTTGGGACAGTGTTCTCGGGGCATCTCTGGAGTTGCCTGAAGGAAGGCCCCACACCGGTCGTGTTGAATGGGGAACGGTGAATGGCTCTGGGGTCAATGCAGGGGAATCGGGCCTCATCTCGAGTTGAAGTGGGGCACATGGAGCTGCTTTGCATTGCTGGGGTGAACTCAGGGTCCGTCTAGACTGGTGACAGTGTTCTTGGGGACTGTCACGAGATCCATTAAGCAAGTCGATGGTCCTGACTTGTTTGAATGGGATCACGGAATAGCTCTGCATGCACTGCAGGGGAATGGGGCCTCATCTCGCCTCTAGGGGGAAGTCTCATGGTTTTTCTCGAGTTGCGGCGAGGACCTGGGGTATGTTCTCGACTTACGGTGTGGATGGTCCTTCAAAACATAGTTTCTTCGGTGACGTCAGGACTCCTGTCAAGTAACGAGGGACACCTCAGGAATCTCTTCGACGCTTGGCAGGGCAAAAGGGACGCTTCTCGAGGTGAGGCAGGGCAAACAAAGACCCTTTCCAGTAGCCACAGGGATTTTGGGATTCCTCTCAGTATTGAAGAGGAGTCAGGCATCGTCACCTTTTGAAGCAATGAACTCCGCGTGCCTCTCGAGGTGTCAACGGGATGTGAGGCATTCCGTCAAAATGAGGCAGGGACCTAGGGCTTTCTCTAAGGTCTCCACAGGGGATTCAGACATCCCTTCATGTTTTGAGATCAAAGATGAGCCTGTTTTCAAGCCACTGCAAGGAAATCCGGCCTCCTTTCAAGTTAGGGCTTCTCGCTGTATATTCCACTTGAGGCAGCGATCTCGGGGTCCCTCCCACATACCTAATGCTGAGAGAAGCCTCTTCCTAAGGTGCTTCTGGAACGTTGGCATACGTCTTGAGCTTAAGCCAGGGAATCAGCTCTCATCTCGATCCGATATGTGGTAACAGAGTATTCCTCGAGTTGCTGTGCTGAAGATAGTGTTCCTCTAGACATGGGACAGTGTTCTCGGGGCATCTCTGGAGTTGCCTGAAGGAAGTGACCCCACCAGTCGTGTTGAATGGGGAACGGGGAATGGCTCTGGAGTCAATGCAGGGGAATCGGACCTCATCTCGATTTGATTTGGGGCACATGGAGCTGCTTTGCGTTGCTGGGGTGACCTCAGGGTCCGTCTAGACAGGTGACAGTGTTCTTGGGGACTGTCTCGAGACCCATTAAGCAAGTCGAAGCTCCTGACTTGTTTGAATGGGATCACGGCATAGCTCTGCATGCACTGCAGGGGAATAGGGCCTCATCTCGCCTCTAGGGGGAATTCTCATGGTTTTTCTCGAGTTGCGGCGGGGATGGACCTTCAAAACACGAGTTTCTTCAGTGACGTCAGGACTCCTGGCTAGTAACGAGGGACATATAAGGTGTCCCTTCGAGGCTTGGCAGGGCAAAAGGGACGCTTCTGGAAGTGAGGCAGGGCACCCAAGGACCCTTTCCAATAGCCACAGGGATTTTGGTATTCCTATCAGTATTCAAGAGGAGTCAGGCATCGTCACCTTTTGAAGCAATGAACTCCGCGTGCCTCTCGAGGTGTCAATGGGATGTGAGGCATTCCGTGAAAATGAGGCAGGGACCTAGGGCTTTCTCTAAGGTCTCCAAAGGGGATTCAGACTTCCCTTCATGTTTTGAGATGAGAGACGAGCCTGTATTCAAGCCACTCAAGGAAATCCGGCCTCCTTTCAAGTTAGGGCTTCTCGCTGTATATTCCACTTGAGGCAGCGATCTCGGGGCCCCTCCCACATACATGTTGCTGAGAGATGCCTCCTCTTGAGGTGCTTCTGGAAAGTTGGCATACGTCTTGAGCCTCAGCCAGGGAATCAGCTCTCATCTCGAGACGATTTGGGGTACACGGAGCATTCCTCGAGTTGCTGTGCTGAAGTTGGTGTTCCTCTAGACTTGGGACAGTGTTCGCGGGGCATCTCTGGAGTTGCCTGAAGGAAGTCGAGCCACCGGTCGTGTTGAATGGGGAACGGGGAATGGCTCTGGAGTCAATGCAGGGGAATCGGGCCTCATCTCGATTTGATTTGGGCACATGGAGCTGCTTTGCATTGCTGCGGTGACATCAGGGTCCGTCTAGACTGGTGACAGTGTTCTTGGGGACTGTCTCGAGATCCATTAGCAAGTCGAAGCTCCTGACTTGTTTGAATGGTATCACGGAATAGCTCTGCATGCACTGCAGGGGAATGGGGCCTCATCTCGCCTCTAGGGGGAAGTCTCATGGTTTTTCTCGAGTTGAGGCGGGGACCTGGGGTATGTTCTCGACTTACGGCGGTGATGGCCCTTCAAAACACGAGTTTCTTCAGTGACATCAGGACTCCTGTCTAGTAACGAGGGACAACTCAAGAATCTCTTCGAGGCTTGGCAGGGTAAAAGGGACGCTTCTCGAGGTGAGGCAGGGCACCCAAGGACCCTTTCCAGTAGCCACAGGGATTTTGGGATTCCTATCAGTATTCAAGAGGAGTCAGGCATCGTCACCTTTTGAAGCAATGAACTCCGCGTGCCTCTCGAGGTGTCAACGTGATGTTGGGCATTCCGTCAAAATGAGGCAGGGACCTAGGGCTTTCTCTAAGGTCTCCACAGGGGATTCAGACATCCCTTCATGTTTTGAGATCAAAGACGAGACTGTATTCAAGCCACTGCAAGGAAATCCGGCCTCCTTTTCGGTTAGGGCTTCTCGCTGTATATTCCAATTGAGGCAGCGATCTCAGGGTCCCTACCACATACCTATTGCTGAGAAAAGCCTCCTCCTGAGGTGCTTCTGGTAAGTTGGCAAACGTCTTGAGCCTAAGTCAGGGAATCAGCTCTCATCTCGAGACGATTTGGGGTACACTGAGCATTCCGCGAATTGCTGTGCTGACGTTGGTGTTCCTCTAGACTTTGGACAGTGTTCTCGGGGTATCTCTGCAGTTGCCTGAAGGAAGTCGAGCCACCGGTCGTGTTGAATGAGGAACGGGGAATGGCTCTGGAGTCAATGCAGGGGAATCGGGCCTCATCACGTGTTGATTTGGGGCACATGGAGCTGCTTTGCGTTGCTGGGGTGACCTCAGGGTCCGTCTAGACTGGTGACAGTGTTCTTGGGGACTGTCTCGAGATCCATTAAGCAAGTCGAAGCTCCTGACTTGTTTGAATGGGATCACGGAATAGCTCTGCATGCACGGCAGGGGAATGGTGCCTCATCTCGCCTCTAGGGGGAAGTCTCATGGTTTTTCTGGAGTTGTGGCGGGGACCTGCGGTATGTTCTCGACTTACGGCGGGGATGGCCCTTCAAAACACGAGTTTCTTCAGTGACGTCAGGACTCCTGTCTAGTAACGAGGGACACCTCAGGAATCTCTTCGAGGCTTGGCAGGGCAAAAGGGACGCTTCTAGAGGTGAGGCAGGGCACCAAGGACCCTTTCCAGTAGCCACAGGGATTTTGGGATTCCTATCAGTATTCAAGAGGAGTCAGGCATCCTCACCTTTTGAAGCAATGAACTCCGCGTGCCTCTCGAGGTGTCAACGGGATGTGAGGCATTCCGTCAAAATGAGGCAGGGACCTAGGGCTTTCTCTATGGTCTCCACAGGGGATTCAGACATCCCTTCATGTTGTGAGATGAGAGACGAGCCTGTATTCAAGCCACTGCAAGGAAATCCGGCCTCCTTTCAAGTTAGGGCTTCTCGCTGTATATTCCACTTGAGGCAGCGATCTCGGGGCCCCTCCCACATACATGTTGCTGAGAGATGCCTCCTCTTGAGGTGCTTCTGGAAAGTTGGCATACGTCTTGAGCCTCAGCCAGGGAATCAGCTCTCATCTCGAGACGATTTGGGGTACACGGAGCATTCCTCGAGTTGCTGTGCTGAAGTTGGTGTTCCTCTAGACTTGGGACAGTGTTCGCGGGGCATCTCTGGAGTTGCCTGAAGGAAGTCGAGCCACCGGTCGTGTTGAATGGGGAACGGGGAATGGCTCTGGAGTCAATGCAGGGGAATCGGGCCTCATCTCGATTTGATTTGGGCACATGGAGCTGCTTTGCATTGCTGCGGTGACATCAGGGTCCGTCTAGACTGGTGACAGTGTTCTTGGGGACTGTCTCGAGATCCATTAGCAAGTCGAAGCTCCTGACTTGTTTGAATGGTATCACGGAATAGCTCTGCATGCACTGCAGGGGAATGGGGCCTCATCTCGCCTCTAGGGGGAAGTCTCATGGTTTTTCTCGAGTTGAGGCGGGGACCTGGGGTATGTTCTCGACTTACGGCGGTGATGGCCCTTCAAAACACGAGTTTCTTCAGTGACATCAGGACTCCTGTCTAGTAACGAGGGACAACTCAAGAATCTCTTCGAGGCTTGGCAGGGTAAAAGGGACGCTTCTCGAGGTGAGGCAGGGCACCCAAGGACCCTTTCCAGTAGCCACAGGGATTTTGGGATTCCTATCAGTATTCAAGAGGAGTCAGGCATCGTCACCTTTTGAAGCAATGAACTCCGCGTGCCTCTCGAGGTGTCAACGTGATGTTGGGCATTCCGTCAAAATGAGGCAGGGACCTAGGGCTTTCTCTAAGGTCTCCACAGGGGATTCAGACATCCCTTCATGTTTTGAGATCAAAGACGAGACTGTATTCAAGCCACTGCAAGGAAATCCGGCCTCCTTTTCGGTTAGGGCTTCTCGCTGTATATTCCAATTGAGGCAGCGATCTCAGGGTCCCTACCACATACCTATTGCTGAGAAAAGCCTCCTCCTGAGGTGCTTCTGGTAAGTTGGCAAACGTCTTGAGCCTAAGTCAGGGAATCAGCTCTCATCTCGAGACGATTTGGGGTACACTGAGCATTCCGCGAATTGCTGTGCTGACGTTGGTGTTCCTCTAGACTTTGGACAGTGTTCTCGGGGTATCTCTGCAGTTGCCTGAAGGAAGTCGAGCCACCGGTCGTGTTGAATGAGGAACGGGGAATGGCTCTGGAGTCAATGCAGGGGAATCGGGCCTCATCACGTGTTGATTTGGGGCACATGGAGCTGCTTTGCGTTGCTGGGGTGACCTCAGGGTCCGTCTAGACTGGTGACAGTGTTCTTGGGGACTGTCTCGAGATCCATTAAGCAAGTCGAAGCTCCTGACTTGTTTGAATGGGATCACGGAATAGCTCTGCATGCACGGCAGGGGAATGGTGCCTCATCTCGCCTCTAGGGGGAAGTCTCATGGTTTTTCTGGAGTTGTGGCGGGGACCTGCGGTATGTTCTCGACTTACGGCGGGGATGGCCCTTCAAAACACGAGTTTCTTCAGTGACGTCAGGACTCCTGTCTAGTAACGAGGGACACCTCAGGAATCTCTTCGAGGCTTGGCAGGGCAAAAGGGACGCTTCTAGAGGTGAGGCAGGGCACCAAGGACCCTTTCCAGTAGCCACAGGGATTTTGGGATTCCTATCAGTATTCAAGAGGAGTCAGGCATCCTCACCTTTTGAAGCAATGAACTCCGCGTGCCTCTCGAGGTGTCAACGGGATGTGAGGCATTCCGTCAAAATGAGGCAGGGACCTAGGGCTTTCTCTACGGTCTCCACAGGGGATTCAGACATCCCTTCATGTTGTGAGATGAGAGACGAGCCTGTATTCAAGCCACTGCAAGGAAATCCGGCCTCCTTTCAAGTTAGGGCTTCTCGCTGTATCTTCCACTTGAGGCAGCGATCTCAGGGTCCCTCACACATACCTATTGCTGAGAGAAGCCTCTTCCTAAGGTGCTTCTGGAAAGTTGGCATATGTCTTGAGCCTAAGCCAGGGAATCAGTTCTCATCTCGAGACGATTTGGGGTACACGGACCATTCCTCGAGTTGCTGTGCTGAAGATAGTGTTCCTCTAGACCTGGCACAGTGTTCCCGGGGCATCTCTGGAGTTGCCTGAAGGAAGTCGAGCCACCGGTCGTGTTGAATGCGGAACGGGGAATGGCTCTGGAGTCAATGCAGGGGAATCGGACCTCATCTCGAGTTGATTTGGGGCACATGGAGCTGCTTTGCGTTGCTGGGCTGACCTAAGGGTCTGTCTAGACTGGTGACAGTGTTTTTGGGTACTGTCTCGAGATCCATTAAGCATGTCGAAGCTCCTGACTTGTTTGAATGGGATCACGGAATAGCTCTGCATGCTCTGCAGGGGAATGGGGCCTCATCTCGCCTCTAGGGGGAAGTGTCATGGTTTTTCTCGAGTTGCGGCGCACACCTGGGGTATGTTCTCGACTTACAGCGGGGATTGCCCTTCAAAACACGAGTTTCTTCAGTGAAGTCAGGACTCCTGTCTAGTAATGAGGGACAGTTCAGGAATCTCTTCGAGGCTTGGCAGGGCAAAAGGGACGCTTCTCGAGGTGAGGCAGGGCACCCAAGGACCGTTTCCAGTAGCCACAGGGAATTTGGGGTTCCTCTCAGTATTCAAGAGGAGTCAGGAATCGTCACCTTTTGAAGCAATGAACTCCGCGTGCCTCTCGAGGTGTCAATCTTGATGTGAGGCATTCCGTCAAAATGAGGCAGGGACCTAGGGCTTTCTCTAAGGTCTCCACAGGGGATTCAGACATCCCTTCATGTTGTGAGATGAGAGACGAGCCTGTATTCAAGCCACTGCAAGGAAATCCGGCCTCCTTTCAAGTTAGGGCTTCTCGTTGTATATTCCACTTGAGGCAGTGAACTCGGGGTCCCACCCACATACATATTGCTAAGAGAAGCCTCTTCCTGAGGTGCTTCTGGAAAGTTGGCATACGTCTTGAGCCTAAGCCAGGAATCAGCTCTCATCTCGAGACGATTTGGGGTACACGGAGCATTCCTCGAATTGCTGTGCTGAAGTTGGTGTTCCTCTAGACTTGGGACAGTGTTCTCGGGGCATCTCTGGAGTTGCCTGAAGGAAGTCGAGCCACCGGTCTTGTTGAATGGGGAACGGGGAATGGCTCTGCAGATAATGCAGGGGAATCGGGCCTCATCTCGAGTTGATTTGGGGCACATGGAGCTGCTTTGCGTTGCTGGGGTGACCTCAGGGTCCGTCTAGACTGGTGACAGTGTTCTTGGGGACCGTCTCGAGATCCATTAAGCAAGTCGAAGCTCCTGACCTGTTTGAATGGGATCACGGAATAGCTCTGCTTGCACTGCAGGGGAATGGGGCCTCATCTCGCCTCTAGTGGGAAGTCTCATGGTTTTTCTCGACTTGCGGCGGGGACCTGGGGTATGTTCTCGACTTACGGCGGGGATGGCCCTTCAAAACACGAGTTTCTTCAGTGACGTCAGGACTCCTGTCTAGTAACGCGGGACACCTCAGGAATCTCTTCGAGGCTTGGCAGGGCAAAAGGGACGCTTCTCGAGGTGAGGCAGGGCACCCAAGGACCCTTTCCATTAGCCACAGTGATTTTGGGATTTCTATCAGTATTCAAGAAGAGTCAGGCATAGTCACCTTTAGAAGCAATGAACTCCAGGTGCCTCTCGAGGTGTCAACGGGATGTGATGCATTCCGTAAAAATGAGGCAGGGAGCTAGGGCTTTCTCTAAGGTCTCCACAGGGGATTCAGACATTCCTTCATGTTTTGAGATCAAAGACGAGCCTGTATTCAAGCCAGTGCAGGGAAATCCGGCCTCCTTTCAAGTTAGGGCTTGTCGCTGTATATTCCACTTGAGGCAGCGATCTCGGGGTCCCTACCACATACCTATTGCTGAGAGAAGCCTCCTCCTGAGGTGCTTCTGGAAAGTTGGCATACGTCTTGAGCCTAAGCCAGGGAATCAGCTCTCATCTCGAGATGATTTGGGGTACTCGGAGCATTCCTCGAGTTGCTCTGCTGAAGATAGTGTTCCTCTAGACCTGGGACAGTGTTCTCGGGGCATCTCTGGAGTTGCCTGAAGGAAGTCGAGCCACCGGTCTTGTTGAATGGGGAACGGGGAATGGCTCTGGAGTCAATGCAGGGGAATCGGGCCTCATCTCGAGTTGATTTGGGGCACATGGAGCTGCTTTGCGTTGCTGGGGTGACCTCAGCGTCCGTCTAGACTGCTGACAGTGTTCTTGGGGACTGTCTCGAGATCCATTAAGCATGTCGAATCTCCTGACTTGTTTGAATGGTATCACGGAATAGCTCTGCATGCACTGCAGGGGAATGGTGCCTCATCTCGCCTCCAGGGGGAAGTCTCATGGTTTTTCTCGAGTTGCGGCGGGGACCTGGGGTATGTTCTCGACTTACGGCGGGGATGGCCCTTCAAAACACGAGTTTCTTCAGTGACGTCAGGACTCCTGTCTAGTAACGAGGGACACCTCAGGAATCTCTTCGAGGCTTGGCAGGGCAAAAGGGACGCTTCTCGAGGTGAGGCATGGCACCCAAGGACCCTTTCCAGTAGCCACAGGGATTTTGGGATTCCTATCAGAATTCAAGAGGAGGCAGGCATCGTCACCTTTAGAAGCAATGAACTCCGCGTGCCTCTCGAGGTGTCAACGGGATGTGAGGCATTCCGTCAAAATGAGGCAGGGACCTAGGGCTTTCTCTAATGTCTCCACAGGGGATTCAGACATCCCTTCATGTTTTGAGATCAAAGACGAGCCTGTATTCAAGCCATTGCAAGGAAATCCGGCCTCCTTTCAAGTTAGGGCTTCTCGCTGTATATTCCACTTGAGGCAGCGATCTCGGGGTCCCTACCACATACCTATTGCTGAGAGAAGCCTCCTCCTGAGGTGCTTCTGTAAAGTTGGCATAGGTCTTGAGCCTAAGCCAGGGAATCAGCTCTCATCTCGAGACGATTTGAGGTACACGGAGCATTCCTCGAATTGCTGTGCTGAAGTTGGTGTTCCTCTAGACTTGGGACAGTGTTCTCGGGGCATCTCTGGAGTTGCCTGAAGGAAGTCGAGCCACCGGTCGTGTTGAATGAGGAACGGGGAATGGCTCTGGAGTCAATGCAGGGGAATCGGGCCTCATCTCGAGTTGATTTGGGGCACATGGAGCTGCTTTGCGTTGCTTGGGTGACCTCAGGTTCCGTCTAGACTAGTGACAGTGTTCTTGGGGACTGTCTCGAGATCCATTAAGCAAGTTGAAGCTCCTGACTTGTTTGAATGGGATCACGGAATAGCTCTGCATGCACTGAAGGGGAATGGGGCCTCACCTCGCCTCTAGGGGTAGGTCTCATGGTTTTTTTTGAGTTGTGGCCGGGACCTGGGTTACGTTCTCGACTTACGGCGGGGACGGCCCTTCAAAACACGAGTTTCTTCAGTGACGTCAGGACTCCTGTTTAGTAACGAGGGACACCTCAGGAATCTCTTCGAGGCTTGGCATGGCAAAAGGGACGCTTCTCGAGGTGAGGCAAGGCACCAAGGACTCTTTCCAGTAGCCACAGGGATTTTGGGATTCCTATCAGTATTCAAGAGGAGTCAGGCATCGTCACCTTTAGAAGCAATGAACTCCGCGTGCCTCTCGAGGTGTCAACGGGATGTGAGGCATTCCGTCAAAATGAGGCAGGGATCTAGGGCTTTCTCTAAGGTCTCCACAGGGGATACAGACATCCCTTCAGGTTGTGAGATGAGAGACGAGCCTGTATTCAAGCCACTGCAAGGAAATCCGGCCTCCTTTCCAGTTAGGGCTTCTTGCTGTATATTCCACTTAAGGCAGCGATCTCGGGGTCCCTCCCACATACCTATTGCTGAGAGAAGCCTCCTCTTGAGGTGCTTCTGGAAAGTTGGCATACGTCTTGAGCCTAAGCCAGGGAATCAGCTCTCATCTCGAGACGATTTGGGGTACACGGAGCATTCCTCGAGTTGCTGTGCTGAAGTTGGTGTTCCTCTAGACTTGGGAAAGTGTTCTCGGGGCATCTCTGGAGTTGCCTGAAGGAAGTCGAGGCACCGGTCGTGTTGAATGGGGAACGGGGAATGGCTCTGGAGTCAATGCAGGGGAATCGGGCCTCATCTCGAGTTGATTTGGGGCACATGGAACTGCTTTGCTTTGCTGGGGTGACCTCAGGGTCCGTCTGGAGTGGTGCCAGTGTTCTTGGGGACTGTCTCGAGATCCATTAAGCAAGTTGAAGCTCCTGATTTGTTTGAATGGGATCACGGAAAAGCTCTGCATGCACTGCAGGGGAATGGGGCCTCATCTCGTCTCTCGGGGGAAGTCTCATGGTTTCTTTTTTTAGTTGTGGCCGGGACCTGGGTTATGTTCTCGACCTACGGCGGGGATGGCCCTTCAAAACACGAGTTTCTTCAGTGACGTCAGGACTCCTGTCTAGTAATGAGGGACACCTCAGGAATCTCTTCGAGGCTTGGCATGGCACAAGGGACGCTTCTCGAGGTGAGCCAGGGCACCCAAGGGCCCTTGCCAGTAGCCACCGTGATTTTGGGATCCCTATCAGTATTCAAGAGGAGTCAGGCATCGTCACCTTTTGAAACAATGAACTCCGCGTATCTCTCGAGGTTTCAACGGGATGTGAGGCATTACGTCAAAATGAGGCAGGGACCTAGGGCTTTCTCTAAGGTCTCCACAGGGGATTCAGACATCCCTTCATGTTTTGAGATGAAAGACGAGCCTGTATTCAAGCCACTGCAAGGAAATCCGGCCTCCTTTCAAGTTAGGGCTTCTCGCTATATTCCCCTTGAGGCAGCAAACTCGGGGTCCCTCCCACATACCTATTGCTGAGAGAAGCCTCCTCCTGGGGTGCTTCTGGAATGTTGGCATACGGCTTGAGCCTAAGCCAGGGAATCAACTGTCATCTTGAGACGTGTTGGGGTACACGGAGGATTCCATGAGTTGCTGTGCTGAAGTCGGTGTTCCTCTAGATTTGGGACAGTGTTCCCGGGGCATCTCTGGAGTTGCCTGAAGGAAGTCGAGCCACCGATTGTGTTGAATGGGGAACGGGGAATGGCTCTGGAGTCAATGCAGTTGAATCAGGCCTCATGTCAAGTTGATTTGGGGCACAAGGAGCTGCTTTGCGTTGCTGGGGTGACCTCAGGGTCCGTCTAGACTGGTGACAGTGTTCTTGGGGACTGTCTCGAGATCCATTAAGCAAGTCGAAGCTCCTGACTTGTTTGAATGGGATCACGGAATAGCTCTGCATGCACGGCAGGGGAATGGTGCCTCATCTCGCCTCTAGCGGGAAGTCTCATGGTTTTTATCGAGTTGCGGCGGGGACCTGGGGTATGTTCACGACTTACGGCGGGGATGGCCCTTCAAAACACGAGTTTCTTCAGTGACATCAGGACTCCTGTCTAGTAACGAGGGACACCTCAGGAATCCCTTCGAGGCTTGGCAGGGCAAAAGGGACGCTTCTCGAGGTGAGGCAGGGCACCCAAGGACCCTTTCCAGTAGCCACTGCGATTTTGGGATTCCTATCAGTATTCAAGAGGAGTCAGGCATCGTCACCTTTTGAAGCAATGAACTCCGCGTGCCTCTCGAGGTGTCAACGGGATGTGAGGCATTCCGTCAAAATGAGGCAGGGACCTAGGGCTTTCTCTAAGGTCTCCACAGGGGATTCAGACATCCCTTCATGTTGTGAGATGAGAGACGAGCCTGTATTCAAGCCACTGCAAGGAAATCCGGCCTCCTTTCAAGTTAGGGCTTCTCGTTGTATATTCCACTTGAGGCAGCGATCTTGGGGTCCCTCCCACATACCTATTGCTGAGAGAAGCCTCCTCCTGAGGGGCTTCTGGAAAGTTGGCATACGTCTTGAGCCTAAGCCAGGGAATCAGCTCTCATCTCGAGACGATTTGAGGTACACGGAGCATTCCTCGAATTGCTGTGCTGAAGTTGGTATTCCTCTATACTTGGGACAGTGTTCTCGGGGCATCTCTGGAGTTGCCTGAAGGAAGTCGAGCCACCGGTCGTGTTGAATGAGGAACGGGGAAAGGCTCTGGGGTCAATGCAGGGGAATGGGGCCTCATCTCGAGTTGATTTGGGGCACATGGAGCTGCTTTGCGTTGCTGGGGTGACCTGAGGGTCCGTCTAGACTGGTGACAGTGTTCTTGGAGACTGTCTCGAGATCCATTAAGCAAGTTGAAGCTCCTGACTTGTTTGAATGGGATCACGGAATAGGTCTGCATGCACTGCAGGGGAATGGGGCCTCATCTCGCCTCTAGTGGGAAGTCTCATGGTTTTTCCCGAGTTGCGGAGGGGACCTGGGATATGTTCTCGACTTACGGCGGGGATGGCCCTTCAAAACACGAGTTTCTTCAGTGACGTCAGGACTCCTGTCTAGTAACGAGGGACACCTCAGGAATCTCTTCGAGGCTTGGCAGGGCAAAAGGGACGCTTCTCGAGGTGAGGCAGGGCACCCAACGACCCTTTAAAGTAGCCACAGGGATCTTGGGATTCCTATCAGTATTCAAGAGGAGTCAGGTATCGTCACCTTTAGAAGCAATGAACTCCGCGTGCCTCTCGAGGTGTCAACGGGATGTGAGGCATTCCATCAAAATGAGGCAGGGAGCTAGGGCTTTCTCTAAGGTCTCCACAGGGGATTCAGACATCCCTTCATGTTTTGAGATGAAAGACGAGCCTGTATTCAAGCCACTGCAAGGAAATCCGGCCTCCTTTCAAGTTAGGGCTTCTCGCTGTATATTCCACTTGAGGCAGCGATCTCGGGGTCCCTACCACATACCTATTGCTGAGAGAAGCCTCCTCCTGAGGTACTTCTGGAAAGTTGGCATACGTCTTGAGCCTAAGCCAGGTAATCAGCTCTCATCTCGAGATGATTTGGGGCACACGGAGCATTCTTTGAGTTGCTCTGCTGAAGATAGTGTTCCTCTAGACCTGGGACAGTGTTCTCGGGGCAACTCTTGAGTTGCCTGAAGGAAGTCGAGCCACCGGTCGTGTTGAATGGGGAACGGGGAATGGCTCTGGAGTCAATGCAGGGGAATCGGACCTCATCTCGAGTTGATTTAGGGCACATGGAGCTGCTTTGCGTTGCTGGGCTGACCTGAGGGTACGTCTAGACTGGTGACAGTGTTCTTGCGGACTGTCTCGAGATCCATTAAGCAAGTCGAAGCTCCTGACTTGTTTGAATGGGATCACGGAAGAGCTCTGCATGCACGGCAGGGGAATGGTGCTTCATCTCGCCTCTAGGGGGAAGTCTCATGGTTTTTTTCGAGTTGCGGCCGGGACCTGGGGTATGTTCACGACTTACGGCGGGGATGGCCCTTCAAAACACGAGTTTCTTCAGTGACATCAGGACTCCTGTCTAGTAACGAGGGACACCTCAGGAATCTCTTCGAGGCTTGGCAGGGCAAAAGGGACGCTTCTCGATGTGAGGCAGGGCACCCAAGGACCCTTTCCAGTAGCCACAGGGATTTTGGGATTCCTATCAGTATTCAAGAGGAGTCAGGCATCGTCACCTTTTGAAGCAATGAACTCCGCGTGCCTCTCGAGGTGTCAACGGGATGTGAGGCATTCCGTCAAAATGAGGCAGGGACCTAGGGCTTTCTCTAAGGTCTCCACAGGGGATTCAGACATCCCTTCATGTTGTGAGATCAAAGACGAGCCTGTATTCAAGCCACTGCAAGGAAATCCGGCCTCCTTTCAAGTTAGGGCTTTTCGCTGTGTATTCCACTTGAGGCAGCGATCTCGGGGTCCCTCCCACATACCTATTGCTAAGAGAAGCCTCTTCCTGAGGGGCTTCTGGAAAGTTGGCATACATCTTGAGCCTAAGCCAGGGAATCAGCTCTCATCTCTAGACGATTTGGGGTACACAGAGCATTCCTCCAGTTGCTGCGCTGAAGTTGGTGTTCCTCTAGACTTGGGACAGTGTTCTCGGGGCATCTCTGGAGTTGCCTGAAGGAAGTCGAGCCACCGGTCGTGTTGAATGTGGAACGGGGAATGGCTCTGGAGTCAATGCAGGGGAATCGGGCCTCATCTCGAGTTGATTTGGGGCACATGGAGCTGCTTTGCGTTGCTGGGGTGACCTCAGGGTCCGTCTAGACTGGTGACAGTGTTCTTGGGGACTGTCTCGAGATCCATTAAGCAAGTCGAAGCTCCTGACTTGTTTGAATGGGATCACGGAATAGCTCTGCATGCACTGCAGGGGAATGGTGCCTCATCTCGCCTCTAGGGGGAAGTCTCATGGTTTTTCTCGAGTTGCGGCGGGGACCTGGGGTACGATCTCGACTTACGGCGGAGATGGCCCTTCAAAACACGAGTTTCTTCAGTGACGTCAGGACTCCTGTCTAGTAACGAGGGACACCTCAGGAATCTCTTCGAGGCTTGGCAGGCAAAAGGGACGCTTCTCGAGGTGAGGCATGGCACCCAAGGACCCTTTCCAGTAGCCACAGGGATTTTGGGATTCCTATCAGTATTCAAGAGGAGTCAGGCATCGTTACCTTTAAAAGCAATGAACTCCGCGTGCCTCTCGAGGTGTCAACGTGATGTGAGGCATTCCGTCAAAATGAGGCAGCGACCTAGGGCTTTCTCTAAGGTCTCCACAGGGGATTCAGACATTCCTTCATGTTTTGAGATCAAAGATGAGCCTGTATTCAAGCCACTGCAAGGAAATCCGGCCTCCTTTCAAGTTAGGGCTTCTCGCTGTATATTCCACTTGAGGCAGCAATCTTGGGGTCCCTACCACATACCTATTGCTGAGAAAAGCCTCCTCATGAGGTGCTTCTGGAAAGTTGGCATACGTCTTGAGCCTAAGCCAGGGAATCAGCTCTCATCTCGAGACGATTTGGGGTACACGGAGCATTCCTCGAGTTGCTGTGCTGAAGTTGGTGTTCCTCTAGACTTGGGACAGTGTTCTCGGGGCATCTCTGGAGTTGCCTGAAGGAAGTCGAGCCACCGGTTGTGTTGAATGGGGAACGGGGAATGGCCCTGGAGTCAATGCAGGGGAATCGGGCCTCATCTCGAGTTGATTTGGGGCACATGGAGCTGCTTTGCATTGCTGCGGTGACATCAGGGTCCGTCTAGACTGGTGACAGTGTTCTTGGGGACTGTCTCGAGATCCATTAAGCAAATCGAAGCTCCTGACTTGTTTGAATGGGATCACGGAGTAGCTCTGCATGCACTGCAGGGGAATGGGGCCTCATCTCGCCTCTAGGGGGAAGTCTCATGGTTTTTCTGTAGTTGCGGCGGGGACCTGGGGTATGTTCTCGACTTATGGCGGGGATGGCCCTTCAAAACACGCGTTTCTTCAGTGACGTCAGGACTCCTGTCTAGTAACGAGGGTCACCTCAGGAATCTCTTCGAGGCTTGGCAGGGCAAATGGGAGGCTTCTCGAGGTGAGGTAGGGCGCCCAAGGACCCTTTCCAGTAGCCACAGGGATTTTGGGATTCCTCTCAATATTCAAGAGGTGTCAGGCATCGTCAGCTTTTGAAGCAATGAACTCCGCGTGCGTCCAGAGGTGTCAACGGGATATGAGTTAATCCGTCAAAATGAGGCAGGGACCTAGGGCTTTCTCTAAGGTCTCCACAGGCGATTCAGACTTCCCTTCATGTTTTGAGATCAAAGACGAGCCTGTATTCAAGCCACTGCAAGGAAATCAGGCCTCCTTTCAAGTTAGGGCTTCTCGCTGTATATTCCACTTGAGGCAGCGATCTCGGGGTCCCTCCCACATACCTATTGATGAGAGAAGCCTCCTCTTGAGGTGCTTCTGGAAAGTTGGCATACGTCTTGAGCCTAAGCCAGGGAATCAGCTCTCATCTCGAGACGATTTGGGGTACACGGAGCATTCCTCGAGTTGCTGTGCTGAAGTTGGTGTTCCTCTAGACTTGGGACAGTGTTCTCGGGGCATCTCTGGAGTTGCCTGAAGGAAGTCGAGCCACCGGTCGTGTTGAATGGGGAACGGGGAATGGCTCTTGGGTCAATGCAGGGGAATCGGGCCTCATCTCGAGTTGATTTGGGGCACATGGAGCTGCTTTGCTTTGCGGGGGTGACCTCAGGGTCCGTCTGGAGTGGTGCCAGTGTTCTTGGGGACTGTCTCGAGATCCATTAAGCAAGTTGAAGCTCCTGACTTGTTTGAATGGGATCACGGAATAGCTCTGCATGCACTGTAAGGGAATGGGGCCTCATCTCGCCTCTAGGGGGAAGTCTCATGGTTTTTTTTTTTAGTTGTGGCCGGGACCTGGGTTATGTTCTCGACTTACGGCGGGGATGGCCCTTCAAAACACGAGTTTCTTCAGTGACGTCAGGACTCCTGTCTAGTAATGAGGGACACCTCAGGAATCTCTTCGAGGCTTGGCATGGCAAAGGGACGCTTCTCGAGGTGAGGCAGGGCACCCAAGGACCCTTTCCAGTAGCCACAGTGATTTTGGGATCCCTATCAGTATTCAAGAGGAGTCAGGCATCGTCACCTTTTTAAGCAATGAACTCCGCGAACCTCTCAAGGTGTCAACGGGATGTGAGGCATTCCGTCAAAATGAGGCAGGGACCTAGGGCTTTCTCTAAGGTCTCCACAGGGGATTCAGACATCCCTTCATGTTTTGAGATGAAAGACGAGCCTGTATTCAAGCCACTGCAAGGAAATCCGGCCTCCTTTCAAGTTAGAGCTTCTCGCTATATTCCCCTTGAGGCAGCAAACTCGGGGTCCCTCCCACATACCTATTGCTGACAGAAGCCTCCTCCTGGGGTGCTTCTGGAAAGTTGGCATACGGCTTGAGGCTAAGCCAGGGAATTAGCTCTCATCTCGAGACGTGTTGGGGTACACGGAGCATTCCTCGAGTTGCTGTGCTGAAGTTGGTGTTCCTCTAGACTTGGGACAGAGTTCCCGGGGCATCTCTGGAGTTGCCTGAAGGAAGTCCAGCCACCGATCGTGTTGAATGGGGAACGGGGAATGGCTCTGGAGTCAATGCAGGGGAATCAGGCCTCATCTCGAGTTGATTTGGGGCACATGGAGCTGCTTTGCGTTGCTGGGGTGACCTCAGGGTCCGTCTCGACTGGTGACAGTGTTCTTGGGGACTGTCTCGAGATCCATTAAGCAAGTCGAAGCTCCTGACTTGTTTGAATGGGATCACGGAATAGCTCGGCATGCACGGCAGGGGAATGGTGCCTCATCTCGCCTCTAGCGGGAAGTCTCATGGTTTTTCTGGAGTTGCGGCGGGGACCTGGGGTATGTTCACGACCTCCGGCGGGGATGGCCCTTCAAAACACGAGTTTCTTCAGTGACATCGGGACTCCTGTCTAGTAACGAGGGACACCTCAGGAATCTCTTCGAGGCTTGGCAGGGCAAAAGGGACGCTTCTCGAGGTGAGGCAGGGCACCCAAGGACCCTTTCCAGTAGCCACAGGGATTTTGGGATTCCTATCAGTATTCAAGAGGAGTCAGGCATCGTCACCTTTTGAGGCAATGAACTCCGCGTGCCTCTCGAGGTGTCAACGGGATGTGAGGCATTCCGTCAAAATGAGGCAGGGACCTAGGGCTTTCTCTAAGGTCTCCACAGGGGATTCAGACATCCCTTCATGTTGTGAGATGAGACATGAGCCTGTATTCAAGCCACTGCAAGGAAATCCTGCCTCCTTTCAAGTTAGGGCTTCTCGTTGTATATTCCACTTGAGGCAGCGATCTCGGGGTCCCACGAATATACCTATTGCTAAGAGAAGCCTCTTCCTGAGGGGCTTCTGGAAAGTTAGCGTACATCTTGAGCCTAAGCCAGGGAATAAGCTCTCATCTCGAGACGATTTGGGGTACACGGAGCATTCCTCGAGTTGCTGTGCTGAAGTTGGTGTTCCTCTAGACTTGGGACAGTGTTCCCGGGGCATCTCTGGAGTTGCCTGAAGGAAGTCGAGCCACCGGTAGTGTTGAATGGGAAACGGGGAATGGCTCTGGAGTCAATGCAGGGGAATCGGGCCTCATCTCGAGTTGATTTGGGGCACATGGAGCTGCTTTGCATTGCTGCGGTGACATCAGGGTCCGTCTAGACTGGTGACAGTGTTCTTGGGGACTGTCTCGAGATCCATTAAGCAAGTCGAAGCTCCTGACTTGTTTGAATGGGATCACGGAGTAGCTCTGCATGCACTGCAGGGGAATGGGGCCTCATCTCGCCTCTAGGGGGATGTCTCATGGTTTTTCTGTAGTTGCGGCGGGGACCTGGGGTATGTTCTCGACTTATGGCGGGGATGGCCCTTCAAAACACGCGTTTCTTCAGTGACGTCAGGACTCCTGTCTAGTAACGAGGGACACCTCAGGAATCTCTTCGAGGCTTGGCAGGGCAAATGGGAGGCTTCTCGAGTTGAGGTAGGGCGCCCAAGGACCCTTTCCAGTAGCCACAGGGATTTTGGGATTCCTCTCAATATTCAAGAGGTGTCAGGCATCGTCAGCTTTTGAAGCAATGAACTCCGCGTGCGTCCCGAGGTGTCAACGGGATGTGAGGTAATCCGTCAAAATGAGGCAGGGACCTAGGGCTTTCTCTAAGGTCTCCACAGGCGATTCAGACTTCCCTTCATGTTTTGAGATCAAAGACGAGCCTGTATTCAAGCCACTGCAAGGAAATCCGGCCTCCTTTCAAGTTAGGGCTTCTCGTTGTATATTCCACTTGAGGCAGCGATCTCGGGGTCCCTCCCACATACCTATTGATGAGAGAAGCCTCCTCTTGAGGTGCTTCTGGAAAGTTGGCATACGTCTTGAGCCTAAGCCAGGGAATCAGCTCTCATCTCGAGACGATTTGGGGTACACGGAGCATTCCTCGAGTTGCTGTGCTGAAGTTGGTGTTCCTCTAGACTTGGGACAGTGTTCTCGGGGCATCTCTGGAGTTGCCTGAAGGAAGTCGAGCCACCGGTCGTGTTGAATGGGGAATGGGGAATGGCTCTTGGGTCAATGCAGGGGAATCGGGCCTCATCTCGAGTTGATTTGGGGCTCATGGAGCTGCTTTGCTTTGCGGGGGTGACCTCAGGGTCCGTCTGCAGTGGTGCCAGTGTTCTTGGGGACTGTCTCGAGATCCATTAAGCAAGTTGAAGCTCCTGACTTGTTTCAATGGGATCACGAAATAGCTCTGCATGCACTGTAGGGGAATGGGGCCTCATCTCGCCTCTAGGGGGAAGTCTCATGGTTTCTTTTTTTAGTTGTGGCCGGGACCTGGGTTATGTTCTCGACTTACGGCGGGGATGGCCCTTCAAAACACGAGTTTCTTCAGTGACGTCAGGACTTGTGTCTAGTAATGAGGGACACCTCAGGAATCTCTTCGAGGCTTGGCATGGCAAAGGGACGCTTCTCGAGGTGAGGCAGGGCACCCAAGGACCCTTTCCAGTAGCCACAGTGATTTTGGGATCCCTATCAGTATTCAAGAGGAGTCAGGCATCGTCACCTTTTTAAGCAATGAACTCCGCGAACCTCTCAAGGTGTCAACGGGATGTGAGGCATTCCGTCAAAATGAGGCAGGGACCTAGGGCTTTCTCTAAGGTCTCCACAGGGGATTCAGACATCCCTTCATGTTTTGAGATGAAAGACGAGCCTGTATTCAAGCCACTGCAAGGAAATCCGGCCTCCTTTCAAGTTAGAGCTTCTCGCTATATTCCCCTTGAGGCAGCAAACTCGGGGTCCCTCCCACATACCTATTGCTGAGAGAAGCCTCCTCCTGGGGTGCTTCTGGAAAGTTGGCATACGGCTTGAGGCTAAGCCAGGGAATTAGCTCTCATCTCGAGACGTGTTGGGGTACACGGAGCATTCCTCGAGTTGCTGTGCTGAAGTTGGTGTTCCTCTAGACTTGGGACAGAGTTCCCGGGGCATCTCTGGAGTTGCCTGAAGGAAGTCCAGCCACCGATCGTGTTGAATGGTTAACGGGGAATGGCTCTGGAGTCAATGCAGGGGAATCAGGCCTCATCTCGAGTTGATTTGGGGCACATGGAGCTGCTTTGCGTTGCTGGGGTGACCTCAGGGTCCGTCTCGACTGGTGACAGTGTTCTTGGGGACTGTCTCGAGATCCATTAAGCAAGTCGAAGCTCCTGACTTGTTTGAATGGGATCACAGAATAGCTCGGCATGCACGGCAGGGGAATGGTGCCTCATCTCGCCTCTAGCGGGAAGTCTCATGGTTTTTCTGGAGTTGCGGCGGGGACCTGGGGTATGTTCACGACTTACGGCGGGGATGGCCCTTCAAAACACGAGTTTCTTCAGTGACATCGGGACTCCTGTCTAGTAACGAGGGACACCTCAGGAATCTCTTCGAGGCTTGGCAGGGCAAAAGGGACGCTTCTCGAGGTGAGGCAGGGCACCCAAGGACCCATTCCAGTAGCCACAGGGATTTTGGGATTCCTATCAGTATTCAAGAGGAGTCAGGCATCGTCACCTTTTGAGGCAATGAACTCCGCGTGCCTCTCGAGGTGTCAACGGGATGTGAGGCATTCCGTCAAAATGAGGCAGGGACCTAGGGCTTTCTCTAAGGTCTCCACAGGGGATTCAGACATCCCTTCATGTTGTGAGATGAGACACGAGCCTGTATTCAAGCCACTGCAAGGAAATCCGGCCTCCTTTCAAGTTAGGGCTTCTCGTTGTATATTCCACTTGAGGCAGCGATCTCGGGGTCCCACGAATATACCTATTGCTAAGAGAAGCCTCTTCCTGAGGGGCTTCTGGAAAGTTAGCGTACATCTTGAGCCTAAGCCAGGGAATAAGCTCTCATCTCGAGACGATTTGGGGTACACGGAGCATTCCTCGAGTTGCTGTGCTGAAGTTGGTGTTCCTCTAGACTTGGGACAGTGTTCCCGGGGCATCTCTGGAGTTGCCTGAAGGAAGTCGAGCCACCGGTAGTGTTGAATGGGAAACGGGGAATGGCTCTGGAGTCAATGCAGGGGAATCGGGCCTCATCTCGAGTTGATTTGGGGCACATGGAGCTGCTTTGCATTGCTGCGGTGACATCAGGGTCCGTCTAGACTGGTGACAGTGTTCTTGGGGACTGTCTCGAGATCCATTAAGCAAGTCGAAGCTCCTGACTTGTTTGAATGGGATCACGGAGTAGCTCTGCATGCACTGCAGGGGAATGGGGCCTCATCTCGCCTCTAGGGGGAAGTCTCATGGTTTTTGTCGAGTTGCGGCGGGGACCTGGGGTATGTTCTCGACTTACGGCGGGGATGGCCCTTCAAAACACGAGTTTCTTCAGTGACGTCAGGACTCCTGTCTAGTAACGAGGGACACCTCAGGAATCTCTTCGAGGCTTGGCAGGGCAAAAGGGAGGCTTCTCGAGGTGAGGTAGGGCGCCCAAGAACCCTTTCCAGTAGCCACAGGGATTTTGGGATTCCTCTCAATATTCAAGAGGTGTCAGGCATCGTCAGCTTATGAAGCAATAAACTCCGCGTGCGTCTCGAGGTGTCAACGGGATGTGAGGTAATCCGTCAAAATGAGGCAGGGACCTAGGGCTTTCTCTAAGGTCTCCACAGGCGATTCAGACTTCCCTTCATGTTTTGAGATCAAAGACGAGCCTGTATTCAAGCCACTGCAAGAAATCCGGCCTCCTTTCAAGTTAGGGCTTCTCGCTGTATATTCCCCTTGAGGCAGCAAACTAGGGGTCCCTCCCACATACCTATTGCTGAGAGAAGCCTCCTCCTGGGGTGTTTCTGGAAAGTTGGCATACGGCTTGAGCCTAAGCCAGGGAATCAGCTCTCCTCTCTAGACCTGTTGGGGTACATGATGCATTCCTCGAGTTGGTGTGCTGAAGTTGGTGTTCCTCTAGACTTGGGACAGTGTTCCCGGGGCATTTCTGGAGTTGCCTGAAGGAAGTCAAGCCACCGGTCGTGTTGAATGGGGAATGGCGAATGGCTCTGGAGTCAATACAGGAAAATCGGGCCTCATCTCGAGTTGATTTGGGGCACATGGAGCTGCTTTGCGTTGCTGGGGTGACCTCAGGGTCCGTCTAGACTGGTGACAGTGTTCTTGGGGACTGTCTCGAGATCCATTAAGCAAGTCGAAGCTCCTGACTTGTTTGAATGGGATCACGGAATAGCTCTGCATGCACTGCAGGGGAATGGGGCCTCATCTCTCCTCTAGGGGGAAGTCTCATGGTTTTTCTCGAGTTGCGGCGAGGACCTGGGGTATGTTCTCGACTTACGGCGGGGATGGCCCTTCAAAACACGAGTTTCTTCAGTGACGTCAGGACTCCTGTCTAGTAACGAGGGACACCTCAGGAATCTCTTCGAGGCTTGGCAGGGCAAAAGGGACGCTTCTTGGGGTGAGGCACGGCACCCAAAGACCCTTTCCAGTAGCCAGAGTGATTTTGGGATTCCTATCAGTATTCAAGAGGAGTCAGGCATCGTCACCATTTGAAGCAATGAACTCCGCGTGCCTCTCGAGTTGTCAACGGGATGTGAGGCATTCCGTCAAAATGAGGCAGGGACCTAGGGCTTTCTCTAAGGTCTCCACAGGGGATTCAGACATCCCTTCATGTTTTGAGATCAAAGACGAGCCAGTATTCAAGCCACTGCAAGGAAATCCGGCCTCCTTTCAAGTTAGGGCTTCTCGCTGTATATTCCCCTTGAGGCAGCGAACTCGGGGTACCTCCCACATACCTATTGTTGAGAGAAGCCTCTTCCTAAGGTGCTTTTGGAAAGTTGGCATACGTCTTGAGCCTAAGCCAGGGAATCAGCTCTCATCTCGAGACGATTTGGGGTACACGGAGCATTCCTCGAGTTGCTGTGCTGAAGATAGTGTTCCTCTAGACCTGGGACAGTGTTCTCGGGGCATCTCTGGAGTTGCCTGAAGGAAGTCGACCCACCGGTCGTGTTGAAGGGGAACGGGGAATGGCTCTGGAGTCAATGTAGGGGAATCGGATCTCATCTCGATTTGATTTGGGGCACATGGAGCTGCTTTGCGTTGCTGGGGTGACCTCAGGGTCCGTCTAGACTGGTGACAGTGTTCTTGGGGACTGTCTCGACACCCATTAAGCAAGTCGAAGATCCTGACTTGTTTGAATGGGATCACGGAATAGCTCTGCATGCACTGCTGGGGAATGGGGCCTCATCTCGCCTCTAGGGGGAAGTCTCATGGTTATTCTCGAGTTGTGGCGGGGACCTGGGGTATGTTCACGACTTACGGCGGGGATTGCCCTTCAAAACACGAGTTTCATCAGTGACGTCAGGACTCCTGTCTAGTAATGAGGGACACCTCAGGAATCTCTTCGAGGCTTGGCAGGGCAAAAGGGATGTTTCTCGAGGTGAGGTAGGGCACCCAAGGACCCTTTCCAGTAGCCACAGGGATTTTGGGATTCCTATCAGTATTCAAGAGGATTCAGGCATCGTCACCTTTTGAAGCATTGAACTCCGCGTGCCTCTCGAGGTGTCAGCGGAATGTGAGGCATTCCGTTAAAATGAGGCAGGGACCTAGGGCTTTCTCTAAGGTCTCCGCAGGGGATTCAGACATCCCTTCATGTTTTGAGATGAAAAGGAGCCTGTATTCAAGCCACTGCAAGGAAATCCGGCCTCCTTTCAAGTTAGGGCTTCTCGCTGTATATTCCCATTGAGGCAGCAAACTCGGGGTCCCTCCCAGATACCTATTGCTGAGAGAAGCCTCCTCCTGAGGTGCTTCTGGAAAGTTGGCATACGTCTTGAGCCTAAGCCAGGGAATCAGCTCTCATCTCGAAATGATTTGGGGTACACGGAGCATTCCTCGAGTTGCTGTGCTGAAGTTGGTGTTCCTCTAGACTTGGGACTGTGATCTCGGGGCATCTCTAGAGTTGCCTGAAGGAAGTCGAGCCACCGGTCGTGTTGAATGGGGGACGGGGAATGGCTCTGGTGTCAATGCAGGGGAATCGGGCCTCATGTCGAGTTGATTTGGGGCACATGGAGCTGCTTTGCGTTGCTGGGGTGAACTCAGGGTCCGTCTAGACTGGTGACAGTGTCTTGGGGACTGTCTCGAGATCCATTAAGCAAGTCGAAGCTCCTGACTTGTTTGAATGGGATCACGGAATAGCTCTGCATGCACTGCAGGTTAATGGGGCCTCATCTCGCCTCTAGGGGGAAGTCTCATGGTTTTTCTCGAGTTGCGGCAGGGACCTGGGGTATGTTCTAGATTTAGGGCGGGGATGGCCCTTCAAAACACGAGTTTCTTCAGTGACGTCAGGACTCCTGTCTAGTAACGAGGGACACCTCAGGAATCTCTTCGAGGCTTGGCAGCGCAAAAGGGACGCTTCTCGAGGTGAGGCAGGGCACCCAAGGACCCTTTCCAGTATCCACAGTGATTTTGGGATTCCTATCAGTATTCAAGAGGAGTCAGGCATCATCACCTTTTGAAGCAATGAACTCCGCGTGCCTCTCGAGGTGTCAGCGGGATGTGAGGCATTCCGTCAAAATGAGGCAGGGACCTAGGACTTTCTCTAAGGTCTCCACAGGGGATTCAGACATCCCTTCATGTTGTGCGATGAGAGACGAGCCTGTATTCAAGCCACTGCAAGGAAATCCGGCCTCCTTTCAAGTTAGTGCTTCTCGTTGTATATTCCACTTGAGGCAGCGATCTCGGGGTCGCTCACACATACCTATTGCTGAGAGAAGCCTCCTCCTCAGGTGCTTCTGGAAAGTTGGCATACGTCTTGAGCCTAAGCCAGGGAATCAGCTCTCATCTCGAGAACATTTGGGGTATACGGAGCATTCCTCGAGTTGCTGTGCTGAAGTTGGTGTTCCTCTAGACTTGGGACAGTGTTCTCGGGGCATCTCTGGAGTTGCCTGAAGGAAGGCCCCACACCGGTCGTGTTGAATGGGGAACGGTGAATGGCTCTGGGGTCAATGCAGGGGAATCGGGCCTCATCTCGAGTTGAAGTGGGGCACATGGAGCTGCTTTGCATTGCTGGGGTGAACTCAGGGTCCGTCTAGACTGGTGACAGTGTTCTTGGGGACTGTCACGAGATCCATTAAGCAAGTCGATGGTCCTGACTTGTTTGAATGGGATCACGGAATAGCTCTGCATGCACTGCAGGGGAATGGGGCCTCATCTCGCCTCTAGGGGGAAGTCTCATGGTTTTTCTCGAGTTGCGGCGAGGACCTGGGGTATGTTCTCGACTTACGGTGTGGATGGTCCTTCAAAACATAGTTTCTTCGGTGACGTCAGGACTCCTGTCAAGTAACGAGGGACACCTCAGGAATCTCTTCGACGCTTGGCAGGGCAAAAGGGACGCTTCTCGAGGTGAGGCAGGGCAAACAAAGACCCTTTCCAGTAGCCACAGGGATTTTGGGATTCCTCTCAGTATTGAAGAGGAGTCAGGCATCGTCACCTTTTGAAGCAATGAACTCCGCGTGCCTCTCGAGGTGTCAACGGGATGTGAGGCATTCCGTCAAAATGAGGCAGGGACCTAGGGCTTTCTCTAAGGTCTCCACAGGGGATTCAGACATCCCTTCATGTTTTGAGATCAAAGATGAGCCTGTTTTCAAGCCACTGCAAGGAAATCCGGCCTCCTTTCAAGTTAGGGCTTCTCGCTGTATATTCCACTTGAGGCAGCGATCTCGGGGTCCCTCCCACATACCTAATGCTGAGAGAAGCCTCTTCCTAAGGTGCTTCTGGAACGTTGGCATACGTCTTGAGCTTAAGCCAGGGAATCAGCTCTCATCTCGATCCGATATGTGGTAACAGAGTATTCCTCGAGTTGCTGTGCTGAAGATAGTGTTCCTCTAGACATGGGACAGTGTTCTCGGGGCATCTCTGGAGTTGCCTGAAGGAAGTGACCCCACCAGTCGTGTTGAATGGGGAACGGGGAATGGCTCTGGAGTCAATGCAGGGGAATCGGACCTCATCTCGATTTGATTTGGGGCACATGGAGCTGCTTTGCGTTGCTGGGGTGACCTCAGGGTCCGTCTAGACAGGTGACAGTGTTCTTGGGGACTGTCTCGAGACCCATTAAGCAAGTCGAAGCTCCTGACTTGTTTGAATGGGATCACGGCATAGCTCTGCATGCACTGCAGGGGAATAGGGCCTCATCTCGCCTCTAGGGGGAATTCTCATGGTTTTTCTCGAGTTGCGGCGGGGATGGACCTTCAAAACACGAGTTTCTTCAGTGACGTCAGGACTCCTGGCTAGTAACGAGGGACATATAAGGTGTCCCTTCGAGGCTTGGCAGGGCAAAAGGGACGCTTCTGGAAGTGAGGCAGGGCACCCAAGGACCCTTTCCAATAGCCACAGGGATTTTGGTATTCCTATCAGTATTCAAGAGGAGTCAGGCATCGTCACCTTTTGAAGCAATGAACTCCGCGTGCCTCTCGAGGTGTCAATGGGATGTGAGGCATTCCGTGAAAATGAGGCAGGGACCTAGGGCTTTCTCTAAGGTCTCCAAAGGGGATTCAGACTTCCCTTCATGTTTTGAGATGAGAGACGAGCCTGTATTCAAGCCACTCAAGGAAATCCGGCCTCCTTTCAAGTTAGGGCTTCTCGCTGTATATTCCACTTGAGGCAGCGATCTCGGGGCCCCTCCCACATACATGTTGCTGAGAGATGCCTCCTCTTGAGGTGCTTCTGGAAAGTTGGCATACGTCTTGAGCCTCAGCCAGGGAATCAGCTCTCATCTCGAGACGATTTGGGGTACACGGAGCATTCCTCGAGTTGCTGTGCTGAAGTTGGTGTTCCTCTAGACTTGGGACAGTGTTCGCGGGGCATCTCTGGAGTTGCCTGAAGGAAGTCGAGCCACCGGTCGTGTTGAATGGGGAACGGGGAATGGCTCTGGAGTCAATGCAGGGGAATCGGGCCTCATCTCGATTTGATTTGGGCACATGGAGCTGCTTTGCATTGCTGCGGTGACATCAGGGTCCGTCTAGACTGGTGACAGTGTTCTTGGGGACTGTCTCGAGATCCATTAGCAAGTCGAAGCTCCTGACTTGTTTGAATGGTATCACGGAATAGCTCTGCATGCACTGCAGGGGAATGGGGCCTCATCTCGCCTCTAGGGGGAAGTCTCATGGTTTTTCTCGAGTTGAGGCGGGGACCTGGGGTATGTTCTCGACTTACGGCGGTGATGGCCCTTCAAAACACGAGTTTCTTCAGTGACATCAGGACTCCTGTCTAGTAACGAGGGACAACTCAAGAATCTCTTCGAGGCTTGGCAGGGTAAAAGGGACGCTTCTCGAGGTGAGGCAGGGCACCCAAGGACCCTTTCCAGTAGCCACAGGGATTTTGGGATTCCTATCAGTATTCAAGAGGAGTCAGGCATCGTCACCTTTTGAAGCAATGAACTCCGCGTGCCTCTCGAGGTGTCAACGTGATGTTGGGCATTCCGTCAAAATGAGGCAGGGACCTAGGGCTTTCTCTAAGGTCTCCACAGGGGATTCAGACATCCCTTCATGTTTTGAGATCAAAGACGAGACTGTATTCAAGCCACTGCAAGGAAATCCGGCCTCCTTTTCGGTTAGGGCTTCTCGCTGTATATTCCAATTGAGGCAGCGATCTCAGGGTCCCTACCACATACCTATTGCTGAGAAAAGCCTCCTCCTGAGGTGCTTCTGGTAAGTTGGCAAACGTCTTGAGCCTAAGTCAGGGAATCAGCTCTCATCTCGAGACGATTTGGGGTACACTGAGCATTCCGCGAATTGCTGTGCTGACGTTGGTGTTCCTCTAGACTTTGGACAGTGTTCTCGGGGTATCTCTGCAGTTGCCTGAAGGAAGTCGAGCCACCGGTCGTGTTGAATGAGGAACGGGGAATGGCTCTGGAGTCAATGCAGGGGAATCGGGCCTCATCACGTGTTGATTTGGGGCACATGGAGCTGCTTTGCGTTGCTGGGGTGACCTCAGGGTCCGTCTAGACTGGTGACAGTGTTCTTGGGGACTCTCTCGAGATCCATTAAGCAAGTCGAAGCTCCTGACTTGTTTGAATGGGATCACGGAATAGCTCTGCATGCACGGCAGGGGAATGGTGCCTCATCTCGCCTCTAGGGGGAAGTCTCATGGTTTTTCTGGAGTTGTGGCGGGGACCTGCGGTATGTTCTCGACTTACGGCGGGGATGGCCCTTCAAAACACGAGTTTCTTCAGTGACGTCAGGACTCCTGTCTAGTAACGAGGGACACCTCAGGAATCTCTTCGAGGCTTGGCAGGGCAAAAGGGACGCTTCTAGAGGTGAGGCAGGGCACCAAGGACCCTTTCCAGTAGCCACAGGGATTTTGGGATTCCTATCAGTATTCAAGAGGAGTCAGGCATCCTCACCTTTTGAAGCAATGAACTCCGCGTGCCTCTCGAGGTGTCAACGGGATGTGAGGCATTCCGTCAAAATGAGGCAGGGACCTAGGGCTTTCTCTACGGTCTCCACAGGGGATTCAGACATCCCTTCATGTTGTGAGATGAGAGACGAGCCTGTATTCAAGCCACTGCAAGGAAATCCGGCCTCCTTTCAAGTTAGGGCTTCTCGCTGTATATTCCACTTGAGGCAGCGATCTCGGGGCCCCTCCCACATACATGTTGCTGAGAGATGCCTCCTCTTGAGGTGCTTCTGGAAAGTTGGCATACGTCTTGAGCCTCAGCCAGGGAATCAGCTCTCATCTCGAGACGATTTGGGGTACACGGAGCATTCCTCGAGTTGCTGTGCTGAAGTTGGTGTTCCTCTAGACTTGGGACAGTGTTCGCGGGGCATCTCTGGAGTTGCCTGAAGGAAGTCGAGCCACCGGTCGTGTTGAATGGGGAACGGGGAATGGCTCTGGAGTCAATGCAGGGGAATCGGGCCTCATCTCGATTTGATTTGGGCACATGGAGCTGCTTTGCATTGCTGCGGTGACATCAGGGTCCGTCTAGACTGGTGACAGTGTTCTTGGGGACTGTCTCGAGATCCATTAGCAAGTCGAAGCTCCTGACTTGTTTGAATGGTATCACGGAATAGCTCTGCATGCACTGCAGGGGAATGGGGCCTCATCTCGCCTCTAGGGGGAAGTCTCATGGTTTTTCTCGAGTTGAGGCGGGGACCTGGGGTATGTTCTCGACTTACGGCGGTGATGGCCCTTCAAAACACGAGTTTCTTCAGTGACATCAGGACTCCTGTCTAGTAACGAGGGACAACTCAAGAATCTCTTCGAGGCTTGGCAGGGTAAAAGGGACGCTTCTCGAGGTGAGGCAGGGCACCCAAGGACCCTTTCCAGTAGCCACAGGGATTTTGGGATTCCTATCAGTATTCAAGAGGAGTCAGGCATCGTCACCTTTTGAAGCAATGAACTCCGCGTGCCTCTCGAGGTGTCAACGTGATGTTGGGCATTCCGTCAAAATGAGGCAGGGACCTAGGGCTTTCTCTAAGGTCTCCACAGGGGATTCAGACATCCCTTCATGTTTTGAGATCAAAGACGAGACTGTATTCAAGCCACTGCAAGGAAATCCGGCCTCCTTTTCGGTTAGGGCTTCTCGCTGTATATTCCAATTGAGGCAGCGATCTCAGGGTCCCTACCACATACCTATTGCTGAGAAAAGCCTCCTCCTGAGGTGCTTCTGGTAAGTTGGCAAACGTCTTGAGCCTAAGTCAGGGAATCAGCTCTCATCTCGAGACGATTTGGGGTACACTGAGCATTCCGCGAATTGCTGTGCTGACGTTGGTGTTCCTCTAGACTTTGGACAGTGTTCTCGGGGTATCTCTGCAGTTGCCTGAAGGAAGTCGAGCCACCGGTCGTGTTGAATGAGGAACGGGGAATGGCTCTGGAGTCAATGCAGGGGAATCGGGCCTCATCACGTGTTGATTTGGGGCACATGGAGCTGCTTTGCGTTGCTGGGGTGACCTCAGGGTCCGTCTAGACTGGTGACAGTGTTCTTGGGGACTGTCTCGAGATCCATTAAGCAAGTCGAAGCTCCTGACTTGTTTGAATGGGATCACGGAATAGCTCTGCATGCACGGCAGGGGAATGGTGCCTCATCTCGCCTCTAGGGGGAAGTCTCATGGTTTTTCTGGAGTTGTGGCGGGGACCTGCGGTATGTTCTCGACTTACGGCGGGGATGGCCCTTCAAAACACGAGTTTCTTCAGTGACGTCAGGACTCCTGTCTAGTAACGAGGGACACCTCAGGAATCTCTTCGAGGCTTGGCAGGGCAAAAGGGACGCTTCTAGAGGTGAGGCAGGGCACCAAGGACCCTTTCCAGTAGCCACAGGGATTTTGGGATTCCTATCAGTATTCAAGAGGAGTCAGGCATCCTCACCTTTTGAAGCAATGAACTCCGCGTGCCTCTCGAGGTGTCAACGGGATGTGAGGCATTCCGTCAAAATGAGGCAGGGACCTAGGGCTTTCTCTACGGTCTCCACAGGGGATTCAGACATCCCTTCATGTTGTGAGATGAGAGACGAGCCTGTATTCAAGCCACTGCAAGGAAATCCGGCCTCCTTTCAAGTTAGGGCTTCTCGCTGTATCTTCCACTTGAGGCAGCGATCTCAGGGTCCCTCACACATACCTATTGCTGAGAGAAGCCTCTTCCTAAGGTGCTTCTGGAAAGTTGGCATATGTCTTGAGCCTAAGCCAGGGAATCAGTTCTCATCTCGAGACGATTTGGGGTACACGGACCATTCCTCGAGTTGCTGTGCTGAAGATAGTGTTCCTCTAGACCTGGCACAGTGTTCCCGGGGCATCTCTGGAGTTGCCTGAAGGAAGTCGAGCCACCGGTCGTGTTGAATGCGGAACGGGGAATGGCTCTGGAGTCAATGCAGGGGAATCGGACCTCATCTCGAGTTGATTTGGGGCACATGGAGCTGCTTTGCGTTGCTGGGCTGACCTAAGGGTCTGTCTAGACTGGTGACAGTGTTTTTGGGTACTGTCTCGAGATCCATTAAGCATGTCGAAGCTCCTGACTTGTTTGAATGGGATCACGGAATAGCTCTGCATGCTCTGCAGGGGAATGGGGCCTCATCTCGCCTCTAGGGGGAAGTGTCATGGTTTTTCTCGAGTTGCGGCGCACACCTGGGGTATGTTCTCGACTTACAGCGGGGATTGCCCTTCAAAACACGAGTTTCTTCAGTGAAGTCAGGACTCCTGTCTAGTAATGAGGGACAGTTCAGGAATCTCTTCGAGGCTTGGCAGGGCAAAAGGGACGCTTCTCGAGGTGAGGCAGGGCACCCAAGGACCGTTTCCAGTAGCCACAGGGAATTTGGGGTTCCTCTCAGTATTCAAGAGGAGTCAGGAATCGTCACCTTTTGAAGCAATGAACTCCGCGTGCCTCTCGAGGTGTCAATCTTGATGTGAGGCATTCCGTCAAAATGAGGCAGGGACCTAGGGCTTTCTCTAAGGTCTCCACAGGGGATTCAGACATCCCTTCATGTTGTGAGATGAGAGACGAGCCTGTATTCAAGCCACTGCAAGGAAATCCGGCCTCCTTTCAAGTTAGGGCTTCTCGTTGTATATTCCACTTGAGGCAGTGAACTCGGGGTCCCACCCACATACATATTGCTAAGAGAAGCCTCTTCCTGAGGTGCTTCTGGAAAGTTGGCATACGTCTTGAGCCTAAGCCAGGAATCAGCTCTCATCTCGAGACGATTTGGGGTACACGGAGCATTCCTCGAATTGCTGTGCTGAAGTTGGTGTTCCTCTAGACTTGGGACAGTGTTCTCGGGGCATCTCTGGAGTTGCCTGAAGGAAGTCGAGCCACCGGTCTTGTTGAATGGGGAACGGGGAATGGCTCTGCAGATAATGCAGGGGAATCGGGCCTCATCTCGAGTTGATTTGGGGCACATGGAGCTGCTTTGCGTTGCTGGGGTGACCTCAGGGTCCGTCTAGACTGGTGACAGTGTTCTTGGGGACCGTCTCGAGATCCATTAAGCAAGTCGAAGCTCCTGACCTGTTTGAATGGGATCACGGAATAGCTCTGCTTGCACTGCAGGGGAATGGGGCCTCATCTCGCCTCTAGTGGGAAGTCTCATGGTTTTTCTCGACTTGCGGCGGGGACCTGGGGTATGTTCTCGACTTACGGCGGGGATGGCCCTTCAAAACACGAGTTTCTTCAGTGACGTCAGGACTCCTGTCTAGTAACGCGGGACACCTCAGGAATCTCTTCGAGGCTTGGCAGGGCAAAAGGGACGCTTCTCGAGGTGAGGCAGGGCACCCAAGGACCCTTTCCATTAGCCACAGTGATTTTGGGATTTCTATCAGTATTCAAGAAGAGTCAGGCATAGTCACCTTTAGAAGCAATGAACTCCAGGTGCCTCTCGAGGTGTCAACGGGATGTGATGCATTCCGTAAAAATGAGGCAGGGAGCTAGGGCTTTCTCTAAGGTCTCCACAGGGGATTCAGACATTCCTTCATGTTTTGAGATCAAAGACGAGCCTGTATTCAAGCCAGTGCAGGGAAATCCGGCCTCCTTTCAAGTTAGGGCTTGTCGCTGTATATTCCACTTGAGGCAGCGATCTCGGGGTCCCTACCACATACCTATTGCTGAGAGAAGCCTCCTCCTGAGGTGCTTCTGGAAAGTTGGCATACGTCTTGAGCCTAAGCCAGGGAATCAGCTCTCATCTCGAGATGATTTGGGGTACTCGGAGCATTCCTCGAGTTGCTCTGCTGAAGATAGTGTTCCTCTAGACCTGGGACAGTGTTCTCGGGGCATCTCTGGAGTTGCCTGAAGGAAGTCGAGCCACCGGTCTTGTTGAATGGGGAACGGGGAATGGCTCTGGAGTCAATGCAGGGGAATCGGGCCTCATCTCGAGTTGATTTGGGGCACATGGAGCTGCTTTGCGTTGCTGGGGTGACCTCAGCGTCCGTCTAGACTGCTGACAGTGTTCTTGGGGACTGTCTCGAGATCCATTAAGCATGTCGAATCTCCTGACTTGTTTGAATGGGATCACGGAATAGCTCTGCATGCACTGAAGGGGAATGGGGCCTCACCTCGCCTCTAGGGGTAGGTCTCATGGTTTTTTTTGAGTTGTGGCCGGGACCTGGGTTACGTTCTCGACTTACGGCGGGGACGGCCCTTCAAAACACGAGTTTCTTCAGTGACGTCAGGACTCCTGTTTAGTAACGAGGGACACCTCAGGAATCTCTTCGAGGCTTGGCATGGCAAAAGGGACGCTTCTCGAGGTGAGGCAAGGCACCAAGGACTCTTTCCAGTAGCCACAGGGATTTTGGGATTCCTATCAGTATTCAAGAGGAGTCAGGCATCGTCACCTTTAGAAGCAATGAACTCCGCGTGCCTCTCGAGGTGTCAACGGGATGTGAGGCATTCCGTCAAAATGAGGCAGGGATCTAGGGCTTTCTCTAAGGTCTCCACAGGGGATACAGACATCCCTTCATGTTGTGAGATGAGAGACGAGCCTGTATTCAAGCCACTGCAAGGAAATCCGGCCTCCTTTCCAGTTAGGGCTTCTTGCTGTATATTCCACTTAAGGCAGCGATCTCGGGGTCCCTCCCACATACCTATTGCTGAGAGAAGCCTCCTCTTGAGGTGCTTCTGGAAAGTTGGCATACGTCTTGAGCCTAAGCCAGGGAATCAGCTCTCATCTCGAGACGATTTGGGGTACACGGAGCATTCCTCGAGTTGCTGTGCTGAAGTTGGTGTTCCTCTAGACTTGGGAAAGTGTTCTCGGGGCATCTCTGGAGTTGCCTGAAGGAAGTCGAGGCACCGGTCGTGTTGAATGGGGAACGGGGAATGGCTCTGGAGTCAATGCAGGGGAATCGGGCCTCATCTCGAGTTGATTTGGGGCACATGGAACTGCTTTGCTTTGCTGGGGTGACCTCAGGGTCCGTCTGGAGTGGTGCCAGTGTTCTTGGGGACTGTCTCGAGATCCATTAAGCAAGTTGAAGCTCCTGATTTGTTTGAATGGGATCACGGAAAAGCTCTGCATGCACTGCAGGGGAATGGGGCCTCATCTCGTCTCTCGGGGGAAGTCTCATGGTTTCTTTTTTTAGTTGTGGCCGGGACCTGGGTTATGTTCTCGACCTACGGCGGGGATGGCCCTTCAAAACACGAGTTTCTTCAGTGACGTCAGGACTCCTGTCTAGTAATGAGGGACACCTCAGGAATCTCTTCGAGGCTTGGCATGGCACAAGGGACGCTTCTCGAGGTGAGCCAGGGCACCCAAGGGCCCTTGCCAGTAGCCACCGTGATTTTGGGATCCCTATCAGTATTCAAGAGGAGTCAGGCATCGTCACCTTTTGAAACAATGAACTCCGCGTATCTCTCGAGGTTTCAACGGGATGTGAGGCATTACGTCAAAATGAGGCAGGGACCTAGGGCTTTCTCTAAGGTCTCCACAGGGGATTCAGACATCCCTTCATGTTTTGAGATGAAAGACGAGCCTGTATTCAAGCCACTGCAAGGAAATCCGGCCTCCTTTCAAGTTAGGGCTTCTCGCTATATTCCCCTTGAGGCAGCAAACTCGGGGTCCCTCCCACATACCTATTGCTGAGAGAAGCCTCCTCCTGGGGCGCTTCTGGAATGTTGGCATACGGCTTGAGCCTAAGCCAGGGAATCAACTGTCATCTTGAGACGTGTTGGGGTACACGGAGGATTCCATGAGTTGCTGTGCTGAAGTCGGTGTTCCTCTAGATTTGGGACAGTGTTCCCGGGGCATCTCTGGAGTTGCCTGAAGGAAGTCGAGCCACCGATTGTGTTGAATGGGGAACGGGGAATGGCTCTGGAGTCAATGCAGTTGAATCAGGCCTCATGTCAAGTTGATTTGGGGCACAAGGAGCTGCTTTGCGTTGCTGGGGTGACCTCAGGGTCCGTCTAGACTGGTGACAGTGTTCTTGGAGACTGTCTCGAGATCCATTAAGCAAGTTGAAGCTCCTGACTTGTTTGAATGGGATCACGGAATAGGTCTGCATGCACTGCAGGGGAATGGGGCCTCATCTCGCCTCTAGTGGGAAGTCTCATGGTTTTTCCCGAGTTGCGGAGGGGACCTGGGATATGTTCTCGACTTACGGCGGGGATGGCCCTTCAAAACACGAGTTTCTTCAGTGACGTCAGGACTCCTGTCTAGTAACGAGGGACACCTCAGGAATCTCTTCGAGGCTTGGCAGGGCAAAAGGGACGCTTCTCGAGGTGAGGCAGGGCACCCAACGACCCTTTAAAGTAGCCACAGGGATCTTGGGATTCCTATCAGTATTCAAGAGGAGTCAGGTATCGTCACCTTTAGAAGCAATGAACTCCGCGTGCCTCTCGAGGTGTCAACGGGATGTGAGGCATTCCATCAAAATGAGGCAGGGAGCTAGGGCTTTCTCTAAGGTCTCCACAGGGGATTCAGACATCCCTTCATGTTTTGAGATGAAAGACGAGCCTGTATTCAAGCCACTGCAAGGAAATCCGGCCTCCTTTCAAGTTAGGGCTTCTCGCTGTATATTCCACTTGAGGCAGCGATCTCGGGGTCCCTACCACATACCTATTGCTGAGAGAAGCCTCCTCCTGAGGTACTTCTGGAAAGTTGGCATACGTCTTGAGCCTAAGCCAGGTAATCAGCTCTCATCTCGAGATGATTTGGGGCACACGGAGCATTCTTTGAGTTGCTCTGCTGAAGATAGTGTTCCTCTAGACCTGGGACAGTGTTCTCGGGGCAACTCTTGAGTTGCCTGAAGGAAGTCGAGCCACCGGTCGTGTTGAATGGGGAACGGGGAATGGCTCTGGAGTCAATGCAGGGGAATCGGACCTCATCTCGAGTTGATTTAGGGCACATGGAGCTGCTTTGCGTTGCTGGGCTGACCTGAGGGTACGTCTAGACTGGTGACAGTGTTCTTGCGGACTGTCTCGAGATCCATTAAGCAAGTCGAAGCTCCTGACTTGTTTGAATGGGATCACGGAAGAGCTCTGCATGCACGGCAGGGGAATGGTGCTTCATCTCGCCTCTAGGGGGAAGTCTCATGGTTTTTTTCGAGTTGCGGCCGGGACCTGGGGTATGTTCACGACTTACGGCGGGGATGGCCCTTCAAAACACGAGTTTCTTCAGTGACATCAGGACTCCTGTCTAGTAACGAGGGACACCTCAGGAATCTCTTCGAGGCTTGGCAGGGCAAAAGGGACGCTTCTCGATGTGAGGCAGGGCACCCAAGGACCCTTTCCAGTAGCCACAGGGATTTTGGGATTCCTATCAGTATTCAAGAGGAGTCAGGCATCGTCACCTTTTGAAGCAATGAACTCCGCGTGCCTCTCGAGGTGTCAACGGGATGTGAGGCATTCCGTCAAAATGAGGCAGGGACCTAGGGCTTTCTCTAAGGTCTCCACAGGGGATTCAGACATCCCTTCATGTTGTGAGATCAAAGACGAGCCTGTATTCAAGCCACTGCAAGGAAATCCGGCCTCCTTTCAAGTTAGGGCTTTTCGCTGTGTATTCCACTTGAGGCAGCGATCTCGGGGTCCCTCCCACATACCTATTGCTAAGAGAAGCCTCTTCCTGAGGGGCTTCTGGAAAGTTGGCATACATCTTGAGCCTAAGCCAGGGAATCAGCTCTCATCTCTAGACGATTTGGGGTACACAGAGCATTCCTCCAGTTGCTGCGCTGAAGTTGGTGTTCCTCTAGACTTGGGACAGTGTTCTCGGGGCATCTCTGGAGTTGCCTGAAGGAAGTCGAGCCACCGGTCGTGTTGAATGTGGAACGGGGAATGGCTCTGGAGTCAATGCAGGGGAATCGGGCCTCATCTCGAGTTGATTTGGGGCACATGGAGCTGCTTTGCGTTGCTGGGGTGACCTCAGGGTCCGTCTAGACTGGTGACAGTGTTCTTGGGGACTGTCTCGAGATCCATTAAGCAAGTCGAAGCTCCTGACTTGTTTGAATGGGATCACGGAATAGCTCTGCATGCACTGCAGGGGAATGGTGCCTCATCTCGCCTCTAGGGGGAAGTCTCATGGTTTTTCTCGAGTTGCGGCGGGGACCTGGGGTACGATCTCGACTTACGGCGGAGATGGCCCTTCAAAACACGAGTTTCTTCAGTGACGTCAGGACTCCTGTCTAGTAACGAGGGACACCTCAGGAATCTCTTCGAGGCTTGGCAGGCAAAAGGGACGCTTCTCGAGGTGAGGCATGGCACCCAAGAACCCTTTCCAGTAGCCACAGGGATTTTGGGATTCCTATCAGTATTCAAGAGGAGTCAGGCATCGTTACCTTTAAAAGCAATGAACTCCGCGTGCCTCTCGAGGTGTCAACGTGATGTGAGGCATTCCGTCAAAATGAGGCAGCGACCTAGGGCTTTCTCTAAGGTCTCCACAGGGGATTCAGACATTCCTTCATGTTTTGAGATCAAAGATGAGCCTGTATTCAAGCCACTGCAAGGAAATCCGGCCTCCTTTCAAGTTAGGGCTTCTCGCTGTATATTCCACTTGAGGCAGCAATCTTGGGGTCCCTACCACATACCTATTGCTGAGAAAAGCCTCCTCATGAGGTGCTTCTGGAAAGTTGGCAAAAGTCTTGAGCCTAAGCCAGGGAATCAGCTCTCATCTCGAGACGATTTTGGGTACACGGAGCATTCCTCGAATTGCTGTGCTGAAGTTGGTGTTCCTCTAGACTTGGGACAGTGTTCTCGGGGCATCTCTGGAGTTGCCTGAAGGAAGTCGAGCCACCGGTCGAGTTGAATGAGGAATGGGGAATGGCTCCGGAGTCAATGCAGGGGAATCGGGCCTCATCTCGAGTTGATTTGGGGCACATAGAGCTGCTTTGCGTTGCTGGGGTGACCTAAGGGTCTGTCTAGACTGGTGACAGTGTTTTTGGGTACTGTCTCGAGATCCATTAAGCATGTCGAAGCTCCTGACTTGTTTGAATGGGATCACAGAATAGCTGTACATGCTCTGCAGGGGAATGGGGCCTCATCTCGCCTCTACGGGGAAGTCTCATGGTTTTTCTCGAGTTGCGGCGGGGACCTGGGGTACGATCTCGACTTACGGCGGGGATGGCCCTTCAAAACACGAGTTTCTTCAGTGACGTCAGGACTCCTGTCTAGTAACGAGGGACACCTCAGGAATCTCTTCGAGGCTTGGCAGGCAAAAGGGACGCTTCTCGAGGTGAGGCAGGTCACCCAAGGACCCGTTCCAGTAGCCTCAGGTATTTTGGGATTCCTCTCAGTATTCAAGAGGAGTCAGGAATCGTCACCTTTTGAAGCAATGAACTCCGCGTGCCTCTCGAGGTGTCAACGGGATGTGAGGCATTCTGTCAAAATGAGGCAGGGACCTAGGGTTTTCTCTAAGGTCTCCACAGGGGATTCAGACTTCCCTTCATGGTTTGAGATCAAAGACGAGACTGTATTTAAGCCACTGCAAGGAAAACTGGCCTCCTTTCAAGTTAGGGCTTCTCGCTGTATATTCCACTTGAGGCAGCGATCTCGGGGTCCTCCCACATACCTATTGATGAGAGAAGCCTCCTCTTGAGGTGCTTCTGGAAAGTTGGCATACGTCTTGAGCCTAAGCCAGGGAATCAGCTCTCATCTCGAGATGATTTGGGGTACACGGACCATTCCTCGAGTTGCTGTGCTGAAGTTGGTTTTCCTCTAGACTTGGGACAGTGTTCTCGGGGCATCTCTAGAGTTGCCTGAAGGAAGTCGAGCCACCGGTCGTGTTGAATGGGGAACGGGGAATTGCTCTGGAGTCAATGCAGGGGAATCGGGCCTCATCTCGACTTGATTTGGGGCACATGGAGCTGCTTTGCGTTGCTCGGGTGACCTCAGGGTCCGTCTAGACTGGTGACAGTGTTTTTGGGGACTGTATCGAGATCCATTAAGCAAGTCGAAGCTCCTGACTTGTTTGAATGGGATCACGGAGTAGCTCTGCATTCACGGCAGGGGAATGGGGCCTCATCTCGCCTCTAGGGGGAAGTCTCATGGTTTTTCTGGAGTTGCGGCGGGGACCTGGGGTATGTTCTCGACTTACGGCGGGGATGGCCCTTCAAAACACGAGTTTCTTCAGTGACGTCAGGACTCCTGTCTAGTAACGAGGGACACCTCAGGAATCTCTTCGAGGCTTGGCAGGGCAAAAGGGACGCTTCTCGAGCTGAGGCAGGGCACCCAAGGACCTTTTCCAGTAGCCACAGGGATTTTGGTATTCCTCTCAGTATTCAAGAGGAGTCAGGCATCGTCACCTTTTGAAGCAATGAACTCCGCGTGCCTCTCGAGGTGTCAACGGGATGTGAGGCATTCCGTCAAAATGAGGCAGGGACCTAGGGCTTTCTCTAAGGTCTCCACAGGGGATTCAGTCATCTCTTCATGTTGTGAGATGAGAGACGAGCCTGTATTCCAGCCACTGCAAGGAAATCCGTCCTCCTTTCAAGTTAGGGCTTCTCGTTGTATATTCGACTTGAGGTAGCGATCTCGGGGTCCCTCCCACAGACCTATTGCTGAGAAAAGCCTCCTCATGAGGTGCTTCTGGAAATTTGGCATACGTCTTGAGCCTAAGCCAGGGAATCAGCTCTCATCTCGAGACGATTTGGGGTACACGGAGCATTACTCGAGTTGCTGTGCTGAAGTTGGTGTTCCTCTCGACTTGGGACAGTATTCTCGGGGCATCTCTGGAGTTGCTTGAAGGAAGTCGAGCCACCTGTCGTGTTGAATGGGGAACTGGGAATGGCTCTGGAGTCAATGCAGGGGAATCGGGCCTCATCTCGAGTTGATTTGGGGCACATGGAGCTGCTTTGCGTTGCTTGGGTGAACTCAGGGTCCGTCTAGACTGGTGACAGTGTTCTTGCGGACTGTGTCGAGATCCATTAAGCCAGTCGAAGCTCCTTACTTGTTTGAATGGGATCACGGAATAGCTCTGCATGCACTGCAGGGGAATGGGGCCTCATCTCGCCTCTAGGGGGAAGTCTCATGGTTTTACTCGAGTTGCGGCGAGGACCTGGGGTATGTTCTCGACTTACGGCGGGGATGGCACTTCAAAACACGAGTTTCTTCAGTGACGTCAGGATTCCTGTCTAGTAACGAGGGACACCTCAGGAATCTCTTCGAGGCTTGGCAGGGCAAAAGGGATGCTTCTCAAGGTGAGGGAGGGCACCCAAGGACCCTTTCCAGTAGCCACAGGGATTTTGGGATTCCTATCAGTATTCAAGAGGAGTCAGGCATCGTCACCTTTAGAAGCAATGAACTCCGCGTGCCTCTCGAGGTGTCAACGGGATGTGAGGCATTCCGTCAAAATGAGGCAGGGAGCTAGGGCTTTCTCTAAGGTCTCCACAGGGGATTCAGACATCCCTTCATGTTTTGAGATCAAAGACGAGACTGTATTCAAGCCACTGCAAGGAAATCCGGCCTCCTTTCAAGTTAGGGCTTCTCGCTGTATATTCCACTTGAGGCAGCGATCTCGAGGTCCCTACCACATACCTATTGCTGAGAGAAGCCTCCTCCTGAGGTGCTTCTGGAAAGTTGGCATACGTCTTGAGCCTAAGTCAGGTAATCAGCTCTCATCTCGAGACGATTTGGGGTACACGGAGCATTCTTTGAGTTGCTCTGCTGAAGATAGTGTTCCTCTAGACCTGGACAGTGTTCTCGGGGCATCTCTGGAGTTGCCTGAAGGAAGTCGAGCCACCGGTCGTGTTGAATGGGGAACGGGGAATTGCTCTTGAGTCAATGCAGGGGAATCGGGCCTCATCTCGACTTGATTTGGGGCACATGGATCTGCTTTGCGTTGCTGGGGTGACCTCAGGGTCCGTCTAGACTGGTGACAGTGTTTTTGGGGACTGTCTCGAGATCCATTAAGCAAGTCGAAGCTCCTGACTTGTTTGAATGGGATCACGGAATAGCTCTGCATGCTCTGCAGGGGAATGGGGCCTCATCTCGCCTCTAGGGGGAAGTCTCATGGTTTTTCTCGAGTTGCGGCGGGGACCTGGGGTATGTTCTCGACTTACGGCGGGGATTGCCCTTCAAAACACGAGTTTCTTCAGTGACGTCAGGACACCTGTCTAGTAATGAGGGACACCTCAGGAATCTCTTCGAGGCTTGGCAGGGCAAAAGGGACGCTTCTCGAGGTGAGGCAGGGCACCCAAGGACCCTTTCCAGTAGCTACAGGGATTTTGGGATTCCTCTCAGTATTCAAGAGGAGTCAGGCATCATCACCTTTTGAAGCAATGAACTCCGCGTGCCTCTCAAGGTGTCAACGGGATGTGAGGCATTCCGTCAAAATGTGGCAGGGACCTAGGGCTTTCTCTAATGTCTCCACAGGGGATTCAGACATCCCTTCATGTTGTGATAAGAGAGACGAGCCTGTATTCAAGCCACTGCAAGGAAATCCGTCCTCCTTTCAAGTTAGGAATTCTCGCTGTATATTCCACTTGAGGCAGCGATCTCGGGGTCCATCCCACATACCTATTGATGAGAGAAGCCTCCTCTTGAGGTGCGTCTGGAAAGTTGGCATACGTCTTCAGCCTAAGCAAGGGAATCAGCTCTCATCTCGAGACGATTTGGGGTACATGGAGCATTCCTCGAGTTGCTGTGCTGAAGTTGGTGTTCCTCTAGACTTGGGACAGTGTTATCGGGGCATCTCTGGAGTTGCCTGAAGGAAGTCGAGCCACCGGTCGTGTTGAATGGGGAACGGGGAATGGCTCTGGAGTCAATGCAGGGGAATTGGACCTCATCTCGAGTTGATTTGGGGCACATGGATCTGTTTTGCGTTGCTGGGGTGACCTACGTGTCCGTCTAGACTGGTGACAGTGTTTTTGGGGACTGTCTCGAGATCCATTAAGCAAGTCGAAGCTCCTGACTTGTTTGAATGGGATCACGGAATAGCTCTGCATGCACTGCAGGGGAATGGGGCCTCATCTCGCCTCTAGGGGGAAGTCTCATGGTTTTTCTCGAGTTGCGGCGGGGACCTGGGGTATGTTCTCGACTTACGGCGGGGATGGCCCTTCAAAACACGAGTTTCTTCAGTGACGTCAGGACTCCTGTCTAGTAACGAGGGACACCTCAGGAATCTCTTCGAGGCTTGGCAGGGCAAAAGGGACGCTTCTCGAGGTTAGGCAGCGCACCCAAGGACCCTTTCCAGTAGCCACAGGGATTTTGGGATTCCTATCAGTATTCAAGAGGAGTCAGGCATCGTCACCTTTAGAATCAATGAACTCTGCGTGCCTCTCGAGGTGTCAACGTGATGTGAGGCATTCCGTCAAAATGAGGCAGGGAACTAGGGCTTTCTCTAAGGTCTCCACAGGGGATTCAGACATCCGTTCATGTTTTGAGATCAAAGACGAGCCTGTATTCAAGCCACTGCAAGGAAATCCGGCCTCCTTTCAAGTTAGGGCTTCTCGCTTAATATTCCACTTGTGGCAGCGATCTCGGGGTCCCTACCACATACCTATTGCTGAGGAAAGCCTCCTCCTGAGGTGCTTCTGGAAAGTTGGCAAACGTCTTGAGCCTAAGCCAGGGAATCAGCTCTCATCTCGAGATGATTTGGGGTACACGGAGCATTCCTCGAGTTGCTGTGCTGAAGTTAGTGTTCCTCTAGACTTGGGACAGTGTTCTCGGGGCATCTCTGGAGTTGCCTGAAGGAAGTCGAGCCACCGTTCGTGTTGAATGGGGAACGGGGAATGGCTCTGGAGTCAATGCAGGGGAATCGGGCCTCATCTCAACTTGATTTGGGGCACATGGAGCTGCTTTGCATTACTGCGGTGACATCAGGGTCCGTGTATACTGGTGACAGTGTTCTTGGGGACCGTCTCGACATCCATTAGAAAGTCGAAGCTCCTGACCTGTTTGAATGGGATCACGGAATAGCTCTGCATGCACTGCAGGGGAATGGGGCCTCATCTCGCCTCTAGGGGGAAGTCTCATGGTTTTTCTCGAGTTGCGGCGGGGACCTGGGGTATGTTCTCGACTTACGGCGGGGATGGCCCTTCAAAACACGAGTTTCTTCAGTGACGTCAGGACTCCTGTCTAGTAACGAGGGACACCTCAGGAATCTCTTCGAGGCTTGGCAGGGCAAAAGGGACGCTTCTCGAGGTGAGGCAGGGCACCCAAGGACCCTTTCCAGTAGCCACAGGGATTTTGGGATTCCTATCAGTATTCAAGAGGAGTCAGGCATCGTCACCTTTTGAAGCAATGAACTCCGCGTGCCTCTCGAGGTGTCAACGGGATGTGAGGCATTCCGTCAAAATGAAGCAGGGACCTAGGGCTTTCTCTAAGGTCTCCACAGGGGATTCAGACATCCCTTCATGTTGTGAGATGAGAGACGAGCCTGTATTCAAGCCACTGCAAGAAAATCTGGCCTCCTTTCAAGTTAGGGCTTCTCGCTGTATATTCCACTTGAGGCAGCGATTTCGCGGTCCCTCCCACATACCTATTGCTGAGAGAAGCCTCCTCCTGAGGTCCTTCTGGAAAGTTGGCAAACGTCTTGAGCCTAAGCCAGGGAATCAGCTCTCATCTCGAGACGATTTGGGGTACACGGAGCATTCCTCGAGTTGCTGTGCTGAAGTTGGTGTTCCTCTAGACTTGGGACAGTGTTCTCGGGGCATCTCTGGAGTTGCCTGAAGGAAGTCGAGCCACCGGTCGTGTTGAATGGGGAACGGGGAATGGCTCTGGAGTCAATGCAGGGGAATCGGGCCTCATCTCGAGTTGATTTGGGGCAAATGGAGCTGCTTTGCGTTGCTGGAGTGACCTCAGCTTCCGTCTAGACTGGTGACAGTGTTCTTGGGGACTGTCTCGAGATCCATTAAGCAAGTCGAATCTCCTGACTTGTTTGAATGGGATCACGGAATAGCTCTGCATGCACTGCAGGGGAATGGGGCCTCATCTCGCCTCTAGGGGGAAGTCTCATGGTTTTTCTCGAGTTGAGGCGGGGACCTGGGGTATGTTCTCGACTTACGGCGGTGATGGCCCTTCAAAACACGAGTTTCTTCAGTGACATCAGGACTCCTGTCTAGTAACGAGGGACAACTCAAGAATCTCTTCGAGGCTTGGCAGGGTAAAAGGGACGCTTCTCGAGGTGAGGCAGGGCACCCAAGGACCCTTTCCAGTAGCCACAGGGATTTTGGGATTCCTATCAGTATTCAAGAGGAGTCAGGCATCGTCACCTTTTGAAGCAATGAACTCCGCGTGCCTCTCGAGGTGTCAACGTGATGTTGGGCATTCCGTCAAAATGAGGCAGGGACCTAGGGCTTTCTCTAAGGTCTCCACAGGGGATTCAGACATCCCTTCATGTTGTGAGATGAAAGACGAGCCTGTATTCAAGCCAATGCAAGGAAATCCGGCCTCCTTTCAAGTTAGGGCTTCTCGCTGTATATTCCACTTGAGGCAGCGATCTCGGGGTCCATACCACATACCTATTGCTGAGAGAAGCCTCCTCCTGAGGTGCTTCTGGAAAGTTGGCATATGTCTTGAGCCTAAGCCAGGGAATCAGCTCTCATCTAGAGACGATTTGAGGTACACGGAGCATTCCTCGAATTGCTGTGCTGAAGTTGGTGTTCCTCTAGACTTGGGACAGTGTTCTCGGGGCATCTCTGGAGTTGCCTGAAGGATGTCGAGCCACCGGTCGTGTTGAATGAGGAACGGGGAATGGCTCTAGAGTCAATGCAGGGGAATCGGGCCTCATCTCGAGTTGATTTGGGGCACATGGAGCTGCTTTGCTTTGCTGGGGTGACCTCAGGGTCCGTCTAGACTGGTGACAGTGTTCTTGGGGACTGTCTCGAGATCCATTAAGCAAGTTGAGGCTCGTGACTTGTTTGAATGGGATCACGGAATAGCTCTGCATGCACTGCAGGGGAATGGGGCCTCATCTCGCCTCTAGGGGGAAGTCTCATGGTTTTTTTGGAGTTGTGGCCGGGACCTGGGTTACGTTCTCGCCTTACGGCGGGGATGGCCCTTCAAAACACGAGTTTCTTCAGTGACGTCAGGACTCCTGTCTACTAACGAGGGACACCTCAGGAATCTCTTCGAGGCTTGCCATGGCAAAAGGGACGCTTCTCGAGGTGAGGCAGGGCACCCAAGGACCCTGTCCAGTAGCCACAGAGATTTTGGGATCCCTATCAGTATTCAAGAGGAGTCAGGCATCGTCACCTTTTGAAGCAATGAACTCCGCGTGCCTCTCGAGGTGTCAACGGGATGTGAGGCATTCCGTCAAAATGAGGCAGGGACCTAGGGCTTACTCTAAGGTCTCCACAGGGGATTCAGAGAGCACTTCATGTTTTGAGATTAAAGACGAGCCTGTATTCAAGCCACTGCAAGGAAATCCGGCCTCCTTTCAAGTTAGGGCTTCTCGCTGTATATTCCCCTTGAGGCAGCAAACTTGGGGTCCCTCCCACATACCTATTGCTGAGAGAAGCCTCCTCCTTGGGTGCTTCTGGAAAGTTGGCATATGGCTTGAGCCTAAGCCAGGGAATCAGCTCTCATCTCGAGACGTGTTGGGGTACCCGGAGCATTCCTCGATTTGCTGTGCTGAAGTTGGTGTTCTTCTAGACGTGGGACAGTGTTCTCGGGGCATCTCTGGAGTTGCCTGAAGGAAGTCGAGCCACCGGTCGTGTTGAATGGGGAACGGGGAATGGCTCTGGAGTCAATGCAGGGGAATCGGACCTTATCTCGAGTTGATTTGGGGCACATGGAGCTGCTTTGCGTTGCTGGGGTGACCTCAGGGTCCGTCTAGACTGGTGACAGTGTTCTTGGGGACTGTCTCGAGATCCATTAAGCAAGTCGAAGCTCCTGACTTGTTTGAATGGGATCACGGAATAGCTCTGCATGCACTGCAGGGGAATGGGGCCTCATCTCGCCTCTAGGGGGAAGTCTCATGGTTTTTCTCGAGTTGCGGCGGGGACCTGGGGTGCGTTCTCGGCTTACAGCGTGGATGGCCCTTCAAAACACGAGTTTCTTCAGTGACGTCAGGACTCCTGTCTAGTAACGAGGGACACCTCAGGAATCTCTTCGAGGCTTGGCAGGGCAAAAGGGACGCTTCTCGAGGTGAGGCAGGGCACCCAAGGACCCTTTCCAGTAGCCACTGGGATTTTGGGATTCCTGTCAGTATTCAAGAGGAGTCAGGCATCGTCACCTTTTGAAGCAGTGAACTCCGCGTGCCTCTCTAGTTGTCAACGGGATGTGAGGCATTCCATCAAAATGCGGCAGGGACCTAGGGCTTTCTCTAAGGTCTCCACAGGCGATTCAGACTTCCCTTCATGTTTTGAGATCAAAGACGAGCCTGTATTCAAGCCACTGCAAGGAAATCCGGCCTCTTTTCAAGTTACGGCTTCTCGCTCTATATTCCACTTGAGGCAGCGATCTCGGGGTCCCTCCCACATACCTATTGATGAGAGAAGCCTCCTCTTGAGGTGCTTCTGGAAAGTTGGCATACGTCTTGAGCCTAAGCCAGGGAATCAGCTCTCAACTCGAGACGATTTGTGGTACACGGAGCCTTCCTCGAGTTGCTGTGCTGAAGTTGGTGTTCCTCTAGACTTGGGACAGTGTTCTCGGGGCATCTCTGGAGTTCCCTGAAGGAAGTCGAGCCAGCGGTCCTGTTGAATGGGGAACGGGGAATGGCTCTTGGGTCAATGCAGGGGAATCGGGCCTCATCTCGAGTTGATTTGGGGCACATGGATCTGCTTTGCTTTGCTGGGGTGACCTCAGTGTCCGTCTGGAGTGGTGCCAGTGTTCTTGGGGACTGTCTCGAGATCCATTAAGCAAGTCGAAGCTCCTGCCGTGTTTGAATGGGATCACGGAATAGCTCTGCATGCACTGCAGGGGAATGGGGCCTCATCTCGCCTCTAGAGGGAAGTCTCATGGTTTTTTTTTTAGTTGTGGCCGGGACCTGGGTTATGTTCTCGACTTACGGCGGGGATGGCCCTTCAAAACACGAGTTTCTTCAGTGACGTCAGGACTCCTGTCTAGTAATGAGGGACACCTCAGGAATCTCTTCGAGGCTTGGAAGGGCAAAAGGGACGCTTCTCGAGGTGAGGCAGGGCACCCAAGGACCCTTTCCAGTAGCCACAGTGATTTTGGGATCCCTAGCAGTATTCAAGAGGTGTCAGGCATCGTCACCTTTTTAAGCAATGAACTCCGCGTACCTCTCGAGGTGTCAACGGGATGTGAGGCATTCCGTCAAAATGAGGCAGGGACCTAGGGCTTTCTCTAAGGTCTCCACAGGGGATTCAGACATCTCTTCATGTTTTGAGATGAAATACGAGCCTGTATTCAAGCCACTGCAAGGAAATCCGGCCTCCTTTCAAGTTAGGGCTTCTCGCTATATTCCCCTTGAGGCAGCAAACTCGGGGTCCCTCCCACATACCTATTGGTGAGAGAAGCCTCCTCCTGGGGTGCTTCTGGAAAGTTGGCATACGGCTTGAGCCTAAGCCAGGGAATCAGCTCTCATCTCGAGACGTGTTAGGGTACACGGAGCATTCCTCGAGTTGCTGTGCTGAAGTTGGTGTTCCTCTAGACTTGGGACAGTGTTCCCGGGGCATCTCTGGAGTTGCCTGAAGGAAGTCGAGCCACCGGTCGTGTTGAATGGGGAATGGGGAATGGCTCTGGAGTCAATGCAGGGGAATCAGGCCTCATCTCGAGTTGATTTGGGGCACATGGAGCTGCTTTCCGTTGCTGGGGTGACCTCACGGTCCGTCTAGACTGGTGACAGTGTTCTTGGGGACTGTCTCGAGATCCATTAAGCAAGTCGAAGCTCCTGACTTGTTTGAATGGGATCACGGAATAGCTCTGCATGCACTGCAGGGGAATGGTGCCTCATCTCGCCTCTAGGGGGAAGTCTCATGGTTTTTCTCGAGTTGCGGCGGGGACCTGGGGTATGTTCACGACTTACGGCGGGGATGGCCCTTCAAAACACGAGTTTCTTCAGTGACATCAGGACTCCTGTCTAGTAACGAGGGACACCTCAAGAATCTCTTCGAGGCTTGGCAGGGCAAAAGGGACGCTTCTCGAGGTGAGGCAGGGCACCCAAGGACCCTTTCCAGTAGCCACAGGGATTTTGGGATTCCTATCAGTATTCAAGAGGAGTCAGGCATCGTCACCTTTAGAAGCAATGAACTCCGCGTGCCTCTCGAGGTGTCAACGGGATGTGAGGAATTCCTTCAAAATGAGGCAGGGACCTAGGGCTTTCTCTAAGGTCCCCACAGGGGATTCAGACATCCCTTCATGTTGTGAGATGAGAGACGAGCCTGTATTCAAGCCACTGCAAGGAAATCCGGCCTCCTTTCAAGTTAGGGCTTCTCGTTGTATATTCCACTTGAGGCAGCGATCTCGGGGTCCCTCCCACATACCTATTTCTAAGAGAAGCCTCTTCCTGAGGGGCTTCTGGAATGTTGGCATACAGCTTGAGCCTAAGCCAGGGAATCAGCTCTCATCTCGAGACGATTTGGGGTACACAGGGCATTCCTCGAGTTGCTGTTCTGAAGTTGGTGTTCCTCTAGTCTTGGGACAGTGTTCTCGGGGCATCTCTGGAGGTGCCTGAAGGAAGTCGAGCCACCGGTCCTGTTGAATGGGGAACGGGGAATGGCTCTGGAGTCAATGCAGGGGAATCGGGCCTCATCTCGAGTTGATTTGGGGCACATGGAGCTGCTTTGCGTTGCTGGGGTGACCTCAGGGTCCGTCTAGACTGGTGACAGTGTTCTTGGGGACTGTCTCGAGATCCATTAAGCAAGTCGAATCTCCTGACTTGTTTGAATGGGATCACGGAATAGCTCTGCATGCACTGCAGGGGAATGGGGCCTCATCTCGCCTCTAGGGGGAAGTCTCATGGTTTTTCTCGAGTTGCGGCGGGGACCTGGGGTATGTTCTCGACTTACGGCGGGGATGGCCCTTCAAAACCCGAGTTTCTTCAGTGACGTCAGGACTCCTGTCTAGTAACGAGGGACACCTCAGGAATCTCTTCGAGGCTTGGCAGGGCAAAAGGGAGGCTTCTCGAGGTGAGGCAGGGCACCCAAGGACCCTTTCCAGTAGCCACAGGGATTTTGGGATTCCTATCAGTATTCAAGAGGAGTCAGGCATCGTCACCTTTAGAAGCAATGAACTCCGCGTGCCTCTCGAGGTGTCAACGGGATGTGAGGAATTCCTTCAAAATGAGGCAGGGACCTAGGGCTTTCTCTAAGGTCCCCACAGGCGATTCAGACATCCCTTCATGTTGTGAGATGAAAGACGAGCCTGTATTCAAGCCACTGCAAGGAAATCCGGCCTCCTTTCAAGTTAGGGCTTCTCGCTGTATATTCCACTTGAGGCAGCGATCTCGGGGTCCATACCACATACCTATTGCTGAGAGAAGCCTCCTCCTGAGGTGCTTCTGGAAAGTTGGCATATGTCTTGAGCCTAAGCCAGGGAATCAGCTCTCATCTAGAGACGATTTGAGGTACACGGAGCATTCCTCGAATTGCTGTGCTGAAGTTGGTGTTCCTCTAGACTTGGGACAGTGTTCTCGGGGCATCTCTGGAGTTGCCTGAAGGATGTCGAGCCACCGGTCGTGTTGAATGAGGAACGGGGAATGGCTCTGGAGTCAATGCAGGGGAATCGGGCCTCATCTCGAGTTGATTTGGGGCAAATGGAGCTGCTTTGCTTTGCTGGGGTGACCTCAGGGTCGGTCTAGACTGGTGACAGTGTTCTTGGGGACTGTCTCGAGATCCATTAAGCAAGTTGAAGCTCCTGACTTGTTTGAATGGGATCACGGAATAGCTCTGCATGCACTGCAGGGGAATGGGGCCTCATCTCGCCTCTAGGGGGAAGTCTCATGGTTTTTTTTGAGTTGTGGCCGGGACCTGGGTTACGTTCTCGCCTTACGGCGGGGATGGCCCTTCAAAACACGAGTTTCTTCAGTGACGTCAGGACTCCTGTCTAGTAACGAGGGACACCTCAGGAATCTCTTCGAGGCTTGCCATGGCAAAAGGGACGCTCCTCGATGTGAGGCAGGGCACCCAAGGACCCTGTCCAGTAGCCACAGAGATTTTGGGATCCCTATCAGTATTCAAGAGGAGTCAGGCATCGTCATCTTTTGAAGCAATGGACTCCGCGTGCCTCTCGAGGTGTCAACGGGATGTGAGGCATTCCGTCAAAATGAGGCAGGGTCCTAGGGCTTACTCTAAGGTCTCCACAGGGGATTCAGACAGCACTTCATGTTTTGAGATGAAAGACGAGCCTGTATTCAAGCCACTGCAAGGAAATCCGGCCTCCTTTCAAGTTAGGGCTTCTCGCTGTATATTCCCCTTGAGGCAGCAAACTCAGGGTCCCTCCCACATACCTATTGCTGAGAGAAGCCTCCTCCTTGGGTGCTTCTGGAAAGTTGGCATATGGCTTGAGCCTAAGCCAGCGAATCAGCTCTCATCTCGAGACGTGTTGGGGTAAACCGAGCATTCCTCGATTTGCTGTGCTGAAGTTGGTGTTCTTCTAGACGTGGGACAGTGTTCTCGGGGCATCTCTGGAGTTGCCTGAAGGAAGTCGAGCCACCGGTCGTGTTGAATGGGGAACGGGGAATGGCTCTGGAGTCAATGCAGGGGAATCGGGCCTCATCTCGAATTGATTTGGGGCACATGGAGCTGCTTTGCATTGCTGCGGTGACATCAGGGTCCGTCTAGACTGGTGACAGTGTTCTTGGGGACTGGCTCGAGATCCATTAAGCAAGTCGAAGCACCTGACTTGTTTGAATGGGATCACGGAGTAGCTCTGCATGCACTGCAGGGGAATGGGGCCTCATCTCGCCTCTAGGGGGAAGTCTCATGGTTTTTCTCGAGTTGCGGCGGGGACCTGGGGTATGTTCTCGACTTACGGCGGGGATGGCCCTTCAAAACACGAGTTTCTTCAGTGACGTCAGGACTCCTGTCTAGTAACGAGGGACACCTCAGGAATCTCTTCGAGGCTTGGAAGGGCAAAAGGGACGCTTCTCGAGGTGAGGCAGGGCACCCAAGGACCCTTTCTAGTAGCCACAGGGATTTTGGGATTCCTATCAGTATTCAAGAGGAGTCAGGCATCGTCACCGTTTGAAGCAATGAACTCCGCGTGCCTCTCGAGGTGTCAATGGGATGTGAGGCATTTCGTCAAAAAGAGGCAGGGACCTAGGGCTTTCTATAAGGTCTCCACAGGGGATTCAGACATCCCTTCATGTTGTGAGATGAGAGACGAGCCTGTATTCAAGCCACTGCAAGGAAATCCGGCCTCCTTTCAAGTTAGGGCTTCTCGCTTTATATTCCACTTGAGGCAGCGATCTCGGGGTCCCTCCCACATACCTATTGCTGAGAGAAGCCTCTTCCAAAGGTGCTTCTGGAAAGTTGGCATACGTCTTGAGCATAAGCCAGGGAATCAGCTCTCATCTCGATCCGATTTGTGGTAACGGAGCATTCCTCGAGTTGCTGTGCTGAAGATAGTGTTCTTCTAGACATGGGACAGTGTTCTCGGGGCATCTCTGGAGTTGCCTGAAGGAAGTCACCCCAACGGTCGTGTTGAAAGGGGAACGGGGAATGGCTCTGGAGTCAATGCAGGGGAATCAGGCCTCATCTGGAGTTGATTTGGGGCACATGGAGCTGCTTTGCGTTGCTGGGGTGACCTCAGGGTCCGTCTCGACTGGTGACACTGTTCTTGGGGACTGTCTCGAGATCCATTAAGCAAGTCGAAGCTCCTGACTTGTTTGAATGGGATCACGGAATAGCTCTGCATGCACGGCAGGGGAATGGGGCCTCATCTCGCCTCTAGGGGGAAGTCTCATGGTTTTTCTCGAGTTGCGGCGGGGACCTGGTGTATGTTCTCGACTTGCGGCGGGGATGGCCCTTCAAAACACGTGTTTCTACAGTGACGTCTGGACTCCTGTCTAGTAACGAGGGACACCTCAGGAATCGCTTCGAGGATTGGCAGGGCAAAAGGGACGCTTCTCGAGATGAGGCCCGGCACCCAAGCACCCTTTCCAGTAGCCACAGGGATTTTGGGATTCCTATCAGTATTCAAGAGGAGTCAGGCATCGTCACCTTTTGAAGCAATGAACTCCGCGTGCCTCTCGAGGTGTCAACGGGATGTGAGGCATTCCGTCAAAATGAGGCAGGGACCTAGGGCTTTCTCTAAGGTCTCCACAGGGGATTCAGACATCCCTTCATGTTGTGAGATCAAAGACGAGCCTGTATTCAAGCCACTGCAAGGAAATCCGGCCTCCTTTCAAGTTAGGGCTTTTCGCTGTGTATTCCACTTGAGGCAGCGATCTCGGGGTCCCTCCCACATACCTATTGCTAAGAGAAGCCTCTTCCTGAGGGGCTTCTGGAAAGTTGGCATACATCTTGAGCCTAAGCCAGGGAATCAGCTCTCATCTCTAGACGATTTGGGGTACACAGAGCATTCCTCCAGTTGCTGCGCTGAAGTTGGTGTTCCTCTAGACTTGGGACAGTGTTCTCGGGGCATCTCTGGAGTTGCCTGAAGGAAGTCGAGCCACCAGTCGTGTTGAATGAGAAACGGGGAATGGCTCTGGAGTCAATGCAGGGGAATCGGGCCTCATCTCGAGTTGATTTGGGGCACATGGAGCTGCTTTGCTTTGCTGGGGTGACCTCAGGGTCCGTCTAGACTGGTGACAGTGTTCTTGGGGACTGTCTCGAGATCCATTTAGCAAGTTGAAGCTCCTGACTTGTTTGAATGGGATCACGGAATAGCTCTGCATGCACTGCAGGGGAATGGGGCCTCATCTCGCCTCTAGGGGGAAGTCTCATGGTTTTTCTCGAGTTGCGGCGGGGACCTGGAGTATGTTCTCGACTTACGGCGGGGATGGCCCTTCAAAACACGAGTTTCTTCAGTGACGTCAGGACTCCTGTCTAGTAACGAGGGACACCTCAGGAATCTCTTCGAGGCTTGGCAGGGCAAAAGGGACGCTTCTCGAGGTGAGTCAGGGCACCAAGGACCTTTTCCTGTAGCCAGAGGGATTTTGGGATTCCTATCAGTATTCAAGAGGAGTCAGGCATCGTCAGCTTTTGAAGCAATGAACTCCGCATGCCTCTCGAGGTGTCAACGGGATGTGAGGAATTCCGTCAAAATGAGGCAGGGACCTAGGGCTTTCTCTAAGGTCTCCACAGGGGATTCAGACATCCCTTCATGTTGTGAGATGAGAGACGAGCCTGTATTCAAGCCACTGCAAGGAAATCAGGCCTCCTTTCAAGTTAGGGTTTCTCGCTGTATATTCCACTTGAGGCAGCGATCTCGGGGTCCATCCCACATACCTATTGATGAGAGAAGCCTCCTCTTGAGGTGCTTCTGGAAAGTTGGCATGCGTCTTCAGCCTAAGCCAGGGAATCAGCTGTCATCTCGAGACGATTTGTGGTACACGGAGCATTCCTCGAGTTGCTGTGCTGAAGTTGGTGTTCCTCTAGACCTGGGACAGTGTTCTCGGGGCATCTCTGGAGTTGCCTGAAAGAAGTCGAGCCACCGGTCGTGTTGAATGGGGAACGGGGAATTGCTCTGGAGTCAATGCAGGGGAATCGGGCGTCATCTCGACTTGATTTGGGGCACATGGAGCTGCTTTGCATTGCTGCGGTGACATCAGGGTCCGTCTAGACTGGTGACAGTGTTCTTGGGGACTGCCTCGAGATCCATTAAGCAAGTCGAAGCTCCTGACTTGTTTGAATGGGATCACGGAATAGCTCTGCATGCACTGCAGGGGAATGGGGCCTCATCTTGCCTCTAGGGGGAAGTCTCATGGTTTTTCTCGAGTTGCGGCGGGGACCTGGGCTGTGTTCTTGACTTAAGGCGGGGATGGCCCTTCAAAACATGAGTTTCTTCAGTGACGTCAGGACTCCTGTCTAGTAACGAGGGACACCTCAGGAATCTATTCGAGGCTTGGCAGGGCAAAAGGGACGCTTCTCGAGGTGAGGCAGGGCACCCAAGGACCCTTTTCAATAGCCAGAGGGATTTTGGGATTCCTGTCAGTATTCAAGAGGAGTCAGGCATCGTCACCTTTTGAAGCAATGAACTCCGCGTGCCTCTCTAGTTGTCAAAGGGATGTGAGGCATTCCGTCAAAATGAGGCAGGGACCTAGGGCTTTCTCTAAGGTCTCCACAGGGGATTCAGACTTCCCTTCATGTTTTGAGATCAAAGACGAGCCTGTATTCAAGCCACTGCAAGGAAATCCGGCCTCCTGTCAAGTTAGGGCTTGTCGCTGTATATTCCAGTTGAGGCAGCGATCTCGGGGTCCCTCCCCCATACCTATTGCTGAGAGAAGCCTCTTCCTGAGGTGCTTCTGGAAAGTTGGCATACGTCTTGAGCCTAAGCCAGGGAATCAGCTCTCATCTCGAGACGATTTGGGGTACATGGAGCATCCCTCGAGTTGCTGTGCTGAAGTTGGTGTTCCTCTAGACTTGGGACAGTGTTCTCGGGGCATCTCTGGAGGTGCCTGAAGGAAGTCGAGCCACCGGTCGTGTTGAATGGGGAACAGGGAATGGCTCTGGGGTCAATGCAGGGGAATCGGGCCTCATCTCGAGTTGATTTGGGGTACATGGAGCTGCCTTGCATTGCTGCGGTGACATCAGGGTCCGTCTAGACTGGTGACAGTGTTTTTGGGGACTGTCTCGAGATCCATTAGCAAGTCGAAGCTCCTGACTTGTTTGAATGGGATCACGGAATAGCTCTGCATGCACTGCAGGGGAATGAGGCCTCATCTCGCCTCTAGGGGGCAGTCTCATGGTTTTTCTCGAGTTGCGGCGGGGACCTGGGTTATGTTCTCGACTTACGGCGGGGATGGCCCTTCAAAACACGAGTTTCTTCAGTGACGTCAGGACTCCTGTCTAGTAACGAGGGACACCTCAGGAATCTCTTCGAGGCTTGGCAGGGCAAAAGGGACGCTTCTCGAGGTGAGGCAGGGCACCCAAGGACCCTTTCCAGTAGCCACAGGGATTTTGGGATTCCTATCAGTATTGAAGAGGATTCAGGGAATGTCACCTTTAGAAGCAATGAACTCCGCGTGCCTCTCGAGGTGTCAACGTGATGTGAGGCATTCCGTCAAAATGAGGCAGGGACCTAGGGCTTTCTCTAAGGTCTCCACAGGGGATTCAGACATCCCTTCATGTTTTGAGATTAAAGACGGTCCTGTATTCAAGCCACTGCAATGAAATCCGGCCTCCTTTCAAGTTAGGGCTTCTCGCTGTATATTCCACTTGAGGCAGCGATCTCGGGGTCCCTCCCACATACCTATTGCTGAGAGAAGCCTCCTCTTGAGGTGCTTCTGGAAAGTTGGCATACATCTTGAGCCTAAGCCAGGGAATCAGCTCTCATCTCGAGACGTTTTGGGGTACACGGAGCATTCCTCGAGTTGCTGTGCTGAAGTTGGTGTTCCTCTAGACTTGGGACAGTGTTCTCGGGGCATCTCTGGATTTGCCTGAAGGAAGTCGAGCCAACGGTTTTTTTGAATGGGGAACGGGGAATGGCCCTGGAGTCAATGCAGCGGAATCGGGCCTCATCTCGAATTGATTTGGGGCACATGGAGCTGCTTTGCATTGCTGCGGTGACATCAGGGTCCGTCTAGACTGGTGACAGTGTTCTTGGGGACTGTCTCGAGATCCATTAAGCAAGTCGAAGCACCTGACTTGTTTGAATGGGATCACGGAGTAGCTCTGCATGCACTGCAGGGGAATGGGGCCTCATCTCGCCTCTAGGGGGAAGTCATATGGTTTTTCTGTAGTTGCGGCGGGGACTTGGTGTATGTTCTCGACTTACGGCGGGGATGGCCCTTCAAAACACGAGTTTCTTCAGTGACGTCAGGACTCCTGTCTAGTAACGAGGGACACCTCAGGAATCACTTCGAGGCTTGGCAGGGCAAAAGGGACGATTCTCGAGGTGAGGCAGGGCACCCAAGGACGCTTTCCAGTAGCCACAGGGATTTTGGGATTCCTATCAGTATTCAAGAGGAGTCAGGCATCGTCACCTTTAGAAGCAATGAACTCCGCGTGCCTCTCGAGGTGTCAACGGGATGTGAGGAATTCCGTCAAAATGAGGCAGGGTCTTGGGCTTTCTCTAAGGTCCCCACAGGGGATTCAGACATCCCTTCATGTTGCGAGATCAAAGACGATCCTGTATTCAAGCCACTGCAAGGAAATTCGGCCTCCTTTCAAGTTAGGGCTTCTCCCTGTATATTCCACTTGAGGTAGCGATCTCGGGGTCCCTCCCTCATACCAATTGCTGAGAGAAGCCTCCTCTTGAGGTGCTTCTGGAAAGTTGGCATACGTCTTGAGCCTAAGCCAGGGAATCAGCTCTCATCTCGAGACGATTTGGGGTACACGGATCATTCCTCGACTTGCTGTGCTGAAGTTGGTGTTCCTCTAGACTTGGGACAGTGTTCTCGGGGCATCTCTGGAGTTGCCTGAAGGAAGTCGACCCACCGGTCGTGTTGAATGGGGAACGGGGAATGGCTCTGGAGTCAAGGCAGGGGAATCGGACCTCATCTCGATTTGATTTGGGGCACATGGAGCTGCTTTGCATTGCTGGGGTGACCTCAGGGTCCGTCTAGACTGGTGACAGTGTTCTTGGGGACTGTCTCGAGACCAATTAAGCAAGTCGAAGCTCCTGACTTCTTTGAATGGGATCACGGAATAGCTCTGCATGCACTGCAGGGGAATGGGGCCTCATCTCGCCTCTAGGGGGAAGTCTCATGGTTTTTCTCGAGTTGCGGCGGGGACCTGCGGTATGTTCTCGACTTACGGCGGGGATGGCCCTTCAAAACACGAGTTTCTTCAGTGACGTCAGGACTCCTGTCTAGTAACGAGGGACACCTCAGGTATCTCTTCGAGGCTTGGCAGGGCAAAAGGGACGCTTCTGAAGTGAGGCAGGGCACCCAAGGACCCTTTCCAGTAGCCACAGGGATTTTGGGATTCCTATCAGTATTCAAGAGGAGTCAGGCATCGTCAACTTTTGAAGCAATGAACTCCGCGTGCCTCTCGAGGTGTCAACGGGATGTGAGGCATTCCGTCAAAATGAGGCAGGGATCTAGGGCTTTCTCTAAGGTCTCCAAAGGGGATTCAGACTTCCCTTCATGTTTTGAGATGAGAGACGAGCCTGTATTCATGCCACTGCAAGGAAATCCGGCCTCCTTTCAAGTTAGGGCTTCTCGCTATATTCCCCTTGAGGCAGCAAACTCGGGGTCCCTCCCACATACCTATTGCTGAGAGAAGCCTCCTCCTGGGGTGCTTCTGGAAAGTTGGCATATGGCTTGAGCCTAAGCCAGGGAATCACCTCTCATCTCGAGACGTGTTGGGGTACACGGAGCATTCCTCGAGTTGCTGTGCTGAAGTTGGTGTTCTTCTAGACGTGGGACAGTGTTCCCGTGGCATCTGTGGAGTTGCCTGAAGGAAGTCGAGCCACCGGTCGTGTTGAATTGAGAACGGGGAATGGCTCTGGAGTCAATGCAGGGGAATCGGGCCTTATCTCGAGTTGATTTGGGGCACATGGGGCTGCTTTGCGTTGCTGGGGTGACCTCAGGGTCCGTCTAGACTGGTGACAGTGTTCTTGGGGACTGTCTCGAGATCCATTAAGCAAGTCGAAGCTCCTGACTTGTTTGAATGGGATCACGGAATAGCTCTGCATGCCCGGCAGGGGAATGGTGCCTCATCTCGCCTCTAGGGGGAAGTCTCATGGTTTTTCTCGAGTTGCGGCGGGGACCTGGGGTATGTTCTCGACTTACGGCGGGGATGGGCCTTCAAAACACGAGTTTCTTCAGTGACGTCAGGACTCCTGTCTAGTAACGAGGGACACCTCAGGAATCTCTTCGAGGCTTGGAAGGGCAAAAGGGACGCTTCTCGAAATGAGGCAGGGCACCCAAGGACCCTTTCCAGTAGCCACAGGGATTTTGGGATTCCTATCCGTATTCAAGAGGAGTCAGGCATCGTCACCTTTTGAAGCAATGAACTCCGCGTGCCTCTCGAGGTGTCAACGGGATGTGAGGCATTCAGTCAAAATGAGGCAGGGACCTAGGGCTTTCTCTAAGGTCTCCACAGGGGATTCAGACATCCCTTCATGTTGTGAGATGAGAGACGAGCCTGTATTCAAGCCACTGCAAGGAAATCCGGCCTCCTTTCAAGTTAGGGCTTCTCGTTGTATATTCCACTTGAGGCAGCGATCTCGGGGTCCCTCCCACATACCTATTGCTAAGAGAAGCCTCTTCCTGAGGGGCTTATGGAAAGTTGGCATACATCTTGAGCCTAAGCAAGGGAATCAGCTCTCATCTCGAGACGATTTGGGGTACACAGAGCATTCCTCGAGTTGTTGTGCTGAAGTTGGTGTTCCTCTAGACTTGGGACAGTGTTCTCGGGGCATCTCTGGAGTTGCCTGAAGGAAGTCCAGCCACCGGTCGTGTTGAATGGGGAACGGGGAATGGCTCTGGAGTCAATGCAGGGGAATCGGGCCTCATCTCGAGTTGATTTGGGGCACATGGAGCTGCTTTGCGTTGCTGGGGTGACCTCAGGGTCCGTCTAGACTGGTGACAGTGTTCTTGGGAACTGTCTCGAGAACCATTAAGCAAGTCGAATCTCCTGACTTGTTTGAATGGGATCACGGAATAGCTCTGCATGCACGGCAGGGGAATGGTGCCTCATCTCGCCTCTAGGGGGAAGTCTCATGGTTTTTCTCGAGTTGCGGCGGGGACCTGGGGTATGTTCTCGACTTACGGCGGGGATGGCCCTTCAAAACCCGAGTTTCTTCAGTGACGTCAGGACTCCTGTCCAGTAACGAGGGACACCTCAGGAATCTCTTCGACGCTTGGCAGGGCAAAAGGGACGCTTCTCGAGGTGAGGCAGGGCACCCAAGGACCCTTTCCAGTAGCCACAGGGATTTTGGGATTCCTATCAGTATTCAAGAGGAGTCAGGCATCGTCACCTTTAGAAGCAATGAACTCCGCGTGCCTCTCGAGGTGTCAACGGGATGTGAGGCATTCCGTCAAAATGAGGCAGGGACCTAGGGCTTACTCTAAGGTCTCCACAGGGGATTCAGACATCCCTTCATGTTTTGAGATGAAAGACGAGCCTGTATTCAAACCACTGCAAGGAAATCCGGCCTACTTTCAAGTTAGGGCTTCTCGCTGTATATTCCCCTTGAGGCAGCAAACTCGGGGTCCCTCCCACATACCTATTGCTGAGAGAAGCCTCCTCCTGGGCTGCTTCTGGAAAGTTGGCATATGGCTTGAGCCTAAGCCAGGGAATCAGCTCTCATCTCGAGACGTGTTGGGGTACACGGAGCATTCCTCGAGTTGCTGTGCTGAAGTTGGTGTTCTTCTAGACGTGGGACAGTGTTCCCGCGGCATCTCTGGAGTTGCCTGAAGGAAGTCGAGCCACCGGTCGTGTTGAATGGGGAACGGGGAATGGCTCTGGAGTCCATGCAGGGGAATCGGGCCTCATCTCGAGTTGATTTGGGGCACATGGAGCTGCTTTGCTTTGCTGGGGTGACCTCAGGGTCCGTCTAGACTGGTGACAGTGTTCTTGGGAACTGTCTCGAGATCCATTAAGCAAGTCGAATCTCCTGACTTGTTTGAATGGGATCACGGAATAGCTCTGCATGCACTGCAGGGGAATGGCGCCTCATCTCGCCTCTAGGGGGAAGTCTCATGGTTTTTCTCGAGTTGCGGCGGGGACCTGGGGTATGGTCTCGACTTACGGCGGGGATGGCCCTTCAAGACACGAGTTTCTTCAGTGACGTAAGGACTCCTGTCTAGTAACGAGGGACACCTCAGGAATCTCTTCGAGGCTTGGCAGGGCAAAAGGGACGCTTCTCGAGGTGAGGCAGGGCACCCAAGGACCCTTTCCAGTAGCCACAGGGATTTTGGGATTCCTATCAGTATTCAAGAGGAGTCAGGCATCGTCACCTTTTGATGCAATGAACTCCGCGTGCCTCTCTAGGTGTCATCGGAATGTGAGGCATTCCGTCAAAATGAGGCAGGGACGTAGGGCTTTCTCTATGGTCTCCACAGGGGATTCAGACATCCCTTCATGTTGTGAGATGAGAGACGAGCCTGTATTCAAGCCACTGCAAGGAAATCAGGCCTCCTTTCAAGTTAGGGCTTCTCGCTGTATATTCCACTTGAGGCAGCGATCTCGGGGTCCCTCCCACATACCTATTGCTGAGAGAAGCCTCTTCCTGAGGTGCTTCTGGAAAGTTGGCATACGTCTTGAGCCTAAGGAAGGGAATCAGCTCTCATCTCGAGACGATTTGGGGTACACGGAGCATCCCACGAGTTGCTGTGCTGAAGTTGTTGTTCCTCTAGACGTGGGACAGTGTTCTCGGGGCATCTCTGGAGTTGCCTGAAGGAAGTCGAGCCACCGGTCGTGTTGAATGGGGAACGGGGAATGGCTCTGGAGTCAATGCAGGGGAATCGGGCCTTATCTCGAGTTGATTTGGGGCACATGGAGCTGCTTTGCATTGCTGGGGTGACCTCAGGGTCCGTCTAGACTGGTGACAGTGTTCTTGGGGACTGTCTCGAGATCCATTAAGCAAGTCGAAGCTCCTGACTTGTTTGAATGGGATCACGGAATAGCTCTGCATGCCCGGCAGGGGAATGGTGCCTCATCTCGTCTCTCGGGGGAAGTCTCATGGTTTTTCTCGAGTTGCGGCGGGGACCTGGGGTATGTTCTCGACTTACGGCGGGGATGGCCCTTCAAAACACGAGTTTCTTCAGTGACGTCAGGACTCCTGTCTAGTAACGACGGACACTTCAGGAATCTCTTCGAGGCTTGGCAGGGCAAAAGGGACGCTTCTCGAGGTGAGGCAGGGCACCCAAGGACCCTTTCCAGTAGCCACAGGGATTTTGGGATTCCCATCAGTATTCAAGAGGAGTCAGGCATCGTCACCTTTTGAAGCAATGAACTCCGCGTGCCTCTCGAGGTGTCAATGGGATGTGAGGAATTACGTCAAAATGAGGCAGGGACCTAGGGCTTTCTCTAAGGTCTCCACAGGGGATTCAGACATCCCTTCATGTTGTGAGATGAGAGACGAGCCTGTATTCAAGCCACTGCAAGGAAATCCGGCCTCCTTTCAAGTTAGGGCTTCTCGTTGTATATTCCACTTGAGGCAGCGATCTCGGGGTCCCTCCCACATACCTATTGCTGAGAGAAGCCTCTTCCTAAGGTGCTTCTGTAAAGTTGGCATACGTCTTGAGCCTAAGCCAGGGAATCAGCTCTCATCTCGATCCGATTTGTGGTAACGGAGCATTCCTCGAGTTGCTGTGCTGAAGATAGTGTTCCTCTAGACATGGGACAGTGTTCTCGGGGCATCTCTGGAGTTGCCTGAAGGAAGTCACCCCACCGGTCGTGTTGAATGGGGAACGGGGAATGGCTCTGGAGTCAATGCAGGGGAATCGGACCTCATCTCGATTTGATTTGGGGCACATGGAGCTGCTTTGCGTTGCTGGGGTGACCTCAGGGTCCATCTAGACTGGTGACAGTGTTCTTGGGGACTGTCTCGAGACCCATTAAGCAAGTCGAAGCTCCTGACTTGTTTGAATGGGATCACGGAATAGCTCTGCATGCACTGCAGGGAATGGGGCCTCATCTCGCCTCTAGGGGGAAGTCTCATGGTTTTTCTCGAGTTGCGGCGGGGACCTGGGGTATGTTCTCGACTTACGGCGGGGATGGCCCTTCAAAACACGAGTTTCTTCAGTGACGTCAGGACTCCTGTCTAGTAACGAGGGACACCTCAGGTATCTCTTCGAGGCTTGGCAGGGCAAAAGGGACGCTTCTGAAGTGAGGCAGGGCACCCAAGGACCCTTTCCAGTAGCCACAGGGATTTTGGGATTCCTCTCAGTATTCAAGAGGAGTCAGGCATCGTCACCTTTTGAAGCAATGAACTCCGCGTGCCTCTCGAGGTGTCAACGAAATGTGAGGCATTCCGTCAAAATGAGGCAGGGATCTAGGGCTTTCTCTAAGGTCTCCAAAGGGGATTCAGACTTCCCTTCATGTTTTGAGATGAGAGACGAGCCTGTATTCATGCCACTGCAAGGAAATCCGGCCTCCTTTCAAGTTAGGGCTTCTCGCTGTATATTCCCCTTGAGGCAGCAAACTCGGGGTCCCTCCCACATACCTATTGCTGAGAGAAGCCTCTTCCTGAGTTGCTTCTGGAAAGTTGGCATACATCTTGAGCCTAAGGAAGGGAATCAGCTCTCATCTCGAGACGATTTGGGGTACACGGAGCATCCCTCGAGTTGCTGTGCTGAAGTTGGTGTTCCTCTAGACTTGGGACAGTGTTCTCGGGGCATCTCTGGAGTTGCCTGAAGGAAGTCGAGCCACCGGTCGTGTTCAATGGGGAACGGGGAATGGCTCTGGAGTCAATGTAGGGGAATCCGGCCTCATCTCGATTTGATTTGGGGCACATGGAGCTGCTTTGCGTTGCTGGGGTGATCTCAGGTTCCGTCTATACTGGTGACAGTGTTCTTGGGGCCTGTGTCAAGATCCATTAAGCAAGTCGAAGCTCCTGACTTGTTTGAATGGGATCACGGAATAGCTCTGCATGCACTGCAGGGGAATGGGGCCTCATCTCGCCTCTAGGGGGAAGTCTCATGGTTTTTCTGTAGTTGCGGCGGGGACCTGGGTTATGTTCTCGACTTACGGCGGGGATGGCCCTTCAAAACACGAGTTTCTTCAGTGACGTCAGGACTCCTGTCTAGTAACGACGGACACTTCAGGAATCTCTTCGAGGCTTGGCAGGGCAAAAGGGACGCTTCTCGAGGTGATGCAGGGCACCCAAGGACCCTTTCCAGTAGAAACAGGGATTTTGGTATTCCTCTCAGTATTCAAGAGGAGTCAGGCATTGTCACCTTTTGAAGCAATGAACTCCGCGTGCCTCTCGAGGTGTCAACGTGATGTGAGGCATTCCGTCAAAATGAGGCAGGGACCTAGGGCTTTCTCTAAGGTCTCCACAGGGGATTCAGACATCCGTTCATGTTTTGAGATCAAAGACGAGCCTGTATTCAAGCCACTGCAAGGAAATCCTGCCTCCTTTCAAGTTAGGGCTTCTCGCTGTATATTCCACTTGAGGCAGCGATCTCGGGGTCCCTACCACATAACTATTGCTGAGAAAAGCCTCCTCCTGAGGTGCTTCTGGAAATTTGGCATATGTCTTCAGCCTAAGCCAGGGAATCAGCTCTCATCTCGAGACGAGTTGGGGTACACGGAACATTCCTCGAGTTGCTGTGCTGAAGTTGGTGTTCCTCTAGACTTGGGACAGTGTTCTCGGGGCATCTCTGGAGTTGCCTGAAGGAAGTCGAGCCACCGGTCGTGTTGAATGGGGAACGGGGAATTGCTCTGGAGTCAATGAAGGGGAATGGGGCCTCATCTCGATTTGATTTGGGGCACATGGAGCTGCTTTGCGTTGCTGGGTTGACCTCAGGGTCCCTCTAGACTGGTGACAGTGTTCTTGGGAACTTTCTCGAGATCCATTAAGCAATTCGAAGGTCCTGACTTGTTTGAATGGGATCACGGAATAGCTCTGCATGCTCTGCACGGGAATGGGGCCTCATCTCGCCTCTAGGGGGAAGTCTCATGGTTCTTCTCGAGTTGCGGCGGGGACCTGGGGTATGTTCTCGACTTACGGCGGGGATGGCCCTTCAAAACACGAGTTTCTTCAGTGACGTCAGGACTCCTGTCTAGTAACGACGGACACTTCAGGAATCTCTTCGAGGCTTGGCAGGGCAAAAGGGACGCTTCTCGAGGTGATGCAGGGCACCCAAGGACCCTTTCCAGTAGAAACAGGGATTTTGGTATTCCTCTCAGTATTCAAGAGGAGTCAGGCATTGTCACCTTTTGAAGCAATGAACTCCGCGTGCCTCTCGAGGTGTCAATGGGATGTGAGGCATTACGTCAAAATGAGGCAGGGACCTAGGGCTTTCTCTAAAGTCTCCACAGGGGATTCAGACATCCCTTCATGTTGTGAGATGAGAGACGAGCCTGTATTCAAGCCACTGCAAGGAAATCCGGCCTCCTTTCAAGTTAGGGCTTCTCGCTGTATATTCCACTTGAGGCAGCGATCTCGGGGTCCCTCCCACATACCTATTGCTGAGAGAAACCTCTTCCTAAGGTGCTTCTGGAAAGTTGGCATACGTCTTGAGCCTAAGCCAGGGAATCAGCTCTCATCTCGATCCGATTTGTGGTAATGGAGCATTCCTCGAGTTGCTGTGCTGAAGATAGTGTTCCTCTAGACATGGGACAGTGTTCTCGGGGCATCTCTGGAGTTGCCTGAAGGAAGTCACCCCACCGGTCGTGTTGAATGGGGAACGGGGAATGGCTCTGGAGTCAATTCAGGGGAATCGGACCTCATCTCGATTTGATTTGGGGCACATGGAGCTGCTTTGCGTTGCTGGGGTGACCTCAGTTTCCGTCTAGACTGGTGACAGTGTTCTTGGGGACTGTCTCGAAACCCATTAAGCAAGTCGAAGCTCCAGACTTGTTTGAATGGGATCACGGAATAGCTATGCATGCACTGCAGGGAATGGGGCCTCATCTCGCCTCTAGGGGGAAGTCTCATGGTTTTTCTCGAGTTGCGGCGGGGACCTGGGGTATGGTCTCGACTTACGGCGGGGGTGGCCCTTCAAAACACGAGTTTCTTCAGTGACGTCAGGACTCCTGTCTAGTAACGAGGGACACCTCAGGTATCTCTTCGAGGCTTGGCAGGGCAAAAGGGACGCTTCTGAAGTGAGGCAGCGCACCCAAGGACCCTTTCCAGTAGCCACAGGGATTTTGGGATTCCTATCAGTATTCAAGAGGAGTCAGGCATCGTCACCTTTTGAAGCAATGAACTCCGCGTGCCTCTCGAGGTGTCAGCGGGATGTGAGGCATTCCGTCAAAATGAGGCAGGGCCCTAGGGCTTTTTAAGGTCTCCACAGGGGATTCAGACATCCCTTCATGTTGTGAGATGAAAGACGAACCTGTATTCAAGCCACTGCAAGGAAATACGGCCTCCTTTCAAGTTAGGGTTTCTCGCTGTATATTCCACTTGATGCAGCGATCTCGGGGTCCCTACCACATACCTATTGCTGAGAGAAGCCTCTTCCTAAGGTGCTTCTGGAAAGTTGGCATACGTCTTGAGCCTAAGCCAGGGAATCAGTTCTAATCTCGAGACGATTTGGGGTACACGGAGTATTCCTCGAGTTGCTGTGCTGAAGATAGTGTTCCTCTAGACCTGGGACATGTTCTCGGGGCATCTCTGGAGTTGCCTGAAGGAAGTCGAGCCACCGGTCGTGTTGAATGGGGAACGGAGAATTGCTCTGGAGTCAATGCGGGGGAATCGGGCCTCATCTCGTGTTGATATGGGGCAAATGCAGCTGCTTTGCATTGCTGGGGTGAACTCAGGGTCCGTCTAGACTGGTGACAGTGTTCTTGGGGACTGTCTCGAGATCGATTTAGCAAGTCGAAGCTCCTGACTTGCTTGAATGGGATCACGGAATAGCTCTCCATGCACTGCAGGGAATGGGGCCTCATCTCGCCTCTAGGGGGAAGTCTCATGGTTTTTCTCGAGTTGCGGCGGGGACCTGGGGTATGTTCTCGACTTACGGCGGGGATTGCCCTTCAAAACACGAGTTTCTTCAGTGACGTCAGGACTCCTGTCTAGTAATGAGGGACACCTCAGGAATCTCTTCGAGGCTTGGCAGGGCAAAAGGGACGCTCGTCGAGGTGAGGCAGGGCACCCAAGGACCCTTTCCAGTAGCCACAGGGATTTTGGGATTCCTCTCAGTATTCAAGAGGAGTCAGGCCTCGTCACTTTTTGAAGCAATGAACTCCGTGTGCCTCTCGAGTTGTCAACGGGATGTGAGGCATTCCGTCAAAATGAGGCAGGGACCTAGGGCTTTCTCTAAGATCTCCACAGGGGATTCAGACATCCCTTCATGTTGTGAGATGAGAGACGAGCCTGTATTCAAGCCACTGCAAGGAAATCCGTCCTCCTTTCAAGTTAGGGCTTCTCGCTGTATATTCCACTTGAGGCAGCGATCTCGGGGTCCTTCCCACATACCTGTTGCTGAGAGATGCCTCCTCTTGAGGTGCTTCTGGAAAGTTGGCATACGTCTTGAGCCTAAGCCAGGGAATCAGCTCTCATCTCGAGACGATTTGGGGTACACGGAGCATTCCTCGAGTGACTGTGCTGAAGTTGGTGTTCCTCTAGACTTGGGACAGTGTTCTCGGGCATCTCTGGAGTTGCCTGAAGGAAGTCGAGCCACCGGTCGTGTTGAATGGGGAACGGGGAATGGCTCTGGAGTCAATGCAGGGGAATCGGGCCTCATCTCGAGTTGATTTGGGGCACATGGAGCTGCTTTGCGTTGCTGGGGTGAACTCAGGGTCCGTCTAGACTGGTGACAGTGTTCTTGGGGACTGTCTCGAGATCGATTTAGCAAGTCGAAGCTCCTGACTTGCTTGAATGGGATCACGGAATAGCTCTCCATGCACTGCAGGGGAATGGGGCCTCATCTCGCCTCTAGGGGGAAGTCTCATGGTTTTTCTCGAGTTGCGGCGGGGACCTGGGGTATGTTCTCGACTTACGGCGGGGATTGCCTTTCAAAACACGAGTTTCTTCAGTGTCGTCAGGACTCCTATCTAGTAACGAGGGACACCTCAGGAATCTCTTCGAGGCTTGGCAGGGCAAAAGGGACGCTTCTCGAGGTGAGGCAGGGCACCCAAGGACCCTTTCCAGTAGCCACAGGGATTTTGGTATTCCTATCAGTATTCAAGAGGAGTCAGGCATCGTCACCTTTTGAAGCAATGAACTCTGCGTGCCTCTCGAGGTGTCAGCAGGATGTGAGGCATTCCGTCAAAATGAGGCAGGGACCTAGGGCTTTCTCTAAGGTCTCCACAGGGGATTCAGTCATCCCTTCAGGTATTGAGATCCAAGACGAGCCTGTATTCTAGCCACTGCAAGGAAATCCAGCCTCCTTTCAAGTTAGGGCTTCTCGCTGTATATTCCCCTTGAGGCAGCATACTCGGGGTCCCTCCCACATACCTATTGCTGAGAGAAGCCTCCTCCTGAGGTGCTTCTGGAAAGTTGGCATACGTCTTGAGCCTAAGCCAGGGAATCAGCTCTCATCTCGAGACGATTTGGGGTACACGGAGCATTCCTCGAGTTGCTGTGCTGATGTTGGTGTTCCTCTAGTCTTGGGACAGTGTTCTCGGGGCATCTCTGGAGTTGCCTGAAGGAAGTCGAGCCACCGGTCGTGTTGAATGGGGAACGGGGATTGGCTCTGGAGTCAATTCTGGGGAATCGGGCCTCATCTAGAGTTGATTTGGGGCCCATGGAGCTGCTTTGCGTTGCTAGGGTGACCTCAGGGTCCGTCTAGACTGTTGACAGTGTTCTTTGGGACTGTCTCAAGATCCATTAAGCAAGTCGAAGCTCCTGACTTGTTTGAATGGGATCACGGAATAGCTCTGCATGCACTGCAGGGGAATGGGGCCTCATCTCGAGTTGATTTGGGGCACATGGTGCTGCTTTGCGTTGCTGGGGTGACCTCAGGGTCCATCTAGACTGGTGACAGTGTTCTTGGGGACTGTCTCGAGATCCATTAAGCAAGTCGAAGCTCCTTTCTTGCTTGAATGGGATCACGGAATAGCTCTGCATGCACTGCAGGGGAATGGGGCCTCATCTCGCTTCTACGGGGAAGTCTCATGGTTTTTCTCGAGTTGCGGCGGGGACCTGGGGTATGTTCTCGACTTACGGCGGGGATGGCCCTTCAAAACACGAGTTTCTTCAGTGACGTCAAGACTCCTGTCTAGTAACGAGGGACACCTCAGGAATCTCTTCGAGGCTTGGCAGGGCAAAAGGGACGCTTCTCGAGGTGAGGCAGGGCACCCAAGGACCCTTTCCAGTAGCCACAGGGATTTTGGGATTCCTATCAGTATTCAAGAGGAGTCAGGCATCGTCACCTTTTGAAGCAATGAACTCCGCGTGCCTCTCGAGGTGTCAGCGGGATGTGAGGCATTCCGTCAAAATGAGGCAGGGACCTAGGGCTTTCTCTATGGTCTCCACAGGGGATTCAGACATCCCTTCATGTTGTGAGATGAAACACGAGCCTGTATTCAAGCCACTGCAAGGAAATCCGGCCTCCTTTCAAGTTAGGGCTTCTCGCTGTATATTCCCCTTGAGGCAGCATACTCGGGGTCCCTCCCACATACCTATTGCTGAGAGAAGCCTCCTCCTGAGTTGCTTCTGGAAAGCTGGCATACGTCTTGAGCCTAAGCCAGGGAATCAGCTCTCATCTCGAGACGATTTGTGGTACACCAAGCATTCATCGAGTTGCTGTGCTGAAGTTGGTGTTCCTCTAGACTTGGGAAAGTGTTCTTGGGGCATCTCTGGAGTTGCCTGAAGGAAGTCGAGCCACTGGTCGTGTTGAATGGGGAATGGGGAGTGGCTCTGGAGTCAATGCAGGGGAATCGGGCCTCATCTCGAGTTGATTTGGGGTACATGGAGCTGCTTTGCGTTGCTGGGGTGACCTCAGGGTCCGTCTAGACTGGTGACAGTGTTCTTGGGGACTGTCTCGAGATCCATTAAGCAAGTCGAAGCTCCTGACTTGTTTGAATGGGATCACGGAATAGCTCTGCATGCACTGCAGGGGAATGGGGCCTCATCTCGCCTCTAGGGGGAAGTCTCATGGTTTTTTTCGAGTTGCGGCGGGGACCTGGGGTATATTATCAACTTACGGCGGGGATGGCCCTTCAAAACACGAGTTTCTTCAGTGACGTCAGGACTCCTGTGTAGTAACGAGGGACACCTCAGGAATCTCTTCGAGGCTTGGCAGGGCAAAAGGGACGCTTCTCGAGGTGAGGCAGGGCACCCAAGGACCCTTTCCAGTAGCCACAGGGATTTTGGGATTCCTATCAGTATTCAAGAGGAGTCAGGCATCGTCACCTTTTGAAGCAATGAACTCCGCGTGCCTCTCGAGATGTCAGCGGGATGTGAGGCATTCCGTCAAAATGAGGCAGGGACCTAGGGCTTTCTCTAAGGTCTCCACAGGGGATTCAGACATCCCTTTATGTTGTGAGATGAAAGACGAGCCTCTATTCAAGCCACTTCACGGAAATCTGGCTTCCTTTCAAGTTAGGGCTTCTCGCTGTATATTCCCCTTGAGGCAGCATACTCGGGGTCCCTCCCACATACCTACTGCTGAGAGAAGCCTCCTCCTGAGGTGCTTCTGGAAAGTTGGCATACGTCTTGAGCCTAAGCCAGGGAATCAGCTCTCATCTCGAGACGATTTGGGGTACACGGAGCATTCATCGAGTTGCTGTGCTGAAGTTGGTGTTCCTCTAGACTTGGGACAGTGTTCTCGGGGCATCTCTGGAGTTGCCTGAAAGAAGTCGAGCCACCGGTCGTGTTGAATGGGGAACGGGGAATGGCTCTGGAGTCAATGCAGGCGAATCGGGACTCATCTCGAGTTGATTTGGGGCACATGGAGCTGCTTTGCGTTGCTGGGGTGACCTCAGCGTCCCTCTAGACTGGTGACAGTGTTCTTGGGGACTGTCTTGCATTCCATTAAGCAAGTCGAAGCTCCTGACTTGCTTGAATGGGATCACGGAATAGCTCTGCATGCACTGCATGGGAATGGGGCCTCATCTCGCGTCTTGGGGGAAGTTTCATGGTTTTTCTCGAGTTGCGGCGGGTACCTGGGGTATATTATCCACTTACGGCGGGGATGGCCCTTCAAAACATGAGTTTCTTCAGTGACGTCAGGACTCCTGTCTAGTAACGAGGGACACCTCAGGAATCTCTTCGAGGCTTGGCAGGGCAAAAGGGACGCTTCTCGACGTGAGGCAGGGCACCCAAGGACCCTTTCCAGTAGCCACAGGGATTTTGGTATTCCTATCAGTATTCAAGAGGAGTCAGGCATCGTCACCTTTTGAAGCAATGAACTCCGCGTGCCTCTCGAAGTGTCAGCCGTATGTGAGGCATTCCGTCAAAATGAGGCAGGGAACTAGGGCTTTCTCTAAGGTCTCCACAGGGGATTCAGACATCCCTTCATGTTGTTAGATGAAAGACGAGCCTGTATTCAAGCCACTGCAAGGAAATCCGGCCTCCTTTCAAGTTAGGGCTTCTCGCTGTATATTCCCCTTGAGGCAGCATACTCGGGGTCCCTCCCACATACCTATTGCTGAGAGAAGCCTCCTCCTGAGGTGCTTCTGGAAAGTTGGCATACGTCTTGAGCCTAAGCCAGGGAATCAGCTCTCATCTCGAGACGATTTGGGGTACACGGAGCATTCATCGAGTTGCTGTGCTGAAGTTGGTGTTCCTCTAGACTTGGGACAGTTTTCTCGGGGCATCTCTGGAGTTGCCTGAAGGAAGTCGAGCCACCATTCGTGTTGAATGGGGAATGGGGAATGGCTCTGGAGTCAATGCAGGGGAATCGGGCCTCATCTCGAGTTGATTTGGGGCCCATGGAGCTGCTTTGCGTTGCTAGGGTGACCTCAGGGTCCGTCTAGACTGGTGACAGTGTTCTTGGGGACTGTCTCGAGATCCATTAAGCAAGTCGAAGCTCCTGACTTGTTTGAATGGGATCACGGAATAGCTCTGCATGCACTGCAGGGGAATGGGGCCTCATCTCGCCTCTAGGGGGAAGTCTCATGGTTTTTGTCGAGTTGCGGCGGGGACCTGGGGTATGTTCTCGACTTACGGCGGGGATGGCCCTTCAAAACACGCGTTTATTCAGTGACGTCAGGACTCGTGTCTAGTAACGACGGACACCTCAGGAATCTCTTCGAGTCTTGGCAGGGCAAAAGGGACGCTTCTCGAGGTGAGGCAGGGCACCCAAGGACCCTTTCCAGTAGCCACAGGGATTTTGGGATTCCTATCAGTATTCAAGAGGAGTCAGGCATCGTCACCTTTTGAAGCAATGAACTCCGCGTGCCTCTCGAGGTGTCAGTGGGATGTGAGGCATTCCGTCAAAAGTAGGCAGGGACCTAGGGCTTTCTCTAAGGTCTCCACAGGGGATTCAGACATCCCTTCATGTTGTGAGATGAAAGACGAGCCTGTATTCAAGCTACTGCAAGGAAATCCGGCCTCCTTTCAAGTTAGGGCTTCTCGCTGTATATTCCCCTTGAGGCAGCATACTCGGGGTCCCTCCCACATACCTATTGCTGAGAGAAGCCTCCTCCTGAGGTGCTTCTGGAAATTTGGCATACGTCTTGAGCCTAAGCCAGGGAATCAGCTCTCATCTCGAGACGATTTGGGGTACACGGAGCATTCATCGAGTTGCTGTGCTGAAGTTGGTGTTCCTCTAGTCTTGGGACAGTGTTCTCGGGGCATCTCTGGAGTTGCCTGAAGGAAGTCGAGCCACCGGTCGTGTTGAATGGGGAACGGGGATTGGCTCTGGAGTCAATGCAGGGGAATCGGGCCTCATCTCGAGTTGATTTGAGGCCCATGGAGCTGCTTTGCGTTGCTAGGGTGACCTCAGGGTCCGTCTAGACTGTTGACAGTGTTCTTTGGGACTGTCTCAAGATCCATTAAGCAAGTCGAAGCTCCTGACTTGTTTGAATGGGATCACGGAATAGCTCTGCATGCACTGCAGGGGAATGGGGTCTCATCTCGAGTTGATTTGGGGCACATGGAGCTGCTTTGCGTTGCTGGGGTGACCTCAGGGTCCGTCTAGACTGGTGACAGTGTTCTTGGGGACTGTCTCGAGACCCATTAAGCAAGTCGAAGCTCCTGACTTGCTTGAATGGGATCACGGAATAGCTCTCCATTCACTGCAAGGGAATGGGGCCTCATCTCGCCTCTAGGGGAAAGTCTCATGGCTTTTCTCGAGTTCCGGCGGGGACCTGGGGTATATTATCCACTTACGGCGGGGATGGCCCTTCAAAACATGAGTTTCTTCAGTGACGTCAGGACTCCTGTCTAGTAACGAGGGACACCTCAGGAATCTCTTCGAGGCTTGGCAGGGCAAAAGGGACGCTTCTCGACGTGAGGCAGGGCACCCAAGGACCCTTTCCAGTAGCCACAGGGATTTTGGTATTCCTATCAGTATTCAAGAGGAGTCAGGCATCGTCACCTTTTGAAGCAATGAACTCCGCGTGCCTCTCGAAGTGTCAGCCGTATGTGAGGCATTCCGTCAAAATGAGGCAGGGACCTAGGGCTTTCTCTAAGGTCTCCACAGGGGATTCAGACATCCCTTCATGTTGTTAGATGAAAGACGAGCCTGTATTCAAGCCACTGCAAGGAAATCCGGCCTCCTTTCAAGTTAGGGCTTCTCGCTGTATATTCCCCTTGAGGCAGCATACTCGGGGTCCCTCCCACATACCTATTGCTGAGAGAAGCCTCCTCCTGAGTTGCTTCTGGAAAGCTGGCATACGTCTTGAGCCTAATCCAGGGAATCAGCTCTCATCTCGAGACGATTTGGGGTACACCGAGCATTCCTCGAGTTGCTGTGCTGAAGTTGGTGTTCCTCTAGACTTGGGAAAGTGTTCTTGGGGCATCTCTGGAGTTGCCTGAAGGAAGTCGAGCCACTGGTCGTGTTGAATGGGGAATGGGCAGTGGCTCTCGAGTCAATGCAGGGGAATCGGGCCTCATCTCGAGTTGATTTGGGGTACATGGAGCTGCTTTGCGTTGCTGGGGTGACCTCAGGGTCCGTCTAGACTGGTGACAGTGTTCTTGGGGACTGTCTCGAGATCCATTAAGCAAGTTGAAGCTCCTGACTTGATTGAATGGGATCACGGAATAGCTCTGCATGCACTGCAGGGGAATGGGGCCTCATTTCGCCTCTACGGGGAAGTATCATGATTTTTCTCGAGTTACGGCGGTTACCTGGGGTATGTTCTCGACTTACGGCGGGGATGGCCCTTCAAAACACGAGTTTCTTCAGTGACGTCAGGACTCCTGTCTAGTAACGAGGGACACCTCAGGAATCTCTTCGAGGCTAGGCAGGGCAAAAGGGACGCTTCTCCAGGTGAGGCAGGGCACCCAAGGACCCTTTCCAGTAGCCACAGGGATTTTGGGATTCCTATCAGTATTCAAGAGGAGTCAGGCATCGTCACCTTTTGAAGCAATGAAATCCGCGTGCCTCTCGTGGTGTCAGCGGGATGTGAGGCATTCCGTCAAAATGAGGCAGGGACCTAGGGCTCTCTCTAAGGTCTCCACAGGGGATTCAGACATCCCTTCATGTTGTTAGATGAAAGACGAGCCTATATTCAAGCCACTGCAAGGAAATCCGGCCTCCTTTCAAGTTAGGGCTTCTCGCTGTATATTCCCCTTGAGGCAGCATACTCGGGATCCCTCCCACATACCTATTGCTGAGAGAAGCCTCCTCCTGAGGTGCTTCTGTAAAGTTGGCATACGTCTTGAGCTTAAGCCAGGGAATCAGCTCTCATCTCGAGACGATTTGGGGTACACGGAGCATTCCTCGAGTTGCTGTGCTGAAGTTGGTGTTCCTCTAGACTTGGGACAGTGTTCTCGGGGCATCTCTGGAGTTGCCTGAAGGAAGTCGAGCCACCGGTCGTGTTGAATGGGGAACGGGGAATGGCTCTGGAGTCAATGCAGGGGAATCGGGCCTCATCTCGAGTTGATTTGGGGCACATGGAGCTGCTTTGCGTTGCTGGGATGACCTCAGGGTCCGTCTAGACTGGTGACAGTGTTCTTGGGGACTGTCTCGAGATCCATTAAGCAAGTCGAAGCTCCTGACTTGTTTGAATGGGATCACGGAATAGCTCTGCATGCACTGCAGGGGAATGGGGCCTCATCTCGCCTCTAGGGGGAAGTCTCATGGTTTTTCTCGAGTTGCGGCGGGGACCTGGGGTATATTATGCACTTACGGCGGGGATGGCCCTTCAAAACACGAGTTTCTTCAGTGACGTCAGGACTCCTGTCTAGTAACGAGGGACACCTCAGGAATCTCTTCGAGGCTTGGCAGGGCAAAAGGGACGCTTCTCGAGGTGAGGCAGGGCACCCAAGGACCCTTTCCAGTAGCCACAGGGATTTTGGTATTCCTATCAGTATTCAAGAGGAGTCAGGCATCGTCACCTTTTGAAGCTATGAACTCCGCGTGCCTCTCGAGGTGTCAGCGGGATGTGAGGCATTCCGTCAAAATGAGGCAGGGACCTAGGGCTTTCTCTAAGGTCTCCACAGGGGATTCAGACATCCCTTCATGTTGTTAGATGAAAGACGAGCCTGTATTCAAGCCACTGCAAGGAAATCCGGCCTCCTTTCAAGTTAGGGCTTCTCGCTGTATATTCCCCTTGAGGCAGCATACTCGGGGTCCCTCCCACATACCTATTGCTGAGAGAAGCCTCCTCCTGATGTGCTTCTGGAAAGTTGGCATACGTCTTGAGCCTAAGCCAGGGAATCAGCTCTCATCTCGAGACGATTTGGGGTACACGGAGCATTCCTCGAGTTGCTGTGCTGAAGTTGGTGTTCCTCTAGACTTGGGACAGTGTTCTCGGGGCATCTCTGGAGTTGCCTGAAGGAAGTCGAGCCACCGGTCGTGTTGAATGGGGAATGGGGAATGGCTCTGGAGTCAATGCAGGGGAATCGGGCCTCATCTCGAGTTGATTTGGGGCCCATGGAGCTGCTTTGCGTTGCTAGGGTGACCTCAGGGTCCGTCTAGACTGGTGACAGTGTTCTTGGGGACTGTCTCGAGATCCATTAAGCAAGTCGAAGCTCCTGACTTGTTTGAATGGGATCACGGAATAGCTCTGCATGCACTGCAGGGGAATCGTGCCTCATCTCGAGTTGATTTGGGGCACATGGAGCTGCTTTGCGTTGCTGGGGTGACCTCAGGGTCCGTCTAGACTGGTGACAGTGTTCTTGGGGACTGTCTCGAGATCCATTAAGCAGGTCGAAGCTCCTGACTTGTTTGAATGGGATCACGGAATAGCTCTGCATGCACTGCAGGGGAATGGGGCCTCATCTCGCCTCTAGGGGGAAGTCTCATGGTTTTTCTCGAGTTGCGGCGGGGACCTGGGGTATGTTCTCGACTTACGGCGGGGATGGCCCTTCAAAACACGAGTTTCTTCAGTGACGTCAGGACTCCTGTCTAGTAACGAGGGACACCTCAGGAATCTCTTCGAGGCTTGGCAGGGCAAAAGGGACGCTTCTCGAGGTGAGGCAGGGCACCCAAGGACCCTTTCCAGTAGCCACAGGTATTTGGGATTCCTATCAGTATTCAAGAGGAGTCAGGCATCCTCACCTTTTGAAGCAATGAACTCTGTGTGCCTCTCGGGGTGTCAGCGGGATGTGAGGCATTCCATCAAAATGAGGCAGGGACCTAGGGCTTTCTCTAAGGTCTCCACAGGGGATTCAGACATCCCTTCATGTTGTGAGATGAAAGACGAGCCTGTATTCAAACCACTGCAAGGAAATCCGGCCTCCTTTCAAGTTAGGGCTTCTCGCTGTATATTCCCCTTGAGGCAGCAAACTCGGGGTCCCTCCCACATACCTATTGCTGAGAGAAGCCTCCTCCTGAGGTGCTTCTGGAAAGTTGGCCTACGTCTTGAGCCTAAGCCAGGGAATCAGCTCTCATCTCGAGATGATTTGTGGTACACGGAGCATTCCTCGAGTTGCTGTGTTGAAGTTGGTATTCCTCTAGACTTGGGACAGTGTTCTCGGGGCATCTCTGGAGTTGCCTGAAGGAAGTCGAGCCACTGGTCGTGTTGAATGGGGAACGGGGAATGGCTCTGGAGTCAATGCAGGGGAATCGTGCCTCATCTCGAGTTGATTTGGGGCACATGGAGCTGCTTTGCATTGCTGGGGTGACCTCAGGGTCCGTCTAGACTGGTGACAGTGTTCTTGGGTCTGTCTCGAGGTCCATTAAGCACGTCGAAGCTCCTGACTTGTTTGAATGGGATCACGGAATAGCTCTGCATGCACTGCAGGGGAATGGGGCCTCATCTCGCCTCTAGGGGAAATCTCATGGTTTTTCTCGAGTTGCGGCAGGAACCTGGGGTATGTTCTCAACTTACGGCGGCGATGGCCCTTCAAAACACGAGTTTCTTCAGTGACGTCCAAACTCCTGTCTAGTAACGAGGGACACCTCAGGAATCTCTTCGAGGCTTGGGAGGGCAAAAGGGACGCTTCTCGAGGTGAGGCAGGGCACCCAAGGACCCTTTCCAGTAGCCACAGGGATTTTGGGATTCCTATCAGTATTCAAGAGGAGTCAGGCATCGTCACCTTTTGAAGCAATGAAGTCCGCGTGCCTCTCGAGGTGTCAGCGGGATGTGAGGCATTCCGTCAAAATGAGGCAGGGACCTAGGGCTTTCTCTAAGGTCTCCACAGGGGATTCAGACATCCCTTCATGTTGTGAGATGAAAGACGAGCCTGTATTCAAGCCACTGCAAGGAAATCTGGCCTCGTTTAACGTTAGGGCTTCTCCCTGTATATTCCCCTTGAGGCAGCAAACTCGGGGTCCCTCCCACATACCTATTGCTGAGAGAAGCCTCCTCTTGAGGTGCTTCTGGAAAGTTGGCATACGTCTTGAGCCTAAGCCAGGGAATCAGCTCTCATCTCGAGATGATTTGCGGTACACGGAGCATTCCTCGAGTTGCTGTGCTGAAGTTGGTGTTCCTCTAGAGTTGGGACAGTGTTCTCGGGGCATCTATGGAGTTGCCTGAAGGAAGTCGAGCCACCGGTCCTGTTGAATGGGGAACGGGGAATGGCTCTGGAGTCAATGCAGGGGAATCGGGCCTCATCTCGAGTTGATTTGGGGCACATGGAGCTGCTTTGCGTTGATGGGGTGACCTCAGGGTCCGTCTAGGGTGATGACAGTGTTCTTGGGGACGGTCTCGAGAACCATTAAGCAAGTCGAAGCTCCTGACTTGTTTGAATGGGATCACGGAATAGCTCTGCATGCACTGCAGGGGAATGGGGCCTCATCTCGCCTCTAGGGGGAAGTCGCATGGTTTTTCTCGAGTTGCGGCGGGGACCTGGGGTATGTTCTCGACTTACGGCGGGGATGGCCCTTCAAAACACGAGTTTCTTCAGTGACGTCAGGACTCCTGTCTAGTAACGAGGGACACCTCAGGAATCTCTTCAAAGCTTGGCAGGGCAAAAGGGACGCTTCTCGAGGTGAGGCAGGGCACCCAAGGACCCTTTCCAGTAGCCACAGGGATTTTGGGATTCCTATCAGTATTCAAGAGGAGTCAGGCATCGTCACCTTTTGAAGCAATGAACTCCGCCTGCCTCTCGAGGTATCAGCGGGATGTGAGGCATTCCGTCAAAATGAGGCAGGGACCTAGGGCTTTCTCTAAGGTCTCCACAGGGGATTCAGACATCCCTTCATGTTGTGAGATGAAACACGAGCCTGTATTCAAGCCACTGCAAGGAAATCCGGCCTCCTTTCAAGTTAGGGCTTCTCTCTGTATATTCCCCTTGAGGCAGCAAACTCGGGGTCCCTCCCACATACCTATTGCTGAGAGAAGCCTCCTCCTGAGATGCTTCTGGAAAGTTGGCATACGTCTTGAGCCTAAGCCAGGAATCAGCTCTCATCTCGAGACGATTTGGGGTACACGGAGCATTCCTCGAATTGCTGTGCTGAAGTTGATGTTCCTCTAGACTTGGGACAGTGTTCTCAGGGCATCTCTGGAGTTGCCTGAAGGAAGTCGAGCCACCGGTCGTGTTGAATGGGGAACGGGGAATGGCTCTGGAGTCAATGCAGGGGAATCGTGCCTCATCACGAGTTGATTTGGGGCACATGGAGCTGCTTTGCATTGCTGGGGTGATCTCAGGGTCCGTCTAGACTGGTGACAGTGTTCTTGGGGTCTGTCTCGAGATCCATTAAGCAAGTCGAAGCTCCTGACTTGTTTGAATGGGATCACGGAATAGCTCTGCATGCACTGCAGGGGAATGGGGCCTCGTCTCGCCTCTAGGGGGAAGTCTCATGGTTTTTCTCGAGTTGCGGCGGGGACCTGGGCTATATTATGCACTTACGGCGGGGATGGCCCTTCAAAACACGAGTTTCTTCAGTGACGTCAGGACTCCTGTCTAGTAACGAGGGACACCTCAGGAATCTCTTCGAGGCTTGGCAGGGCAAAAGGGACGCTTCTCGAGGTGAGGCAGGGCACCCAAGGACCCTTTCCAGTAGCCACAGGGATTTTGGTATTCCTATCAGTATTCAAGAGGAGTCAGGCATCGTCACCTTTTGAAGCTATGAACTCCGCGTGCCTCTCGAGGTGTCAGCGGGATGTGAGGCATTCCGTCAAAATGAGGCAGGGACCTAGGGCTTTCTCTAAGGTCTCCACAGGGGATTCAGACATCCCTTCATGTTGTTAGATGAAAGACGAGCCTGTATTCAAGCCACTGCAAGGAAATCCGGCCTCCTTTCAAGTTAGGGCTTCTCGCTGTATATTCCCCTTGAGGCAGCATACTCGGGGTCCCTCCCACATACCTATTGCTGAGAGAAGCCTCCTCCTGATGTGCTTCTGGAAAGTTGGCATACGTCTTGAGCCTAAGCCAGGGAATCAGCTCTCATCTCGAGACGATTTGGGGTACACGGAGCATTCCTCGAGTTGCTGTGCTGAAGTTGGTGTTCCTCTAGACTTGGGACAGTGTTCTCGGGGCATCTCTGGAGTTGCCTGAAGGAAGTCGAGCCACCGGTCGTGTTGAATGGGGAATGGGGAATGGCTCTGGAGTCAATGCAGGGGAATCGGGCCTCATCTCGAGTTGATTTGGGGCCCATGGAGCTGCTTTGCGTTGCTAGGGTGACCTCAGGGTCCGTCTAGACTGGTGACAGTGTTCTTGGGGACTGTCTCGAGATCCATTAAGCAAGTCGAAGCTCCTGACTTGTTTGAATGGGATCACGGAATAGCTCTGCATGCACTGCAGGGGAATCGTGCCTCATCTCGAGTTGATTTGGGGCACATGGAGCTGCTTTGCGTTGCTGGGGTGACCTCAGGGTCCGTCTAGACTGGTGACAGTGTTCTTGGGGACTGTCTCGAGATCCATTAAGCAGGTCGAAGCTCCTGACTTGTTTGAATGGGATCACGGAATAGCTCTGCATGCACTGCAGGGGAATGGGGCCTCATCTCGCCTCTAGGGGGAAGTCTCATGGTTTTTCTCGAGTTGCGGCGGGGACCTGGGGTATGTTCTCGACTTACGGCGGGGATGGCCCTTCAAAACACGAGTTTCTTCAGTGATGTCAGGACTCCTGTCTAGTAACGAGGGACACCTCAGGAATCTCTTCGAGGCTTGGCAGGGCAAAAGGGACGCTTCTCGAGGTGAGGCAGGGCACCCAAGGACCCTTTCCAGTAGCCACAGGTATTTGGTATTCCTATCAGTATTCAAGAGGAGTCAGGCATCCTCACCTTTTGAAGCAATGAACTCTGCGTGCCTCTCGGGGTGTCAGCGGGATGTGAGGCATTCCATCAAAATGAGGCAGGGACCTAGGGCTTTCTCTAAGGTCTCCACAGGGGATTCAGACATCCCTTCATGTTGTGAGATGAAAGACGAGCCTGTATTCAAACCAATGCAAGGAAATCCGGCCTCCTTTCAAGTTAGGGCTTCTCGCTGTATATTCCCCTTGAGGCAGCAAACTCGGGGTCCCTCCCACATACCTATTGCTGAGAGAAGCCTCCTCCTGAGGTGCTTCTGGAAAGTTGGCATACGTCTTGAGCCTAAGCCAGGGAATCAGCTCTCATCTCGAGATGATTTGTGGTACACGGAGCATTCCTCGAGTTGCTGTGTTGAAGTTGGTATTCCTCTAGACTTGGGACAGTGTTCTCGGGGCATCTCTGGAGTTGCCTGAAGGAAGTCGAGCCACTGGTCGTGTTGAATGGGGAACGGGGAATGGCTCTGGAGTCAATGCAGGGGAATCGTGCCTCATCTCGAGTTGATTTGGGGTACATGGAGCTGCTTTGCGTTGCTGGGGTGACCTCAGGGTCCGTCTAGACTGGTGACAGTGTTCTTGGGGACTGTCTCGAGATCCATTAAGCAAGTTGAAGCTCCTGACTTGCTTGAATGGGATCACGGAATAGCTCTGCATGCACTGCAGGGGAATGGGGCCTCGTCTCGCCTCTAGGGGGAAGTCTCATGGTTTTTCTCGAGTTGCGGCGGGGACCTGGGCTATATTATGCACTTAGGGCGGGGATGGCCCTTCAAAACACGAGTTTCTTCAGTGACGTCAGGACTCCTGTCTAGTAACGAGGGACACCTCAGGAATCTCTTCGAGGCTAGGCAGGGCAAAAGGGACGCTTCTCCAGGTGAGGCAGGGCACCCAAGGACCCTTTCCAGTAGCCACAGGGATTTTGGGATTCCTATCAGTATTCAAGAGGAGTCAGGCATCGTCACCTTTTGAAGCAATGAACTCCGCGTGCCTCTCGAGGTGTCAGCGGGATGTGAGGCATTCCGTCAAAATGAGGCAGGGACCTAGGGCTCTCTCTAAGGTCTCCACAGGGGATTCAGACATCCCTTCATGTTGTTAGATGAAAGACGAGCCTGTATTCAAGCCACTGCAAGGAAATCCGGCCTCCTTTCAAGTTAGGGCTTCTCGCTGTATATTCCCCTTGAGGCAGCATACTCGGGGTCCCTCCCACATACCTATTGCTGAGAGAAGCCTCCTCCTGAGGTGCTTCTGGAAAGTTGGCATACATCTTGAGCTTAAGCCAGGGAATCAGCTCTGATCTCGAGACGATTTGGGGTACACGGAGCATTCCTCGAGTTGCTGTGCTGAAGTTGGTGTTCCTCTAGACTTGGGACAGTGTTCTCGGGGCATCTCTGGAGTTGCCTGAAGGAAGTCGAGCCACCGGTCGTGTTGAATGGGGAACGGGGAATGGCTCTGGAGTCAATGCAGGGGAATCGGGCCTCATCTCGAGTTGATTTGGGGCACATGGAGCTGCTTTGCGTTGCTGGGGTGACCTCAGGGTCCGTCTAGACTGGTGACAGTGTTCTTGGGGACTGTCTCGAGATCCATTAAGCAAGTCGAAGCTCCTGACTTGTTTGAATGGGATCACGGAATAGCTCTGCATGCACTGCAGGGGAATGGGGCCTCATCTCGCCTCTAGGGGGAAGTCTCATGGTTTTTCTCGAGTTGCGGCGGGGACCTGGGTATGTTCTCGACTTACGGCGGGGATGGCCCTTCAAAACACGAGTTTCTTCAGTGACGTCAGGACTCGTGTCTAGTAACGAGGGACACCTCAGGAATGTCTTTGAGTCTTGGCAGGGCAAAAGGGACGCTTCTGGAGGTGAGGCAGGGCACCCAAGGACCCTTTCCAGTAGCCACAGGGATTTTGGGATTCCTATCAGTATTCAAGAGGAGTCAGGCATCGTCACCTTTTGAAGCAATGAACACCGCGTGCCTCTCGAGGTGTCAGCGGGATGTGAGGCATTCCGTCAAAATGAGGCAGGGACCTAGGGCTTTCTCTAAGGTCTCCACAGGGGATTCAGACATCCCTTCATGTTGTGAGATGAAACACGAGCCTGTATTCAAGCCATTGCAAGGAAATCTGGCCTCCTTTCAAGTTAGGGCGTCTCGCTGTATATTCCCCTTGAGGCATCAAACTCGGGGTCCCTCCCACATACCTATTGCTAAGAGAAGCCTCCTCCTGAGGTGCTTCTGGAAAGTTGGCATACGTCTTGAGCCTAAGCCAGGGAATCAGCTCTCATCTCGAGACGATTTCTGGTACACGGAGCATTCCTCGAGTTGATGTGCTGAAGTTGGTGTTCCTCTAGACTTGGGACAGTGTTCTCGGGGCATCTCTGGAGTTGCCTGAAGGAAGTCGAGCCACCAGTCCTGTTGAATGGGGAACGGGGAATGGCTCTGGAGTCAATGCAGGGGAATCGGGCCTCATCTCGAGTTGATTTGGGGCACATGGAGCTGATTTGCGTTGCTGGGGTGACCTCAGGGTCCGTCTAGGGTGGTGACAGTGTTCTTGGGGACTGTCTCGAGATCCATTAAGCAAGTCGAAGCTCCTGACTTGTTTGAATGGGATCACGGAATAGCTCTGCATTCACTGCAGGGGAATGGGCCTCATCTCGAGTTGATTTGTTGCACATGGAGCTGCTTTGCTTTGCTGGGGTGACCTCAGGGTCCGTCTAGACTGGTGACAGTGTTCTTGGGGACTGTCTCGAGATCCATTAAGAAAGTCGAAGCTCCTGACTTGTTTGAATGGGATCACGGAATAGCTCTGCATGCACTGCAGGGGAATGGGGCCTCACCTCGCCTCTAGGGGGAAGTCTCATGGTTTTTCTCGAGTTGCGGCGGGGACCTGGGGTATGTTCTCGACTTACGGCGGGGATGGCCCTTCACAACACGAGTTTCTTCAGTGACGTCAGGACTCCTGTCTAGTAACGAGGGACACCTCAGGAATCTCTTCGAGGCTTGGCAGGGCAAAAGGGACGCTTCTCGAGGTGAGGCAGGGCACCCAAGGACCCTTTCCAGTAGCCACAGTGATTTTGGTATTCCTATCAGTATTCAAGAGGAGTCAGGCATCGTCACCTTTTGAAGCAATGAACTCCGCGTGCCTCTCGAGGTGTCAGCGGGATGTGAGGCATTTCGTCAAAATGAGGCAGGGACCTAGGGCTTTCTCTAAGGTCTCCACAGGGGATTCAGACATCCCTTCATGTTGTGAGATGAAACACGAGCCTGTATTCAAGCCACTGCAAGGAAATCCGGCCTCCTTTCAAGTTAGGGCTTCTCGCTGTATATTCCCCTTGAGGCAGCAAACTCGGGGTCCCTCCCACATACCTATTGCTGAGAGAAGCCTCCTCCTGAGGTGCTTCTGGAAAGTTGGCATACGTCTTGAGCCTAAGCCAGGGAATCAGCTCTCATCTCGAGACGATTTGGGGTACACAGGGCATTCCTCGAGTTGCTGTGCTGAAGTTGGTGTTCCTCTAGACTTGGGACAGTGTTCTCGGGGCATCTCTGGAGTTGCCTGAAGGAAGTCGAGCCACCGGTCGTGTTGAATGGGGAACGGGGAATGGCTCTGGGGTCAATGCAGTGGAATCGGGCCTCATCTCGAGTTGATTTGGGGCACATGGAGCTGCTTTGCATTGCTGGGGTGACCTCAGGGTCCGTCTAGGTTGGTGACAGTGTTCTTGGGGACTGTCTCGAGATCCATTAAGCAAGTCGAAGCTCCTGACTTGTTTGAATGGGATCACGGAATAGCTCTGCATGCACTGCAGGGGAATGGGGCCTCATCTCCCCTCTAGGGGGAAGTCTCATGGTTTTTCTCGAGTTAGGGCGGGGATGGCCCTTCAAAACACGAGTGTCTTCAGTGACGTCAGGACTCCTGTCGAGTAACGAGGGACACCTCAGGAATCTCTTCGAGGCTTGGCAGGGCAAAAGGGACGCTTCTGGAGGTGAGGCAGGGCACCCAAGGACCCTTTCCAGTAGCCACAGGGATTTTGGGATTCCTATCAGTATTCAAGAGGAGTCAGGCATCGTCACCTTTTGAAGCAATGAACTCCGCGTGCCTCTCGAGGTGTCAGCGGGATGTGAGGCATTCCGTCAAAAGTAGGCAGGGACCTAGGGCTTTCGCTAAGGTCTCCACAGGGGATTCAGACATCCCTTCATGTTGAGAGATGAAAGACGAGCCTGTATTCAAGCCACTGCAAGGAAATCCGGCCTCCTTTCAAGTTAGGGCTTCTCGCTGTATATTCCCCTTGAGGCAGCATACTCGGGGTCCCTCCCACATACCTATTGCTGAGAGAAGCCTCCTCCTGAGGTGCTTCTGGAAAGTTGGCATACGTCTTGAGCCTAAGCCAGGGAATCACCTCTCATCTCGAGACGATTTGGGGTACACGGAGCATTCCTCGAGTTGCTGTGCTGAAGTTGGTGTTCCTCTAGACTTGGGACAGTGTTCTCGGGGCATCTCTGGAGTTGCCTGAAGGAAGTCGAGCCACCGGTCGTGTTGAATGGCGAATGGGGAATGGCTCTGGAGTCAATGCAGGGGAATCGGGCCTCATCTCGAGTTGATTTGGGGCCCATGGAGGTGCTTTGCGTTGCTAGGGTGACCTCAGGGTCCGTCTAGACTGGTGACAGTGTTCTTGGGGACTGTCTCGAGATCCATTAAGCAAGTCGAAGCTCCTGACTTGTTTGAATGGGATCACGGAATAGCTCTGCATGCACTGCAGCAGAATCGGGCCTCATCTCGAGTTGATTTGGGGCACATGGAGCTGCTTTGCGTTGCTGGGGTGACCTCAGGGTCCGTCCAGACTGGTGACAGTGTTCTTTGGGACTGTCTCGAGATCCATTTAGCAAGTCGAAGCTCCTGACTTGTTTGAATGGGATCACGGAATAGCTCTGCATGCATTGCAGGGGAATGGGGCTTCATCTCGCCTCTAGGGGCAAGTCTCATGGTTTTTCTCGAGTTGCGGCAGGGACCTGGGTTATGTTCTCGACTTACGGCGGGGATGGCCCTTCAAAACACGAGTTTCTTCAGTGACGTCAGGACTCCTGTCTAGTAACGAGGGACACCTCAGGAATCTCCTCGAGGCTTGGCAGGGCAAAAGGGACGCTTCTCGAGGTGAGGTAGGGCACCCAAGGACCCTTTCCAGTAGCCACAGGGATTTTGGGATTCCTATCAGTATTCAAGAGGAGTCAGGCATCGTCACCTTTTGAAGCAATGAACTCTGCGTGCCTCTCGAGGTGTCAGCGGTATGTGAGGCATTCCATCAAAATGAGGCAGGGACCTAGGACTTTCTCTAAGGTATCCACAGTGGATTCAGACATCCCTTCATGTTGTGAGATGAAAGACGAGATTGTATTCAATCCAATGCAAGAAATCCGGCCTCCTTTCAAGTTAGGGCTTCTCGCTGTATATTCCCCTTGAGGCAGCATACTCGGGGTCCCTCCCACATACCTATTGCTGAGAGAAGCCTCCTCCTGAGGTGCTTCTGGAAAGTTGGCATACGTCTTGAGCCTAAGCCAGGGAATCAGCTCTCATCTCGAGACGATTTGGGGTATACGGAGCATTCATCGAGTTGCTGTGCTGAAGTTGGTGTTCCTCTAGACTTGGGACTGTGTTCTCGGGGCATCTCTGGAGTTGCCTGAAGGAAGTCGAGCCACCGGTTGTGTTGAATGGGGAATGGTGAATTGCTCTGGAGTCAACGCAGGGGAATCGGGCCTCATCTCGAGTTGATTTGGGGCACATGGAGCTGCTTTGCGTTGCTGGGGTGACCTCAGGTTCCGTCTAGACTGGTGACAGTGTTCTTGGGGACTCTCTCGAGATCCATTAAGCAAGTCGAAGCTCCTGACTTGTTTGAATCGGATCACGGAATAGCTCTGCATGCACTGCAGGGGAATGGGGCCTCATCTCGCCTCTAGGGGGAAGTCTCATGGTTTTTCTCGAGTTGAGGCGGGGACCTGGGGTATGATCTCGACTTACGGCGGGGATGGCCCTTCAAAACACGAGTTTCTTCAGTGACGTCAGGACTCCTGTCTAGTAACGAGGGACACCTCAGGAATCTCTTCGAGGCTTGGCAGGGAAAAGGGACGCTTCTCGAGGTGAGGCAGGGCACCCAAGGACCCTTTCCAGTAGCCACAGGGATTTTGGGATTCCTATCAGTATTCAAGAGGAGTCAGGCATCGTCACCTTTTGAAGCAATGAACTCTGCGTGCCTCTCGAGGTGTCAGCGGGATGTGAGGCATTCCATCAAAATGAGGCAGGGACTAGGGCTTTCTCTAAGGTCTCCACAGGGGATTCAGACATCCCTTCATGTTGTGAGATGAAAGACGAGCCTGTATTGAAACCACTGCAAGGAAATCTGTCCTTGTTTCACGTTAGGGCTTCTCCCTGTATATTCTCCTTGAGGCAGCAAACTCGGGGTCCCTCCCACATAGCTATTGCTGAGAGAAGCCTCCTCTTGAGGTGCTTCTGGAAAGTTGGCATACGTCTTGAGCCTAAGCCAGGGAATGAGCTCTCATCGTGGGGACGATTTGGGGTACACGGAGCATTCCTCGAGTTGCTGTGCTGAAGTTGGTGTTCCTCTAGACTTGGGACAGTGTTCTTGGGGCATCTCTGGAGTTGCCTGAAGGAAGTCGAGCCACCGGTGGTGTTGAATGGGGAACGGGGATTGGCTCTGGAGTCAATGCAGGGGAATCGGGCCTCATCTCGAGTTGATTTGGGGCACATGGAGCTGCTTTGCTTTGCTGGGGTGACCTCAGGGTCCGTCTAGACTGGTGACAGTGTTCTTGGGAAATGTCTCGAGATCCATTAAGCAAGTCGAAGCTCCTGACTTGTTTGAATGGGATCACGGAATAGCTCTGCATGCACTGCAGGGGAATGGGGCCTCACCTCGCCTCTAGGGGGAAGTCTCATGGTTTTTGTCGAGTTGCGGCGGGGACCTGGGGTATGTTCTCGACTTACGGCGGGGATGGCCCTTCACAACACGAGTTTCTTCAGTGACGTCAGGACTCCTGTCTAGTAACGAGGGACACCTCAGGAATCTCTTCGAGGCTTGGCAGGGCAAAAGGGACGCTTCTCGAGGTGAGGCAGGGCACCCAAGGACCCTTTCCAGTAGCCACAGTGATTTTGGTATTCCTATCAGTATTCAAGAGGAGTCAGGCATCGTCACCTTTTGAAGCAATGAACTCCGCGTGCCTCTCGAGGTGTCAGCGGGATGTGAGGCATTCCGTCAAAATGAGGCAGGGACCTAGGGCTTTCTCTAAGGTCTCCACAGGGGATTCAGACATCCCTTCATGTTGTGAGATGAAACACGAGCCTGTATTCAAGCCACTGCAAGGAAATCCGGCCTCCTTTCAAGTTAGGGCTTCTCGCTGTATATTCCCCTTGAGGCAGCAAACTCGGGGTCCCTCCCACATACCTATTGCTGAGAGAAGCCTCCTCCTGAGGTGCTTCTGGAAAGTTGGCATACGTCTTGAGCCTAAGCCAGGGAATCAGCTCTCATCTCGAGACGATTTGGGGTACACAGGGCATTCCTCGAGTTGCTGTGCTGAAGTTGGTGTTCCTCTAGACTTGGGACAGTGTTCTCGGGGCATCTCTGGAGTTGCCTGAAGGAAGTCGAGCCACCGGTCGTGTTGAATGGGGAACGGGGAATGGCTCTGGAGTCAATGCAGTGGAATCGGGCCTCATCTCGAGTTGATTTGGGGCACATGGAGCTGCTTTGCATTGCTGGGGTGACCTCAGGGTCCGTCTAGGTTGGTGACAGTGTTCTTGGGGACTGTCTCGAGATCCATTAAGCAAGTCGAAGCTCCTGACTTGTTTGAATGGGATCACGGAATAGCTCTGCATGCACTGCAGGGGAATGGGGCCTCATCTCCCCTCTAGGGGGAAGTCTCATGGTTTTTCTCGAGTTACGGCGGGGATGGCCCTTCAAAACACGAGTGTCTTCAGTGACGTCAGGACTCCTGTCTAGTAACGAGGGACACCTCAGGAATCTCTTCGAGGCTTGGCAGGGCAAAAGGGACGCTTCTGGAGGTGAGGCAGGGCACCCAAGGACCCTTTCCAGTAGCCACAGGGATTTTGGGATTCCTATCAGTATTCAAGAGGAGTCAGGCATCGTCACCTTTTGAAGCAATGAACTCCGCGTGCCTCTCGAGGTGTCAGCGGGATGTGAGGCATTCCGTCAAAAGTAGGCAGGGACCTAGGGCTTTCTCTAAGGTCTCCACAGGGGATTCAGACATCCCTTCATGTTGAGAGATGAAAGACGAGCCTGTATTCAAGCCACTGCAAGGAAATCCGGCCTCCTTTCAAGTTAGGGCTTCTCGCTGTATATTCCCCTTGAGGCAGCATACTCGGGGTCCCTCCCACATACCTATTGCTGAGAGAAGCCTCCTCCTGAGGTGCTTCTGGAAAGTTGGCATACGTCTTGAGCCTAAGCCAGGGAATCAGCTCTCATCTCGAGACGATTTGGGGTACACGGAGCATTCCTCGAGTTGCTGTGCTGAAGTTGGTGTTCCTCTAGACTTGGGACAGTGTTCTCGGGGCATCTCTGGAGTTGCCTGAAGGAAGTCGAGCCACCGGTCGTGTTGAATGGCGAATGGGGAATGGCTCTGGAGTCAATGCAGGGGAATCGGGCCTCATCTCGAGTTGATTTGGGGCACATGGAGGTGCTTTGCGTTGCTAGGGTGACCTCAGGGTCCGTCTAGACTGGTGACAGTGTTCTTGGGGACTGTCTCGAGATCCATTAAGCAAGTCGAAGCTCCTGACTTGTTTGAATGGGATCACGGAATAGCTCTGCATGCACTGCAGCAGAATCGGGCCTCATCTCGAGTTGATTTGGGGCACATGGAGCTGCTTTGCGTTGCTGGGGTGACCTCAGGGTCCGTCCAGACTGGTGACAGTGTTCTTGGGGACTGTCTCGAGATCCATTAAGCAAGTCGAAGCTCCTGACTTGTTTGAATGGGATCACGGAATAGCTCTGCATGCATTGCAGGGGAATGGGGCTTCATCTCGCCTCTAGGGGGAAGTCTCATGGTTTTTCTCGAGTTGCGGCAGGGACCTGGGGTATGTTCTCGACTTACGGCGGGGATGGCCCTTCAAAACACGAGTTTCTTCAGTGACGTCAGGACTCCTGTCTAGTAACGAGGGACACCTCAGGAATCTCCTCGAGGCTTGGCAGGGCAAAAGGGACGCTTCTCGAGGTGAGGTTGGGCACCCAAGGACCCTTTCCAGTAGCCACAGGGATTTTGGGATTCCTATCAGTATTCAAGAGGAGTCAGGCATCGTCACCTTTTGAAGCAATGAACTCTGCGTGCCTCTCGAGGTGTCAGCGGTATGGGAGGCATTCCATCAAAATGAGGCAGGGACCTAGGACTTTCTCTAAGGTATCCACAGTGGATTCAGACATCCCTTCATGTTGTGAGATGAAAGACGAGATTGTATTCAATCCAATGCAAGAAATCCGGCCTCCTTTCAAGTTAGGGCTTCTCGCTGTATATTCCCCTTGAGGCAGCATACTCGGGGTCCCTCCCACATACCTATTGCTGAGAGAAGCCTCCTCCTGAGGTGCTTCTGGAAAGTTGGCATACGTCTTGAGCCTAAGCCAGGGAATCAGCTCTAATCTCGAGACGATTTGGGGTACACGGAGCATTCATCGAGTTGCTGTGCTGAAGTTGGTGTTCCTCTAGACTTGGGACAGTGTTCTCAGGGCATAGCTGGAGTTGCCTGAAGGAAGTCGAGCCACCATTCGTGTTGAATGGGGAATGGGGAATGGCTCTGGAGTCAATGCAGGGGAATCGGGCCTCATCTCGAGTTGATTTGGGGCCCATGGAGCTGCTTTGCGTTGCTAGGGTGACCTCAGGGTCCGTCTAGACTGGTGACAGTGTTCTTGGGGACTGTCTCGAGATCCATTAAGCAAGTCGAAGCTCCTGACTTGTTTGAATGGGATCACGGAATAGCTCTGCATGCACTGCAGGGGAATCGGGCCTCATCTCGAGTTGATTTGGGGCACATGGAGCTGCTTTGCATTGCTGGGGTGACCTCAGGGTCCGTCTAGACTGGTGACAGTGTTCTTGGGGACTGTCTCGAGATCCATTAAGCAAGTCGAAGCTCCTGACTTGTTTGAATGGGATCACGGAATAGCTCTGCATGCACTGCAGAGGAATGGGGCCTCATCTCGCCTCTAGGGGGAAGTCTCATGGTTTTTCTCGAGTTGCGGCGGGGACCTGGGGTATGTTCTCGACTTACGGCGGGGATGGCCCTTCAAAACACGAGTTTCTTCAGTGACGTCAGGACTCCTGTCTAGTAACGAGGGACACCTCAGGAATCTCTTCGAGGCTTGGCAGGGCAAAAGGGACGCTTCTCGAGGTGAGGCAGGGCACCCAAGGACCCTTTCCAGTAGCCACAGGGATTTTGGGATTCCTATCAGTATTCAAGAGGAGTCAGGCATCGTCACCTTTTGAAGCAATGAACTCCGCGTGCCTCTCGTGGTGTCAGCGGGATGTGAGGCATTCCGTCAAAATGAGGCAGGGACCTAGGGCTCTCTCTAAGGTCTCCACAGGGGATTCAGACATCCCTTCATGTTGTTAGATGAAAGACGAGCCTGTATTCAAGCCACTGCAAGGAAATCCGGCCTCCTTTCAAGTTAGGGCTTCTCGCTGTATATTCCCCTTGAGGCAGCATACTCGTGGACCCTCCCACATACCTATTGCTGAGAGAAGCCTCCTCCTGAGGTGCTTCTGGAAAGTTGGCATACGTCTTGAGCTTAAGCCAGGGAATCAGCTCTCATCTCGAGACGATTTGGGGTACACGGAGCATTCCTCGAGTTGCTGTGCTGAAGTTGGTGTTCCTCTAGACGTGGGACAGTGTTCTCGGGGCATCTCTGGAGTTGCCTGTAGGAAGTCGAGCCACCGGTCGTGTTGAATGGGGAACGGGGAATGGCTCTGGAGTCAATGCAGGGGAATCGGGCCTCATCTCGAGTTGATTTGGGGCACATGGAGCTGCTTTGCGTTGCTGGGATGACCTCAGGGTCCGTCTAGACTGGTGACAGTGTTCTTGGGGACTGTCTCGAGATTCATTAAGCAAGTCGAAGCTCCTGACTTGTTTGAATGGGATCACGGAATAGCTCTGCATGCACTGCAGGGGAATGTGGCCTCATCTCGCCTCTAGGGGGAAGTCTCATGGTTTTTCTCGAGTTGCGGCGGGGACCTGGGGTATATTATCCACTTACGGCGGGGATGGCCCTTCAAAACACGAGTTTCTTCAGTGACGTCAGGACTCATGTCTAGTAACGAGGGACACCTCAGGAATCTCTTCGAGGCTTGGCAGGGCAAAAGGGACGCTTCTCGAGGTGAGGCAGGGCACCCAAGGACCCTTTCCAGGAGCCACAGGGATTTTGGTATTCCTATCAGTATTCAAGCGGAGTCAGGCATGGTCACCTTTTGAAGCTATGAACTCCGCGTGCCTCTCGAGGTGTCAGCGGGATGTGAGGCATTCCGTCAAAATGAGGCAGGGACCTAGGGCTTTCTCTAAGGTCTCCACAGGTGATTCAGACATCCCTTCATGTTGTTAGATGAAAGACGAGCCTGTATTCAAGCCACTGCAAGGAAATCCGGCCTCCTTTCAAGTTAGGGCTTCTCGCTGTATATTCCCCTTGAGGCAGCATACTCGGGGTCCCTCCCACATACCTATTGCTGAGAGAAGCCTCCTCCTGATGTGCTTCTGGAAAGTTGGCATACGTCTTGAGCCTAAGCCAGGGAATCAGCTCTCATCTCGAGACGATTTGGGGTACACGGAGCATTCCTCGAGTTGCTGTGCTGAAGTTGGTGTTCCTCTAGACTTGGGACAGTGTTCTCGGGGCATCTCTGGAGTTGCCTGAAGGAAGTCGAGCCACCGGTCGTGTTGAATGGGGAATGGGGAATGGCTCTGGAGTCAATGCAGGGGAATCGGGCCTCATCTCGAGTTGATTTGGGGCCCATGGAGCTGCTTTGCGTTGCTAGGGTGACCTCAGGGTCCGTCTAGACTGGTGACAGTGTTCTTGGGGACTGTCTCGAGATCCATTAAGCAAGTCGAAGCTCCTGACTTGTTTGAATGGGATCACGGAATAGCTCTGCATGCACTGCAGGGGAATCGTGCCTCATCTCGAGTTGATTTGGGGCACATGGAGCTGCTTTGCGTTGCTGGGGTGACCTCAGGGTCCGTCTAGACTGGTGACAGTGTTCTTGGGGACTGTCTCGAGATCCATTAAGCAGGTCGAAGCTCCTGACTTGTTTGAATGGGATCACGGAATAGCTCTGCATGCACTGCAGGGGAATGGGGCCTCATCTCGCCTCTAGGGGGAAGTCTCATGGTTTTTCTCGAGTTGCGGCGGGGACCTGGGGTATGTTCTCGACTTACGGCGGGGATGGCCCTTCAAAACACGAGTTTCTTCAGTGACGTCAGGACTCCTGTCTAGTAACGAGGGACACCTCCGGAATCTCTTCGAGGCTTGGCAGGGCAAAAGGGACGCTTCTCGATGTGAGGCAGGGCACCCAAGGACCCTTTCCAGTAGCCACAGGTATTTGGGATTCCTATCAGTATTCAAGAGGAGTCAGGCATCCTCACCTTTTGAAGCAATGAACTCTGCGTGCCTCTCGGGGTGTCAGCGGGATGTGAGGCATTCCATCAAAATGAGGCAGGGACCTAGGGCTTTCTCTAAGGTCTCCACAGGGAATTCAGACATCCCTTCATGTTGTGAGATGAAAGACGAGCCTGTATTCAAACCACTGAAAGGAAATCCGGCCTCCTTTCAAGTTAGGGCTTCTCGCTGTATATTCCCCTTGAGGCAACATACTCGGGGTCCCTCCCACATACCTATTGCTGAGAGAAGCCTCCTCCTGAGTTGCTTCTGGAAAGTTGGCATACGTCTTGAGCCTAAGCCCGGGAATGAGCTCTCATCTTGAGACGATTTGGGGTACACGGAGCATTCCTCGAGTTGCTGTGCTGGAGTTGGTGTTCCTCTAGACTTAGGACAGTGTTCTCGGGGCATCTCTGGAGTTGCCTGAAGGAAGTCGAGCCACCGGTCGTGTTGAATGGGGAACGGGGAATGGCTCTGGAGTCAAGGGAGGGGAATCGGGCCTCATCTCGAGTTGATTTGGGGCACATGGAGCAGCTTTGCGTTGCTGGGGTGACCTCAGGGTCCGTCTAGACTGGTGACAGTGATCTTGGGGACTGTCTCGAGATCCATTAAGCAAGTCGAAGCTCCTGACTTGTTTGAATGGGATCACGGAATTGCTCTGCATGCACTGCAGGGGAATGGGGCCTCATCTCGCCTCTAGGGGGTAGTCTCATGGCTTTTCTCGAGTTGTGGCGGGGACCTGGGGTATGATCTCGACTTACGGCGGGGATGGCCCTTCAAAACACGAGTTTCTTCAGTGACGTCAGTACTCCTGTGTAGTAACGAGGGACATCTCAGGAATCTCTTCGAGGTTTGGCAGGGCAAAAGGGACGCTTCTCGCGGTGAGGCAGGGCACCCAAGGACCCTTTCCAGTAGCCACAGGTATTTGGGATTCCTATCACTATTCAAGAGGAGTCAGGCGTCGTCACGTTTTGAAACAATGAACTCTGCGTGCCTCTCGTGGTGTCAGCGGGATGTGAGGCATTCCATCAAAATAAGCAGGGACCTAGGGCTTTCTCTAAGGTCTCCACAGGGGATTCAGACATCCCTTCATGTTGTGAGATGAAACACGAGCCTGTATTCAAGCCACTGCAAGGAAATCCGGCCTCTTTTCAAGTTAGGTCTTCTCGCTGTATATTCCCCTTGAGGCAACAAACTCGGGGTCCCTCCCACATACCTATTGCTGAGAGAAGCCTCCTCCTGAGGTGCTTCTGGAAAATTGACATACGTCTTGAGCCTAGGCCAGGGAATCAGCTCTCATCTCGAGACAATTTGGGGTACATGGAGCATTCATCGAGTTGCTGTGCTGAAGTTGGTGTTCGTCTAGACTTGGGACAGTGTTCTCGGGGCATCTCTGGAGTTGCCTGAAGGAAGACGAGCCACCGGTCGTGTTGAATGGGGAACGGGGAATGGCTCTGGAGTCAATGCAGGGGAATCGGGCCTCATCTCGAGTTGACTTGGGGCACATGGTGCTGCTTTGTGTTGCTGGGGTGAACTCAGGGTCCGTCTAGACTGGTGACAGTGTTCTTGGGGACTGTCTCGAGATCCATTAAGCAAGTCGAAGCTCCTGACTTGCTTGAATGGGATCACGGAATAGCTCTGCATGCACTGCAGGGGAATGGGGCCTCATCTCGCCTCTAGGGGGAAGTCTCATGGTTTTTCTCGAGTTGCGGCGGGGACCTGGGATATGTTCTCGACTTACGGCGGGGATGGCCCTTCAAAACACGAGTTTCTTCAGTGACGTCAGGACTCCTGTCTAGTAACGAGGGACACCTGAGGAATCTCCTCGAGGCTTGGCAGGGCAAAAGGGACGCTTCTCGAGGTGAGGCAGGGCACCCAAGGACCCTTTCCAGTAGCCACAGGGATTTTGGGATTCCTATCAGTATTCAAGAGGAGTCAGGCATCGTCACCTTTTGAAGCAATGAACTCTGCGTGCCTCTCGAGGTGCCAGCAGGATGTCAGGCATTCCATCAAAATGAGGCAGGGACCTAGGGCTTTCTCTAAGGTCTGCACAGGGGATTCAGACATCCCTTCATGTTGTGAGATGAAAGACGAGCCTGTATTCAAGCCACTGCAAGGAAATCTGGCCTCCTTTCAAGTTAGGGCTTCTCGCTGTATATTCCTCTTGAGGCAGCACACTCGGGGTCCCTCCCACATAGCTATTGCTGAGAGAAGCCTCTTCTTGATGTGCTTCTGGAAAGTTGGCATACGTCTTGAGCCTAAGCCAGGGAATCAGCTCTCATCTCGAGACGATTTGGGGTACACGGAGCATTCCTCGAGTTGCTGTGCTGAAGTTGGTGTTCCTCTAGACTTGGGACAGTGTTCTCGGGGCATCTCTGGTGTTGCCTGAAGGAAGTCGAGCCACCGGTCGTGTTGAATGGGGAACAAGGAATGGCTCTGGAGTCAATGCAGTGGAATCGGGCCTCATCTCGAGTTGATTTGGGGCTCATGGAGCTGCTTTGCGTTGCTAGGGTGAAATCAGGGTCCGTCTAGACTGGTGACAGTGTTCTTTGGGACTGTCTCCAGATCCATTAAGCAAGTCGAAGCTCCTGACTTGTTTGAATGGGATCACGGAATAGCTCTGCATGCACTGCAGGGGAATCGGGCCTCATCTCGACTTGATTTGGGGCCCATGGAGCTGCTTTGCGTTGCTAGGGTGACCTCAGGGTCCGTCTAGACTGGTGACAGTGTTCTTGGGGACTCTCTTGAGATCCATTAAGCAAGTCGAAGCTCCTGACTTGCTTGAATGGGATCACGGAAAAGCTCTGCATGCACTGCAGGGGAATGGGGCCTCATCTCGCCTCTAGGGGGAAGTCTCATGGTTTTTCTCGAGTTGCGGCGGGGACCTGAGGTATATTATCCACTTACGGCGGGGATGGCCCTTCAAAACACGTGTTTCTTCAGTGACGTCAGGACTCCTGTCTAGTAACGAGGGACACCTCAGTAATCTCTTCGAGGCTTGGCAGGGCAAAAGGGACGCTTTTTGAGGTGAGGCAGGGCACCCAAGGACCCTTTCCAGTAGCCACAGGGATTTTGGGTTTCCTATCAGTATTCAATAGGAGTCAGGCATCGTCACCTTTTGAAGCAATGAACTCCGCGTGCCTCTCGAGGTGTCAGCGGGATGTGAGGCATTCCGTCAAAATGAGGCAGGGACCTAGGGCTTTCTCTAAGGTCTCCACAGGGGATTCAGACATCCCTTCATGTTGTTAGATGAAAGACGAGCCTGTATTCAAGCCACTGCAAGGAAATCCGGCCTCCTTTCAAGTTAGGGCTTCTCGCTGTATATTCCCTTTGAGGCAGCATACTCGGGGTCCCTCCCACATACCTATTGCTGAGAGAAGCCTCCTCCTGAGGTGCTTCTGGAAATTTGGCATACGTCTTGAGCCTAAGCCAGGGAATCAGCTCTCATCTCGAGACGATTTGGGGTACACGGAGCATTCATCGAGTTGCTGTGCTGAAGTTGGTGTTCCTCTAGACTTGGGACAGTGTTCTCGGGGCATCTATGGAGTTGCCTGAAGGAAGTCGAGCCACCGGTCGTGTTGAATGGGGAATGCGGAATGGCTCTGGAGTAAATGCAGGGGAATCGGGCCTCATCTCGAGTTGATTTGGGGCTCATGGAGCTGTTTTGCGTTGCTAGGGTGCAATCAGGGTCCGTCTAGACTGGTGACAGTGTTCTTGGGGACTGTCTCGAGATCCATTAAGCAAGTCGAAGCTCCTGACTTGTTTGAATGGGATCACGGAATAGCGCTGCATGCACTGCAGGGGAATCGGGCCTCATCTCGAGTTGATTTGGAGCCCATGGAGGTGCTTTGCGTTGCTAGGGTGAGCTCAGGGTCCGTCTAGACTGGTGACAGTGTTCTTGGGGACTCTCTTGAGATCCATTAAGCAAGTCGAAGCTCCTGACTTGTTTGAATGGGATCACGGAATAGCTCTGCATGCACTGCAGGGGAATGGGTCCTCATCTCGCCTCTAGGGGGAAGTCTCATTGTTTTTCTCGAGTTGCGGCGGGGACCTGGGGTATGTTCTCGACTTACGGCGGGGATGGCCCTTCAAAACACGAGTTTCTTCAGTGATGTCAGGACTCCTGTCTAGTAACGAGGGACACCACAGGAATCTCCTCGAGGCTTGGCAGGGCAAAAGGGACGCTTCTCGAGGTGAGGCAGGGCACCCAAGGACCCTTTCCAGTAGCCACAGGGATTTTGGGATTCCTATCAGTATTCAAGAGGAGTCAGGCATCGGCACATTTTGAAGCAATGAACTCCGCGTGCCTCTCGAGGTGTCAGCGGGATGTGAGGCATTCCGTCAAAATGAGGCAGGGACCTAGGGCTTTCTCTAAGGTCTCCACAGTGGATTCAGACATCCCTTCATGTTGTGAGATGAAAGACGAGATTGTATTCAAGCCAATGCAAGAAATCCGGTCTCCTTTCAAGTTAGGGCTTCTCGCTGTATATTCCCCTTGAGGCAGCATACTCGGGGTCCCTCCCACATACCTATTGCTGAGAGAAGCCTCCTCCTGAGGTGCTTCTGGAAAGTTGGCATACGTCTTGAGCCTAAGCCAGGGAATCAGCTCTCATCTCGAGACGATTTGGGGTACACGGAGCATTCCTCGAGTTGCTGTGCTGAAGTTGGTGTTCCTCTAGACTTGGGACAGTGTTCTCGGGGCATCTCTGGAGTTGCCTGAAGGAAGTCGAGCCACCGGTCGTGTTGAATGCGGAACGGGGAATGGCTCTGGAGTCAATGCAGGGGAATCGGGCCTCATCTCGAGTTGATTTGGGGCACATGGAGCTGCTTTGCGTTGCTGGGGTGACATCAGGGTACGTCTAGACTGGTGACAGTGTTCTTGGGGACTGTCTCTAGATCCATTAAGCAAGTCGAAGCTCCTGACGTGTTTGAATGGGATCACGGAATAGCTCTGCATGCACTGCAGGGGAATGGGGCCTCATCTCGCCTCTAGGGGGAAGTCTCATGGTTTTTCTCGAGTTTTGGCGGCGACCTGTCGTATGTTCTCGACTTACGGCGGGGATGGCCCTTCAAAACACGAGTTTCTTCAGTGACGTCAGGACTGCTGTCTAGTAACGAGGGACACCTCAGGAATCTCTTCGAGGCTTGGCAGGGCAAAAGGGACGCTTCTCGAGGTGAGGCAGGGCACCCAAGGACACTTTCCAGTAGCCACAGGGATTTTGGGATTCCTATCAGTATTCAAGAGGAGTCAGGCATCGTCACCTTTTGAAGCAATGAACTCCGCATGCCTCTCGAGGTGTCAGCGGGATGTGAGGCATTCCGTCAAAAGGAGGCAGGGACCTAGGGCGCTCTCTAAGTTCTCCACAGTGGATTCAGACATCCCTTCATGTTGTGAGATGAAACACGAGCCTGTATTCAAGCCACTGCAAGGAAATCCGGCCTCCTTTCAAGTTAGGGCTTCTTGGTGTATATTCCCCTTGAGGCAGCAAACTCGGGGTCCCTCCCACATACCTATTGCTGAGAGAAGCTTCTTCCTGAGGTGCTTCTGGAAAGTTGGCATTCGTCTTGAGCCTAAGCCAGGAGTCAGCTCTCATCTCGAGACGATTTGGGGTACACGGAGCATTCCTCGAGTTGCTGTGCTGAAGGTGGTGTTCCTCTAGACTTGGGACAGTGTTCTCGGGGCATCTCTGGAGTTGCCTGAAGGAAGTCGAGCCACCGGTCGTGTTGAATGGGGAACGGGGAATGGCTCTGGAGTCAATGCAGGGGAATCGGGCCTCATCTCGAGTTGATTTGGGGCTCATGGAGCTGTTTTGCGTTGCTAGGGTGAAATCAGGGTCCGTCTAGACTGGTGACAGTGTTCTTTGGGACTGTCTCGAGATCCATTAAGCAAGTCGAAGCTCCTGACTTGTTTGAATTGGATCACGGAATAGCTCTGCATGCACTGCAGGGGAATCGGGCCTCATCTCGAGTTGATTTGGAGCCCATGGAGCTGCTTTGCGTTGCTAGGGTGAGCTCAGGGTCCGTCTAGACTGGTGACAGTGTTCTTGGGGACTCTCTTGAGATCCATTAAGCAAGTCGAAGCTCCTGACTTGTTTGAATGGGATCACGGAATAGCTCTGCATGCACTGCAGGGGAATGGGGCCTCATCTCGCCTCTAGGGGGAAGTCTCATTGTTTTTCTCGAGTTGCGGCGGGGACCTGGGGTATGTTCTCGACTTACGGCGGGGATGGCCCTTCAAAACACGAGTTTCTTCAGTGATGTCAGGACTCCTGTCTAGTAACGAGGGACACCACAGGAATCTCCTCGAGGCTTGGCAGGGCAAAAGGGACGCTTCTCGAGGTGAGGCAGGGCACCCAAGGACCCTTTCCAGTAGCCACAGGGATTTTGGGATTCCTATCAGTATTCAAGAGGAGTCAGGCATCGGCACATTTTGAAGCAATGAACTCCGCGTGCCTCTCGAGGTGTCAGCGGGATGTGAGGCATTCCGTCAAAATGAGGCAGGGACCTAGGGCTTTCTCTAAGGTCTCCACAGTGGATTCAGACATCCCTTCATGTTGTGAGATGAAACACGAGCCTGTATTCAAGCCACTGCAAGGAAATCCGGCCTCCTTTCAAGTTAGGGCTTCTCGCTGTATATTCCCCTTGAGGCAACAAACTCGGGGTCCCTCCCACATACCTATTGCTGAGAGAAGCCTCCTCCTGAGGTGCTTCTGGAAAGTTGGCATACGTCTTGAGCCTAGGCCCGGGAATCAGCTCTCATCTCGAGACAATTTGGGGTACACAGAGCATTCATCGAGTTGCTGTGCTGAAGTTGGTGTTCCTCTAGACTTGGGACAGTGTTCTCGGGGCATCTCTGGAGTTGCCTGAAGGAAGACGATCCACCGGTCGTGTTGAATGGGGAACGGGGAATGGCTCTGGAGTCAATGCAGGGGAATCGGGCCTCATCTCGACTTGATTTGGGACATATGGACCTGCTTTGCTTTGCTGGGGTGACCTCAGGGTCCGTCTAGACTGGTGACAGTGTTCTTGGGGACTGTCTCGAGATCCATTAAGCAAGTCGAAGCTCCTGACTTGATTGAATGGGATCACGGAATAGCTCTGCATGCACTGCAGGGGAATGGGGCCTCATCTCGCCTCTACGGGGAAGTCTCATGGTTTTTCTCGAGTTGTGGCTGGGACCTGGAGTATGTTCTCGACTTACGGCGGGGATGGCCCTTCAAAACACGAGTTTCTTCAGTGACGTCAGGAATCCTGTATAGTAACGAGGGACACCTCAGGAATCTCTTCGAGGCTTGGCAGGGCAAAAGGGACGCTTCTCGAGGTGAGGCAGGGCACCCAAGGACCCTTTCCAGTAGCCACAGGGATTTTGGGATTCCTATCAGTATTCAAGAGGAGTCAGGCATCGTCAACGTTTGAAGCAATGAACTAGGCGTGCCTCTCGAGGTGTCAGCGGGATGTGAGGCATTCCGTCAAAATGAGGCAGGGACCTAGGGCTTTCTCTAAGGTATCCACAGGGGATTCAGACATCCCTTCATGTTGTGAGATGAAACACGAGCCTGTATTCAAGCCACTGCAAGGAAATCCGGCCTACTTTCTAGTTAGGGCTTCTCGATGTATATTCCCCTTGAGGCAGCAACCTCGGGGTCCCTCCCACATACCTATTGCTGAGATAATCCTCCTCTTGAGGTGCTTCTGGAAAGTTGGCATACGTCTTGAGCCTAAGCCAGGGAATCAGCTCTCATCTCGAGACGATTTGGTGTACACAGAGCATTCATCGAGTTGCTGTGCTGAAGTTGGTGTTCCTCTAGACTTGGGACAGTGTTCTCGGGGCATCTCTGGAGTTGCCTGAAGGAAGTCGAGCCACCGGTCGTGTTGAATGGGGAACGGGGAATGGCTCTGGAGTCAATGCAGGGGAATCGGGCCTCATCTCGACTTAATTTGGGGCACATTGAGCATCTTTGCATTGCTGGGGTGACCTCAGGGTCCGTCTAGACTGGTGACAGTGTTCTTGAGGACTGTCTCGAGATCCATTAAGCAAGTCGAAGCTCCTGACTTGTTTGAATGGCATCACGGAATAGCTCTGCATGCACTGCAGGGGAACGGGGCCTCAGCTCGCCTCTAGGGGGAAGTCTCATGGTTTTTCTCGAGTTGTGGCTGGGACCTGGGGTATGTTCTCGACTTATGGCGGGGATGGCCCTTCAAAACACGAGTTTCTTCAGTGACGTCAGGAATCCTGTCTAGTAACGAGGGACACCTCAGGAATCTCTTCGAGGCTTGGCATTGCAAAAGGGACGCTTCTGGAGGTGAGGCAGGGCACCCAAGGACCCTTTCCAGTAGCCACAGGGATTTTGGGATACCTATCAGTATTCAAGAGGAGTCAGGCATCGTCACCGTTTGAAGCAATGAACTAGGCGTGCCTCTCGAGGTGTCAGCGGGATATGAGGCATTCCGTCAAAATGAGGCAGGGACCTAGGGCTTTCTCTAAGGTCTCCACAGGGGATTCAGACATCCCTTCATGTTGTGAGAGGAAACACGAGCCTGTATTCAAGCCACTGCGAGGAAATCCGGCCTACTTTCAAGTTAGGGCTTCTCACTGTATATTCCCCTTGAGGCAGCAACATCGGGGTCCCTCCCACATACCTATTGCTGAGATAAACCTCCTCTTGAGGTGCTTCTGGAAAGTTGGCATACGTCTTGAGCCTAAGCCAGGGAATCAGCTCTCATCTCGAGACGATTTGGTGTACACGGAGCATTCATTGAGTTGCTGTGCTGAAGTTGGTGTTCTTCTAGACTTGGGACAGTGTTCTCGGGGCATCTCTGGAGTTGCCTGAAGGAAGTCGAGCCACCGGTCGTGTTGAATGGGGAACGGGGATAGGCTCTGGGGTCAATGCAGGGGAATCGGGCCTCATCTCGAGTTGATTTAGGGCACATGGAGCTGTTTTGCGTTGCTGGGTTGACCTCAGGGTCCGTCTAGACTGGTGACAGTGTTCTTGGGGACTGTCTCGAGATCCATTAAGCAAGTCGAAGCTCCTGACTTGTTTGAATGGGATCACGGAATAGCTCTGCATGCACTGCAGGGGAATGGGGCCTCATCTCGTCTCTAGGGGGAAGTCTCATGGTTTTTCTCGAGTTGCGGCGGGGACCTGGGGTATGTTCTCGACTTACGGCAGGGATGGCCCTTCAAAACACGAGTTTCTTCAGTGACGTCAGGACTCCTGTCTAGTAACGAGGGACACCTCAGGAATCTCTTCGAGGCTTGGCAGGGCAAAAGGGACGCTTCTCGAGGTGAGGCAGGGCACCCAAGGACCCTTTCCAGTAGCCACAGGGATTTTGTGATTCCTATCAGTATTCAAGAGGAGTCAGGCATCGTCACCTTTTGAAGCAATGAACTCTGCGTGCCTCTCGAGGTGTCAGCGGGATGTCAGGCATTCCATCAAAATGAGGCAGGGACCTAGGGCTTTCTCTAAGGTCTGCACAGGGGATTCAGACATCCCTTCATGTTGTGAGATGAAAGACGAGCCTGTCTTCAAGCCACTGCAAGGAAATCTGGCCTCGTTTCACGTTAGGGCTTCTCGCTGTATATTCCCCTTGAGGCAGCAAACTCCGTGTCCCTCCCACTTAGCTATTGCTGAGAGAAGCCTCTTCGTGATGTGCTTCTGGAAAGTTGGCATACGTCTTGAGCCTAAGCCAGGGAATCAGCTCTCATCTCGAGACGATTTGGGGTACACGGAGCATTCCTCGAGTTGCTGTGCCGAAGTTGGTGTTCCTCTAGACTTGGGACAGTGTTCTCGGGGCATCGCTGGAGTTGCCTGAAGGAAGTCGAGCCACCGGTCGTGTTGAATGGTTAATGGGGAATGGCTCTGGAGTCAATGCAGGGGAATCGGGCCTCATCTCGAGTTGATTTGGGGCTCATGGAGCTGCTTTGCGTTGCTAGGGTGAAATCAGGGTCCGTCTAGACTGGTGAGAGTGTTCTTTGGGACTGTCTCGAGATCCATTAAGCAAGTCGAAGCTCCTGACTTGTTTGAATGGGATCACGGAATAGCTCTGCATGCACTGCAGGGGAATCGGGCCTCATCTCGACTTGATTTGGGGCCCATGGAGCTGCTTTGCGTTGCTAGGGTGACCTCAGGGTCCGTCTAGACTGGTGACAGTGTTCTTGGGGACTCTCTTGAGATCCATTAAGCAAGTCGAAGCTCCTGACTTGCTTGAATGGGATCACGGAAAAGCTCTGCATGCACTGCAGGGGAATGGGGCCTCATCTCGCCTCTAGGGGGAAGTCTCATTGTTTTTCTCGAGTTGCGGCGGGGACCTGGGGTATGTTCTCGACTTACGGCGGGGATGGCCCTTCAAAACACGAGTTTCTTCAGTGACGTAAGGACTCCTGTCTAGTAACGAGGGACACCACAGGAATCTCCTCGAGGCTTGGCAGGGCAAAAGGGACGCTTCTCGAGGTGAGGCAGGGCACCCAAGGACCCTTTCCAGTAGCCACAGGGATTTTGGGATTCCTATCAGTATTCAAGAGGAGTCAGGCATCGGCATATTTTGAAGCAATGAACTCCGCGTGCCTCTCGAGGTGTCAGCGGGATGTGAGGCATTCCGTCAAAATGAGGCAGGGACCTAGGGCTTTCTCTAAGGTCTCCACAGTGGATTCAGACATCCCTTCATGTTGTGAGATGAAAGACGAGATTGTATTCAAGCCAATGCAAGAAATCCGGCCTCCTTTCAAGTTAGGGCTTCTCGCTGTATATTCCCCTTGAGGCAGCATACTCGGGGTCCCTTCCACATACCTACTGCTGAGAGAAGCCTCCTCCTGAGGTGCTTCTGGAAAGTTGACATACGTCTTGAGCCTAAGCCAGGGAATCAGCTCTCATCTCGAGACGATTTGGGGTACACGGAGCATTCATCGAGTTGCTGTGCTGAAGTTGGTGTTCCTCTAGACTTGGGACAGTGTTCTCGGGGCATCTCTGGAGTTGCCTGAAGGAAGTCGAGCCCACCGGTCGTGTTGAATGGGGAACGGGGATTGGCTCTGGAGTCAATGCAGGGGAATCGGGCCTCATCTCGAGTTGATTTGGGGCCCATGGAGCTGCTTTGCGTTGCTAGGGTGACCTCAGGGTCCGTCTAGACTGGTGACAGTGTTCTTTGGGACTGTCTCGAGATCCATTAAGCAAGTCGAAGCTCCTGACTTCTTTGAATGGGATCACGGAATAGCTCTTCATGCACTGCAGTGGAATGGGGCCTCATCTCGCCTCTAGGGGGAAGTCTCATGGTTTTTCTCGAGTTGCGGCGGGGACCTGGGGTATGTTCTCGACTTACGGCGGGGATGGCCCTTCAAAACACGAGTTTCTTCAGTGACGTCAGGACTTCTGTCTAGTAACGAGGGACACCTCAGGAATCTCTTCGAGGCTTGGCAGGGCAAAAGGAACGCTTCTCGAGGTGAGGCAGGGCACCCAAGGACCCTTTCCAGTAGCCACAGGGATTTTGGGATTCCTATCAGTATTCAAGAAGAGTCAGGCATCGTCACCTTTTGAAGCAATGAACTCTGCGTGCCTCTCGTGGTGTCAGCGGGATGTGAGGCATTCCATCAAAATGAGGCAGGGACCTAGGGCTTTCTCTAAGGTCTCCACAGGGGATTCAGACATCCCTTCATGTTGTGAGATGAAAGACGAGCCTGTATTCAAACCACTGCAAGGAAATCCGGCCTCCTTTCAAGTTAGGGCTTCTCGCTGTATATTCCCCTTGAGGCAGCATACTCGTGGTCCCTCCCACATACCTATTGCTGAGAGAAGCCTCCTCCTGAGTTGCTTGTGGAAAATTGGCATACGTCTTGAGCCTAAGCCAGGGAATCAGCTCTCATCTCGAGACGATTTGGGGTACACGGAGCATTCCTCGAGTTGCTGTTCTGAAGTTGGTGTTCCTCTAGACTTGGGACAGTGTTCTCGGGGCATCTCTGGAGTTGCCTGAAGGAAGTCGAGCCACCGGTCGTGTTGAATGGGGAACGGGCAATGGCTCTGGAGTCAAGGCAGGGGAATCGGGCCTCATCTCGAGTTGATTTGGGGCACATGGAGCTGCCTTGCGTTGGTGGGGTGACCTCAGTGTCCGTCTAGACTGGTGACAGTGTTCTTGGGGACTGTCTCGAGATCCATTAAGCAAGTCGAAGCTCCTGACTTGTTTGAATGGGATCACGGAATTGCTCTGCATGCACTGCAGGGGAATGGGGCCTCATCTCGCCTCTAGGGGGAAGTCTCATGGTTTTTCTCGAGTTGTGGCGGGGACCTGGGGTATGTTCTCGACTTACGGCGGGGATGGCCCTTCAAAACACGAGTTTCTTCAGTGACGTCAGGTCTCCTGTGTAGTAACGAGGGACATCTCAGGAATCTCTTCGAGGCTTGGCAGGGCAAAAGGGACGCTTCTCGAGGTGAGGCAGGGCACCCAAGGACCCTTTCCAGTAGCCACAGGAATTTGGGATTCCTATCAGTATTCAAGAGGAGTCAGGCGTCGTCACCTTTTGAAGCAATGAACTCTGCGTGCCTCTCTTGGTGTCAGCGGGATGTGAGGCATTCCATCAAAATGAGACAGGGACATAGGGCTTTCTCTAAGGTCTCCACAGGGGATTCAGACATCCCTTCATGTTGTGAGATGAAACACGAGCCTGTATTCAAGCCACTGCAAGGAAATCCGGCCTCCTTTCAAGTTAGGGCTTCTCGCTGTATATTCCCCTTGAGGCAACAAACTCGGTGTCCCTTCCACATACCAATTGCTGAGAGAAGCCTCCTCCTGAGGTGCTTCTGGAAAGTTGGCATACGTCTTGAGCCTAGGCCAGGAAATCAGCTCTCATCTCGAGACAATTTGGGGTACATGGAGCATTCATCGAGTTGCTGTGCTGAAGTTGGTGTTCCTCTAGACTTGGGACAGTGTTCTCGGGGCATCTCTGGAGTTGCCTGAAGGAAGACGAGCCACCGGTCGTGTTGAATGGGGAACGGGGAATGGCTCTGGAGTCAATGCAGGGGAATCGGGCCTCATCTCGACTTGATTTGGGGCACATGGAGCTGCTTTGCATTGCTGGGGTGACCTCAGGGTCCGTCTAGACTGGTGACAGTGTTCTTGGGGACTGTCTCGAGATCCATTAAGCAAGTCGAAGCTCCTGACTTGTTTGAATGGGATCACGGAATAGCTCTGCATGCACTGCAGGGGAATCGGGCCTCATCTCGAGTTGATTTGGGGCACATGGAGCTGCTTTGCGTTGCTGGGGTGACCTCAGGGTCCGTCTAGACTGGTCACAGTGTTCTTGGGGAATGTCTCGAGATCCATTAAGCAAGTCGAAGCTCCTGACTTGTTTGAATGGGATCACGGAATAGCTCTGCATGCACTGCAGGGGAATGGGGCCTCATCTCGCCTCTAGGGGGAAGTCTCATGGTTTTTGTCGAGTTGCGGCGGGGACCTGGGGTATATTATCCACTTACGGCGGGGATGGCCCTTCAAAACACGAGTTTCTTCAGTGACATCAGGACTCCTGTCTAGTAACGAGGGACACCTCAGGAATCTCTTCGAGGCTTGGCAGGGCAAAAGGGACGCTTCTCGAGGTGAGGCAGGGCACCCAAGGACCCTTTCCAGTAGCCACAGGGATTTTCGTATTCCTATCAGTATTCAAGAGGAGTCAGGCATCGTCACCTTTTGAAGCAATGAACTCCGCCTGCCTCTCGAGGTGTCAGCGGGATGTGAGGCATTCCGTCAAAATGAGGCAGGGACCTAGGGCTTTCTCTAAGGTCTCCTCAGGGGATTCAGGCACCCCTTCATGTTGTTAGATGAAAACCGAGCCTGTATTCAAGCCACTGCAAGGAAATCCGGCCTCCTTTCAAGTTAGGGCTTCTCGCTGTATATTCCCCTTGAGGCAGCATACTCGGGGTCCCTCCCACATACCTATTGCTGAGAGAAGCCTCCTCCTGAGGTGCTTCCGGAAATTTGGCATACGTCTTGAGCCTTAGCCAGGGAATCAGTTCTCATCTCGAGACGATTTGGGGTACACGGAGCATTCATCGAGTTGCTGTGCTGAAGTTGGTGTTCCTCTAGACTTGGGACAGTGTTCTCGGGGCATCTATGGAGTTGCCTGAAGGAAGTCGAGCCACCGGTCTTGTTGAATGGGGAATGGGGAATGGCTCTGGAGTCAATGCAGGGGAATCGGGCCTCATCTCAAGTTGATTTGGGGCACATGGAGCTGCTTTGCGTTGCTAGGGTGACCTCAGGGTCCGGCTAGACTGGTGACAGTATTCTTGGTGACTGTCACGAGATCCATTAAGCAAGTCGAAGCTCCTGACTTGTTTGAATGGGATCACGGAATAGCTCTGCATGCACTGCAGGGGAATCGGGCCTCATCTCAAGTTGATTTGGGGCACATGGAGCTGCTTTGCGTTGCTAGGGTGATCTCAGGGTCCGTCTAGACTGGTGACAGTGTTCTTGGGGACTCTCTTGAGATCCATTAAGCAAGTCGAAGCTCCTGACTTGCTTGAATGGGATCACGGAATAGCTCTGCATGCACTGCAGGGGAATGGGGCCTCATCTCGCCTCTAGGGGGAAGTCTCATGGTTTTTCTCGAGTTGCTACGGGGACCTGGAGTATGTTCTCGACTTACGGCGGGGATGGCCCTTCAAAACACGAGTTTCTTCAGTGACGTCAGGACTCCTGTCTAGTAACGAGGGAAACCTCAGGAATCTCTCGAGGCTTGGCAGGGCAAAAGGGACGCTTCTCGAGGTGAGTCGGGCACCCAAGGACCCTTTCCAGTAGCCACAGGGATTTTGGGATTCCTATCAGTATTCAACAGGAGTCAGGCATCGTCTCCTTTTGAAGCAATGAACTCAGCGTGCCTCTCGTGGTGTCAGCGGGATGTGAGGCATTCCGTCAAAATGAGGCAGGGACCTAGGGCTTTCTCTAAGGTCTCCACAGGGGATTCAGACATCCCTTCATTTTGTGAGATGAAAGACGAGCCTGTATTCAAACCACTGCAAGGAAATCCGGCCTCCTTTCAAGTTAGGGCTTCTCGCTGTATATTCCCCTTGAGGCAGCATACTCGTGGTCCCTCCCACATACCTATTGCTGAGAGAAGCCTCCTCCTGAGTTGCTTCTGGAAAGTTGGCATACGTCTTGAGCCTAAGCCAGGGAATCAGCTCACATCTCGAGACGATTTGGGGTACACGGAGCATTCATCGAGTTGCTGTGCTGAAGTTTGTGTTCCTCTAGACTTGGGACAGTGTTCTCGGGGCATCTCTGGAGTTGCCTGAAGGAAGTCGAGCCACCGGTCGTGTTGAATGGGGAACGGGGAATGGCTCTGGAGTCAAGGCAGGGGTATCGGGCCTCATCTCGAGTTGATTTGGGGCACATGGAAAAGGTGTGCGTTGCTAGGGTGACCTCAGGGTCCGTCTAGACTGGTGACAGTGTTCTTGGGGACTCTCTTGAGATCCATTAAGCAAGTCGAAGCTCCTGACTTGTTTGAATGGGATCACGGAATAGCTCTGCATGCACTGCAGGGGAATGGGGCCTCATCTCGCCTCTAGGGGGAAGTCTCATTATTTTTCTCGAGTTGCGGCGGGGACCTGGGGTATGTTCTCGACTTACGGCGGGGATGGCCCTTCAAAACACGAGTTTCTTCAGTGATGTCAGGACTCCTGTCTAGTAACGAGGGACACCACAGGAATCTCCTCGAGGCTTGGCAGGGCAAAAGGGACGCTTCTCGAGGTGAGGCAGGGCACCCAAGGACCCTTTCCAGTAGCCACAGGGATTTTGGGATTCCTATCAGTATTCAAGAGGAGTCAGGCATCGGCACATTTTGAAGCAATGAACTCCGCGTGCCTCTCGAGGTGTCAGCGGGATGTGAGGCATTCCGTCAAAATGAGGCAGGGACCTAGGGCTTTCTCTAAGGTCTCCACAGTGGATTCAGACATCCCTTCATGTTGTGAGATGAAACACGAGCCTGTATTCAAGCCACTGCAAGGAAATCCGGCCTCCTTTCAAGTTAGGGCTTCTTGGTGTATATTCCCCTTGAGGCAGCAAACTCGGGGTCCCTCCCACATACCTATTGCTGAGAGAAGCTTCCTCCTGAGGTGCTTCTGGAAAGTTGGCATTCGTCTTGAGCCTAAGCCAGGAGTCAGCTCTCATCTCGAGACGATTTGGGGTACACGGAGCATTCATCGAGTTGCTGTGCTGAAGTTGGTGTTCCTCTAGACTTGGGACAGTGTTCTCGGGGCATCTCTGGAGTTGCCTGAAGGAAGTCGAGCCACCGGTCGTGTTGAATGGGGAACGGGGAATGGCTCTGGATTCAATGCAGGGGAATCAGGCCTCATCTCGAGTTGATTTGGGGCACATGGAGCTGCTTTGCGTTGCTGGGATGACCTCAGGGTCCGTCTAGACTGGTGACAGTGTTCTTGGGGACTGTCTCGAGATCCATTAAGCAAGTCGAAGCTCCTGACTTGTTTGAATGGGATCACGGAATAGCTCTGCATGCACTGCAGGGGAATGGGGCCTCATCTCGCCTCTAGGGGGAAGTCTCATGGTTTTTCTCGAGTTGCGGCGGGGACCTGGGGTATGTTCTCGACTTACGGCGGGGATGGCCCTTCAAAACACGAGTTTCTTCAGTGACGTCAGGACTCCTGTCTAGTAACGAGGGACACTTCAGGAATCTCTTCGAGGCTTGGCAGGGCAAAAAGGACGCTTCTCGAGGTGAGGCAGGGCACCCAAGGACCCTTTCCAGTAGCCACAGGGATTTTGGGATTCCTATCAGTATTCAAGAGGAGTCAGGCATCGTCACCTTTGAAGCAATGAACTCCGCATGCCTCTCGAGGTGTCAGGGGGATGTGAGGCATTCCGTCAAAATGAGGCAGGGACCTAGGGCTTTCTCTAAGGTCTCCACAGGGGATTCAGACATCCCTTCATGTTGTGAGATGAAAGACGAGCCTGTATTCAAACCACTGCAAGGAAATCCGGCCTCCTTTCAAGTTAGGGCTTCTCGCTGTATATTCCCCTTGAGGCAGCATAATCGTGGTCCCTCCCACATACCTATTGCTGAGAGAAGCCTCCTCCTGAGATGCTTGTGGAAAGTTGGCATACGTCTTGAGCCTAAGCCAGGGAATCAGCTCTCATCTCGAGACGATTTGGGGTACACGGAGCATTCCTCGAGTTGCTGTGCTGAAGTTGGTGTTCCTCTAGACTTGGGTCAGTGTTCTCGGGGCATCTCTGGAGTTGCCTGAAGGAAGTCGAGCCACCGGTCGTGTTGAATGTGGAACGGGGAATGGCTCTGGAGTCAAGGCAGGGGAATCGGGCCTCATCTCGAGTTGATTTGGGGCACATGGAGCTGCTTTGCGTTGCTGGGGTGACCTCAGGGTCCGTCTAGACTGGTGACAGTGTTCTTTGGGACTGTATCGAGATCCATTAAGCAAGTCGAAGCTCCTGACTTGTTTGAATGGGATCACGGAATAGCTCTGCATGCACTGCAGCGGAATCGGGCCTCATCTCGAGTTGATTTGGAGCCCTTGGAGCTGCTTTGCGTTGCTAGGGTGACCTCAGGGTCCGTCTAGACTGGTGACAGTGTTCTTGGGGACTCTCTTGAGATCCATTAAGCAAGTCGAAGCTCCTGACTTGCTTGAATGGGATCACGGAAAAGCTCTGCATGCACTGCAGGGGAATGGGGCCTCATCTCGCCTCTACGGGGAAGTCCATTGTTTTTCTCGAGTTGCGGCGGGGACCTGGGGTATGTTCTCGACTTACGGTGGGGATGGCCCTTCAAAACACGAGTTTCTTCAGTGACGTCAGGACTCCTGTCTAGTAACGAGGGACACCACAGGAATCTCCTCGAGGCTTGGCAGGGCAAAAGGGACGCTTCTCGAGGTGAGGCAGGGCACCCAAGGACCCTTTCCAGTAGCCACAGGGATTTTGGGATTCCTATCAGTATTCAAGAGGAGTCAGGCATCGTCACTTTTGAAGCAAGGAACTCCGCATGCCTCTCGAGGTGTCAGCGGGATGTGAGGCATTCCGTCAAAAGGAGGCAGGGACCTAGGGCTTTCTCTAAGGTCTCCACAGGGGATTCAGACATCCCTTCATGTTGTGAGATGAAAGACGAGCCTGTATTCAAACCACTGCAAGGAAATCCGGCCTCCTTTCTAGTTAGGGCTTCTCGCTGTATATTCCCCTTGAGGCAGCATACTCGGGGTCCCTCCCACATACCTATTGCTGAGAGAAGCCTCCTCCTGAGTTGCTTGTGGAACGTTGGCATACGTCTTGAGCCTAAGCCAGGGAATCAGCTCTCATCTCGAGACGATTTGGGGTACACGGACAATTCCTCGAGTTGCTGTGCTGAAGTTGGTGTTCCTCTAGACTTGGGACAGTGTTCTCGGGGCATCTCTGGAGTTGCCTGAAGGAAGTCGAGCCACCGGTCATGTTGAATGGGGAACGGGGAATGGCTCTGGAGTCAAGCAGGGGAATCGGGCCTCATCTCGAGTTGATTTGGGGCACATGGAGCTGCTTTGCGTTGCTGGGGTGACCTCAGGGTCCGTCTAGACTGGTGACAGTGTTCTTGGGGACTGTCTCGAGATCCATTAAGCAAGTCGAAGCTCCTGACTTGTTTGAACGGGATCACGGAATTGCTCTGCATGCACTGCAGGGGAATGGGGCCTCATCTCGCCTCTAGGGGCAAGTCTCATGGTTTTTCTCGAGTTGTGGCGGGGATCTGGGGTATGTTCTCCACTTACGGCGGGGATGGCCCTTCAAAACACGAGTTTCTTCAGTGACGTCAGGTCTCCTGTGTAGTAACGAGGGACACCTCAGGAATCTCTTCGAGGCTTGGCAGGGCAAAAGGGACGCTTCTGGAGGTGAGGCATGGCACCCAAGGACCCTTTCCATTAGCCGCAGGTATTTGGGATTCCTATCAGTATTCAAGAGGAGTCAGGCGTCTTCACCTTTTGAAGCAATGAACTCTGCGTGCCTCTCGTGGTGTCAGCGGGATGTGAGGCATTGATCAAAATGAGGCAGGGACCTACGGCTTTCTCTAAGGTCTCCACAGGGGATTCAGACATCCCTTCATGTTGTGAGATGAAACACGAGCCTGTATTCAAGCCACTGCAAGGAAATCCGGCCTACTTTCTAGTTAGGGCTTCTCGATGTATATTCCCCTTGAGGCAGCAACCTCGGGGTCCCTCCCACATACCTATTGCTGAGATAATCCTCCTCTTGAGGTGCTTCTGGAAAGTTGGCATACGTCTTGAGCCTAAGCCAGGGCATCAGCTCTCATCTCGAGACGATTTGGTGTACACGGAGCATTCATCGAGTTGCTGTGCTGAAGTTGGTGTTCCTCTAGACTTGGGACAGTGTTCTCGGGGCATCTCTGGAGTTGCCTGAAGGAAGTCGAGCCACCGGTCGTGTTGAATGGGGAACGGGGAATGGCTCTGGAGTCAATGCAGGGGAATCGGGCCTCATCTCGACTTAATTTGGGGCACATTGAGCATCTTTGCATTGCTGGGGTGACCTCAGGGTCCGTCTAGACTGGTGACAGTGTTCTTGAGGACTGTCTCGAGATCCATTAAGCAAGTCGAAGCTCCTGACTTGTTTGAATGGCATCACGGAATAGCTCTGCATGCACTGCAGGGGAACGGGGCCTCAGCTCGCCTCTAGGGGGAAGTCTCATGGTTTTTCTCGAGTTGTGGCTGGGACCTGGGGTATGTTCTCGACTTATGGCGGGGATGGCCCTTCAAAACACGAGTTTCTTCAGTGACGTCAGGAATCCTTTCTAGTAACGAGGGACACCTCAGGAATCTCTTCGAGGCTTGGCATTGCAAAAGGGACGCTTCTGGAGGTGAGGCAGGGCACCCAAGGACCCTTTCCAGTAGCCACAGGGATTTTGGGATACCTATCAGTATTCAAGAGGAGTCAGGCATCGTCACCGTTTGAAGCAATGAACTAGGCGTGCCTCTCGAGGTGTCAGCGGGATATGAGGCATTCCGTCAAAATGAGGCAGGGACCTAGGGCTTTCTCTAAGGTCTCCACAGGGGATTCAGACATCCCTTCATGTTGTGAGAGGAAACACGAGCCTGTATTCAAGCCACTGCGAGGAAATCTGGCCTACTTTCAAGTTAGGGCTTCTCACTGTATATTCCCCTTGAGGCAGCAACATCGGGGTCCCTCCCACATACCTATTGCTGAGATAAACCTCCTCTTGAGGTGCTTCTGGAAAGTTGGCATACGTCTTGAGCCTAAGCCAGGGAATCAGCTCTCATCTCGAGACGATTTGGTGTACACGGAGCATTCATTGAGTTGCTGTGCTGAAGTTGGTGTTCTTCTAGACTTGGGACAGTGTTCTCGGGGCATCTCTGGAGTTGCCTGAAGGAAGTCGAGCCACCGGTCGTGTTGAATGGGGAACGGGGATAGGCTCTGGGGTCAATGCAGGGGAATCGGGCCTCATCTCGAGTTGATTTAGGGCACATGGAGCTGTTTTGCGTTGCTGGGTTGACCTCAGGGTCCGTCTAGACTGGTGACAGTGTTCTTGGGGACTGTCTCGAGATCCATTAAGCAAGTCGAAGCTCCTGACTTGTTTGAATGGGATCACGGAATAGCTCTGCATGCACTGCAGGGGAATGGGGCCTCATCTCGTCTCTAGGGGGAAGTCTCATGGTTTTTCTCGAGTTGCGGCGGGGACCTGGGGTATGTTCTCGACTTACGGCAGGGATGGCCCTTCAAAACACGAGTTTCTTCAGTGACGTCAGGACTCCTGTCTAGTAACGAGGGACACCTCAGGAATCTCTTCGAGGCTTGGCAGGGCAAAAGGGACGCTTCTCGAGGTGAGGCAGGGCACCCAAGGACCCTTTCCAGTAGCCACAGGGATTTTGTGATTCCTATCAGTATTCAAGAGGAGTCAGGCATCGTCACCTTTTGAAGCAATGAACTCTGCGTGCCTCTCGAGGTGTCAGCGGGATGTCAGGCATTCCATCAAAATGAGGCAGGGACCTAGGGCTTTCTCTAAGGTCTGCACAGGGGATTCAGACATCCCTTCATGTTGTGAGATGAAAGACGAGCCTGTCTTCAAGCCACTGCAAGGAAATCTGGCCTCGTTTCACGTTAGGGCTTCTCGCTGTATATTCCCCTTGAGGCAGCAAACTCCGTGTCCCTCCCACTTAGCTATTGCTGAGAGAAGCCTCTTCGTGATGTGCTTCTGGAAAGTTGGCATACGTCTTGAGCCTAAGCCAGGGAATCAGCTCTCATCTCGAGACGATTTGGGGTACACGGAGCATTCCTCGAGTTGCTGTGCTGAAGTTGGTGTTCCTCTAGACTTGGGACAGTGTTCTCGGGGCATCGCTGGAGTTGCCTGAAGGAAGTCGAGCCACCGGTCGTGTTGAATGGGGAATGGGGAATGGCTCTGGAGTCAATGCAGGGGAATCGGGCCTCATCTCGAGTTGATTTGGGGCTCATGGAGCTGCTTTGCGTTGCTAGGGTGAAATCAGGGTCCGTCTAGACTGGTGAGAGTGTTCTTTGGGACTGTCTCGAGATCCATTAAGCAAGTCGAAGCTCCTGACTTGTTTGAATGGGATCACGGAATAGCTCTGCATGCACTGCAGGGGAATCGGGCCTCATCTCGACTTGATTGGGGCCCATGGAGCTGCTTTGCGTTGCTAGGGTGACCTCAGGGTCCGTCTAGACTGGTGACAGTGTTCTTGGGGACTCTCTTGAGATCCATTAAGCAAGTCGAAGCTCCTGACTTGCTTGAATGGGATCACGGAAAAGCTCTGCATGCACTGCAGGGGAATGGGGCCTCATCTCGCCTCTAGGGGGAAGTCTCATTGTTTTTCTCGAGTTGCGGCGGGGACCTGGGGTATGTTCTCGACTTACGGCGGGGATGGCCCTTCAAAACACGAGTTTCTTCAGTGACGTCAGGAGTCCTGTCTAGTAACGAGGGACACCACAGGAATCTCCTCGAGGCTTGGCAGGGCAAAAGGGACGCTTCTCGAGGTGAGGCAGGGAACCCAAGGACCCTTTCCAGTAGCCACAGGGATTTTGGGATTCCTATCAGTATTCAAGAGGAGTCAGGCATCGTCACCTTTTGAAGCAATGAACTCCGCGTGCCTCTCGAGGTGTCAGCGGGATGTGAGGCATTCCGTCAAAATGAGGCAGGGACCTAGGGCTTTCTCTAAGGTCTCCACAGGCGATTCAGACATCCCTTCATGTTGTGAGATGAAAGACGAGCCTGTATTCAAGCCACTGCAAGGAAATCCGGCCTCCTTTCAAGTTAGGGCTTCTCGCTGTATATTCCCCTTGAGGCAGCATACTCGGGGTCCCTCCTACATACCTATTGCTGAGAGAAGCCTCCTCCTGAGTTGCTTCTGGAAAGTTGGCATACGTCTTGAGCCTAAGCCAGGGAATCAGCTCTCATCTCGAGACGATTTGGTGTACACGGAGCATTCATCGAGTTGCTGTGCTGAAGTTGGTGTTCCTCTAGACTTGGGACAGTGTTCTCGGGGCATCTATGGAGTTGCCTGAAGGAAGTCGAGCCACCGGTCGTGTTGAATGGGGAACCGGGAATGGCTCTGGAGTCAATGCAGGGGAATCGGGCCTCATCTCGAGTTGATTTGGGGCACATGGAGCAGCTTTGCGTTGCTAGGGTGACCTCAGGGTCCGTCTAGACTGGTGACAGTGTTCTTGGGGATTGTCTCGAGATCCATTAAGCAAGTCGAAGCTCCTGACTTGTTTGAATGGGATCACGGAATAGCTCTGCATGCACTGCAGGGGAATCGGGCCTCATCTCGAGTTGATTTGGGGCACATGGAGCTGCTTTGCGTTGCTGGGGTGACCTCAGGGTCCGTCTAGACTGGTCACAGTGTTCTTGGGGAATGTCTCGAGATCCATTAAGCAAGTCGAAGCTCCTGACTTGTTTGAATGGGATCACGGAATAGCTCTGCATGCACTGCAGGGGAATGGGGCCTCATCTCGCCTCTAGGGGGAAGTCTCATGGTTTTTGTCGAGTTGCGGCGGGGACCTGGGGTATGTTCTCGACTTACGGCGGGGATGGCCCTTCAAAACACGAGTTTCTTCAGTGACATCAGGACTCCTGTCTAGTAACGAGGGACACCTCAGGAATCTCTTCGAGGCTTGGCAGGGCAAAAGGGACGCTTCTCGAGGTGAGGCAGGGCACCCAAGGACCCTTTCCAGTAGCCACAGGGATTTTGGTATTCCTATCAGTATTCAAGAGGAGTCAGGCATCGTCACCTTTTGAAGCAATGAACTCCGCCTGCCTCTCGAGGTGTCAGCGGGATGTGAGGCATTCCGTCAAAATGAGGCAGGGACCTAGGGCTTTCTCTAAGGTCTCCTCAGGGGATTCAGGCATCCCTTCATGTTGTTAGATGAAAACCGAGCCTGTATTCAAGCCACTGCAAGGAAATCCGGCCTCCTTTCAAGTTAGGGCTTCTCCCTGTATATTCCCCTTGAGGCAGCATACTCGGGGTCCCTCCCACATACCTATTGCTGAGAGAAGCCTCCTCCTGAGGTGCTTCCGGAAATTTGGCATACGTCTTGAGCCTTAGCCAGGGAATCAGTTCTCATCTCGAGACGATTTGGGGTACACGGAGCATTCATCGAGTTGCTGTGCTGAAGTTGGTGTTCCTCTAGACTTGGGACAGTGTTCTCGGGGCATCTATGGAGTTGCCTGAAGGAAGTCGAGCCACCGGTCTTGTTGAATGGGGAATGGGGAATGGCTCTGGAGTCAATGCAGGGGAATCGGGCCTCATCTCAAGTTGATTTGGGGCACATGGAGCTGCTTTGCGTTGCTAGGGTGACCTCAGGGTCCGGCTAGACTGGTGACAGTATTCTTGGTGACTGTCTCGAGATCCATTAAGCAAGTCGAAGCTCCTGACTTGTTTGAATGGGATCACGGAATAGCTCTGCATGCACTGCAGGGGAATCGGGCCTCATCTCGAGTTGATTTGGGGCACATGGAGCTGCTTTGCGTTGCTAGGGTGATCTCAGGGTCCGTCTAGACTGGTGACAGTGTTCTTGGGGACTCTCTTCAGATCCATTAAGCAAGTCGAAGCTCCTGACTTGCTTGAATGGGATCACGGAATAGCTCTGCATGCACTGCAGGGGAATGGGGCCTCATCTCGCCTCTAGGGGGAAGTCTCATGGTTTTTCTCGAGTTGCTGCGGGGACCTGGAGTATGTTCTCGACTTACGGCGGGGATGGCCCTTCAAAACACGAGTTTCTTCAGTGACGTCAGGACTCCTGTCTAGTAACGAGGGAAACCTCAGGAATCTCTCGAGGCTTGGCAGGGCAAAAGGGACGCTTCTCGAGGTGAGTCGGGCACCCAAGGACCCTTTCCAGTAGCCACAGGGATTTTGGGATTCCTATCAGTATTCAACAGGAGTCAGGCATCGTCTCCTTTTGAAGCAATGAACTCAGCGTGCTTCTCGTGGTGTCAGCGGGATGTGAGGCATTCCGTCAAAATGAGGCAGGGACCTAGGGCTTTCTCTAAGGTCTCCACAGGGGATTCAGACATCCCTTCATTTTGTGAGATGAAAGACGAGCCTGTATTCAAACCACTGCAAGGAAATCCGGCCTCCTTTCAAGTTAGGGCTTCTCGCTGTATATTCCCCTTGAGGCAGCATACTCGTGGTCCCTCCCACATACCTATTGCTGAGAGAAGCCTCCTCCTGAGTTGCTTCTGGAAAGTTGGCATACGTCTTGAGCCTAAGCCAGGGAATCAGCTCTCATCTCGAGACGATTTGGGGTACACGGAGCATTCATCGAGTTGCTGTGCTGAAGTTTGTGTTCCTCTAGACTTGGGACAGTGTTCTCGGGGCATCTCTGGAGTTGCCTGAAGGAAGTCGAGCCACCGGTCGTGTTGAATGGGGAACGGGGAATGGCTCTGGAGTCAAGGCAGGGGTATCGGGCCTCATCTCGAGTTGATTTGGGGCACATGGAAAAGGTGTGCGTTGCTAGGGTGACCTCAGGGTCCGTCTAGACTGGTGACAGTGTTCTTGGGGACTGTCTCGAGATCCATTAAGCAAGTCGAAGCTCCTGACATGTTTGAATGGGATCACGGAATAGATCTGCATGAACTGCCGGGGAATCGGGCCTCATCTCGAGTTGATTTGGGGCACATGGAGCTGCTTTGCGTTGCTGGGGTGACCTCAGGGTCCGTCTAGACTGGTGACAGTGTTCTTGGGGACTGTCTCGAGATCCATTAAGCAAGTCGAAGCTCCTGACTTGTTTGAATGGGATCACGGAATTGCTCTGCATGCAGTGCAGGGGAATGGGGCCTCATCTCGCCTCTAGGGGGAAGTCTCATGGTTTTTCTCGAGTTCTGGCGGGGACCTGGGGTATGTTCTCGACTTACGGCGGGGATGGCCCTTCAAAACACGAGTTTCTTCAGTGACGTCAGGACTCCTGTGTAGTAACGAGGGACACCTCAGGAATCTCTTCGAGGTTTGGCAGGGCAAAAGGGACGCTTCTCGAGGTGAGGCAGGGCACCCAAGGACCCTTTCCAGTAGCCACAGGTATTTGGGATTCCTATCAGTATTCAAGAGGAGTCAGGCGTCCTCACCTTTTGAAGCAATGAACTCTGCGTGCCTCTCGTGGTGTCAGCGGGATGTGAGGCATTCCATCAAAATGAGGCAGGACCTAGGGCTTTCTCTAAGGTCTCCACAGGGGATTCAGACATCCCTTCATGTTGTGAGATGAAACACGAGCCTGTATTCAAGCCACTGCAAGGAAATCCGGCCTCCTTTCAAGTTAGGGCTTCTCGCTGTATATTCCCCTTGAGGCAACAAACTCGGGGTCCCTCCCACATAGCTATTGCTGAGAGAAGCCTCCTCCTGAGGTGCTTCTGGAAAGTTGGCATACGTCTTGAGCCTAGGCCAGGGAATCAGCTCTCATCTCGAGACAATTTGGGGTACATGGAGCATTCATCGAGTTGCTGTGCTGAAGTCGGTGTTCCTCTAGACCTGGGACAGTGTTCTCGGGGCATCTCTGGAGTTGCCTGAAGGAAGACGAGCCACCGGTCGTGTTGAATGGGGAACGGGGAATGGCTCTGGAGTCAATGCAGGGGAATCGGGCCTCATCTCGAGTTGATTTGGGGCACATGGAGCTGCTTTGCATTGCTGGGGTGACCTCAGGGTCCGTCTAGACTGGTGACAGTGTTCTTAGGGACTGTCTCGAGATCCATTAAGCAAGGCGAAGCCCCTGACTTGTTTGAATGGGATCACGGAATAGCTCTGCATGCACTGCAGGGGAATGGGGCCTCATCTCGCCTCTAGGGGGAAGTCTCATGGTTTTTCTTGAGTTGCGGCGGGGACCTGGGGTATGTTCTCGACTTACGGCGGGGATGGACGTTGAAAACACGAGTTTCTTCAGTGACGTCAGGACTCCTGTCTAGTAACGAGGGACACCTCAGTAATCTCTTCGAGGCTTGGCAGGGCAAAAGGGACGCTTTTTGAGGTGAGGCAGGGCACCCAAGGACCCTTTCCAGTAGCCACAGGGATTTTGGGATTCCTATTAGTATTCAAGAGGAGTCAGGCATCGTCACCTTTTGAAGCAATGAACTCCGCGTGCCTCTCGAGGTGTCAGCGGGATATGAGGCATTCCGTCAAAATGAGGCAGGGACCTAGGCCTTTCTCTAAGGTCTCCACAGGGGATTCAGACATCCCTTCATGTTGTGAGATGAAAGACGAGCCTGTATTCAAGCCACTGCAAGGAAATCCGGCCTAATTTCAAGTTAGGGCTTCTCTCTGTATATTCCCCTTGAGGCAGCATACTCGGGGTCCCTCCCACATAACTATTGCTGAGAGAAGCCTCCTCCTGAGGTGCTTCTGGAAAGTTGGCATACGTCTTGAGCCTAAGCCAGGGAATCAGCTCTCATCTCGAGACGATTTGGGGTACACGGAGCATTCATCGAGTTGCTGTGCTGAAGTTGGTGTTCCTCTAGACTTGGGACAGTGTTCTCGGGGCATCTCTGGGGTTGCCTGAAGGAAGTCGAGCCACCGGTCATGTTGAATGGGGAACGGGGAATGGCTCTGGAGTCAATGCAGGGGAATCGGGCCTCATCTCGAGTTGATTTGGGGCACATGGAGCAGCTTTGCGTTGCTAGGGTGACCTCAGGGTCCGTCTAGACTGGTGACAGTGTTCTTGGGGACTGTCTCGAGATCCATTAAGCAAGTCGAAGCTCCTGACTTGTTTGAATGGGATCACGGAATAGCTCTGCATGCACTGCAGGGTAATCGGGCCTCATCTCGAGTTGATTTGGGGCACATGGAGCAGCTTTGCGTTGCTAGGGTGACCTCAGGGTCCGTCTAGACTGGTGACAGTGTTCTTGGGGACTGTCTCGAGATCCATTAAGCAAGTCGAAACTCCTGACTTGCTTGAATGGGATCACGGAATAGCTCTGCATGCAGTGCAGGGGAATGGGGCCTCATCTCGCCTCTAGGGGGAAGTCTCATGGTTTTTCTCGAGTTGCGGCGGGGACCTGGGTTTATATTCTCGACTTACGGCGGTGATGGCCCTTCAAAACACGAGTTTCTTCAGTGACGTCAGGACTCCTGTCTAGTAATGAGGGACACCTCAGGAATCTCCTCGAGGCTTGGCAGGGCAAAAGGGACGCTTCTCGAGGTGAGGCAGGGCACCCAAGGACCCTTTCCAGTAGCCACAGGGATTTTGGGATTCCTATCAGTATTCAAGAGGAGTCAGGCATCGTCACCTTTTGAAGCAATGAACTCCGCGTGCCTCTCGAGGTGTCAGCGGTATGTGAGGCATTCCGTCAAAATGAGGCAGGGACCTAGGGCTTTCTCTAAGATCTCCACAGTGGATTCAGACATCCCTTCATGTTGTGAGATGAAAGACGAGCTTGTATTCAAGCCAATGCAAGAAATCCGGCCTCCTTTCAAGTTAGGGCTTCTCGCTGTATATTCCCCTTGAGGCAGCATACTCGGGGTCCCTCCCACATACCTATTGCTGAGAGAAGCCTCCTCCTGAGGTGCTTCTGGAAAGTTGGCATACGTCTTGAGCCTAAGCCAGGGAATCAGCTCTCATCTCGAGATGATTTTTGGTATACGGAGCATTCATCGAGTTGCTGTGCTGAAGTTGGTGTTCCTCCAGACTTGGGACAGTGTTCTCGGGGCATCTTTGGAGTTGCCTGAAGGAAGTCGAGCCACCGGTCGTGTTGAATGGGGAATGGGGAGTGGCTCTGGGGTCAATGTAGGGGAATCGGGCCTCATCTCGAGTTGATTTGGGGCACATGGAGCTGCTTTGCATTGCTGGGGTGACCTCAGGGTCCGTCTAGACTGGTGACAGTGTTCTTGGGGACTGTCTCGAGATCCATTAAGCAAGTCGGAGCTCCTGACTTGCTTGAATGGGATCACGGTATAGATCTGCATGCACTGCAGGGGAATGGGGCCTCATTTCGCCTCTACGGGGAAGTCTCATGGTTTTTCTCAGGTTGCGGCGGGGACCTGGGGTATGTTCTGGACTTACGGCGGGGATGGCCCTTCAAAACACGAGTTTCTTCAGTGACGTCAGGACTCCTGTCTAGTAACGAGGGACACCTCAGGAATCTCTTCGAGGCTTGGCAGGGCAAAAGGGAGGCTTCTCGAGGTGAGGCAGGGCACCCAAGGACCCTTTCCAGTAGCCACAGGGATTTTGGGATTCCTATCAGTATTCAAGAGGAGGCAGGCATCGTCACCTTTTGAAGCAATGAACTCCGCGTGCCTCTCGAGGTGTCAGCGGGATGTGAGGCATTCCGTCAAAATGAGGCAGGGACCTAGGGCTTTCTCTAAGGTCTCCTCAAGGGATTCAGGCATCCCTTCATGTTGTTAGATGAAAACCGAGCCTGTATTCAAGCCACTGCAAGGAAATCCGGCCTCCTTTCAAGTTAGGGCTTCTCGCTGTATATTCCCCTTGAGGCAGCATACTCGGGGTCCCTCCCACATACCTATTGCTGAGAGAAGCCTCCTCCTGAGGTGCTTCCGGAAATTTGGCATACGTCTTGAGCCTTAGCCAGGGAATCAGTTCTCATCTCGAGACGATTTGGGGTACACGGAGCATTCATCGAGTTGCTGTGCTGAAGTTGGTGTTCCTCTAGACTTGGGACAGTGTTCTCGGGGCATCTATGGAGTTGCCTGAAGGAAGTCGAGCCACCGGTCTTGTTGAATGGGGAATGGGGAATGGCTCTGGAGTCAATGCAGGGGAATCGGGCCTCATCTCAAGTTGATTTGGGGCACATGGAGCTGCTTTGCGTTGCTAGGGTGACCTCAGGGTCCGGCTAGACTGGTGACAGTATTCTTGGTGACTGTCTCGAGATCCATTAAGCAAGTCGAAGCTCCTGACTTGTTTGAATGGGATCACGGAATAGCTCTGCATGCACTGCAGGGAAATCGGGCCTCATCTCGAGTTGATTTGGGGCACATGGAGCTGCTTTGCGTTGCTAGGGTGATCTCAGGGTCCGTCTAGACTGGTGACAGTGTTCTTGGGGACTCTCTTGAGATCCATTAAGCAAGTCGAAGCTCCTGACTTGCTTGAATGGGATCACGGAATAGCTCTGCATGCACTGCAGGGGAATGGGGCCTCATCTCGCCTCTAGGGGGAAGTCTCATGGTTTTTCTCGAGTTGCTGCGGGGACCTGGAGTATGTTCTCGACTTACGGCGGGGATGGCCCTTCAAAACACGAGTTTCTTCAGTGACGTCAGGACTCCTGTCTAGTAACGAGGGAAACCTCAGGAATCTCTCGAGGCTTGGCAGGGCAAAAGGGACGCTTCTCGAGGTGAGTCGGGCACCCAAGGACCCTTTCCAGTAGCCACAGGGATTTTGGGATTCCTATCAGTATTCAACAGGAGTCAGGCATCGTCTCCTTTTGAAGCAATGAACTCAGCGTGCCTCTCGTGGTGTCAGCGGGATGTGAGGCATTCCGTCAAAATGAGGCAGGGACCTAGGGCTTTCTCTAAGGTCTCCACAGGGGATTCAGACATCCCTTCATTTTGTGAGATGAAAGACGAGCCTGTATTCAAACCACTGCAAGGAAATCCGGCCTCCTTTCAAGTTAGGGCTTCTCGCTGTATATTCCCCTTGAGGCAGCATACTCGTGGTCCCTCCCACATACCTATTGCTGAGAGAAGCCTCCTCCTGAGTTGCTTCTGGAAAGTTGGCATACGTCTTGAGCCTAAGCCAGGGAATCAGCTCTCATCTCGAGACGATTTGGGGTACACGGAGCATTCATCGAGTTGCTGTGCTGAAGTTTGTGTTCCTCTAGACTTGGGACAGTGTTCTCGGGGCATCTCTGGAGTTGCCTGAAGGAAGTCGAGCCACCGGTCGTGTTGAATGGGGAACGGGGAATGGCTCTGGAGTCAAGGCAGGGGTATCGGGCCTCATCTCGAGTTGATTTGGGGCACATGGAAAAGGTGTGCGTTGCTAGGGTGACCTCAGGGTCCGTCTAGACTGGTGACAGTGTTCTTGGGGACTGTCTCGAGATCCATTAAGCAAGTCCAAACTCCTGACATGTTTGAATGGGATCACGGAATAGATCTGCATGAACTGCCGGGGAATCGGGCCTCATCTCGAGTTGATTTGGGGCACATGGAGCTGCTTTGCGTTGCTGGGGTGACCTCAGGGTCCGTCTAGACTGGTGACAGTGTTCTTGGGGACTGTCTCGAGATCCATTAAGCAAGTCGAAGCTCCTGACTTGTTTGAATGGGATCACGGAATTGCTCTGCATGCAGTGCAGGGGAATGGGGCCTCATCTCGCCTCTAGGGGGAAGTCTCATGGTTTTTCTCGAGTTCTGGCGGGGACCTGGGGTATGTTCTCGACTTACGGCGGGGATGGCCCTTCAAAACACGAGTTTCTTCAGTGACGTCAGGACTCCTGTGTAGTAACGAGGGACACCTCAGGAATCTCTTCGAGGCTTGGCAGGGCAAAAGGGACGCTTCTCGAGGTGAGGCAGGGCACCCAAGGACCCTTTCCAGTAGCCACAGGTATTTGGGATTCCTATCAGTATTCAAGAGGAGTCAGGCGTCGTCACCTTTTGAAGCAATGAACTCTGCGTGCCTCTCGTGGTGTCAGCGGGATGTGAGGCATTCCATCAAAATGAGGCAGGACCTAGGGCTTTCTCTAAGGTCTCCACAGGGGATTCAGACATCCCTTCATGTTGTGAGATGAAACACGAGCCTGTATTCAAGCCACTGCAAGGAAATCCGGCCTCCTTTCAAGTTAGGGCTTCTCGCTGTATATTCCCCTTGAGGCAACAAACTCGGGGTCCCTCCCACATAGCTATTGCTGAGAGAAGCCTCCTCGTGAGGTGCTTCTGGAAAGTTGGCATACGTCTTGAGCCTAGGCCAGGGAATCAGCTCTCATCTCGAGACAATTTGGGGTACATGGAGCATTCATCGAGTTGCTGTGCTGAAGTCGGTGTTCCTCTAGACTTGGGACAGTGTTCTCGGGGCATCTCTGGAGTTGCCTGAAGGAAGACGAGCCACCGGTCGTGTTGAATGGGGAACGGGGAATGGCTCTGGAGTCAATGCAGGGGAATCGGGCCTCATCTCGAGTTGATTTGGGGCACATGGAGCTGCTTTGCTTGCTGGGGTGACCTCAGGGTCCGTCTAGACTGGTGACAGTGTTCTTAGGGACTGTCTCGAGATCCATTAAGCAAGGCGAAGCCCCTGACTTGTTTGAATGGGATCACGGAATAGCTCTGCATGCACTGCAGGGGAATGGGGCCTCATCTCGCCTCTAGGGGGAAGTCTCATGGTTTTTCTTGAGTTGCGGCGGGGACCTGGGGTATGTTCTCGACTTACGGCGGGGATGGACGTTGAAAACACGAGTTTCTTCAGTGACGTCAGGACTCCTGTCTAGTAACGAGGGACACCTCAGTAATCTCTTCGAGGCTTGGCAGGGCAAAAGGGACGCTTTTTGAGGTGAGGCAGGGCACCCAAGGACCCTTTCCAGTAGCCACAGGGATTTTGGGATTCCTATTAGTATTCAAGAGGAGTCAGGCATCGTCACCTTTTGAAGCAATGAACTCCGCGTGCCTCTCGAGGTGTCAGCGGGATATGAGGCATTCCGTCAAAATGAGGCAGGGACCTAGGCCTTTCTCTAAGGTCTCCACAGGGGATTCAGACATCCCTTCATGTTGTGAGATGAAAGACGAGCCTGTATTCAAGCCACTGCAAGGAAATCCGGCCTAATTTCAAGTTAGGGCTTCTCTCTGTATATTCCCCTTGAGGCAGCATACTCGGGGTCCCTCCCACATAACTATTGCTGAGAGAAGCCTCCTCCTGAGGTGCTTCTGGAAAGTTGGCATACGTCTTGAGCCTAAGCCAGGGAATCAGCTCTCATCTCGAGACGATTTGGGGTACACGGAGCATTCATCGAGTTGCTGTGCTGAAGTTGGTGTTCCTCTAGACTTGGGACAGTGTTCTCGGGGCATCTCTGGGGTTGCCTGAAGGAAGTCGAGCCACCGGTCATGTTGAATGGGGAACGGGGAATGGCTCTGGAGTCAATGCAGGGGAATCGGGCCTCATCTCGAGTTGATTTGGGGCACATGGAGCAGCTTTGCGTTGCTAGGGTGACCTCAGGGTCCGTCTAGACTGGTGACAGTGTTCTTGGGGACTGTCTCGAGATCCATTAAGCAAGTCGAAGCTCCTGACTTGTTTGAATGGGATCACGGAATAGCTCTGCACGCACTGCAGGGGAATCGGGCCTCATCTCGAGTTGATTTGGGGCACATGGAGCAGGTTTGCGTTGCTAGGGTGACCTCAGGGTCCGTCTAGACTGGTGACAGTGTTCTTGGGGACTGTCTCGAGATCCATTAAGCAAGTCGAAACTCCTGACTTGCTTGAATGGGATCACGGAATAGCTCTGCATGCAGTGCAGGGGAATGGGGCCTCATCTCGCCTCTAGGGGGAAGTCTCATGGTTTTTCTCGAGTTGCGGCGGGGACCTGGGTTTATATTCTCGACTTACGGCGGTGATGGCCCTTCAAAACACGAGTTTCTTCAGTGACGTCAGGACTCCTGTCTAGTAATGAGGGACACCTCAGGAATCTCCTCGAGGCTTGGCAGGGCAAAAGGGACGCTTCTCGAGGTGAGGCAGGGCACCCAAGGACCCTTTCCAGTAGCCACAGGGATTTTGGGATTCCTATCAGTATTCAAGAGGAGTCAGGCATCGTCACCTTTTGAAGCAATGAACTCCGCGTGCCTCTCGAGGTGTCAGCGGGATGTGAGGCATTCCGTCAAAATGAGGCAGGGACCTAGGGCTTTCTCTAAGATCTCCACAGTGGATTCAGACATCCCTTCATGTTGTGAGATGAAAGACGAGCTTGTATTCAAGCCAATGCAAGAAATCCGGCCTCCTTTCAAGTTAGGGCTTCTCGCTGTATATTCCCCTTGAGGCAGCATACTCGGGGTCCCTCCCACATACCTATTGCTGAGAGAAGCCTCCTCCTGAGGTGCTTCTGGAAAGTTGGCATACGTCTTGAGCCTAAGCCAGGGAATCAGCTCTCATCTCGAGATGATTTGGGGTATACGGAGCATTCATCGAGTTGCTGTGCTGAAGTTGGTGTTCCTCCAGACTTGGGACAGTGTTCTCGGGGCATCTTTGGAGTTGCCTGAAGGAAGTCGAGCCACCGGTCGTGTTGAATGGGGAATGGGGAGTGGCTCTGGGGTCAATGTAGGGGAATCGGGCCTCATCTCGAGTTGATTTGGGGCACATGGAGCTGCTTTGCATTGCTGGGGTGACCTCAGGGTCCGTCTAGACTGGTGACAGTGTTCTTGGGGACTGTCTCGAGATCCATTAAGCAAGTCGGAGCTCCTGACTTGCTTGAATGGGATCACGGTATAGATCTGCATGCACTGCAGGGGAATGGGGCCTCATTTCGCCTCTACGGGGAAGTCTCATGGTTTTTCTCAGGTTGCGGCGGGGACCTGGGGTATGTTCTGGACTTACGGCGGGGATGGCCCTTCAAAACACGAGTTTCTTCAGTGACGTCAGGACTCCTGTCTAGTAACGAGGGACACCTCAGGAATCTCTTCGAGGCTTGGCAGGGCAAAAGGGAGGCTTCTCGAGGTGAGGCAGGGCACCCAAGGACGCTTTCCAGTAGCCACAGGGATTTTGGGATTCCTATCAGTATTCAAGAGGAGGCAGGCATCGTCAACTTTTGAAGCAATGAACTCCGCGTGCCTCTCGAGGTGTCAGCGGGATGTGAGGCATTCCGTCAAAATGAGGCAGGGACCTAGGGCTTTCTCTAAGGTCTCCACAGGGGATTCAGACATCCCTTCATGTTGTGAGATGAAACACGAGCCTGTATTCAAGCCACTGCAAGGAAATCCGGCCTACTTTCAAGTTAGGGCTTCTCGCTGTATATTCCCCTTGAGGCAGCATACTCGGGGTCCCTCCCACATACCTATTGCTGAGAGAAGCCTCCTCCTGAGGTGCTTCTGGAAATTTGGCATACGTCTTGAGCCTAAGCCAGGGAATCAGCTCTCATCTCGAGACGATTTGGGGTACACGGAGCATTCATCGAGTTGCTGTGCTGAAGTTGGTGTTCCTCTAGACTTGGGACAGTGTTCTCCGGGCATCTATGGAGTTGCCTGAAGGAAGTCGAGCCACCAGTCGTGTTGAATGGGGAATGTGGAATGGCTCTGGAGTCAATGCAGGGGAATCGGGCCTCATCTCGAGTTGATTTGGGGCTCATGGAGCTGTTTTGCGTTGCTAGGGTGAAATCAGGGTCCGTCTAGACTGGTGACAGTGTTCTTTGGGACTGTCTCGAGATCCATTAAGCAAGTCGAAGCTCCTGACTTGTTTGAATGGGATCACGGAATAGCTCTGCATGCACTGCAGGGGAATCGGGCCTCATCTCGAGTTGATTTGGAGCCCATGGAGCTGCTTTTCGTTGCTAGGGTGACCTCAGGGTCCGTCTAGACTGGTGACAGTGTTCTTGGGGACTCTCTTGAGATCCATTAAGCAAGTCGAAGCTCCTGACTTGCTTGAATGGGATCACGGAAAAGCTCTGCATGCACTGCAGGGGAATGGGGCCTCATCTCGCCTCTAGGGGGAAGTCTCATTGTTTTTCTCGAGTTGCGGCGGGGACCTGGGGTATGTTCTCGACTTACGGCGGGGATGGCCCTTCAAAACACGAGTTTCTTCAGTGATGTCAGGACTCCTGTCTAGTAACGAGGGACACCACAGGAATCTCCTCGAGGCTTGGCAGGGCAAAAGGGACGCTTCTCGAGGTGAGGCAGGGCACCCAAGGACCCTTTCCAGTAGCCACAGGGATTTTGGGATTCCTATCAGTATTCAAGAGGAGTCAGGCATCGGCACATTTTGAAGCAATGAACTCCGCGTGCCTCTCGAGGTGTCAGCGGGATGTGAGGCATTCCGTCAAAATGAGGCAGGGACCTAGGGCTTTCTCTAAGGTCTCCACAGTGGATTCAGACATCCCTTCATGTTGTGAGATGAAAGACGAGATTGTATTCAAGCCAATGCAAGAAATCCGGTCTCCTTTCAAGTTAGGGCTTCTCGCTGTATATTCCCCTTGAGGCAGCATACTCGGGGTCCCTCCCACATACCTATTGCTGAGAGAAGCCTCCTCCTGAGGTGCTTCCGGAAAGTTGGCATACGTCTTGAGCCTAAGCCAGGGAATCAGCTCTCATCTCGAGACGATTTGGGGTACACGGAGCATTCCTCGAGTTGCTGTGCTGAAGTTGGTGTTCCTCTAGAATTGGGACAATGTTCTCGGGGCATCTCTGGAGTTGCCTGAAGGAAGACGAGCCACCGGTCGTGTTGAATGGGGAACCGGGAATGGCTCTGGAGTCAATGCAGGGGAATCGGGCCTCATCTCGAGTTTATTTGGGGCACAAGGAGCTGCTTTGCGTTGCTGGGGTGACCTCAGGGTACGTCTAGACTGGTGACAGTGTTCTTGGGGACTGTCTCGAGATCCATTAAGCAAGTCGAAGCTCCTGACTTGTTTGAATGGGATCATGGAATAGCTCTGCATGCACTGCAGGGGAATGGGGCCTCATCTCGCCTCTAGGGGGAAGTCTCATGGTTTTTCTCGAGTTGCGGCGGGGACCTGGGTTTATATTCTCGACTTACGGCGGTGATGGCCCTTCAAAACACGAGTTTCTTCAGTGACGTCAGGACTCCTGTCTAGTAATGAGGGACACCTCAGGAATCTCCTCGAGGCTTGGCAGGGCAAAAGGGACGCTTCTCGAGGTGAGGCAGGGCACCCAAGGACCCTTTCCAGTAGCCACAGGGATTTTGGGATTCCTATCAGTATTCAAGAGGAGTCAGGCATCATCACCTTTTGAAGCAATGAACTCCGCGTGCCTCTCGAGGTGTCAGCGGGATGTGAGGCATTCCGTCAAAATGAGGCAGGGACCTAGGGCTTTCTCTAAGATCTCCACAGTGGATTCAGACATCCCTTCATGTTGTGAGATGAAAGACGAGCTTGTATTCAAGCCAATGCAAGAAATCCGGCCTCCTTTCAAGTTAGGGCTTCTCGCTGTATATTCCCCTTGAGGCAGCATACTCGGGGTCCCTCCCACATACCTATTGCTGAGAGAAGCCTCCTCCTGAGGTGCTTCTGGAAAGTTGGCATACGTCTTGAGCCTAAGCCAGGGAATCAGCTCTCATCTCGAGATGATTTGGGGTATACGGAGCATTCATTGAGTTGCTGTGCTGAAGTTGGTGTTCCTCTAGACTTGGGACAGTGTTCTCGGGGCATCTTTGGAGTTGCCTGAAGGAAGTCGAGCCACCGGTCGTGTTGAATGGGGAATGGGGAGTGGCTCTGGGGTCAATGTAGGGGAATCGGGCCTCATCTCGAGTTGATTTGGGGCACATGGAGCTGCTTTGCATTGCTGGGGTGACCTCAGGGTCCGTCTAGACTGGTGACAGTGTTCTTGGGGACTGTCTCGAGATCCATTAAGCAAGTCGGAGCTCCTGACTTGCTTGAATGGGATCACGGTATAGATCTACATGCACTGCAGGGGAATGGGGCCTCATTTCGCCTCTACGGGGAAGTCTCATGGTTTTTCTCAGGTTGCGGCGGGGACCTGGGGTATGTTCTGGACTTACGGCGGGGATGGCCCTTCAAAACACGAGTTTCTTCAGTGACGTCAGGACTCCTGTCTAGTAACGAGGGACACCTCAGGAATCTCTTCGAGGCTTGGCAGGGCAAAAGGGAGGCTTCTCGAGGTGAGGCAGGGCACCCAAGGACCCTTTCCAGTAGCCACAGGGATTTTGGGATTCCTATCAGTATTCAAGAGGAGTCAGGCATGGTCACCTTTTGAAGCAGTGAACTCCGCGTGCCTCTCGAGGTGTCAGCGGGATGTGAGGCATTCCGTCAAAATGAGGCAGGGACCTAGGGCTTTCTCTAAGGTCTCCACAGGGGATTCAGACATCCCTTCATGTTGTGAGATGAAACACGAGCCTGTATTCAAGCCACTGCAAGGAAATCCGGCCTACTTTCAAGTTAGGGCTTCTCGCTGTATATTCCCCTTGAGGCAGCATACTCGGGGTCCCTCCCACATACCTATTGCTGAGAGAAGCCTCCTCCTGGGATGCTTCTCGAAATTTGGCATACGTCTTGAGCCTAAGCCAGGGAATCAGCTCTCATCTCGAGACGATTTGGGGTACACGGAGCATTCATCGAGTTGCTGTGCTGAAGTTGGTGTTCCTCAAGACTTGGGACAGTGTTCTCCGGGCATCTATGGAGTTGCCTGAAGGAAGTCGAGCCACCGGTCGTGTTGAATGGGGAATGGGGAATGGCTCTGGAGTCAATGCAGGGGAATCGGGCCTCATCTCGAGTTGATTTGGGGCTCATGGAGCTGTTTTGCGTTGCTAGGGTGAAATCAGGGTCCGTCTAGACTGGTGACAGTGTTCTTTGGGACTGTCTCGAGATCCATTAAGCAAGTCGAAGCTCCTGACTTGTTTGAATGGGATCACGGAATAGCTCTGCATGCACTGCAGGGGAATCGGGCCTCATCTTGAGTTGATTTGGAGCCCATGGAGCTGCTTTGCGTTGCTAGGGTGACCTCAGGGTCCGTCTAGACTGGTGACAGTGTTCTTGGGGACTCTCTTGAGATCCATTAAGCAAGTCGAAGCTCCTGACTTGCTTGAATGGGATCACGGAAAAGCTCTGCATGCACTGCAGGGGAATGGGGCCTCATCTCGCCTCTAGGGGGAAGTCTCATTGTTTTTCTCGAGTTGCGGCGGGGACCTGGGGTATGTTCTCGACTTACGGCGGGGATGGCCCTTCAAAACACGAGTTTCTTCAGTGATGTCAGGACTCCTGTCTAGTAACGAGGGACACCACAGGAATCTCCTCGAGGCTTGGCAGGGCAAAAGGGACGCTTCTCGAGGTGAGGCAGGGCACCCAAGGACCCTTTCCAGTAGCCACAGGGATTTTGGGATTCCTATCAGTATTCAAGAGGAGTCAGGCATCGGCACATTTTGAAGCAATGAACTCCGCGTGCCTCTCGAGGTGTCAGCGGGATGTGAGGCATTCCGTCAAAATGAGGCAGGGACCTAGGGCTTTCTCTAAGGTCTCCACAGTGGATTCAGACATCCCTTCATGTTGTGAGATGAAAGACGAGCTTGTATTCAAGCCAATGCAAGAAATCCGGCCTCCTTTCAAGTTAGGGCTTCTCGCTGTATATTCCCCTTGAGGCAGCATACTCGGGGTCCCTCCCACATAGCTATTGGTGAGAGAAGCCTCCTCCTGAGGTGCTTCTGGAAAGTTGGCATACGTCTTGAGCCTAGGCCAGGGAATCAGCTCTCATCTCGAGACAATTTGGGGTACATGGAGCATTCATCGAGTTGCTGTGCTGAAGTCGGTGTTCCTCTAGACTTGGGACAGTGTTCTCGGGGCATCTCTGGAGTTGCCTGAAGGAAGACGAGCCACCGGTCGTGTTGAATGGGGAACGGGGAATGGCTCTGGAGTCAATGCAGGGGAATCGGGCCTCATCTCGACTTGATTTGGGGCACATGGAGCTGCTTTGCATTGCTGGGGTGACCTCAGGGTCCGTCTAGACTGGTGACAGTGTTCTTAGGGACTGTCTGGAGATCCATTAAGCAAGGCGAAGCCCCTGACTTGTTTGAATGGGATCACGGAATAGCTCTGCATGCACTGCAGGGGAATGGGGCCTCATCTCGCGTCTAGGGGGAAGTCTCATGGTTTTTCTTGAGTTGCGGCGGGGACCTGGGGTATGTTCTCGACTTACGGCGGGGATGGACGTTGAAAACACGAGTTTCTTCAGTGACGTCAGGACTCCTGTCTAGTAACGAGGGACACCTCAGTAATCTCTTCGAGGCTTGGCAGGGCAAAAGGGACGCTTTTTGAGGTGAGGCAGGGCACCCAAGGACCCTTTCCAGTAGCCACAGGGATTTTGGGATTCCTATCAGTATTCAAGAGGAGTCAGGCATCGTCACCTTTTGAAGCAATGAACTCCGCATGCCTCTCGAGGTGTCAGCGGGATGTGAGGCATTCCGTCAAAATGAGGCAGGGACCTAGGGCTTTCTCTAAGGTCTCCACAGGCGATTCAGACATCCCTTCATGTTGTGAGATGAAAGACGAGACTGTATTCAAGCCACTGCAAGGAAATCCGGCCTCCTTTCAAGTTAGGGCTTCTCGCTGTATATTCCCCTTGAGGCAGCATACTCGGGGTCCCTCCCACATACCTATTGCTGAGAGAAGCCTCCTCCTGAGTTGCTTCTGGAAAGTTGGCATACGTCTTGAGCCTAAGCCAGGGAATCAGCTCTCATCTCGAGACGATTTGGTGTACACGGAACATTCATCGAGTTGCTGTGTTGAAGTTGGTGTTCCTCTAGACTTGGGACAGTGTTCTCGGGGCATCTCTGGGGTTGCCTGATGGAAGTCGAGCCACCGGTCGTGTTGAATGGGGAACGGGGAATGGCTCTGGAGTCAATGCAGGGGAATCGGACCTCATCTCGAGTTGATTTGGGGCACATGGAGCAGGTGTGCGTTGCTAGGGTGACCTCAGGGTCCGTCTAGACTGGTGACAGTGTTCTTGGGGACTGTCTCGAGATCCATTAAGCAAGTCGAAGCTCCTGACTTGTTTGAATGGGATCACGGAATAGATCTGCATGAACTGCCGGGGAATTGGGCCTCATCTCGTGTTGATTTGGGGCACATGGAGCTGCTTCGCGTTGCTGGGGTGACCTCAGGGTCCGTCTAGACTGGTGACAGTGTTCTTGAGGAATGTCTCGAGATCCATTAAGCAAGTCGAAGCTCCTGACTTGTTTGAATGGGATCACGGAATAGCTCTGCATGCATTGGAGGGGAATGGGGCCTCATCTCGACTCTAGGGGGAAGTCTCATGGTTTTTCTCGAGTTGCGGCGGGGACCTGGGGTATATTATCCACTTACGGCGGGGATGGCCCTTCAAAACACGTGTTTCTTCAGTGACGTCAGGACTCCTGTTTAGTAACGAGGGACACCTCAGGAATCTCTTCGAGCCTTGGCAGGGCAAAAGGGACGCTTCTCGAGGTGAGGCAGGGCACCCAAGGACCCTTTCCAGTAGCCACAGTGATTTTGGGATTCCTATTAGTATTCAAGAGGAGTCAGGCATCGTCACCTTTTGAAGCAATGAACTCCGCGTGCCTCTCGAGGTTTCAGCGGGATATGAGGCATTCCGTCAAAATGAGGCAGGGACCTAGGGCTTTCTCTAAGGTCTCCACAGGGGATTCAGACATCGCTTCATGTTGTGAGATGAAAGACGAGCCTGTATTCAAGCCACTGCAAGGAAATCCGGCCTAATTTCAAGTTAGGGCTTCTCTCTGTATATTCCCCTTGAGGCAGCATACTCGGGGTCCCTCCCACATAACTATTGCTGAGAGAAGCCTCCTCCTGAGGTGCTTCTGGAAAGTTGGCATACGTCTTGAGCCTAAGCCAGGGAATCAGCTCTCATCTCGAGACGATTTGGGGTACACGGAGCATTCATCGAGTTGCTGTGCTGAAGTTGGTGTTCCTCTAGACTTGGGACAGTGTTCTCGGGGCATCTCTGGGGTTGCCTGAAGGAAGTCGAGCCACCGGTCGTGTTGAATGGGGAACGGGGAATGGCTCTGGAGTCAATGCATGGGAATCGGGCCTCATCTCGAGTTGATTTGGGGCACATGGAGCAGCTTTGCGTTGCTAGGGTGACCTCAGGGTCCGTCTAGACTGGTGACAGTGTTCTTGGGGACTGTCTCGAGATCCATTAAGCAAGTCGAAGCTCCTGACTTGTTTGAATGGGATCACGGAATAGCTCTGCATGCACTGCAGGGGAATCGGGCCTCATCTCGAGTTGATTTGGGGCACATGGAGCAGCTTTGCGTTGCTAGGGTGACCTCAGGGTCCGTCTAGACTGGTGACAGTGTTCTTGGGGAGTGTCTCGAGATCCATTAAGCAAGTCGAAACTCCTGACTTGCTTGAATGTGATCACGGAATAGCTCTGCATGCAGTGCAGGGGAATGGGGCCTCATCTCGCCTCTAGGGGGAAGTCTCATGGTTTTTCTCGAGTTGCGGCGGGGACCTGGGTTTATATTCTCGACTTACGGCGGTGATGGCCCTTCAAAACACGAGTTTCTTCAGTGACGTCAGGACTCCTGTCTAGTAATGAGGGACACCTCAGGAATCTCCTCGAGGCTTGGCAGGGCAAAAGGGACGCTTCTTGAGGTGAGGCAGGGCACCCAAGGACCCTTTCCAGTAGCCACAGGGATTTTGGGATTCCTATCAGTATTCAAGAGGAGTCAGGCATCGTCACCTTTTGAAGCAATGAACTCCGCGTGCCTCTCGAGGTGTCAGCGGGATGTGAGGCATTCCGTCAAAATGAGCCAGGGACCTAGGGCTTTCTCTAAGATCTCCACAGTGGATTCAGACATCCCTTCATGTTGTGAGATGAAAGACGAGCTTGTATTCAAGCCAATGCAAGAAATCCGGCCTCCTTTCAAGTTAGGGCTTCTCGCTGTATATTCCCCTTGAGGCAGCATACTCGGGGTCCCTCCCACATACCTATTGCTGAGAGAAGCCTCCTCCTGAGGTGCTTCTGGAAAGTTGGCATACCTCTTGAGCCTAAGCCAGGGAATCAGCTCTCATCTCGAGATGATTTGGGGTATACGGAGCATTCATCGAGTTGCTGTGCTGAAGTTGGTGTTCCTCTAGACTTGGGACAGTGTTCTCGGGGCATCTTTGGAGTTGCCTGAAGGAAGTCGAGCCACCGGTCGTGTTGAATGGGGAATGGGGAGTGGCTCTGGGGTCAATGTAGGGGAATCGGGCCTCATCTCGAGTTGATTTGGGGCACATGGAGCTGCTTTGCATTGCTGGGGTGACCTCAGGGTCCGTCTAGACTGGTGACAGTGTTCTTGGGGACTGTCTCGAGATCCATTAAGCAAGTCGGAGCTCCTGACTTGCTTGAATGGGATCACGGTATAGATCTGCATGCACTGCAGGGGAATGGGGCCTCATTTCGCCTCTACGGGGAAGTCTCATGGTTTTTCTCAGGTTGCGGCGGGGACCTGGGGTATGTTCTGGACTTACGGCGGGGATGGCCCTTCAAAACACGAGTTTCTTCAGTGACGTCAGGACTCCTGTCTAGTAACGAGGGACACCTCAGGAATCTCTTCGAGGCTTGGCAGGGCAAAAGGGAGGCTTCTCGAGGTGAGGCAGGGCACCCAAGGACCCTTTCCAGTAGCCACAGGGATTTTGGGATTCCTATCAGTATTCAAGAGGAGTCAGGCATCGTCACCTTTTGAAGCAATGAACTCCGCGTGCCTCTCGAGGTGTCAGCGGGATGTGAGGCATTCCGTCAAAATGAGGCAGGGACCTAGGGCTTTCTCTAAGGTCTCCACAGGGGATTCAGACATCCCTTCATGTTGTGAGATGAAAGACGAGCCTGTATTCAAGCCACTGCAAGGAAATCCGGCCTACTTTCAAGTTAGGGCTTCTCGCTGTATATTCCCCTTGAGGCAGCATACTCGGGGTCCCTCCCACATACCTATTGCTGAGAGAAGCCTCCTCCTGAGGTGCTTCTGGAAATTTGGCATACGTCTTGAGCCTAAGCCAGGGAATCAGCTCTCATCTCGAGACGATTTGGGGTACACGGAGCATTCCTCGAGTTGCTGTGCTGAAGTTGGTGTTCCTCTAGACTTGGGACAGTGTTCTCGGGGCATCTCTGGAGTTGCCTGAAGGAAGTCGAGCCACCATTCTTGTTGAATGGGGAATGGGGAATGGCTCTGGAGTCAATGCAGGGGAATCGGGCCTCATCTCGAGTTGATTTGGGGCACATGGAGCTGCTTTGCGTTGCTAGGGTGACCTCAGGGTCCGTCTAGACTGGTGACAGTGTTCTTGGGGACTGTCTCGAGATCCATTAAGCAAGTCGAAGCTCCTGACTTGTTTGAATGGGATCACGGAATAGCTCTGCATGCACTGCAGGGGAATCGGGCCTCATCTCGAGTTGATTTGGGGCACATGGAGCTGCTTCGCGTTGCTGGGGTGACCTCAGGGTCCGTCTAGACTGGTGACAGTGTTCTTGGGGACTGTCTCGAGATCCATTAAGCAAGTCGAAGCTCCTGACTTGTTTGAATGGGATCACGGAATAGCTCTGCATGCACTGCAGGGGAATGGGGCCTCATCTCGCCTCTAGGGGGAAGTCTCATGCTTTTTCTCGAGTTGCGGCGGGGACCTGGGGTATGTTCTCGACTTACGGCGGGGATGGCCCTTCAAAACACGAGTTTCTTCAGTGACGTCAGGACTCCTGTCTAGTAACGAGGGACACCTCAGGAATCTCTTCGAGGCTTGGCAGGGCAAAAGGGACGCTTCTTGAGGTGAGGCAGGGCACCCAAGGACCCTTTCCAGTAGCCACAGGGATTTTGGGATTCCTATCAGTATTCAAGAGGAGTCAGGCATCGTCACCTTTTGAAGCAATTAACTCCGCGTGCCTCTCGAGGTGTCAGCGGGATGTGAGGCATTCCGTCAAAATGAGGCAGGGACCTACGGCTTTCTCTAAGGTCTCCACAGGGGATTCAGACATCCCTTCAGGTATTGAGATCCAAGACGAGCCTGTATTCTAGCCACTGCAAGGAAATTCAGCCTCCTTTCAAGTTAGGGCTTCTCGCTGTATATTCCCCTTGAGGCAGCACACTCGGGGTCCCTCCCACATACCTATTGCTGAGAGAAGCCTCCTCCTGAGGTGCTTCTGGAAAGTTGGCATACGTCTTGAGCCTAAGCCAGGGAATCAGCTCTCATCTCGAGATGATTTGGGGTACACGGAGCATTCCTCGAGTTGCTGTGCTGAAGTTGGTGTTCCTCTAGACTTGGGACAGTGTTCTCGGGGCATCTCTGGAGTTGCCTGAAGGAAGTCGAGCCACCGGTCGTGTTGAATGGGGAACGGGGAATGGCTCTGGAGTCAATGCAGGGGAATCGGGCCTCATCTCGAGTTGATTTGGGGCTCATGGAGCTGTTTTGCGTTGCTAGGGTGAAATCAGGGTCCGTCTAGACTGGTGACAGTGTTCTTTGGGACTGTCTCGAGATCCATTAAGCAAGTCGAAGCTCCTGACTTGTTTGAATGGGATCACGGAATAACTCTGCATGCACTGCAGGGGAATCGGGCCTCATCTCGAGTTGATTTGGAGCCCATGGAGCTGCTTTTCGTTGCTAGGGTGACCTCAGTGTCCGTCTAGACTGGTGACAGTGTTCTTGGGGACTCTCTTGAGAACCATTAAGCAAGTCGAAGCTCCTGACTTGCTTGAATTTGATCACGGAAAAGCTCTGCATGCACTGCAGGGGAATGGGGCCTCATCTCGCCTCTAGGGGGAAGTCTCATTGTTTTTCTCGAGTTGCGGCGGGGACCTGGGGTATGTTCTCGACTTACGGCGGGGATGGCCCTTCAAAACACGAGTTTCTTCAGTGATGTCAGGACTCCTGTCTAGTAACGAGGGACACCACAGGAATCTCCTCGAGGCTTGGCAGGGCAAAAGGGACGCTTCTCGAGGTGAGGCAGGGCACCCAAGGACCCTTTCCAGTAGCCACAGGGATTTTGGGATTCCTATCAGTATTCAAGAGGAGTCAGGCATCGGCACATTTTGAAGCAATGAACTCCGCGTGCCTCTCGAGGTGTCAGCGGGATGTGAGGCATTCCGTCAAAATGAGGCAGGGACCTAGGGCTTTCTCTAAGGTCTCCACAGTGGATTCAGACATCCCTTCATGTTGTGAGATGAAAGACGAGATTGTATTCAAGCCAATGCAAGAAATCCGGTCTCATTTCAAGTTAGGGCTTCTCGCTGTATATTCCCCTTGAGGCAGCATACTCGGGGTCCCTCCCACATACCTATTGCTGAGAGAAGCCTCCTCCTGAGGTGCTTCTGGAAAGTTGGAATACGTCTTGACCCTAAGCCAGGGAATCAGCTCTCATCTCGAGACGATTTGGGGTACACGGAGCATTCCTCGAGTTGCTGTGCTGAAGTTGGTGTTCCTCTAGACTTGGGACAGTGTTCTCGGGGCATCTCTGGAGTTGCCTGAAGGAAGTCGAGCCACCGGTCGTGTTGAATGGGGAACGGGGAATGGCTCTGGAGTCAATGCAGGGGAATCGGGCCTCATCTCGAGTTGATTTGGGGCACATGGAGCTGCTTTGCGTTGCTGTGGTGACATCAGGGTACGTCTAGACTGGTGACAGTGTTCTTGGGGACTGTCTCTAGATCCATTAAGCAAGTCGAAGCTCCTGACGTGTTTGAATGGGATCACGGAATAGCTCTGCATGCACTGCAGGGGAATGGGGCCTCATCTCGCCTCTAGGGGGAAGTCTCATGGTTTTTCTCGAGTTGCGGCGGCGACCTGGGGTATGTTCTCGACTTACGGCGGGGATGGCCCTTCAAAACACGAGTTTCTTCAGTGACGTCAGGACTGCTGTCTAGTAATGAGGGACACCTCAGGAATCTCTTCGAGGCTTGGCAGGGCAAAAGGGACGCTTCTCGAGGTGAGGCAGGGCACCCAAGGACACTTTCCAGTAGCCACAGGGATTTTGGGATTCCTATCAGTATTCAAGAGGAGTCAGGCATCGTCACCTTTTGAAGCAATGAACTCCGCGTGCCTCTCGAAGTGTCAGCCGTATGTGAGGCATTCCGTCAAAATGAGGCAGGGACCTAGGGCTTTCTCTAAGGTCTCCACAGGGGATTCAGACAACCCTTCATGTTGTTAGAAGAAAGACGAGCCTGTATTCAAGCCACTGCAAGGAAATCCGGCCTCCTTTCAAGTTAGGGCTTCTCGCTGTATATTCCCCTTGAGGCAGCATACTCGGGGTCCCTCCCACATACCTATTGCTGAGAGAAGCCTCCTCCTGAGGTGCTTCTGGAAAGTTGGCATACGTCTTGAGCCTAAGCCAGGGAATCAGCTCTAATCTCGAGACGATTTGGGGTACACGGAGCATTCATCGAGTTGCTGTGCTGAGGTTGGTGTTCCTCTAGACTTGGGACAGTGTTCTCAGGGCATAGCTGGAGTTGCCTGAAGGAAGTCGAGCCACCATTCGTGTTGAATGGGGAATGGGGAATGGCTCTGGAGTCAATGCAGGGGAATCGGGCCTCATCTCGAGTTGATTTGGGGCCCATGGAGCTGCTTTGCGTTGCTAGGGTGACCTCAGGGTCCGTCTAGACTGGTGACAGTGTTCTTGGGGACTGTCTCGAGATCCATTAAGCAAGTCGAAGCTCCTGACTTGTTTGAATGGGATCACGGAATAGCTCTGCATGCACTGCAGGGGAATCGGGCCTCATCTCGAGTTGATTTGGGGCACATGGAGCTGCTTTGCGTTGCTGGGGTGACCTCAGGGTCCGTCTAGACTGGTGACAGTGTTCTTGGGGACTGTCTCGAGATCCATTAAGCAAGTCGAAGCTCCTGACTTGTTTGAATGGGATCACGGAATAGCTCTGCATGCACTGCAGGGGAATGGGGCCTCATCTCGCCTCTAGGAGGAAGTCTCATGGTTTTTCTCGAGTTGCGGCGGGGACCTGGGGTATGTTCTCGACTTACGGCGGGGATGGCCCTTCAAAACACGAGTTTCTTCAGTGACGTCAGGACTCCTGTCTAGTAACGAGGGACACCTCAGGAATCTCTTCGAGGCTTGGCAGGGCAAAAGGGACGCTTCTCGAGGTGAGGCAGGGCACCCAAGGACCCTTTCCAGTAGCCACAGGGATTTTGGGATTCCTATCAGTATTCAAGAGGAGTCAGGCATCGTCACCTTTTGAAGCAATGAACTCCGCGTGCCTCTCGAGGTGTCAGCGGGATGTGAGGCATTCCGTCAAAATGAGGCAGGGACCTAGGGCTTTCTCTAAGGTATCCACAGGGGATTCAGACATCCCTTCAGGTATTGAGATCCAAGACGAGCCTGTATTCTAGCCACTGCAAGGAAATCCAGCCTCCTTTCAAGTTAGGGCTTCTCGCTGTATATTCCCCTTGAGGCAGCACACTCGGGGTCCCTCCCACATACCTATTGCTGAGAGAAGCCTCCTCCTGAGGTGCTTCTGGAAAGTTGGCATACGTCTTGAGCCTAAGCCAGGGAATCAGCTCTCATCTCGAGACGATTTGGGGTACACGGAGCATTCCTCGAGTTGCTGTGCTGAAGTTGGTGTTCCTCTAGACTTGGGACAGTGTTCTCGGGGCATCTCTGGAGTTGCCTGAAGGAAGTCGAGCCACCGGTCATGTTGAATGGGGAACGGGGAATGGCTCTGGAGTCAATGCAGGGGAATCGGGCCTCATCTCGAGTTGATTTGGGGCTCATGGAGCTGTTTTGCGTTGCTAGGGTGAAATCAGGGTCCGTCTAGACTGGTGACAGTGTTCTTTGGGACTGTCTCGAGATCCATTAAGCAAGTCGAAGCTCCTGACTTGTTTGAATGGGATCACGGAATAGCTCTGCATGCACTGCAGGGGAATCGGGCCTCATCTCGAGTTGATTTGGAGCCCATGGAGCTGCTTTTCGTTGCTAGGGTGACCTCAGGGTCCGTCTAGACTGGTGACAGTGTTCTTGGGGACTCTCTTGAGATCCATTAAGCAAGTCGAAGCTCCTGACTTGCTTGAATGGGATCACGGAAAAGCTCTGCATGCACTGCAGGGGAATGGGGCCTCATCTCGCCTCTAGGGGGAAGTCTCAATTTTTTTCTCGTGTTGCGGCGGGGACCTGGGCTATGTTCTCGACTTACGGCGGGGATGGCCCTTCAAAACACGAGTTTCTTCAGTGATGTCAGGACTCCTGTCTAGTAACGAGGGACACCACAGGAATCTCCTCGAGGCTTGGCAGGGCAAAAGGGACGCTTCTCGAGGTGAGGCAGGGCACCCAAGGACCCTTTCCAGTAGCCACAGGGATTTTGGGATTCCTATCAGTATTCAAGAGGAGTCAGGCATCGGCACATTTTGAAGCAATGAACTCCGCTTGCCTCTCGAGGTGTCAGCGGGATGTGAGGCATTCCGTCAAAATGAGGCAGGGACCTAGGGCTTTCTCTAAGGTCTCCACAGTGGATTCAGACATCCCTTCATGTTGTGAGATGAAAGACGAGATTGTATTCAAGCCAATGCAAGAAATCCGGTCTCCTTTCAAGTTAGGGCTTCTCGCTGTATATTCCCCTTGAGGCAGCATACTCGGGGTCCCTCCCACATACCTATTGCTGAGAGAAGCCTCCTCCTGAGGTGCTTCTGGAAAGTTGGCATACGTCTTGAGCCTAAGCCAGGGAATCAGCTCTCATCTCGAGACGATTTGGGGTACACGGAGCATTCCTCGAGTTGCTGTGCTGAAGTTGGTGTTCCTCTAGAATTGGGACAATGTTCTCGGGGCATCTCTGGAGTTGCCTGAAGGAAGACGAGCCACCGGTCGTGTTGAATGGGGAACGGGGAATGGCTCTGGAGTCAATGCAGGGGAATCGGGCCTCATCTCGAGTTGATTTGGGGCACATGGAGCTGCTTTGCGTTGCTGGGGTGACCTCAGGGTACGTCTAGCCTGGTGACAGTGTTCTTGGGGACTGTCTCGAGATCCATTAAGCAAGTCGAAGCTCCTGACTTGTTTGAATGGGATCATGGAATAGCTCTGCATGCACTGCAGGGGAATGGGGCCTCATCTCGCCTCTAGGGGGAAGTCTCATGGTTTTTCTCGAGTTGCGGCGGGGACCTGGGTTTATATTCTCGACTTACGGCGGTGATGGCCCTTCAAAACACGAGTTTCTTCAGTGACGTCAGGACTCCTGTCTAGTAATGAGGGACACCTCAGGAATCTCCTCGAGGCTTGGCAGGGCAAAAGGGACGCTTCTCTAGGTGAGGCAGGGCACCCAAGACCCTTTCCAGTAGCCACAGGGATTTTGGGATTCCTATCAGTATTCACGAGGAGTCAGGCATCGTCACCTTTTGAAGCAATGAACTCCGCGTGCCTCTCGAGGTGTCAGCGGGATGTGAGGCATTCCGTCAAAATGAGGCAGGGACCTAGGGCTTTCTCTAAGATCTCCACAGTGGATTCAGACATCCCTTCATATTGTGAGATGAAAGACGAGCTTGTATTCAAGCCAATGCAAGAAATCCGGCCTCCTTTCAAGTTAGGGCTTCTCGCTGTATATTCCCCTTGAGGCAGCATACTCGGGGTCCCTCCCACATACCTATTGCTGAGAGAAGCCTCCTCCTGAGGTGCTTCTGGAAAGTTGGCATACGTCTTGAGCCTAAGCCAGGGAATCAGCTCTCATCTCGAGATGATTTGTTGTATACGGAGCATTCATCGAGTTGCTGTGCTGAAGTTGGTGTTCCTCTAGACTTGGGACAGTGTTCTCGGGGCATCTTTGGAGTTGCCTGAAGGAAGTCGAGCCACCGGTCGTGTTGAATGGGGAATGGGGAGTGGCTCTGGGGTCAATGTAGGGGAATCGGGCCTCATCTCGAGTTGATTTGGGGCACATGGAGCTGCTTTGCATTGCTGGGGTGACCTCAGGGTCCGTCTAGACTGGTGACAGTGTTCTTGGGGACTGTCTCGAGATCCATTAAGCAAGTCGGAGCTCCTGACTTGCTTGAATGGGATCACGGTATAGATCTGCATGCACTGCAGGGGAATGGGGCCTCATTTCGCCTCTACGGGGAAGTCTCATGGTTTTTCTCAGGTTGCGGCGGGGACCTGGGGTATGTTCTGGACTTACGGCGGGGATGGCCCTTCAAAACACGAGTTTCTTCAGTGACGTCAGGACTCCTGTCTAGTAACGAGGGACACCTCAGGAATCTCTTCGAGGCTTGGCAGGGCAAAAGGGAGGCTTCTCGAGGTGAGGCAGGGCACCCAAGGACCCTTTCCAGTAGCCACAGGGATTTTGGGATTCCTATCAGTATTCAAGAAGAGGCAGGCATCGTGACCTTTTGAAGCAATGAACTCCGCGTGCCTCTCGAGGTGTCAGCGGGATGTGAGGCATTCCGTCAAAATGAGGCAGGGACCTAGGGCTTTCTCTAAGGTCTCCACAGGGGATTCAGAAATCTCTTCATGTTGTGAGATGAAACACGAGCCTGTATTCAAGCCACTGCAAGGAAATCCGGCCTACTTTCAAGTTAGGGCTTCTCGCTGTATATTCCCCTTGAGGCAGCATACTCGGGGTCCCTCCCACATACCTATTGCTGAGAGAAGCCTCCTCCTGAGGTGCTTCTGGAAATTTGGCATACGTCTTGAGCCTAAGCCAGGGAATCAGCTCTCATCTCGAGACGATTTGGGGTACACGGAGCATTCATCGAGTTGCTGTGCTGAAGTTGGTGTTCCTCTAGACTTGGGACAGTGTTCTCCGGGCATCTATGGAGTTGCCTGAAGGAAGTCGAGCCACCAGTCGTGTTGAATGGGGAATGTGGAATGGCTCTGGAGTCAATGCAGGGGAATCGGGCCTCATCTCGAGTTGATTTGGGGCTCATGGAGCTGTTTTGCGTTGCTAGGGTGAAATCAGGGTCCGTCTAGACTGGTGACAGTGTTCTTTGGGACTGTCTCGAGATCCATTAAGCAAGTCGAAGCTCCTGACTTGTTTGAATGGGATCACGGAATAGCTCTGCATGCACTGCAGGGGAATCGGGCCTCATCTCGAGTTGATTTGGAGCCCATGGAGCTGCTTTTCGTTGCTAGGGTGACCTCAGGGTCCGTCTAGACTGGTGACAGTGTTCTTGGGGACTCTCTTCAGATCCATTAAGCAAGTCGAAGCTCCTGACTTGCTTGAATGGGATCACGGAAAAGCTCTGCATGCACTGCAGGGGAATGGGGCCTCATCTCGCCTCTAGGGGGAAGTCTCATTGTTTTTCTCGAGTTGCGGCGGGGACCTGGGGTATGTTCTCGACTTACGGCGGGGATGGCCCTTCAAAACACGAGTTTCTTCAGTGATGTCAGGACTCCTGTCTAGTAACGAGGGACACCACAGGAATCTCCTCGAGGCTTGGCAGGGCAAAAGGGACGCTTCTCGAGGTGAGGCAGGGCACCCAAGGACCCTTTCCAGTAGCCACAGGGATTTTGGGATTCCTATCAGTATTCAAGAGGAGTCAGGCATCGGCACATTTTGAAGCAATGAACTCCGCGTGCCTCTCGAGGTGTCAGCGGGATGTGAGGCATTCCGTCAAAATGAGGCAGGGACCTAGGGCTTTCTCTAAGGTCTCCACAGTGGATTCAGACATCCCTTCATGTTGTGAGAAGAAAGACGAGATTGTATTCAAGCCAATGCAAGAAATCCGGTCTCCTTTCAAGTTAGGGCTTCTCGCTGTATATTCCCCTTGAGGCAGCATACTCGGGGTCCCTCCCACATACCTATTGCTGAGAGAAGCCTCCTCCTGAGGTGCTTCTGGAAAGTTGGCATACGTCTTGAGCCTAAGCCAGGGAATCAGCTCTCATCTCGAGACGATTTGGGGTACACGGAGCATTCCTCGAGTTGCTGTGCTGAAGTTGGTGTTCCTCTAGAATTGGGACAATGTTCTCGGGGCATCTCTGGAGTTGCCTGAAGGAAGACGAGCCACCGGTCGTGTTGAATGGGGAACCGGGAATGGCTCTGGAGTCAATGCAGGGGAATCGGGCCTCATCTCGAGTTTATTTGGGGCACATGGAGCTGCTTTGCGTTGCTGGGGTGACCTCAGGGTACGTCTAGACTGGTGACAGTGTTCTTGGGGACTGTCTCGAGATCCATTAAGCAAGTCGAAGCTCCTGACTTGTTTGAATGGGATCATGGAATAGCTCTGCATGCACTGCAGGGGAATGGGGCCTCATCTCGCCTCTAGGGGGAAGTCTCATGGTTTTTCTCGAGTTGCGGCGGGGACCTGGGTTTATATTCTCGACTTACGGCGGTGATGGCCCTTCAAAACACGAGTTTCTTCAGTGACGTCAGGACTCCTGTCTAGTAATGAGGGACACCTCAGGAATCTCCTCGAGGCTTGGCAGGGCAAAAGGGACGCTTCTCGAGGTGAGGCAGGGCACCCAAGGACCCTTTCCAGTAGCCACAGGGATTTTGGGATTCCTATCAGTATTCAAGAGGAGTCAGGCATCGTCACCTTTTGAAGCAATGAACTCCGCGTGCCTCTCGAGGTGTCAGCGGGATGTGAGGCATTCCGTCAAAATGAGGCAGGGACCTAGGGCTTTCTCTAAGATCTCCACAGTGGATTCAGACATCCCTTCATGTTGTGAGATGAAAGACGAGCTTGTATTCAAGCCAATGCAAGAAATCCGGCCTCCTTTCAAGTTAGGGCTTCTCGCTGTATATTCCCCTTGAGGCAGCATACTCGGGGTCCCTCCCACATACCTATTGCTGAGAGAAGCCTCCTCCTGAGGTGCTTCTGGAAAGTTGGCATACGTCTTGAGCCTAAGCCAGGGAATCAGCTCTCATCTCGAGATGATTTGGGGTATACGGAGCATTCATCGAGTTGCTGTGCTGAAGTTGGTGTTCCTCTAGACTTGGGACAGTGTTCTCGGGGCATCTTTGGAGTTGCCTGAAGGAAGTCGAGCCACCGGTCGTGTTGAATGGGGAATGGGGAGTGGCTCTGGGGTCAATGTAGGGGAATCGGGCCTCATCTCGAGTTGATTTGGGGCACATGGAGCTGCTTTGCATTGCTGGGGTGACCTCAGGGTCCGTCTAGACTGGTGACAGTGTTCTTGGGGACTGTCTCGAGATCCATTAAGCAAGTCGGAGCTCCTGACTTGCTTGAATGGGATCACGGTATAGATCTACATGCACTGCAGGGGAATGGGGCCTCATTTCGCCTCTACGGGGAAGTCTCATGGTTTTTCTCAGGTTGCGGCGGGGCCCTGGGGTATGTTCTGGACTTACGGCGGGGATGGCCCTTCAAAACACGAGTTTCTTCAGTGACGTCAGGACTCCTGTCTAGTAACGAGGGACACCTCAGGAATCTCTTCGAGGCTTGGCAGGGCAAAAGGGAGGCTTCTCGAGGTGAGGCAGGGCACCCAAGGACCCTTTCCAGTAGCCACAGGGATTTTGGGATTCCTATCAGTATTCAAGAGGAGTCAGGCATGGTCACCTTTTGAAGCAGTGAACTCCGCGTGCCTCTCGAGGTGTCAGCGGGATGTGAGGCATTCCGTCAAAATGAGGCAGGGACCTAGGGCTTTCTCTAAGGTCTCCACAGGGGATTCAGACATCCCTTCATGTTGTGAGATGAAACACGAGCCTGTATTCAAGCCACTGCAAGGAAATCCGGCCTACTTTCAAGTTAGGGCTTCTCGCTGTATATTCCCCTTGAGGCAGCATACTCGGGGTCCCTCCCACATACCTATTGCTGAGAGAAGCCTCCTCCTGGGATGCTTCTGGAAATTTGGCATACGTCTTGAGCCTAAGCCAGGGAATCAGCTCTCATCTCGAGACGATTTGGGGTACACGGAGCATTCATCGAGTTGCTGTGCTGAAGTTGGTGTTCCTCTAGACTTGGGACAGTGTTCTCGGGGCATCTATGGAGTTGCCTGAAGGAAGTCGAGCCACCGGTCGTGTTGAATGGGGAATGTGGAATGGCTCTGGAGTCAATGCAGGGGAATCGGGCCTCATCTCGAGTTGATTTGGGGCTCATGGAGCTGTTTTGCGTTGCTAGGGTGAAATCAGGGTCCGTCTAGACTGGTGACAGTGTTCTTTGGGACTGTCTCGAGATCCATTAAGCAAGTCGAAGCTCCTGACTTGTTTGAATGGGATCACGGAATAGCTCTGCATGCACTGCAGGGGAATCGGGCCTCATCTCGAGTTGATTTGGAGCCCATGGAGCTGCTTTGCGTTGCTAGGGTGACCTCAGGGTCCGTCTAGACTGGTGACAGTGTTCTTGGGGACTCTCTTGAGATCCATTAAGCAAGTCGAAGCTCCTGACTTGCTTGAATGGGATCACGGAAAAGCTCTGCATGCACTGCAGGGGAATGGGGCCTCATCTCGCCTCTAGGAGGAAGTCTCATGGTTTTTCTCCAGTTGCGGCGGGGACCTGGGGTATGTTCTCGACTTAAGGCGGGGATGGCCCTTCAAAACACGAGTTTCTTCAGTGATGTCAGGACTCCTGTCTAGTAACGAGGGACACCACAGGAATCTCCTCGAGGCTTGGCAGGGCAAAAGGGACGCTTCTCGAGGTGAGGCAGGGCACCCAAGGACCCTTTCCAGTAGCCACAGGGATTTTGGGATTCCTATCAGTATTCAAGAGGAGTCAGGCATCGGCACCTTTTGAAGCAATGAACTCCGCGTGCCTCTCGAGGTGTCAGCGGGATGTGAGGCATTCCGTCAAAATGAGGCAGGGACCTAGGGCTTTCTCTAAGGTCTCCACAGGGGATTCAGACATCCCTTCATGTTGTGAGATGAAACACGAGCCTGTATTCAAGCCACTGCAAGGAAATCCGGCCTACTTTCAAGTTAGGGCTTCTCGCTGTATATTCCCCTTGAGGCAGCATACTCGGGGTCCCTCCCACATACCTATTGCTGAGAGAAGCCTCCTCCTGAGGTGCTTCTGGAAATTTGGCATATGTCTTGAGCCTAAGCCAGGGAATCAGCTCTCATCTCGAGACGATTTGGGGTACACGGAGCATTCCTCGAGTTGCTGTGCTGAAGTTGGTGTTCCTCTAGACTTGGGACAGTGTTCTCGGGGCATCTCTGGAGTTGCCTGAAGGAAGTCGAGCCACCATTCTTGTTGAATGGGGAATGGGGAATGGCTCTGGAGTCAATGCAGGGGAATCGGGCCTCATCTCGAGTTGATTTGGGGCCCATGGAGCTGCTTTGCGTTGCTAGGGTGACCTCAGGGTCCGTCTAGACTGGTGACAGTGTTCTTGGGGACTGTCTCGAGATCCATTAAGCAAGTCGAAGCTCCTGACTTGTTTCAATGGGATCACGGAATAGCTCTGCATGCACTGCAGGGGAATCGGGCCTCATCTCGAGTTGATTTGGGGCACATGGAGCTGCTTCGCGTTGCTGGGGTGACCTCAGGGTCCGTCTAGACTGGTGACAGTGTTCTTGGGGACTGTCTCGAGATCCATTAAGCAAGTCGAAGCTCCTGACTTGTTTGAATGGGATCACGGAATAGCTCTGCATGCACTGCAGGGGAATGGGGCCTCATCTCGCCTCTAGGGGGAAGTCTCATGCTTTTTCTCGAGTTGCGGCGGGGACCTGGGGTATGTTCTCGACTTACGGCGGGGATGGCCCTTCAAAACACGAGTTTCTTCAGTGACGTCAGGACTCCTGTCTAGTAACGAGGGACACCTCAGGAATCTCTTCGAGGCTTGGCAGGGCAAAAGGGACGCTTCTTGAGGTGAGGCAGGGCACCCAAGGACCCTTTCCAGTAGCCACAGGGATTTTGGGATTCCTATCAGTATTCAAGAGGAGTCAGGCATCGTCACCTTTTGAAGCAATTAACTCCGCGTGCCTCTCGAGGTGTCAGCGGGATGTGAGGCATTCCGTCAAAATGAGGCAGGGACCTACGGCTTTCTCTAAGGTCTCCACAGGGGATTCAGACATCCCTTCAGGTTTTGAGATCCAAGACGAGCCTGTATTCTAGCCACTGCAAGGAAATTCAGCCTCCTTTCAAGTTAGGGCTTCTCGCTGTATATTCCCCTTGAGGCAGCACACTCGGGGTCCCTCCCACATACCTATTGCTGAGAGAAGCCTCCTCCTGAGGTGCTTCTGGAAAGTTGGCATACGTCTTGAGCCTAAGCCAGGGAATCAGCTCTCATCTCGAGACGATTTGGGGTACACGGAGCATTCCTCGAGTTGCTGTGATGAAGTTAGTGTTCCTCTAGGCTTGGGACAGTGTTCTCGGGGCATCTCTGGAGTTGCCTGAAGGAAGTCGAGCCACCGGTCGTGTTGAATGGGGAACGGGGAATGGCTCTGGAGTCAATGCAGGGGAATCGGGCCTCATCTCGAGTTGATTTGGGGCTCATGGAGCTGTTTTGCGTTGCTAGGGTGAAATCAGGGTCCGTCTAGACTGGTGACAGTGTTCTTTGGGACTGTCTCGAGATCCATTAAGCAAGTCGAAGCTCCTGACTTGTTTGAATGGGATCACGGAATAACTCTGCATGCACTGCAGGGGAATCGGGCCTCATCTCGAGTTGATTTGGAGCCCATGGAGCTGCTTTTCGTTGCTAGGGTGACCTCAGGGTCCGTCTAGACTGGTGACAGTGTTCTTGGGGACTCTCTTGAGAACCATTAAGCAAGTCGAAGCTCCTGACTTGCTTGAATTTGATCACGGAAAAGCTCTGCATGCACTGCAGGGGAATGGGGCCTCATCTCGCCTCTAGGGGGAAGTCTCATTGTTTTTCTCGAGTTGCGGCGGGGACCTGGGGTATGTTCTCGACTTACGGCGGGGATGGCCCTTCAAAACACGAGTTTCTTCAGTGATGTCAGGACTCCTGTCTAGTAACGAGGGACACCACAGGAATCTCCTCGAGGCTTGGCAGGGCAAAAGGGACGCTTCTCGAGGTGAGGCAGGGCACCCAAGGACCCTTTCCAGTAGCCACAGGGATTTTGGGATTCCTATCAGTATTCAAGAGGAGTCAGGCATCGGCACATTTTGAAGCAATGAACTCCGCGTGCCTCTCGAGGTGTCAGCGGGATGTGAGGCATTCCGTCAAAATGAGGCAGGGACCTAGGGCTTTCTCTAAGGTCTCCACAGTGGATTCAGACATCCCTTCATGTTGTGAGATGAAAGACGAGATTGTATTCAAGCCAATGCAAGAAATCCGGTCTCATTTCAAGTTAGGGCTTCTCGCTGTATATTCCCCTTGAGGCAGCATACTCGGGGTCCCTCCCACATACCTATTGCTGAGAGAAGCCTCCTCCTGAGGTGCTTCTGGAAAGTTGGCATACGTCTTGAGCCTAAGCCAGGGAATCAGCTCTCATCTCGAGACGATTTGGGGTACACGGAGCATTCATCGAGTTGCTGTGCTGAGGTTGGTGTTCCTCTAGACTTGGGACAGTGTTCTCAGGGCATAGCTGGAGTTGCCTGAAGGAAGTCGAGCCACCATTCGTGTTGAATGGGGAATGGGGAATGGCTCTGGAGTCAATGCAGGGGAATCGGGCCTCATCTCGAGTTGATTTGGGGCCCATGGAGCTGCTTTGCGTTGCTAGGGTGACCTCAGGGTCCGTCTAGACTGGTGACAGTGTTCTTGGGGACTGTCTCGAGATCCATTAAGCAAGTCGAAGCTCCTGACTTGTTTGAATGGGATCACGGAATAGCTCTGCATGCACTGCAGGGGAATCGGGCCTCATCTCGAGTTGATTTGGGGCACATGGAGCTGCTTTGCGTTGCTGGGGTGACCTCAGGGTCCGTCTAGACTGGTGACAGTGTTCTTGGGGACTGTCTCGAGATCCATTAAGCAAGTCGAAGCTCCTGACTTGTTTGAATGGGATCACGGAATAGCTCTGCATGCACTGCAGGGGAATGGGGCCTCATCTCGCCTCTAGGAGGAAGTCTCATGGTTTTTCTCGAGTTGCGGCGGGGACCTGGGGTATGTTCTCGACTTACGGCGGGGATGGCCCTTCAAAACACGAGTTTCTTCAGTGACGTCAGGACTCCTGTCTAGTAACGAGGGACACCTCAGGAATCTCTTCGAGGCTTGGCAGGGCAAAAGGGACGCTTCTCGAGGTGAGGCAGGGCACCCAAGGACCCTTTCCAGTAGCCACAGGGATTTTGGGATTCCTATCAGTATTCAAGAGGAGTCAGGCATCGTCACCTTTTGAAGCAATGAACTCCGCGTGCCTCTCGAGGTGTCAGCGGGATGTGAGGCATTCCGTCAAAATGAGGCAGGGACCTAGGGCTTTCTCTAAGGTATCCACAGGGGATTCAGACATCCCTTCAGGTATTGAGATCCAAGACGAGCCTGTATTCTAGCCACTGCAAGGAAATCTAGCCTCCTTTCAAGTTAGGGCTTCTCGCTGTATATTCCCCTTGAGGCAGCACACTCGGGGTCCCTCCCACATACCTATTGCTGAGAGAAGCCTCCTCCTGAGGTGCTTCTGGAAAGTTGGCATACGTCTTGAGCCTAAGCCAGGGAATCAGCTCTCATCTCGAGACGATTTGGGGTACACGGAGCATTCCTCGAGTTGCTGTGCTGAAGTTGGTGTTCCTCTAGACTTGGGACAGTGTTCTCGGGGCATCTCTGGAGTTGCCTGAAGGAAGTCGAGCCACCGGTCGTGTTGAATGGGGAACGGGGAATGGCTCTGGAGTCAATGCAGGGGAATCGGGCCTCATCTCGAGTTGATTTGGGGCTCATGGAACTGTTTTGCGTTGCTAGGGTGAAATCAGGGTCCGTCTAGACTGGTGACAGTGTTCTTTGGGACTGTCTCGAGATCCATTAAGCAAGTCGAAGCTCCTGACTTGTTTGAATGGGATCACGGAATAGCTCTGCATGCACTGCAGGGGAATCGGGCCTCATCTCGAGTTGATTTGGAGCCCATGGAGCTGCTTTTCGTTGCTAGGGTGACCTCAGGGTCCGTCTAGACTGGTGACAGTGTTCCTGGGGACTCTCTTGAGATCCATTAAGCAAGTCGAAGCTCCTGACTTGCTTGAATGGGATCACGGAAAAGCTCTGCATGCACTGCAGGGGAATGGGGCCTCATCTCGCCTCTAGGGGGAAGTCTCATTGTTTTTCTCGTGTTGCGGCGGGGACCTGGGGTATGTTCTCGACTTACGGCGGGGATGGCCCTTCAAAACACGAGTTTCTTCAGTGATGTCAGGACTCCTGTCTAGTAACGAGGGACACCACAGGAATCTCCTCGAGGCTTGGCAGGGCAAAAGGGACGCTTCTCGAGGTGAGGCAGGGCACCCAAGGACCCTTTCCAGTAGCCACAGGGATTTTGGGATTCCTATCAGTATTCAAGAGGAGTCAGGCATCGGCACATTTTGAAGCAATGAACTCCGCGTGCCTCTCGAGGTGTCAGCGGGATGTGAGGCATTCCGTCAAAATGAGGCAGGGACCTAGGGCTTTCTCTAAGGTCTCCACAGTGGATTCAGACATCCCTTCATGTTGTGAGATGAAAGACGAGATTGTATTCAAGCCAATGCAAGAAATCCGGTCTCATTTCAAGTTAGGGCTTCTCGCTGTATATTCCCCTTGAGGCAGCATACTCGGGGTCCCTCCCACATACCTATTGCTGAGAGAAGCCTCCTCCTGAGGTGCTTCTGGAAAGTTGGCATACGTCTTGAGCCTAAGCCAGGGAATCAGCTCTCATCTCGAGACGATTTGGGGTACACGGAGCATTCATCGAGTTGCTGTGCTGAGGTTGGTGTTCCTCTAGACTTGGGACAGTGTTCTCAGGGCATAGCTGGAGTTGCCTGAAGGAAGTCGAGCCACCATTCGTGTTGAATGGGGAATGGGGAATGGCTCTGGAGTCAATGCAGGGGAATCGGGCCTCATCTCGAGTTGATTTGGGGCCCATGGAGCTGCTTTGCGTTGCTAGGGTGACCTCAGGGTCCGTCTAGACTGGTGACAGTGTTCTTGGGGACTGTCTCGAGATCCATTAAGCAAGTCGAAGCTCCTGACTTGTTTGAATGGGATCACGGAATAGCTCTGCATGCACTGCAGGGGAATCGGGCCTCATCTCGAGTTGATTTGGGGCACATGGAGCTGCTTTGCGTTGCTGGGGTGACCTCAGGGTCCGTCTAGACTGGTGACAGTGTTCTTGGGGACTGTCTCGAGATCCATTAAGCAAGTCGAAGCTCCTGACTTGTTTGAATGGGATCACGGAATAGCTCTGCATGCACTGCAGGGGAATGGGGCCTCATCTCGCCTCTAGGAGGAAGTCTCATGGTTTTTCTCGAGTTGCGGCGGGGACCTGGGGTATGTTCTCGACTTACGGCGGGGATGGCCCTTCAAAACACGAGTTTCTTCAGTGACGTCAGGACTCCTGTCTAGTAACGAGGGACACCTCAGGAATCTCTTCGAGGCTTGGCAGGGCAAAAGGGACGCTTCTCGAGGTGAGGCAGGGCACCCAAGGACCCTTTCCAGTAGCCACAGGGATTTTGGGATTCCTATCAGTATTCAAGAGGAGTCAGGCATCGTCACCTTTTGAAGCAATGAACTCCGCGTGCCTCTCGAGGTGTCAGCGGGATGTGAGGCATTCCGTCAAAATGAGGCAGGGACCTAGGGCTTTCTCTAAGGTATCCACAGGGGATTCAGACATCCCTTCAGGTATTGAGATCCAAGACGAGCCTGTATTCTAGCCACTGCAAGGAAATCTAGCCTCCTTTCAAGTTAGGGCTTCTCGCTGTATATTCCCCTTGAGGCAGCACACTCGGGGTCCCTCCCACATACCTATTGCTGAGAGAAGCCTCCTCCTGAGGTGCTTCTGGAAAGTTGGCATACGTCTTGAGCCTAAGCCAGGGAATCAGCTCTCATCTCGAGACGATTTGGGGTACACGGAGCATTCCTCGAGTTGCTGTGCTGAAGTTGGTGTTCCTCTAGACTTGGGACAGTGTTCTCGGGGCATCTCTGGAGTTGCCTGAAGGAAGTCGAGCCACCGGTCGTGTTGAATGGGGAACGGGGAATGGCTCTGGAGTCAATGCAGGGGAATCGGGCCTCATCTCGAGTTGATTTGGGGCTCATGGAACTGCTTTGCGTTGCTAGGGTGAAATCAGGGTCCGTCTAGACTGGTGACAGTGTTCTTTGGGACTGTCTCGAGATCCATTAAGCAAGTCGAAGCTCCTGACTTGTTTGAATGGGATCACGGAATAGCTCTGCATGCACTGCAGGGGAATCGGGCCTCATCTCGAGTTGATTTGGAGCCCATGGAGCTGCTTTTCGTTGCTAGGGTGACCTCAGGGTCCGTCTAGACTGGTGACAGTGTTCTTGGGGACTCTCTTGAGAACCATTAAGCAAGTCGAAGCTCCTGACTTGCTTGAATTTGATCACGGAAAAGCTCTGCATGCACTGCAGGGGAATGGGGCCTCATCTCGCCTCTAGGGGGAAGTCTCATTGTTTTTCTCGAGTTGCGGCGGGGACCTGGGGTATGTTCTCGACTTACGGCGGGGATGGCCCTTCAAAACACGAGTTTCTTCAGTGATGTCAGGACTCCTGTCTAGTAACGAGGGACACCACAGGAATCTCCTCGAGGCTTGGCAGGGCAAAAGGGACGCTTCTCGAGGTGAGGCAGGGCACCCAAGGACCCTTTCCAGTAGCCACAGGGATTTTGGGATTCCTATCAGTATTCAAGAGGAGTCAGGCATCGGCACATTTTGAAGCAATGAACTCCGCGTGCCTCTCGAGGTGTCAGCGGGATGTGAGGCATTCCGTCAAAATGAGGCAGGGACCTAGGGCTTTCTCTAAGGTCTCCACAGTGGATTCAGACATCCCTTCATGTTGTGAGATGAAAGACGAGATTGTATTCAAGCCAATGCAAGAAATCCGGTCTCATTTCAAGTTAGGGCTTCTCGCTGTATATTCCCCTTGAGGCAGCATACTCGGGGTCCCTCCCACATACCTATTGCTGAGAGAAGCCTCCTCCTGAGGTGCTTCTGGAAAGTTGGCATACGTCTTGAGCCTAAGCCAGGGAATCAGCTCTCATCTCGAGACGATTTGGGGTACACGGAGCATTCATCGAGTTGCTGTGCTGAGGTTGGTGTTCCTCTAGACTTGGGACAGTGTTCTCAGGGCATAGCTGGAGTTGCCTGAAGGAAGTCGAGCCACCATTCGTGTTGAATGGGGAATGGGGAATGGCTCTGGAGTCAATGCAGGGGAATCGGGCCTCATCTCGAGTTGATTTGGGGCCCATGGAGCTGCTTTGCGTTGCTAGGGTGACCTCAGGGTCCGTCTAGATTGGTGACAGTGTTCTTGGGGACTGTCTCGAGATCCATTAAGCAAGTCGAAGCTCCTGACTTGTTTGAATGGGATCACGGAATAGCTCTGCATGCACTGCAGGGGAATCGGGCCTCATCTCGAGTTGATTTGGGGCACATGGAGCTGCTTTGCGTTGCTGGGGTGACCTCAGGGTCCGTCTAGACTGGTGACAGTGTTCTTGGGGACTGTCTCGAGATCCATTAAGCAAGTCGAAGCTCCTGACTTGTTTGAATGGGATCACGGAATAGCTCTGCATGCACTGCAGGGGAATGGGGCCTCATCTCGCCTCTAGGAGGAAGTCTCATGGTTTTTCTCGAGTTGCGGCGGGGACCTGGGGTATGTTCTCGACTTACGGCGGGGATGGCCCTTCAAAACACGAGTTTCTTCAGTGACGTCAGGACTCCTGTCTAGTAACGAGGGACACCTCAGGAATCTCTTCGAGGCTTGGCAGGGCAAAAGGGACGCTTCTCGAGGTGAGGCAGGGCACCCAAGGACCCTTTCCAGTAGCCACAGGGATTTTGGGATTCCTATCAGTATTCAAGAGGAGTCAGGCATCGTCACCTTTTGAAGCAATGAACTCCGCGTGCCTCTCGAGGTGTCAGCGGGATGTGAGGCATTCCGTCAAAATGAGGCAGGGACCTAGGGCTTTCTCTAAGGTATCCACAGGGGATTCAGACATCCCTTCAGGTATTGAGATCCAAGACGAGCCTGTATTCTAGCCACTGCAAGGAAATCTAGCCTCCTTTCAAGTTAGGGCTTCTCGCTGTATATTCCCCTTGAGGCAGCACACTCGGGGTCCCTCCCACATACCTATTGCTGAGAGAAGCCTCCTCCTGAGGTGCTTCTGGAAAGTTGGCATACGTCTTGAGCCTAAGCCAGGGAATCAGCTCTCATCTCGAGACGATTTGGGGTACACGGAGCATTCCTCGAGTTGCTGTGCTGAAGTTGGTGTTCCTCTAGACTTGGGACAGTGTTCTCGGGGCATCTCTGGAGTTGCCTGAAGGAAGTCGAGCCACCGGTCGTGTTGAATGGGGAACGGGGAATGGCTCTGGAGTCAATGCAGGGGAATCGGGCCTCATCTCGAGTTGATTTGGGGCTCATGGAACTGCTTTGCGTTGCTAGGGTGAAATCAGGGTCCGTCTAGACTGGTGACAGTGTTCTTTGGGACTGTCTCGAGATCCATTAAGCAAGTCGAAGCTCCTGACTTGTTTGAATGGGATCACGGAATAGCTCTGCATGCACTGCAGGGGAATCGGGCCTCATCTCGAGTTGATTTGGAGCCCATGGAGCTGCTTTTCGTTGCTAGGGTGACCTCAGGGTCCGTCTAGACTGGTGACAGTGTTCTTGGGGACTCTCTTGAGAACCATTAAGCAAGTCGAAGCTCCTGACTTGCTTGAATTTGATCACGGAAAAGCTCTGCATGCACTGCAGGGGAATGGGGCCTCATCTCGCCTCTAGGGGGAAGTCTCATTGTTTTTCTCGAGTTGCGGCGGGGACCTGGGGTATGTTCTCGACTTACGGCGGGGATGGCCCTTCAAAACACGAGTTTCTTCAGTGATGTCAGGACTCCTGTCTAGTAACGAGGGACACCACAGGAATCTCCTCGAGGCTTGGCAGGGCAAAAGGGACGCTTCTCGAGGTGAGGCAGGGCACCCAAGGACCCTTTCCAGTAGCCACAGGGATTTTGGGATTCCTATCAGTATTCAAGAGGAGTCAGGCATCGGCACATTTTGAAGCAATGAACTCCGCGTGCCTCTCGAGGTGTCAGCGGGATGTGAGGCATTCCGTCAAAATGAGGCAGGGACCTAGGGCTTTCTCTAAGGTCTCCACAGTGGATTCAGACATCCCTTCATGTTGTGAGATGAAAGACGAGATTGTATTCAAGCCAATGCAAGAAATCCGGTCTCATTTCAAGTTAGGGCTTCTCGCTGTATATTCCCCTTGAGGCAGCATACTCGGGGTCCCTCCCACATACCTATTGCTGAGAGAAGCCTCCTCCTGAGGTGCTTCTGGAAAGTTGGCATACGTCTTGAGCCTAAGCCAGGGAATCAGCTCTCATCTCGAGACGATTTGGGGTACACGGAGCATTCATCGAGTTGCTGTGCTGAGGTTGGTGTTCCTCTAGACTTGGGACAGTGTTCTCAGGGCATAGCTGGAGTTGCCTGAAGGAAGTCGAGCCACCATTCGTGTTGAATGGGGAATGGGGAATGGCTCTGGAGTCAATGCAGGGGAATCGGGCCTCATCTCGAGTTGATTTGGGGCCCATGGAGCTGCTTTGCGTTGCTAGGGTGACCTCAGGGTCCGTCTAGACTGGTGACAGTGTTCTTGGGGACTGTCTCGAGATCCATTAAGCAAGTCGAAGCTCCTGACTTGTTTGAATGGGATCACGGAATAGCTCTGCATGCACTGCAGGGGAATCGGGCCTCATCTCGAGTTGATTTGGGGCACATGGAGCTGCTTTGCGTTGCTGGGGTGACCTCAGGGTCCGTCTAGACTGGTGACAGTGTTCTTGGGGACTGTCTCGAGATCCATTAAGCAAGTCGAAGCTCCTGACTTGTTTGAATGGGATCACGGAATAGCTCTGCATGCACTGCAGGGGAATGGGGCCTCATCTCGCCTCTAGGAGGAAGTCTCATGGTTTTTCTCGAGTTGCGGCGGGGACCTGGGGTATGTTCTCGACTTACGGCGGGGATGGCCCTTCAAAACACGAGTTTCTTCAGTGACGTCAGGACTCCTGTCTAGTAACGAGGGACACCTCAGGAATCTCTTCGAGGCTTGGCAGGGCAAAAGGGACGCTTCTCGAGGTGAGGCAGGGCACCCAAGGACCCTTTCCAGTAGCCACAGGGATTTTGGGATTCCTATCAGTATTCAAGAGGAGTCAGGCATCGTCACCTTTTGAAGCAATGAACTCCGCGTGCCTCTCGAGGTGTCAGCGGGATGTGAGGCATTCCGTCAAAATGAGGCAGGGACCTAGGGCTTTCTCTAAGGTATCCACAGGGGATTCAGACATCCCTTCAGGTATTGAGATCCAAGACGAGCCTGTATTCTAGCCACTGCAAGGAAATCTAGCCTCCTTTCAAGTTAGGGCTTCTCGCTGTATATTCCCCTTGAGGCAGCACACTCGGGGTCCCTCCCACATACCTATTGCTGAGAGAAGCCTCCTCCTGAGGTGCTTCTGGAAAGTTGGCATACGTCTTGAGCCTAAGCCAGGGAATCAGCTCTCATCTCGAGACGATTTGGGGTACACGGAGCATTCCTCGAGTTGCTGTGCTGAAGTTGGTGTTCCTCTAGACTTGGGACAGTGTTCTCGGGGCATCTCTGGAGTTGCCTGAAGGAAGTCGAGCCACCGGTCGTGTTGAATGGGGAACGGGGAATGGCTCTGGAGTCAATGCAGGGGAATCGGGCCTCATCTCGAGTTGATTTGGGGCTCATGGAACTGTTTTGCGTTGCTAGGGTGAAATCAGGGTCCGTCTAGACTGGTGACAGTGTTCTTTGGGACTGTCTCGAGATCCATTAAGCAAGTCGAAGCTCCTGACTTGTTTGAATGGGATCACGGAATAGCTCTGCATGCACTGCAGGGGAATCGGGCCTCATCTCGAGTTGATTTGGAGCCCATGGAGCTGCTTTTCGTTGCTAGGGTGACCTCAGGGTCCGTCTAGACTGGTGACAGTGTTCCTGGGGACTCTCTTGAGATCCATTAAGCAAGTCGAAGCTCCTGACTTGCTTGAATGGGATCACGGAAAAGCTCTGCATGCACTGCAGGGGAATGGGGCCTCATCTCGCCTCTAGGGGGAAGTCTCATTGTTTTTCTCGTGTTGCGGCGGGGACCTGGGGTATGTTCTCGACTTACGGCGGGGATGGCCCTTCAAAACACGAGTTTCTTCAGTGATGTCAGGACTCCTGTCTAGTAACGAGGGACACCACAGGAATCTCCTCGAGGCTTGGCAGGGCAAAAGGGACGCTTCTCGAGGTGAGGCAGGGCACCCAAGGACCCTTTCCAGTAGCCACAGGGATTTTGGGATTCCTATCAGTATTCAAGAGGAGTCAGGCATCGGCACATTTTGAAGCAATGAACTCCGCGTGCCTCTCGAGGTGTCAGCGGGATGTGAGGCATTCCGTCAAAATGAGGCAGGGACCTAGGGCTTTCTCTAAGGTCTCCACAGTGGATTCAGACATCCCTTCATGTTGTGAGATGAAAGACGAGATTGTATTCAAGCCAATGCAAGAAATCCGGTCTCATTTCAAGTTAGGGCTTCTCGCTGTATATTCCCCTTGAGGCAGCATACTCGGGGTCCCTCCCACATACCTATTGCTGAGAGAAGCCTCCTCCTGAGGTGCTTCTGGAAAGTTGGCATACGTCTTGAGCCTAAGCCAGGGAATCAGCTCTCATCTCGAGACGATTTGGGGTACACGGAGCATTCATCGAGTTGCTGTGCTGAGGTTGGTGTTCCTCTAGACTTGGGACAGTGTTCTCAGGGCATAGCTGGAGTTGCCTGAAGGAAGTCGAGCCACCATTCGTGTTGAATGGGGAATGGGGAATGGCTCTGGAGTCAATGCAGGGGAATCGGGCCTCATCTCGAGTTGATTTGGGGCCCATGGAGCTGCTTTGCGTTGCTAGGGTGACCTCAGGGTCCGTCTAGACTGGTGACAGTGTTCTTGGGGACTGTCTCGAGATCCATTAAGCAAGTCGAAGCTCCTGACTTGTTTGAATGGGATCACGGAATAGCTCTGCATGCACTGCAGGGGAATCGGGCCTCATCTCGAGTTGATTTGGGGCACATGGAGCTGCTTTGCGTTGCTGGGGTGACCTCAGGGTCCGTCTAGACTGGTGACAGTGTTCTTGGGGACTGTCTCGAGATCCATTAAGCAAGTCGAAGCTCCTGACTTGTTTGAATGGGATCACGGAATAGCTCTGCATGCACTGCAGGGGAATGGGGCCTCATCTCGCCTCTAGGAGGAAGTCTCATGGTTTTTCTCGAGTTGCGGCGGGGACCTGGGGTATGTTCTCGACTTACGGCGGGGATGGCCCTTCAAAACACGAGTTTCTTCAGTGACGTCAGGACTCCTGTCTAGTAACGAGGGACACCTCAGGAATCTCTTCGAGGCTTGGCAGGGCAAAAGGGACGCTTCTCGAGGTGAGGCAGGGCACCCAAGGACCCTTTCCAGTAGCCACAGGGATTTTGGGATTCCTATCAGTATTCAAGAGGAGTCAGGCATCGTCACCTTTTGAAGCAATGAACTCCGCGTGCCTCTCGAGGTGTCAGCGGGATGTGAGGCATTCCGTCAAAATGAGGCAGGGACCTAGGGCTTTCTCTAAGGTATCCACAGGGGATTCAGACATCCCTTCAGGTATTGAGATCCAAGACGAGCCTGTATTCTAGCCACTGCAAGGAAATCTAGCCTCCTTTCAAGTTAGGGCTTCTCGCTGTATATTCCCCTTGAGGCAGCACACTCGGGGTCCCTCCCACATACCTATTGCTGAGAGAAGCCTCCTCCTGAGGTGCTTCTGGAAAGTTGGCATACGTCTTGAGCCTAAGCCAGGGAATCAGCTCTCATCTCGAGACGATTTGGGGTACACGGAGCATTCCTCGAGTTGCTGTGCTGAAGTTGGTGTTCCTCTAGACTTGGGACAGTGTTCTCGGGGCATCTCTGGAGTTGCCTGAAGGAAGTCGAGCCACCGGTCGTGTTGAATGGGGAACGGGGAATGGCTCTGGAGTCAATGCAGGGGAATCGGGCCTCATCTCGAGTTGATTTGGGGCTCATGGAACTGCTTTGCGTTGCTAGGGTGAAATCAGGGTCCGTCTAGACTGGTGACAGTGTTCTTTGGGACTGTCTCGAGATCCATTAAGCAAGTCGAAGCTCCTGACTTGTTTGAATGGGATCACGGAATAGCTCTGCATGCACTGCAGGGGAATCGGGCCTCATCTCGAGTTGATTTGGAGCCCATGGAGCTGCTTTTCGTTGCTAGGGTGACCTCAGGGTCCGTCTAGACTGGTGACAGTGTTCTTGGGGACTCTCTTGAGATCCATTAAGCAAGTCGAAGCTCCTGACTTGCTTGAATGGGATCACGGAAAAGCTCTGCATGCACTGCAGGGGAATGGGGCCTCATCTCGCCTCTAGGGGGAAGTCTCATTGTTTTTCTCGTGTTGCGGCGGGGACCTGGGGTATGTTCTCGACTTACGGCGGGGATGGCCCTTCAAAACACGAGTTTCTTCAGTGATGTCAGGACTCCTGTCTAGTAACGAGGGACACCACAGGAATCTCCTCGAGGCTTGGCAGGGCAAAAGGGACGCTTCTCGAGGTGAGGCAGGGCACCCAAGACCCTTTCCAGTAGCCACAGGGATTTTGGGATTCCTATCAGTATTCAAGAGGAGTCAGGCATCGGCACATTTTGAAGCAATGAACTCCGCTTGCCTCTCGAGGTGTCAGCGGGATGTGAGGCATTCCGTCAAAATGAGGCAGGGACCTAGGGCTTTCTCTAAGGTCTCCACAGTGGATTCAGACATCCCTTCATGTTGTGAGATGAAAGACGAGATTGTATTCAAGCCAATGCAAGAAATCCGGTCTCCTTTCAAGTTAGGGCTTCTCGCTGTATATTCCCCTTGAGGCAGCATACTCGGGGTCCCTCCCACATACCTATTGCTGAGAGAAGCCTCCTCCTGAGGTGCTTCTGGAAAGTTGGCATACGTCTTGAGCCTAAGCCAGGGAATCAGCTCTCATCTCGAGACGATTTGGGGTACACGGAGCATTCCTCGAGTTGCTGTGCTGAAGTTGGTGTTCCTCTAGAATTGGGACAATGTTCTCGGGGCATCTCTGGAGTTGCCTGAAGGAAGACGAGCCACCGGTCGTGTTGAATGGGGAACGGGGAATGGCTCTGGAGTCAATGCAGGGGAATCGGGCCTCATCTCGAGTTGATTTGGGGCACATGGAGCTGCTTTGCGTTGCTGGGGTGACCTCAGGGTACGTCTAGACTGGTGACAGTGTTCTTGGGTACTGTCTCGAGATCCATTAAGCAAGTCGGAGCTCCTGACTTGCTTGAATGGGATCACGGTATAGATCTGCATGCACTGCAGGGGAATGGGGCCTCATTTCGCCTCTACGGGGAAGACTCATGGTTTTTCTCAGGTTGCGGCGGGGACCTGGGTTATGTTCTGGACTTACGGCGGGGATGGCCCTTCAAAACACGAGTTTCTTCAGTGACGTCAGGACTCCTGTCTAGTAACGAGGGACACCTCAGGAATCTCTTCGAGGCTTGGCAGGGCAAAAGGGAGGCTTCTCGAGGTGAGGCAGGGCACCCAAGGACCCTTTCCAGTAGCCACAGGGATTTTGGGATTCCTATCAGTATTCAAGAGGAGTCAGGCATCGTCACCTTTTGAAGCAATGAACTCCGCGTGCCTCTCGAGGTGTCAGCGGGATGTGAGGCATTCCGTCAAAATGAGGCAGGGACCTAGGGCTTTCTCTAAGGTCTCCACAGGGGATTCAGACATCCCTTCATGTTGTGAGATGAAACACGAGCCTGTATTCAAGCCACTGCAAGGAAATTCGGCCTACTTTCAAGTTAGGGCTTCTCGCTGTATATTCCCCTTGAGGCAGCATACTCGGGGTCCCTCCCACATACCTATTGCTGAGAGAAACCTCCTCCTGAGGTGCTTCTGGAAATTTGGCATACGTCTTGAGCCTAAGCCAGGGAATCAGCTCTCATCTCGAGACGATTTGGGGTACACGGAGCATTCATCGATTTGCTGTGCTGAAGTTGGTGTTCCTCTAGACTTGGGACAGTGTTCTCGGGGCATCTATGGAGTTGCCTGAAGGAAGTCGAGCCACCGGTCGTGTTGAATGGGGAATGGGGAATGGCTCTGGAGTCAATGCAGGGGAATCGGGCCTCATCTCGAGTTGATTTGGGGCTCATGGAGCTGTTTTGCGTTGCTAGGGTGAAATCAGGGTCCGTCTAGACTGGTGACAGTGTTCTTTGGGACTGTCTCGAGATCCATTAAGCAAGTCAAAGCTCCTGACTTGTTTGAATGGGATCACGGAATAGCTCTGCATGCACTGCAGGGGAATCGGGCCTCATCTCGAGTTGATTTGGAGCCCATGGAGCTGCTTTGCATTGCTAGGGTGACCTCAGGGTCCGTCTAGACTGGTGACAGTGTTCTTGGGGACTCTCTTGAGATCCATTAAGCAAGTCGAAGCTCCTGACTTGCTTGAATGGGATCACGGAAAAGCTCTGCATGCACTGCAGGGGAATGGGGCCTCATCTCGCCTCTAGGGGGAAGTCTCATGGTTTTTCTCCAGTTGCGGCGGGGACCTGGGGTATGTTCTCGACTTACGGCGGGGATGGCCCTTCAAAACACGAGTTTCTTCAGTGATGTCAGGACTCCTGTCTAGTAACGAGGGACACCACAGGAATCTCCTCGAGGCTTGGCAGGGCAAAAGGGACGCTTCTCGAGGTGAGGCAGGGCACCCAAGGACCCTTTCCAGTAGCCACAGGGATTTTGGGATTCCTATCAGTATTCAAGAGGAGTCAGGCATCGGCACATTTTGAAGCAATGAACTCCGCGTGCCTCTCGAGGTGTCAGCGGGATGTGAGGCATTCCGTCAAAATGAGGCAGGGACCTAGGGCTTTCTCTAAGGTCTCCACAGTGGATTCAGACATCCCTTCATGTTGTGAGATGAAAGACGAGATTGTATTCAAGCCAATGCAAGAAATCCGGTCTCCTTTCAAGTTAGGGCTTCTCGCTGTATATTCCCCTTGAGGCAGCATACTCGGGGTCCCTCCCACATACCTATTGCTGAGAGAAGCCTCCTCCTGAGGTGCTTCTGGAAAGTTGGCATACGTCTTGAGCCTAAGCCAGGGAATCAGCTCTCATCTCGAGACGATTTCGGGTACACAGAGCATTCCTCGAGTTGCTGTGCTGAAGTTGGTGTTCCTCTAGAATTGGGACAATGTTCTCGGGGCATCTCTGGAGTTGCCTGAAGGAAGTCGAGCCACCGGTCGTGTTGAATGGGGAACGGGGAATGGCTCTGGAGTCAATGCAGGGGAATCGGGCCTCATCTCGAGTTGATTTGGGGCACATGGAGCTGCTTTGCGTTGCTGGGGTGACCTCAGGGTCCGTCTAGACTGGTGACAGTGTTCTTGGGGACTGTCTCGAGATCCATTAAGCAAGTCGAAGCTCCTGACTTGTTTGAATGGGATCACGGAATAGCTCTGCATGCACTGCAGGGGAATGGGGCCTCATCTCGCCTCTAGGGGGAAGTCTCATGGTTTTTCTCGAGTTGCGGCGGGGACCTGGGGTATGTTCTCGACTTAGGGCGGGGATGCACGTTGAAAACACGAGTTTCTTCAGTGACGTCAGGACTCCTGTCTAGTAACGAGGGACACCTCAGTAATCTCTTCGAGGCTTGGCAGGGCAAAAGGGACGCTTTTTGAGGTGAGGCAGGGCACCCAAGGACCATTTCCAGTAGCCACAGGGATTTTGGGATTCCTATCAGTATTCAAGAGGAGTCAGGCATCGTCACCTTTTGAAGCAATGAACTCCGCATGCCTCTCGAGGTGTCAGCGGGATGTGAGGCATTCCGTCAAAATGAGGCAGGGACCTAGGGCTTTCTCTAAGGTCTCCACAGGCGATTCAGACATCCCTTCATGTTGTGAGATGAAAGACGAGACTGTATTCAAGCCACTGCAAGGAAATCCGGCCTCCTTTCAAGTTAGGGCTTCTCGCTGTATATTCCCCTTGAGGCAGCATACTCGGGGTCCCTCCCACATACCTATTGCTGAGAGAAGCCTCCTCCTGAGGTGCTTCTGGAAAGTTGGCATACGTCTTGAGCCTAAGCCAGGGAATCAGCTCTCATCTCGAGACGATTTGGTGTACACGGAGCATTCATCGAGTTGCTGTGTTGAAGTTGGTGTTCCTCTAGACTTGGGACAGTGTTCTCGGGGCATCTCTGGGGTTGCCTGATGGAAGTCGAGCCACCGGTCGTGTTGAATGGGGAACGGGGAATGGCTCTGGAGTCAATGCAGGGGAATCGGACCTCATCTCGAGTTGATTTGGGGCACATGGAGCAGGTGTGAGTTGCTAGGGTGACCTCAGGGTCCGTCTAGACTGGTGACAGTGTTCTTGGGGACTGTCTCGAGATCCATTAAGCAAGTCGAAGCTCCTGACTTGTTTGAATGGGATCACGGAAGAGATCTGCATGAACTGCCGGGGAATCGGGCCTCATCTCGAGTTGATTTGGGGCACATGGAGATGCTTCGCGTTGCTGGGGTGACCTCAGGGTCCGTCTAGACTGGTGACAGTGTTCTTGAGGAATGTCTCGAGATCCATTAAGCAAGTCGAAGCTCCTGACTTGTTTGAATGGGATCACGAAATAGCTCTGCATGCATTGGAGGGGAATGGGGCCTCATCTCGACTCTAGGGGGAAGTCTCATGGTTTTTCTCCAGTTGCGGCGGGGACCTGGGGTATATTATCCACTTACGGCGGGGATGGCCCTTCAAAACACGTGTTTCTTCAGTGACGTCAGGACTCCTGTTTAGTAACGAGGGACACCTCAGGAATCTCTTCGAGCCTTGGCAGGGCAAAAGGGACGCTTCTCGAGGTGAGGCAGGGCACCCAAGGACCCTTTCCAGTAGCCACAGGGATTTTGGGATTCCTATCAGTATTCAAGAGGAGTCAGGCATCGTCACCTTTTGAAGCAATGAACTCCGCGTGTCTCTCGAGGTGTCAGCGGGATATGAGGCATTCCGTCAAAATGAGGCAGGGACCTAGGGCTTTCTCTAAGGTCTCCACAGGGGATTCAGACATCCCTTCATGTTGTGAGATGAAAGACGAGCCTGTATTCAAGCCACTGCAAGGAAATCCGGCCTAATTTCAAGTTAGGGCTTCTCGCTGTATATTCCCCTTGAGGCAGCAAACTCGGGGTCCCTCCCACATACCAATTGCTGAGAGAAGCCTCCTCCTGAGGTGCTTTTGGAAAGTTGGCATACGTCTTGAGCCTAAGCCAGGGTATCAGCTCTCATCTCGAGACGATTTGGGGTACACGGTGCATTCCTCGAGTTGCTGTGCTGAAGTTAGTGTTCCTCTAGCCTTGGGACAGTGTTCTCGGGGCATCTCTGGAGTTGCCTGAAGGAAGTCGAGCCACCGGTCTTGTTGAATGGGGAATGGGGAATGGCTCTGGAGTCAACGCAGGGGAATCGGGCCTCATCTCGAGTTGATTTGGGGCACATGGAGCTGCTTGGCGTTGCTGGGGTGACCTCAGGGTCCGTCTAGACTGGTGACAGTGTTCTTGGGGACTCTCTTGAGATCCATTAAGCAAGTCGAAACTCCTGACTTGCTTGAATGGGATCACGGAATAGCTCTGCATGCAGTGCAGGGGAATGGGGCCTCATCTCGCCTCTAGGGGGAAGTCTCATGGTTTTTCTCGAGTTGCGGCGGGGACCTGGGTTTATATTCTCGACTTACTACGGTGATGGCCCTTCAAAACACGAGTTTCTTCAGTGACGTCAGGACTCCTGTCTAGTAATGAGGGACACCTCAGGAATCTCCTCGAGGCTTGGCAGGGCAGAAGGGACGCTTCTCGAGGTGAGGCAGGGCACCCAAGGACCCTTTCCAGTAGCCACAGGGATTTTGGGATTCCTATCAGTATTCAAGAGGAGTCAGGCATCGTCACCTTTTGAAGCAATGAACTCCGCCTGCCTCTCGAGGTGTCAGCGGGATGTGAGGCATTCCGTCAAAATGAGGCAGGGACCTAGGGCTTTCTCTAAGATCTCCACAGGGGATTCAGACATCCCTTCATGTTGTGAGATGAAAGACGAGCTTGTATTCAAGCCAATGCAAGAAATCCGGCCTCCTTTCAAGTTAGGGCTTCTCGCTGTATACTCCCCTTGAGGCAGCACACTCGGGGTCCCTCCCACATACCTATTGCTGAGAGAAGCCTCCTCCTGAGGTGCTTCTGGAAAGTTGGCATACGTCTTGAGCCTAAGCCAGGGAATCAGCTCTCATCTCGAGACGATTTGGGGTACACGGAGCATTCCTCGAGTTGCTGTGCTGAAGTTGGTGTTCCTCTAGACTTGGGACAGTGTTCTCGGGGCATCTCTGGAGTTGCCTGAAGGAAGTCGAGCCACCGGTCGTGTTGAATGGGGAACGGGGAATGGCTCTGGAGTCAATGCAGGGGAATCGGGCCTCATCTCGAGTTGATTTGGGGCTCATGGAGCTGTTTTGCGTTGCTAGGGTGAAATCAGGGTCCGTCTAGACTGGTGACAGTGTTCTTTGGGACTGTCTCGAGATCCATTAAGCAAGTCGAAGCTCCTGACTTGTTTGAATGGGATCACGGAATAGCTCTGCATGCACTGCAGGGGAATCGGGCCTCATCTCGAGTTGATTTGGAGCCCATGGAGCTGCTTTGCGTTGCTAGGGTGACCTCAGGGTCCGTTTAGACTGGTGACAGTGTTCTTGGGGACTCTCTTGACATCCATTAAGCAAGTCGAAGCTCCTGACTTGCTTGAATGGGATCACGGAAAAGCTCTGCATGCACTGCAGGGGAATGGGGCCTCATCTCGCCTCTAGGGGGAAGTCTCATTGTTTTTCTCGAGTTGCGGCGGGGACCTGGGGTATGTTCTCGACTTACGGCGGGGATGGCCCTTCAAAACACGAGTTTCTTCAGTGATGTCAGGACTCCTGTCTAGTAACGAGGGACACCACAGGAATCTCCTCGAGGCTTGGCAGGGCAAAAGGGACGCTTCTCGAGGTGAGGCAGGGCACCCAAGGACCCTTTCCAGTAGCCACAGGGATTTTGGGATTCCTATCAGTATTCAAGAGGAGTCAGGCATCGGCACATTTTGAAGCAATGAACTCCGCGTGCCTCTCGAGGTGTCAGAGGGATGTGAGGCATTCCGTCAAAATGAGGCAGGGACCTAGGGCTTTCTCTAAGGTCTCCACAGTGGATTCAGACATCCCTTCATGTTGTGAGATGAAAGACGAGATTGTATTCAAGCCAATGCAAGAAATCCGGTCTCATTTCAAGTTAGGGCTTCTCGCTGTATATTCCCCTTGAGGCAGCATACTCGGGGTCCCTCCCACATACCTATTGCTGAGAGAAGCCTCCTCCTGAGGTGCTTCTGGAAAGTTGGCATACGTCTTGAGCCTAAGCCAGGGAATCAGCTCTCATCTCGAGACGATTTGGGGTACACGGAGCATTCCTCGAGTTGCTGTGCTGAAGTTGGTGTTCCTCTAGACTTGGGACAGTGTTCTCGGGGCATCTCTGGAGTTGCCTGAAGGAAGTCGAGCCACCGGTCGTGTTGAATGGGGAACGGGGAATGGCTCTGGAGTCAATGCAGGGGAATCGGGCCTCATCTCGAGTTGATTTGGGGCACATGGAGCTGCTTTGCGTTGCTTGGGTGACATCAGGGTCCGTCTAGACTGTTGACAGTGTTCTTGGGGACTGTCTCTAGATCCATTAAGGAAGTCGAAGCTCCTGACGTGTTTGAATGGGATCACGGAATAGCTCTGCATGCACTGCAGGGGAATGGGGCCTCATCTCGCCTCTAGGGGGAAGTCTCATGGTTTTTCTCGAGTTGCGGCGGCGACCTGGGGTATGTTCTCGACTTACGGCGGGGATGGCCCTTCAAAACACGAGTTTCTTCAGTGACGTCAGGACTGCTGTCTAGTAACGAGGGACACCTCAGGAATCTCTTCGAGGCTTGGCAGGGCAAAAGGGACGCTTCTCGAGGTGAGGCAGGGCACCCAAGGACACTTTCCAGTAGCCACAGGGATTTTGGGATTCCTATCAGTATTCAAGAGGAGTCAGGCATCGTCACCTTTTGAAGCAATGAACTCCGCGTGCCTCTCGAAGTGTCAGCCATATGTGAGGCATTCCGACAAAATGAGGCAGGGACCTAGGGCTTTCTCTAAGGTCTCCACAGGGGATTCAGACAACCCTTCATGTTGTTAGATGAAAGACGAGCCTGTATTCAAGCCACTGCAAGGAAATCCGGCCTCCTTTCAAGTTAGGGCTTCTCGCTGTATATTCCCCTTGAGGCAGCATATTCGGGGCCCTCCCACATACCTATTGCTGAGAGAAGCCTCCTCCTGAGGTGCTTCTGGAAAGTTGGCATACGTCTTGAGCCTAAGCCAGGGAATCAGCTCTCATCTCGAGACGATTTGGGGTACACGGAGCATTCATCGAGTTGCTGTGCTGAGGTTGGTGTTCCTCTAGACTTGGGACAGTGTTCTCAGGGCATAGCTGGAGTTGCCTGAAGGAAGTCGAGCCACCATTCGTGTTGAATGGTAAATGGGGAATGGCTCTGGAGTCAATGCAGGGGAATCGGGCCTCATCTCGAGTTGATTTGGGGCCCATGGAGCTGCTTTGCTTTGCTAGGGTGACCTCAGGGTCCGTCTAGACTGGTGACAGTGTTCTTGGGGACTGTCTCGAGATCCATTAAGCAAGTCGAAGCTCCTGACTTGTTTGAATGGGATCACGGAATAGCTCTGCATGCACTGCAGGGGAATCGGGCCTCATCTCGAGTTGATTTGGGGCACATGGAGCTGCTTTGCGTTGCTGGGGTGACCTCAGGGTCCGTCTAGACTGGTGACAGTGTTCTTGGGGACTGTCTCGAGATCCATTAAGCAAGTCGAAGCTCCTGACTTGTTTGAATGGGATCACGGAATAGCTCTGCATGCACTGCAGGGGAATGGGGCCTCATCTCGCCTCTAGGAGGAAGTCTCATGGTTTTTCTCGAGTTGCGGCGGGGACCTGGGATATGTTCTCGACTTACGGCGGGGATGGCCCTTCAAAACACGAGTTTCTTCAGTGACGTCAGGACTCCTGTCTAGTAACGAGGGACACCTCAGGAATCTCTTCGAGGCTTGGCAGGGCAAAAGGGACGCTTCTCGAGGTGAGGCAGGGCACCCAAGGACCCTTTCCAGTAGCCACAGGGATTTTGGGATTCCTATCAGTATTCAAGAGGAGTCAGGCATCGTCACCTTTTGAAGCAATGAACTCCTCGTGCCTCTCGAGGTGTCAGCGGGATGTGAGGCATTCCGTCAAAATGAGGCAGGGACCTAGGGCTTTCTCTAAGGTCTCCACAGTGGATTCAGACATCCCTTCATGTTGTGAGATGAAAGACGAGATTGTATTCAAGCCAATGCAAGAAATCCGGTCTCATTTCAAGTTAGGGCTTCTCGCTGTATATTCCCCTTGAGGCAGCATACTCGGGGTCCCTCCCACATACCTATTGCTGAGAGAAGCCTCCTCCTGAGGTGCTTCTGGAAAGTTGGCATACGTCTTGAGCCTAAGCCAGGGAATCAGCTCTCATCTCGAGACGATTTGGGGTACACGGAGCATTCCTCGAGTTGCTGTGCTGAAGTTGGTGTTCCTCTAGACTTGGGACAGTGTTCTCGGGGCATCTCTGGAGTTGCCTGAAGGAAGTCGAGCCACCGGTCGTGTTGAATGGGGAACGGGGAATGGCTCTGGAGTCAATGCAGGGGAATCGGGCCTCATCTCGAGTTGATTTGGGGCACATGGAGCTGCTTTGCGTTGCTGGGGTGACATCAGGGTACGTCTAGACTGGTGACAGTGTTCTTGGGGACTGTCTCTAGATCCATTAAGCAAGTCGAAGCTCCTGACGTGTTTGAATGGGATCACGGAATAGCTCTGCATGCACTGCAGGGGAATGGGGCCTCATCTCGCCTCTAGGGGGAAGTCTCATGGTTTTTCTCGAGTTGCGGCGGCGACCTGGGGTATGTTCTCGACTTACGGCGGGGATGGCCCTTCAAAACACGAGTTTCTTCAGTGACGTCAGGACTGCTGTCTAGTAACGAGGGACACCTCAGGAATCTCTTCGAGGCTTGGCAGGGCAAAAGGGACGCTTCTCGAGGTGAGGCAGGGCACCCAAGGACACTTTCCAGTAGCCACAGGGATTTTGGGATTCCTATCAGTATTCAAGAGGAGTCAGGCATCGTCACCTTTTGAAGCAATGAACTCAGCGTGCCTCTCGAGATGTCAGCGGGATGTGAGGCATTCCGTCAAAATGAGGCAGGGACCTAGGGCTTTCTCTAAGGTCTCCACAGGGGATTCAGACATCCCTTCATGTTGTGAGATGAAAGACGAGCCTCTATTCAAGCCACTGCAAGGAAATCCGGCTTCCTTTCCAGTTAGGGCTTCTCGCTGTATATTCCCCTTGAGGCAGCATACTCGGGGTCCCTCCCACATACCTATTGCTGAGAGAAGCCTCCTCCTGAGGTGCTTCTGGAAAGTTGGAATACGTCTTGAGCCTAAGCCAGGGAATCAGCTCTCATCTCGAGACGATTTCGGGTACACAGAGCATTCATCGAGTTGCTGTGCTGAAGTTGGTGTTCCTCTAGACTTGGGACAGTGTTCTCGGGGCATCTCTGGAGTTGCCTGAAGGAAGTCGAGCCACCGGTCGTGTTGAATGGGGAACGGGGAATGGCTCTGGAGTCAATGCAGGCGAATCGGGCCTCATCTCGAGTTGATTTGGGGCACATGGAGCTGCTTTGCGTTGCTGGGGTGACCTCAGCGTCCGTCTAGACTGGTGACAGTGTTCTTGGGGACTGTCTTGAGATCCATTAAGCAAGTCGAAGCTCCTGACTTGCTTGAATGGGATCACGGAATAGCTCTGCATGCACTGCAGGGGAATGGGGCCTCATCTCGCCTCTAGGGGGAAGTCTCATGGTTTTTCTCGAGTTGCGGCGGGGACCTGGGGTATGTTCTCGACTTACGGCGGGGATGGCCCTTCAAAACACGAGTTTCTTCAGTGATGTCAGGACTCCTGTCTAGTAACGAGGGACACCACAGGAATCTCCTCGAGGCTTGGCAGGGCAAAAGGGACGCTTCTCGAGGTGAGGCAGGGCACCCAAGGACCCTTTCCAGTAGCCACAGGGATTTTGGGATTCCTATCAGTATTCAAGAGGAGTCAGGCATCGGCACATTTTGAAGCAATGAACTCCGCGTGCCTCTCGAGGTGTCAGCGGGATGTGAGGCATTCCGTCAAAATGAGGCAGGGACCTAGGGCTTTCTCTAAGGTCTCCACAGTGGATTCAGACATCCCTTCATGTTGTGAGATGAAAGACGAGATTGTATTCAAGCCAATGCAAGAAATCCGGTCTCATTTCAAGTTAGGGCTTCTCGCTGTATATTCCCCTTGAGGCAGCATACTCGGGGTCCCTCCCACATACCTATTGCTGAGAGAAGCCTCCTCCTGAGGTGCTTCTGGAAAGTTGGCATACGTCTTGAGCCTAAGCCAGGGAATCAGCTCTCATCTCGAGACGATTTGGGGTACACGGAGCATTCCTCGAGTTGCTGTGCTGAAGTTGGTGTTCCTCTAGACTTGGGACAGTGTTCTCGGGGCATCTCTGGAGTTGCCTGAAGGAAGTCGAGCCACCGGTCGTGTTGAATGGGGAACGGGGAATGGCTCTGGAGTCAATGCAGGGGAATCGGGCCTCATCTCGAGTTGATTTGGGGCACATGGAGCTGCTTTGCGTTGCTGGGGTGACATCAGGGTACGTCTAGACTGGTGACAGTGTTCTTGGGGACTGTCTCTAGATCCATTAAGCAAGTCGAAGCTCCTGACGTGTTTGAATGTGATCACGGAATAGCTCTGCATGCACTGCAGGGGAATGGGGCCTCATCTCGCCTCTAGGGGGAAGTCTCATGGTTTTTCTCGAGTTGCGGCGGCGACCTGGGGTATGTTCTCGACTTACGGCGGGGATGGCCCTTCAAAACACGAGTTTCTTCAGTGACGTCAGGACTGCTGTCTAGTAACGAGGGACACCTCAGGAATCTCTTCGAGGCTTGGCAGGGCAAAAGGGACGCTTCTCGAGGTGAGGCAGGGCACCCAAGGACACTTTCCAGTAGCCACAGGGGTTTTGGGATTCCTATCAGTATTCAAGAGGAGTCAGGCATCGTCACCTTTTGAAGCAATGAACTCAGCGTGCCTCTCGAGATGTCAGCGGGATGTGAGGCATTCCGTCAAAATGAGGCAGGGACCTAGGGCTTTCTCTAAGGTCTCCACAGGGGATTCAGACATCCCTTCATGTTGTGAGATGAAAGACGAGCCTCTATTCAAGCCACTGCAAGGAAATCCGGCTTCCTTTCCAGTTAGGGCTTCTCGCTGTATATTCCCCTTGAGGCAGCATACTCGGGGTCCCTCCCACATACCTATTGCTGAGAGAAGCCTCCTCCTGAGGTTGTTCTGGAAAGTTGGAATACGTCTTGAGCCTAAGCCAGGGAATCAGCTCTCATCTCGAGACGATTTCGGGTACACAGAGCATTCATCGAGTTGCTGTGCTGAAGTTGGTGTTCCTCTAGACTTGGGACAGTGTTCTCGGGGCATCTCTGGAGTTGCCTGAAGGAAGTCGAGCCACCGGTCGTGTTGAATGGGGAACGGGGAATGGCTCTGGAGTCAATGCAGGCGAATCGGGCCTCATCTCGAGTTGATTTGGGGCACATGGAGCTGCTTTGCGTTGCTGGGGTGACCTCAGCGTCCGTCTAGACTGGTGACAGTGTTCTTGGGGACTGTCTTGAGATCCATTAAGCAAGTCGAAGCTCCTGACTTGCTTGAATGGGATCACGGAATAGCTCTGCATGCACTGCAGGGGAATGGGGCCTCATCTCGCGTCTTGGGGGAAGTTTCATGGTTTTTCTCGAGTTGCGGCGGGTACCTGTGGTATATTATCCACTTACGGCGGGGATGGCCCTTCAAAACATGAGTTTCTTCAGTGACGTCAGGACTCCTGTCTAGTAACGAGGTACACCTCAGGAATCTCTTCGAGGCTTGGCAGGGCAAAAGGGACGCTTCTCGACGTGAGGCAGGGCACCCAAGGACCCTTTCCAGTAGCCACAGGGATTTTGGTATTCCTATCAGTATTCAAGAGGAGTCAGGCATCGTCACCTTTTGAAGCAATGAACTCCGCGTGCCTCTCGAAGTGTCAGCCGTATGTGAGGCATTCCGTCAAAATGAGGCAGGGACCTAGGGCTTTCTCTAAGGTCTCCACAGGGGATTCAGACAACCCTTCATGTTGTTAGATGAAAGACGAGCCTGTATTCAAGCCACTGCAAGGAAATCCGGCCTCCTTTCAAGTTAGGGCTTCTCGCTGTATATTCCCCTTGAGGCAGCATACTCGGGGTCCCTCCCACATACCTATTGCTGAGAGAAGCCTCCTCCTGAGGTGCTTCTGGAAAGTTGGCATACGTCTTGAGCCTAAGCCAGGGAATCAGCTCTAATCTCGAGACGATTTGGGGTACACGGAGCATTCATCGAGTTGCTGTGCTGAAGTTGGTATTCCTCTAGACTTGGGACAGTGTTCTCAGGGCATAGCTGGAGTTGCCTGAAGGAAGTCGAGCCACCATTCGTGTTGAATGGGGAATGGGGAATGGCTCTGGAGTCAATGCAGGGGAATCGGGCCTCATCTCGAGTTGATTTGGGGCCCATGGAGCTGCTTTGCGTTGCTAGGGTGACCTCAGGGTCCGTCTAGACTGGTGACAGTGTTCTTGGGGACTGTCTCGAGATCCATTAAGCAAGTCGAAGCTCCTGACTTGTTTGAATGGGATCACGGAATAGCTCTGCATGCACTGCAGGGGAATCGGGCCTCATCTCGAGTTGATTTGGGGCACATGGAGCTGCTTCGCGTTGCTGGGGTGACCTCAGGGTCCGTCTAGACTGGTGACAGTGCTCTTGGGGACTGTCTCGAGATCCATTAAGCAAGTCGAAGCTCCTGACTTGTTTGAATGGGATCACGGAATAGCTCTGCATGCACTGCAGGGGAATGGGGCCTCATCTCGCCTCTAGGGGGAAGTCTCATGGTTTTTCTCGAGTTGCGGCGGGGACCTGGGGTATGTTCTCGACTTACGGCGGGGATGGCCCTTCAAAACACGAGTTTCTTCAGTGACGTCAGGACTCCTGTCTAGTAACGAGGGACACCTCAGGAATCTCTTCGAGGCTTGGCAGGGCAAAAGGGACGCTTCTCGAGGTGAGGCAGGGCACCCAAGGACCCTTTCCAGTAGCCACAGGGATTTTGGGATTCCTATCAGTATTCAAGAGGAGTCAGGCATCGTCACCTTTTGAAGCAATTAACTCCGCGTGCCTCTCGAGGTGTCAGCGGGATGTGAGGCATTCCGTCAAAATGAGGCAGGGACCTAGGGCTTTGTCTAAGGTCTCCACAGGGGATTCAGACATCCCTTCATGTTGTGAGATGAAAGACGAGCCTGTATTCAAGCCACTGCAAGGAAATCCGGCCTACTTTCAAGTTAGGGCTTCTCGCTGTATATTCCCCTTGAGGCAACAAACTCGGGGTCCCTTCCACATACCTATTGCTGAGAGAAGCCTCCTCCTGAGGTGCTTTTGGAAAGTTGGCATACGTCTTGAGCCTAAGCCAGGGAATCAGCTCTCATCTCGAGACGATTTGGGGTACACGGAGCATTCCTCGAGTTGCTGTGCTGAAGTTAGTGTTCCTCTAGGCTTGGGACAGTGTTCTCGGGGCATCTCTGGAGTTGCCTGAAGGAAGTCGAGCCACCGGTCGTGTTGAATGGGGAACGGGGAATGGCTCTGGAGTCAATGCAGGGGAATCGGGCCTCATCTCGAGTTGATTTGGGGCCCATGGAGCTGCTTTGCGTTGCTAGGGTGACCTCAGGGTCCGTCTAGACTGGTGACAGTGTTCTTGGGGACTCTCTTGAGATCCATTAAGCAAGTCGAAGCTCCTGACTTGCTTGAATGGGATCACGGAATAGCTCTGCATGCACTGCAGGGGAATGGGGCCTCATCTCGCCTCTAGGGGGAAGTCTCATGGTTTTTCTCGAGTTGCGGCGGGGACCTGGGTTTATATTCTCGACTTACGGCGGGGATGGCCCTTCAAAACACGAGTTTCTTCAGTGACGTCAGGAGTCCTGTCTAGTAACGAGGGACACCTCAGGAATCTCCTCGAGGCTTGGCAGGGCAAAAGGGACGCTTCTCGAGGTGAGGCAGGGCACCCAAGGACCCTTTCCAGTAGCCACAGGGATTTTGGGATTCCTATCAGTATTCAAGAGGAGTCAGGCATCGTCACCTTTTGAAGCAATGAACTCCGCGTGCCTCTCGAGGTGTCAGCGGGATGTGAGGCATTCCGTCAAAATGAGGCAGGGACCTAGGGCTTTCTCTAAGGTCTCCACAGGGGATTCAGACATCCCTTCAGGTATTGAGATCCAAGACGAGCCTGTATTCTAGCCACTGCAAGGAAATCCAGCCTCCTTTCAAGTTAGGGCTTCTCGCTGTATATTCCCCTTGAGGCAGCACACTCGGGGTCCCTCCCACATACCTATTGCTGAGAGAAGCCTCCTCCTGAGGTGCTTCTGGAAAGTTGGCATACGTCTTGAGCCTAAGCCAGGGAACCAGCTCTCATCTCGAGATGATTTGGGGTACACGGAGCATTCCTCGAGTTGCTGTGCTGAAGTTGGTGTTCCTCTAGACTTGGGACAGTGTTCTCGGGGCATCTCTGGAGTTGCCTGAAGGAAGTCGAGCCACCGGTCGTGTTGAATGGGGAACGGGGAATGGCTCTGGAGTCAATGAAGGGGAATCGGGCCTCATCTCGAGTTGATTTGGGGCTCATGGAGCTGTTTTGCGTTGCTAGGGTGAAATCAGGGTCCGTCTAGACTGGTGACAGTGTTCTTTGGGACTGTCTCGAGATCCATTAAGCAAGTCGAAGCTCCTGACTTGTTTGAATGGGATCACGGAATAGCTCTGCATGCACTGCAGGGGAATCGGGCCTCATCTCGAGTTGATTTGGATCCCATGGAGCTGCTTTTCGTTGCTAGGGTGACCTCAGGGTCCGTCTAGACTGGTGACAGTGTTCTTGGGGACTCTCTTGAGATCCATTAAGCAAGTCGAAGCTCCTGACTTGCTTGAATTGATCACGGAAAAGCTCTGCATGCACTGCAGGGGAATGGGGCCTCATCTCGCCTCTAGGGGGAAGTCTCATTGTTTTTCTCGAGTTGCCGCGGGGACCTGGGGTATGTTCTCGACTTACGGCGGGGATGGCCCTTCAAAACACGAGTTTCTTCAGTGACGTCAGGACTCCTGTGTAGTAACGAGGGACACCTCAGGAATCTCTTCGAGGCTTGGCAGGGCAAAAGGGACGCTTCTCGAGGTGAGGCAGGGCACCCAAGGACCCTTTCCAGTAGCCACAGGGATTTTGGGATTCCTATCAGTATTCAAGAGGAGTCAGGCATCGGCACATTTTGAAGCAATGAACTCCGCGTGCCTCTCGAGGTGTCAGCGGGATGTGAGGCATTCCGTCAAAATGAGGCAGGGACCTAGGGCTTTCTCTAAGGTCTCCACAGTGGATTCAGACATCCCTTCATGTTGTGAGATGAAAGCCGAGATTCTATTCAAGCCAATGCAAGAAATCCGGTCTCATTTCAAGTTAGGGCTTCTCGCTGTATATTCCCCTTGAGGCAGCATACTCGGGGTCCCTCCCACATACCTATTGCTGAGAGAAGCCTCCTCCTGAGGTGCTTCTGGAAAGTTGGCATACGTCTTGAGCCTAAGCCAGGGAATCAGCTCTCATCTCGAGACGATTTGGGGTACACGGAGCATTCCTCGAGTTGCTGTGCTGAAGTTGGTGTTCCTCTAGACTTGGGACAGTGTTCTCGGGGCATCTCTGGAGTTGCCTGAAGGAAGTCGAGCCACCGGTCGTGTTGAATGGGGAACGGGGAATGGCTCTGGAGTCAATGCAGGGGAATCGGGCCTCATCTCGAGTTGATTTGGGGCACATGGAGCTGCTTTGCGTTGCTGGGGTGACATCAGGGTACGTCTAGACTGGTGACAGTGTTCTTGGGGACTGTCTCTAGATCCATTAAGCAAGTCGAAGCTCCTGACGTGTTTGAATGGGATCACGGAATAGCTCTGCCTGCACTGCAGGGGAATGGGGCCTCATCTCGCCTCTAGGGGGAAGTCTCATGGTTTTTCTCGAGTTGCGGCGGCGACCTGGGGTATGTTCTCGACTTACGGCGGGGATGGCCCTTCAAAACACGAGTTTCTTCAGTGACGTCAGGACTGCTGTCTAGTAACGAGGGACACCTCAGGAATCTCTTCGAGGCTTGGCAGGGCAAAAGGGACGCTTCTCGAGGTGAGGCAGGGCACCCAAGGACACTTTCCAGTAGCCACAGGGATTTTGGGATTCCTATCAGTATTCAAGAGGAGTCAGGCATCGTCACCTTTTGAAGCAATGAACTCCGCGTGCCTCTCGAAGTGTCAGCCGTATGTGAGGCATTCCGTCAAAATGAGGCAGGGACCTAGGGCTTTCTCTAAGGTCTCCACAGGGGATTCAGACAACCCTTCATGTTGTTAGAAGAAAGACGAGCCTGTATTCAAGCCACTGCAAGGAAATCCGGCCTCCTTTCAAGTTAGGGCTTCTCGCTGTATATTCCCCTTGAGGCAGCATACTCGGGGTCCCTCCCACATACCTATTGCTGAGAGAAGCCTCCTCCTGAGGTGCTTCTGGAAAGTTGGCATACGTCTTGAGCCTAAGCCAGGGAATCAGCTCTAATCTCGAGACGATTTGGGATACACGGAGCATTCATCGAGTTGCTGTGCTGAGGTTGGTGTTCCTCTAGACTTGGGACAGTGTTCTCAGGGCATAGCTGGAGTTGCCTGAAGGAAGTCGAGCCACCATTCGTGTTGAATGGGGAATGGGGAATGGCTCTCGAGTCAATGCAGGGGAATCGGGCCTCATCTCGAGTTGATTTGGGGCCCATGGAGCTGCTTTGCGTTGCTAGGGTGACCTCAGGGTCCGTCTAGACTGGTGACAGTGTTCTTGGGGACTGTCTCGAGATCCATTAAGCAAGTCGAAGCTCCTGACTTGTTTGAATGGGATCACGGAATAGCTCTGCATGCACTGCAGGGGAATCGGGCCTCATCTCGAGTTGATTTGGGGCACATGGATCTGCTTTGCGTTGCTGGGGTGACCTCAGGGTCCGTCTAGACTGGTGACAGTGTTCTTGGGGACTGTCTCGAGATCCATTAAGCAAGTCGAAGCTCCTGACTTGTTTGAATGGGATCACGGAATAGCTCTGCATGCACTGCAGGGGAATGGGGCCTCATCTCGCCTCTAGGAGGAAGTCTCATGGTTTTTCTCGAGTTGCGGCGGGGACCTGGGGTATGTTCTCGACTTACGGCGGGGATGGCCCTTCAAAACACGAGTTTCTTCCGTGACGTCAGGACTCCTGTCTAGTAACGAGGGACACCTCAGGAATCTCTTCGAGGCTTGGCAGAGCAAAAGGGACGCTTCTCGAGGTGAGGCAGGGCACCCAAGGACCCTTTCCAGTAGCCACAGGGATTTTGGGATTCCTATCAGTATTCAAGAGGAGTCAGGCATCGTCACCTTTTGAAGCAATGAACTCCGCGTGCCTCTCGAGGTGTCAGCGGGATGTGAGGCATTCCGTCAAAATGAGGCAGGGACCTAGGGCTTTCTCTAAGGTCTCCACAGGGGATTCAGACATCCCTTCAGGTATTGAGATCCAAGACGAGCCTGTATTCTAGCCACTGCAAGGAAATCCAGCCTCCTTTCAAGTTAGGGCTTCTCGCTGTATATTCCCCTTGAGGCAGCACACTCGGGGTCCCTCCCACATACCTATTGCTGAGAGAAGACTCCTCCTGAGGTGCTTCTGGAAAGTTGGCATACGTCTTGAGCCTAAGCCAGGGAATCAGCTCTCATCTCGAGACGATTTGGGGTACACGGAGCATTCATCGAGTTGCTGTGCTGAAGTTGGTGTTCCTCTAGACTTGGGACAGTGTTCTCGGGGCATCTCTGGAGTTGCCTGAAGGAAGTCGAGCCACCGGTCGTGTTGAATGGGGAACGGGGAATGGCTCTGGAGTCAATGCAGGGGAATCGGGCCTCATCTCGAGTTGATTTGGGGCTCATGGAGCTGTTTTGCGTTGCTAGGGTGAAATCAGGGTCCGTCTAGACTGGTGACAGTGTTCTTTGGGACTGTCTCGAGATCCATTAAGCAAGTCGAAGCTCCTGACTTGTTTGAATGGGATCACAGAATAGCTCTGCATGCACTGCAGGGGAATCGGGCCTCATCTCGAGTTGATTTGGAGCCCATGGAGCTGCTTTTCGTTGCTAGGGTGACCTCAGGGTCCGTCTAGACTGGTGACAGTGTTCTTGGGGACTCTCTTGAGATCCATTAAGCAAGTCGAAGCTCCTGACTTGCTTGAATGGGATCACGGAAAAGCTCTGCATGCACTGCAGGGGAATGGGGCCTCATCTCGCCTCTAGGGGGAAGTCTCATTGTTTTTCTCGAGTTGCGGCGGGGACCTGGAGTATGTTCTCGACTTACGGCGGGGATGGCCCTTCAAAACACGAGTTTCTTCAGTGATGTCAGGACTCCTGTCTAGTAACGAGGGACACCACAGGAATCTCCTCGAGGCTTGGCAGGGCAAAAGGGACGCTTCTCGAGGTGAGGCAGGGCACCCAAGGACCCTTTCCAGTAGCCACAGGGATTTTGGGATTCCTATCAGTATTCAAGAGGAGTCAGGCATCGTCACCTTTTGAAGCAATGAACTCCGCGTGCCTCTCGAGGTGTCAGCGGGATGTGAGGCATTCCGTCAAAATGAGGCAGGGACCTAGGGCTTTCTCTAAGATCTCCACAGTGGATTCAGACATCCCTTCATGTTGTGAGATGAAAGACGAGCTTGTATTCAAGCCAATGCAAGAAATCCGGCCTCCTTTCAAGTTAGGGCTTCTCGCTGTATATTCCCCTTGAGGCAGCATACTCGGGGTCCCTCCCACATACCTATTGCTGAGAGAAGCCTCCTCCTGAGGTGCTTCTGGAAAGTTGGCATACGTCTTGAGCCTAAGCCAGGGAATCAGCTCTCATCTCGAGATGATTTGGGGTATACGGAGCATTCATCGAGTTGCTGTGCTGAAGTTGGTGTTCCTCCAGACTTGGGACAGTGTTCTCGGGGCATCTTTGGAGTTGCCTGAAGGAAGTCGAGCCACCGGTCGTGTTGAATGGGGAATGGGGAGTGGCTCTGGGGTCAATGTAGGGGAATCGGGCCTCATCTCGAGTTGATTTGGGGCACATGGAGCTGCTTTGCATTGCTGGGGTGACCTCAGGGTCCGTCTAGACTGGTGACAGTGTTCTTGGGGACTGTCTCGAGATCCATTAAGCAAGTCGGAGCTCCTGACTTGCTTGAATGGGATCACGGTATAGATCTGCATGCACTGCAGGGGAATGGGGCCTCATTTCGCCTCTACGGGGAAGTCTCATGGTTTTTCTCAGGTTGCGGCGGGGACCTGGGGTATGTTCTGGACTTACGGCGGGGATGGCCCTTCAAAACACGAGTTTCTTCAGTGACGTCAGGACTCCTGTCTAGTAACGAGGGACACCTCAGGAATCTCTTCGAGGCTTGGCAGGGCAAAAGGGACGCTTCTCGACGTGAGGCAGGGCACCCAAGGACCCTTTCCAGTAGCCACAGGGATTTTGGTATTCCTATCAGTATTCAAGAGGAGTCAGGCATCGTCACCTTTTGAAGCAATGAACTCCGCGTGCCTCTCGAAGTGTCAGCCGTATGTGAGGCATTCCGTCAAAATGAGGCAGGGACCTAGGGCTTTCTCTAAGGTCTCCACAGGGGATTCAGACAACCCTTCATGTTGTTAGATGAAAGACGAGCCTGTATTCAAGCCACTGCAAGGAAATCCGGCCTCCTTTCAAGTTAGGGCTTCTCGCTGTATATTCCCCTTGAGGCAGCATACTCGGGGTCCCTCCCACATACCTATTGCTGAGAGAAGCCTCCTCCTGAGGTGCTTCTGGAAAGTTGGCATACGTCTTGAGCCTAAGCCAGGGAATCAGCTCTAATCTCGAGACGATTTGGGGTACACGGAGCATTCATCGAGTTGCTGTGCTGAAGTTGGTATTCCTCTAGACTTGGGACAGTGTTCTCAGGGCATAGCTGGAGTTGCCTGAAGGAAGTCGAGCCACCATTCGTGTTGAATGGGGAATGGGGAATGGCTCTGGAGTCAATGCAGGGGAATCGGGCCTCATCTCGAGTTGATTTGGGGCCCATGGAGCTGCTTTGCGTTGCTAGGGTGACCTCAGGGTCCGTCTAGACTGGTGACAGTGTTCTTGGGGACTGTCTCGAGATCCATTAAGCAAGTCGAAGCTCCTGACTTGTTTGAATGGGATCACGGAATAGCTCTGCATGCACTGCAGGGGAATCGGGCCTCATCTCGAGTTGATTTGGGGCACATGGAGCTGCTTCGCGTTGCTGGGGTGACCTCAGGGTCCGTCTAGACTGGTGACAGTGTTCTTGGGGACTGTCTCGAGATCCATTAAGCAAGTCGAAGCTCCTGACTTGTTTGAATGGGATCACGGAATAGCTCTGCATGCACTGCAGGGGAATGGGGCCTCATCTCGCCTCTAGGGGGAAGTCTCATGGTTTTTCTCGAGTTGCGGCGGGGACCTGGGGTATGTTCTCGACTTACGGCGGGGATGGCCCTTCAAAACACGAGTTTCTTCAGTGACGTCAGGACTCCTGTCTAGTAACGAGGGACACCTCAGGAATCTCTTCGAGGCTTGGCAGGGCAAAAGGGACGCTTCTCGAGGTGAGGCAGGGCACCCAAGGACCCTTTCCAGTAGCCACAGGGATTTTGGGATTCCTATCAGTATTCAAGAGGAGTCAGGCATCGTCACCTTTTGAAGCAATTAACTCCGCGTGCCTCTCGAGGTGTCAGCGGGATGTGAGGCATTCCGTCAAAATGAGGCAGGGACCTAGGGCTTTCTCTAAGGTCTCCACAGGGGATTCAGACATCCCTTCATGTTGTGAGATCAAAGACGAGCCTGTATTCAAGCCACTGCAAGGAAATCCGGCCTCCTTTCAAGTTAGGGCTTCTCGCTGTATATTCCCCTTGAGGCAACAAACTCGGGGTCCCTTCCACATACCTATTGCTGAGAGAAGCCTCCTCCTGAGGTGCTTTTGGAAAGTTGGCATACGTCTTGAGCCTAAGCCAGGGAATCAGCTCTCATCTCGAGACGTTTTGGGGTACACGGAGCATTCCTCGAGTTGCTGTGCTGAAGTTAGTGTTCCTCTAGGCTTGGGACAGTGTTCTCGGGGCATCTCTGGAGTTGCCTGAAGGAAGTCGAGCCACCGGTCGTGTTGAATGGGGAACCGGGAATGGCTCTGGAGTCAATGCAGGGGAATCGGGCCTCATCTCGAGTTGATTTGGGGCCCATGGAGCTGCTTTGCGTTGCTAGGGTGACCTCAGGGTCCGTCTAGACTGGTGACAGTGTTCTTGGGGACTCTCTTGAGATCCATTAAGCAAGTCGAAGCTCCTGACTTGCTTGAATGGGATCACGGAATAGCTCTGCATGCACTGCAGGGGAATGGGGCCTCATCTCGCCTCTAGGGGGAAGTCTCATGGTTTTTCTCGAGTTGCGGCGGGGACCTGGGTTTATATTCTCGACTTACGGCGGGGATGGCCCTTCAAAACACGAGTTTCTTCAGTGACGTCAGGAGTCCTGTCTAGTAACGAGGGACACCTCAGGAATCTCCTCGAGGCTTGGCAGGGCAAAAGGGACGCTTCTCGAGGTGAGGCAGGGCACCCAAGGACCCTTTCCAGTAGCCACAGGGATTTTGGGATTCCTATCAGTATTCAAGAGGAGTCAGGCATCGTCACCTTTTGAAGCAATGAACTCCGCGTGCCTCTCGAGGTGTCAGCGGGATGTGAGGCATTCCGTCAAAATGAGGCAGGGACCTAGGGCTTTCTCTAAGGTCTCCACAGGGGATTCAGACATCCCTTCAGGTATTGAGATCCAAGACGAGCCTGTATTCTAGCCACTGCAAGGAAATCCAGCCTCCTTTCAAGTTAGGGCTTCTCGCTGTATATTCCCCTTGAGGCAGCACACTCGGGGTCCCTCCCACATACCTATTGCTGAGAGAAGCCTCCTCCTGAGGTGCTTCTGGAAAGTTGGCATACGTCTTGAGCCTAAGCCAGGGAACCAGCTCTCATCTCGAGATGATTTGGGGTACACGGAGCATTCCTCGAGTTGCTGTGCTGAAGTTGGTGTTCCTCTAGACTTGGGACAGTGTTCTCGGGGCATCTCTGGAGTTGCCTGAAGGAAGTCGAGCCACCGGTCGTGTTGAATGGGGAACGGGGAATGGCTCTGGAGTCAATGCAGGGGAATCGGGCCTCATCTCGAGTTGATTTGGGGCTCATGGAGCTGTTTTGCGTTGCTAGGGTGAAATCAGGGTCCGTCTAGACTGGTGACAGTGTTCTTGGGGACTGTCTCGAGATCCATTAAGCAAGTCGAAGCTCCTGACTTGTTTGAATGGGATCACGGAATAGCTCTGCATGCACTGCAGGGGAATCGGGCCTCATCTCGAGTTGATTTGGATCCCATGGAGCTGCTTTTCGTTGCTAGGGTGACCTCAGGGTCCGTCTAGACTGGTGACAGTGTTCTTGGGGACTCTCTTGAGATCCATTAAGCAAGTCGAAGCTCCTGACTTGCTTGAATTGATCACGGAAAAGCTCTGCATGCACTGCAGGGGAATGGGGCCTCATCTCGCCTCTAGGGGGAAGTCTCATTGTTTTTCTCGAGTTGCCGCGGGGACCTGGGGTATGTTCTCGACTTACGGCGGGGATGGCCCTTCAAAACACGAGTTTCTTCAGTGACGTCAGGACTCCTGTGTAGTAACGAGGGACACCTCAGGAATCTCTTCGAGGCTTGGCAGGGCAAAAGGGACGCTTCTCGAGGTGAGGCAGGGCACCCAAGGACCCTTTCCAGTAGCCACAGGGATTTTGGGATTCCTATCAGTATTCAAGAGGAGTCAGGCATCGGCACATTTTGAAGCAATGAACTCCGCGTGCCTCTCGAGGTGTCAGCGGGATGTGAGGCATTCCGTCAAAATGAGGCAGGGACCTAGGGCTTTCTCTAAGGTCTCCACAGTGGATTCAGACATCCCTTCATGTTGTGAGATGAAAGCCGAGATTCTATTCAAGCCAATGCAAGAAATCCGGTCTCATTTCAAGTTAGGGCTTCTCGCTGTATATTCCCCTTGAGGCAGCATACTCGGGGTCCCTCCCACATACCTATTGCTGAGAGAAGCCTCCTCCTGAGGTGCTTCTGGAAAGTTGGCATACGTCTTGAGCCTAAGCCAGGGAATCAGCTCTCATCTCGAGACGATTTGGGGTACACGGAGCATTCCTCGAGTTGCTGTGCTGAAGTTGGTGTTCCTCTAGACTTGGGACAGTGTTCTCGGGGCATCTCTGGAGTTGCCTGAAGGAAGTCGAGCCACCGGTCGTGTTGAATGAGGAACGGGGAATGGCTCTGGAGTCAATGCAGGGGAATCGGGCCTCATCTCGAGTTGATTTGGGGCACATGGAGCTGCTTTGCGTTGCTGGGGTGACATCAGGGTACGTCTAGACTGGTGACAGTGTTCTTGGGGACTGTCTCTAGATCCATTAAGCAAGTCGAAGCTCCTGACGTGTTTGAATGGGATCACGGAATAGCTCTGCCTGCACTGCAGGGGAATGGGGCCTCATCTCGCCTCTAGGGGGAAGTCTCATGGTTTTTCTCGAGTTGCGGCGGCGACCTGGGGTATGTTCTCGACTTACGGCGGGGATGGCCCTTCAAAACACGAGTTTCTTCAGTGACGTCAGGACTGCTGTCTAGTAACGAGGGACACCTCAGGAATCTCTTCGAGGCTTGGCAGGGCAAAAGGGACGCTTCTCGAGGTGAGGCAGGGCACCCAAGGACACTTTCCAGTAGCCACAGGGATTTTGGGATTCCTATCAGTATTCAAGAGGAGTCAGGCATCGTCACCTTTTGAAGCAATGAACTCCGCGTGCCTCTCGAAGTGTCAGCCGTATGTGAGGCATTCCGTCAAAATGAGGCAGGGACCTAGGGCTTTCTCTAAGGTCTCCACAGGGGATTCAGACAACCCTTCATGTTGTTAGAAGAAAGACGAGCCTGTATTCAAGCCACTGCAAGGAAATCCGGCCTCCTTTCAAGTTAGGGCTTCTCGCTGTATATTCCCCTTGAGGCAGCATACTCGGGGTCCCTCCCACATACCTATTGCTGCGAGAAGCCTCCTCCTGAGGTGCTTCTGGAAAGTTGGCATACGTCTTGAGCCTAAGCCAGGGAATCAGCTCTAATCTCGAGACGATTTGGGATACACGGAGCATTCATCGAGTTGCTGTGCTGAGGTTGGTGTTCCTCTAGACTTGGGACAGTGTTCTCAGGGCATAGCTGGAGTTGCCTGAAGGAAGTCGAGCCACCATTCGTGTTGAATGGGGAATGGGGAATGGCTCTGGAGTCAATGCAGGGGAATCGGGCCTCATCTCGAGTTGATTTGGGGCCCATGGAGCTGCTTTGCGTTGCTAGGGTGACCTCAGGGTCCGTCTAGACTGGTGACAGTGTTCTTGGGGACTGTCTCGACATCCATTAAGCAAGTCGAAGCTCCTGACTTGTTTGAATGGGATCACGGAATAGCTCTGCATGCACTGCAGGGGAATCAGGCCTCATCTCGAGTTGATTTGGGGCACATGGATCTGCTTTGCGTTGCTGGGGTGACCTCAGGGTCCGTCTAGACTGGTGACAGTGTTCTTGGGGACTGTCTCGAGATCCATTAAGCAAGTCGAAGCTCCTGACTTGTTTGAATGGGATCACGGAATAGCTCTGCATGCACTGCAGGGGAATGGGGCCTCATCTCGCCTCTAGGAGGAAGTCTCATGGTTTTTCTCGAGTTGCGGCGGGGACCTGGGGTATGTTCTCGACTTACGGCGGGGATGGCCCTTCAAAACACGAGTTTCTTCCGTGACGTCAGGACTCCTGTCTAGTAACGAGGGACACCTCAGGAATCTCTTCGAGGCTTGGCAGAGCAAAAGGGACGCTTCTCGAGGTGAGGCAGGGCACCCAAGGACCCTTTCCAGTAGCCACAGGGATTTTGGGATTCCTATCAGTATTCAAGAGGAGTCAGGCATCGTCACCTTTTGAAGCAATGAACTCCGCGTGCCTCTCGAGGTGTCAGCGGGATGTGAGGCATTCCGTCAAAATGAGGCAGGGACCTAGGGCTTTCTCTAAGGTCTCCACAGGGGATTCAGACATCCCTTCAGGTATTGAGATCCAAGACGAGCCTGTATTCTAGCCACTGCAAGGAAATCCAGCCTCCTTTCAAGTTAGGGCTTCTCGCTGTATATTCCCCTTGAGGCAGCACACTCGGGGTCCCTCCCACATACCTATTGCTGAGAGAAGACTCCTCCTGAGGTGCTTCTGGAAAGTTGGCATACGTCTTGAGCCTAAGCCAGGGAATCAGCTCTCATCTCGAGACGATTTGGGGTACACGGAGCATTCATCGAGTTGCTGTGCTGAAGTTGGTGTTCCTCTAGACTTGGGACAGTGTTCTCGGGGCATCTCTGGAGTTGCCTGAAGGAAGTCGAGCCACCGGTCGTGTTGAATGGGGAACGGGGAATGGCTCTGGAGTCAATGCAGGGGAATCGGGCCTCATCTCGAGTTGATTTGGGGCTCATGGAGCTGTTTTGCGTTGCTAGGGTGAAATCAGGGTCCGTCTAGACTGGTGACAGTGTTCTTTGGGACTGTCTCGAGATCCATTAAGCAAGTCGAAGCTCCTGACTTGTTTGAATGGGATCACAGAATAGCTCTGCATGCACTGCAGGGGAATCGGGCCTCATCTCGAGTTGATTTGGAGCCCATGGAGCTGCTTTTCGTTGCTAGGGTGACCTCAGGGTCCGTCTAGACTGGTGACAGTGTTCTTGGGGACTCTCTTGAGATCCATTAAGCAAGTCGAAGCTCCTGACTTGCTTGAATGGGATCACGGAAAAGCTCTGCATGCACTGCAGGGGAATGGGGCCTCATCTCGCCTCTAGGGGGAAGTCTCATTGTTTTTCTCGAGTTGCGGCGGGGACCTGGGGTATGTTCTCGACTTACGGCGGGGATGGCCCTTCAAAACACGAGTTTCTTCAGTGATGTCAGGACTCCTGTCTAGTAACGAGGGACACCACAGGAATCTCCTCGAGGCTTGGCAGGGCAAAAGGGACGCTTCTCGAGGTGAGGCAGGGCACCCAAGGACCCTTTCCAGTAGCCACAGGGATTTTGGGATTCCTATCAGTATTCAAGAGGAGTCAGGCATCGTCACCTTTTGAAGCAATGAACTCCGCGTGCCTCTCGAGGTGTCAGCGGGATGTGAGGCATTCCGTCAAAATGAGGCAGGGACCTAGGGCTTTCTCTAAGATCTCCACAGTGGATTCAGACATCCCTTCATGTTGTGAGATGAAAGACGAGCTTGTATTCAAGCCAATGCAAGAAATCCGGCCTCCTTTCAAGTTAGGGCTTCTCGCTGTATATTCCCCTTGAGGCAGCATACTCGGGGTCCCTCCCACATACCTATTGCTGAGAGAAGCCTCCTCCTGAGGTGCTTCTGGAAAGTTGGCATACGTCTTGAGCCTAAGCCAGGGAATCAGCTCTCATCTCGAGATGATTTGGGGTATACGGAGCATTCATCGAGTTGCTGTGCTGAAGTTGGTGTTCCTCCAGACTTGGGACAGTGTTCTCGGGGCATCTTTGGAGTTGCCTGAAGGAAGTCGAGCCACCGGTCGTGTTGAATGGGGAATGGGGAGTGGCTCTGGGGTCAATGTAGGGGAATCGGGCCTCATCTCGAGTTGATTTGGGGCACATGGAGCTGCTTTGCATTGCTGGGGTGACCTCAGGGTCCGTCTAGACTGGTGACAGTGTTCTTGGGGACTGTCTCGAGATCCATTAAGCAAGTCGGAGCTCCTGACTTGCTTGAATGGGATCACGGTATAGATCTGCATGCACTGCAGGGGAATGGGGCCTCATTTCGCCTCTACGGGGAAGTCTCATGGTTTTTCTCAGGTTGCGGCGGGGACCTGGGGTATGTTCTGGACTTACGGCGGGGATGGCCCTTCAAAACACGAGTTTCTTCAGTGACGTCAGGACTCCTGTCTAGTAACGAGGGACACCTCAGGAATCTCTTCGAGGCTTGGCAGGGCAAAAGGGAGGCTTCTCGAGGTGAGGCAGGGCACCCAAGGACCCTTTCCAGTAGCCACAGGGATTTTGGGATTCCTATCAGTATTCAAGAGGAGGCAGGCATCGTCACCTTTTGAAGCAATGAACTCCGCGTGCCTCTCGAGGTGTCAGCGGGATGTGAGGCATTCCGTCAAAATGAGGCAGGGACCTAGGGCTTTCTCTAAGGTCTCCACAGGGGATTCAGACATCCCTTCATGTTGTGAGATGAAACACGAGCCTGTATTCAAGCCACTGCAAGGAAATCCGGCCTACTTTCAAGTTAGGGCTTCTCGCTGTATATTCCCCTTGAGGCAGCATACTCGGGGTCCCTCCCACATACCTATTGCTGAGAGAAGCCTCCTCCTGAGGTGCTTCTGGAAATTTGGCATACGTCTTGAGCCTAAGCCAGGGAATCAGCTCTCATCTCGAGACGATTTGGGGTACACGGAGCATTCATCGAGTTGCTGTGCTGAAGTTGGTGTTCCTCTAGACTTGGGACAGTGTTCTCCGGGCATCTATGGAGTTGCCTGAAGGAAGTCGAGCCACCAGTCGTGTTGAATGGGGAATGTGGAATGGCTCTGGAGTCAATGCAGGGGAATCGGGCCTCATCTCGAGTTGATTTGGGGCTCATGGAGCTGTTTTGCGTTGCTAGGGTGAAATCAGGGTCCGTCTAGACTGGTGACAGTGTTCTTTGGGACTGTCTCGAGATCCATTAAGCAAGTCGAAGCTCCTGACTTGTTTGAATGGGATCACGGAATAGCTCTGCATGCACTGCAGGGGAATCGGGCCTCATCTCGAGTTGATTTGGAGCCCATGGAGCTGCTTTTCGTTGCTAGGGTGACCTCAGGGTCCGTCTAGACTGGTGACAGTGTTCTTGGGGACTCTCTTGAGATCCATTAAGCAAGTCGAAGCTCCTGACTTGCTTGAATGGGATCACGGAAAAGCTCTGCATGCACTGCAGGGGAATGGGGCCTCATCTCGCCTCTAGGGGGAAGTCTCATTGTTTTTCTCGAGTTGCGGCGGGGACCTGGGGTATGTTCTCGACTTACGGCGGGGATGGCCCTTCAAAACACGAGTTTCTTCAGTGATGTCAGGACTCCTGTCTAGTAACGAGGGACACCACAGGAATCTCCTCGAGGCTTGGCAGGGCAAAAGGGACGCTTCTCGAGGTGAGGCAGGGCACCCAAGGACCCTTTCCAGTAGCCACAGGGATTTTGGGATTCCTATCAGTATTCAAGAGGAGTCAGGCATCGGCACATTTTGAAGCAATGAACTCCGCGTGCCTCTCGAGGTGTCAGCGGGATGTGAGGCATTCCGTCAAAATGAGGCAGGGACCTAGGGCTTTCTCTAAGGTCTCCACAGTGGATTCAGACATCCCTTCATGTTGTGAGATGAAAGACGAGATTGTATTCAAGCCAATGCAAGAAATCCGGTCTCCTTTCAAGTTAGGGCTTCTCGCTGTATATTCCCCTTGAGGCAGCATACTCGGGGTCCCTCCCACATACCTATTGCTGAGAGAAGCCTCCTCCTGAGGTGCTTCTGGAAAGTTGGCATACGTCTTGAGCCTAAGCCAGGGAATCAGCTCTCATCTCGAGACGATTTGGGGTACACGGAGCATTCCTCGAGTTGCTGTGCTGAAGTTGGTGTTCCTCTAGAATTGGGACAATGTTCTCGGGGCATCTCTGGAGTTGCCTGAAGGAAGACGAGCCACCGGTCGTGTTGAATGGGGAACCGGGAATGGCTCTGGAGTCAATGCAGGGGAATCGGGCCTCATCTCGAGTTTATTTGGGGCACATGGAGCTGCTTTGCGTTGCTGGTGTGACCTCAGGGTACGTCTAGACTGGTGACAGTGTTCTTGGGGACTGTCTCGAGATCCATTAAGCAAGTCGAAGCTCCTGACTTGTTTGAATGGGATCATGGAATAGCTCTGCATGCACTGCAGGGGAATGGGGCCTCATCTCGCCTCTAGGGGGAAGTCTCATGGTTTTTCTCGAGTTGCGGCGGGGACCTGGGTTTATATTCTCGACTTACGGCGGTGATGGCCCTTCAAAACACGAGTTTCTTCAGTGACGTCAGGACTCCTGTCTAGTAATGAGGGACACCTCAGGAATCTCCTCGAGGCTTGGCAGGGCAAAAGGGACGCTTCTCGAGGTGAGGCAGGGCACCCAAGGACCCTTTCCAGTAGCCACAGGGATTTTGGGATTCCTATCAGTATTCAAGAGGAGTCAGGCATCGTCACCTTTTGAAGCAATGAACTCCGCGTGCCTCTCGAGGTGTCAGCGGGATGTGAGGCATTCCGTCAAAATGAGGCAGGGACCTAGGGCTTTCTCTAAGATCTCCACAGTGGATTCAGACATCCCTTCATGTTGTGAGATGAAAGACGAGCTTGTATTCAAGCCAATGCAAGAAATCCGGCCTCCTTTCAAGTTAGGGCTTCTCGCTGTATATTCCCCTTGAGGCAGCATACTCGGGGTCCCTCCCACATACCTATTGCTGAGAGAAGCCTCCTCCTGAGGTGCTTCTGGAAAGTTGGCATACGTCTTGAGCCTAAGCCAGGGAATCAGCTCTCATCTCGAGATGATTTGGGGTATACGGAGCATTCATCGAGTTGCTGTGCTGAAGTTGGTGTTCCTCCAGACTTGGGACAGTGTTCTCGGGGCATCTTTGGAGTTGCCTGAAGGAAGTCGAGCCACCGGTCGTGTTGAATGGGGAATGGGGAGTGGCTCTGGGGTCAATGTAGGGGAATCGGGCCTCATCTCGAGTTGATTTGGGGCACATGGAGCTGCTTTGCATTGCTGGGGTGACCTCAGGGTCCGTCTAGACTGGTGACAGTGTTCTTGGGGACTGTCTCGAGATCCATTAAGCAAGTCGGAGCTCCTGACTTGCTTGAATGGGATCACGGTATAGATCTACATGCACTGCAGGGGAATGGGGCCTCATTTCGCCTCTACGGGGAAGTCTCATGGTTTTTCTCAGGTTGCGGCGGGGACCTGGGGTATGTTCTGGACTTACGGCGGGGATGGCCCTTCAAAACACGAGTTTCTTCAGTGACGTCAGGACTCCTGTCTAGTAACGAGGGACACCTCAGGAATCTCTTCGAGGCTTGGCAGGGCAAAAGGGAGGCTTCTCGAGGTGAGGCAGGGCACCCAAGGACCCTTTCCAGTAGCCACAGGGGTTTTGGGATTCCTATCACTATTCAAGAGGAGTCAGGCATGGTCACCTTTTGAAGCAATGAACTCCGCGTGCCTCTCGAGGTGTCAGCGGGATGTGAGGCATTCCGTCAAAATGAGGCAGGGACCTAGGGCTTTCTCTAAGATCTCCACAGTGGATTCAGACATCCCTTCATGTTGTGAGATGAAAGACGAGCTTGTATTCAAGCCAATGCAAGAAATCCGGCCTCCTTTCAAGTTAGGGCTTCTCGCTGTATATTCCCCTTGAGGCAGCATACTCGGGGTCCCTCCCACATACCTATTGCTGAGAGAAGCCTCCTCCTGAGGTGCTTCTGGAAAGTTGGCATACGTCTTGAGCCTAAGCCAGGGAATCAGCTCTCATCTCGAGACGATTTGGGGTACACGGAGCATTCCTCGAGTTGCTGTGCTGAAGTTGGTGTTCCTCTAGAATTGGGACAATGTTCTCGGGGCATCTCTGGAGTTGCCTGAAGGAAGACGAGCCACCGGTCGTGTTGAATGGGGAACCGGGAATGGCTCTGGAGTCAATGCAGGGGAATCGGGCCTCATCTCGAGTTTATTTGGGGCACATGGAGCTGCTTTGCGTTGCTGGGGTGACCTCAGGGTACGTCTAGACTGGTGACAGTGTTCTTGGGGACTGTCTCGAGATCCATTAAGCAAGTCGAAGCTCCTGACTTGTTTGAATGGGATCATGGAATAGCTCTGCATGCACTGCAGGGGAATGGGGCCTCATCTCGCCTCTAGGGGGAAGTCTCATGGTTTTTCTCGAGTTGCGGCGGGGACCTGGGTTTATATTCTCGACTTACGGCGGTGATGGCCCTTCAAAACACGAGTTTCTTCAGTGACGTCAGGACTCCTGTCTAGTAATGAGGGACACCTCAGGAATCTCCTCGAGGCTTGGCAGGGCAAAAGGGACGCTTCTCGAGGTGAGGCAGGGCACCCAAGGACCCTTTCCAGTAGCCACAGGGATTTTGGGATTCCTATCAGTATTCAAGAGGAGTCAGGCATCGTCACCTTTTGAAGCAATGAACTCCGCGTGCCTCTCGAGGTGTCAGCGGGATGTGAGGCATTCCGTCAAAATGAGGCAGGGACCTAGGGCTTTCTCTAAGATCTCCACAGTGGATTCAGACATCCCTTCATGTTGTGAGATGAAAGACGAGCTTGTATTCAAGCCAATGCAAGAAATCCGGCCTCCTTTCAAGTTAGGGCTTCTCGCTGTATATTCCCCTTGAGGCAGCATACTCGGGGTCCCTCCCACATAACTATTGCTGAGAGAAGCCTCCTCCTGAGGTGCTTCTGGAAAGTTGGCATACGTCTTGAGCCTAAGCCAGGGAATCAGCTCTCATCTCGAGATGATTTGGGGTATACGGAGCATTCATCGAGTTGCTGTGCTGAAGTTGGTGTTCCTCTAGACTTGGGACAGTGTTCTCGGGGCATCTTTGGAGTTGCCTGAAGGAAGTCGAGCCACCGGTCGTGTTGAATGGGGAATGGGGAGTGGCTCTGGGGTCAATGTAGGGGAATCGGGCCTCATCTCGAGTTGATTTGGGGCACATGGAGCTGCTTTGCATTGCTGGGGTGACCTCAGGGTCCGTCTAGACTGGTGACAGTGTTCTTGGGGACTGTCTCGAGATCCATTAAGCAAGTCGGAGCTCCTGACTTGCTTGAATGGGATCACGGTATAGATCTACATGCACTGCAGGGGAATGGGGCCTCATTTCGCCTCTACGGGGAAGTCTCATGGTTTTTCTCAGGTTGCGGCGGGGACCTGGGGTATGTTCTGGACTTACGGCGGGGATGGCCCTTCAAAACACGAGTTTCTTCAGTGACGTCAGGACTCCTGTCTAGTAACGAGGGACACCTCAGGAATCTCTTCGAGGCTTGGCAGGGCAAAAGGGAGGCTTCTCGAGGTGAGGCAGGGCACCCAAGGACCCTTTCCAGTAGCCACAGGGATTTTGGGATTCCTATCACTATTCAAGAGGAGTCAGGCATGGTCACCTTTTGAAGCAATGAACTCCGCGTGCCTCTCGAGGTGTCAGCGGGATGTGAGGCATTCCGTCAAAATGAGGCAGGGACCTAGGGCTTTCTCTAAGATCTCCACAGTGGATTCAGACATCCCTTCATGTTGTGAGATGAAAGACGAGCTTGTATTCAAGCCAATGCAAGAAATCCGGCCTCCTTTCAAGTTAGGGCTTCTCGCTGTATATTCCCCTTGAGGCAGCATACTCGGGGTCCCTCCCACATACCTATTGCTGAGAGAAGCCTCCTCCTGAGGTGCTTCTGGAAAGTTGGCATACGTCTTGAGCCTAAGCCAGGGAATCAGCTCTCATCTCGAGATGATTTGGGGTATACGGAGCATTCATCGAGTTGCTGTGCTGAAGTTGGTGTTCCTCTAGACTTGGGACAGTGTTCTCGGGGCATCTTTGGAGTTGCCTGAAGGAAGTCGAGCCACCGGTCGTGTTGAATGGGGAATGGGGAGTGGCTCTGGGGTCAATGTAGGGGAATCGGGCCTCATCTCGAGTTGATTTGGGGCACATGGAGCTGCTTTGCATTGCTGGGGTGACCTCAGGGTCCGTCTAGACTGGTGACAGTGTTCTTGGGGACTGTCTCGAGATCCATTAAGCAAGTCGGAGCTCCTGACTTGCTTGAATGGGATCACGGTATAGATCTACATGCACTGCAGGGGAATGGGGCCTCATTTCGCCTCTACGGGGAAGTCTCATGGTTTTTCTCAGGTTGCGGCGGGGACCTGGGGTATGTTCTGGACTTACGGCGGGGATGGCCCTTCAAAACACGAGTTTCTTCAGTGACGTCAGGACTCCTGTCTAGTAACGAGGGACACCTCAGGAATCTCTTCGAGGCTTGGCAGGGCAAAAGGGAGGCTTCTCGAGGTGAGGCAGGGCACCCAAGGACCCTTTCCAGTAGCCACAGGGATTTTGGGATTCCTATCACTATTCAAGAGGAGTCAGGCATGGTCACCTTTTGAAGCAGTGAACTCCGCGTGCCTCTCGAGGTGTCAGCGGGATGTGAGGCATTCCGTCAAAATGAGGCAGGGTCCTAGGGCTTTCTCTAAGGTCTCCACAGGGGATTCAGACATCCCTTCATGTTGTGAGATGAAACACGAGCCTGTATTCAAGCCACTGCAAGGAAATCCGGCCTACTTTCAAGTTAGGGCTTCTCGCTGTATATTCCCCTTGAGGCAGCATACTCGGGGTCCCTCCCACATACCTATTGCTGAGAGAAGCCTCCTCCTGGGATGCTTCTCGAAATTTGGCATACGTCTTGAGCCTAAGCCAGGGAATCAGCTCTCATCTCGAGACGATTTGGGGTACACGGAGCATTCATCGAGTTGCTGTGCTGAAGTTGGTGTTCCTCTAGACTTGGGACAGTGTTCTCGGGGCATCTATGGAGTTGCCTGAAGGAAGTCGAGCCACCGGTCGTGTTGAATGGGGAATGGGGAATGGCTCTGGAGTCAATGCAGGGGAATCGGGCCTCATCTCGAGTTGATTTGGGGCTCATGGAGCTGTTTTGCGTTGCTAGGGTGAAATCAGGGTCCGTCTAGACTGGTGACAGTGTTCTTTGGGACTGTCTCGAGATCCATTAAGCAAGTCGAAGCTCCTGACTTGTTTGAATGGGATCACAGAATAGCTCTGCATGCACTGCAGGGGAATCGGGCCTCATCTCGAGTTGATTTGGGGCCCATGGAGCTGCTTTGCGTTGCTAGGGTGACCTCAGGGTCCGTCTAGACTGGTGACAGTGTTCTTGGGGACTGTCTCGAGATCCATTAAGCAAGTCGAAGCTCCTGACTTGTTTGAATGGGATCACGGAATAGCTCTGCATGCACTGCAGGGGAATCGGGCCTCATCTCGAGTTGATTTGGGGCACATGGAGCTGCTTCGCGTTGCTGGGGTGACCTCAGGGTCCGTCTAGACTGGTGACAGTGTTCTTGGGGACTGTCTCGAGATCCATTAAGCAAGTCGAAGCTCCTGACTTGTTTGAATGGGATCACGGAATAGCTCTGCATGCACTGCAGGGGAATGGGGCCTCATCTCGCCTCTAGGGGGAAGTCTCATGCTTTTTCTCGAGTTGCGGCGGGGACCTGGGGTATGTTCTCGACTTACGGCGGGGATGGCCCTTCAAAACAAGAGTTTCTTCAGTGACGTCAGGACTCCTGTCTAGTAACGAGGGACACCTCAGGAATCTCTTCGAGGCTTGGCAGGGCAAAAGGGACGCTTCTTGAGGTGAGGCAGGGCACCCAAGGACCCTTTCCAGTAGCCACAGGGATTTTGGGATTCCTATCAGTATTCAAGAGGAGTCATGCATCGTCACCTTTTGAAGCAATTAACTCCGCGTGCCTCTCGAGGTGTCAGCGGGATGTGAGGCATTCCGTCAAAATGAGGCAGGGACCTACGGCTTTCTCTAAGGTCTCCACAGGGGATTCAGACATCCCTTCAGGTATTGAGATCCAAGACGAGCCTGTATTCTAGCCACTGCAAGGAAATTCAGCCTCCTTTCAAGTTAGGGCTTCTCGCTGTATATTCCCCTTGAGGCAGCACACTCGGGGTCCCTCCCACATACCTATTGCTGAGAGAAGCCTCCTCCTGAGGTGCTTCTGGAAAGTTGGCATACGTCTTGAGCCTAAGCCAGGGAATCAGCTCTCATCTCGAGATGATTTGGGGTACACGGAGCATTCCTCGAGTTGCTGTGCTGAAGTTGGTGTTCCTCTAGACTTGGGACAGTGTTCTCGGGGCATCTCTGGAGTTGCCTGAAGGAAGTCGAGCCACCGGTCGTGTTGAATGGGGAACGGGGAATGGCTCTGGAGTCAATGCAGGGGAATCGGGCCTCATCTCGAGTTGATTTGGGGCTCATGGAGCTGTTTTGCGTTGCTAGGGTGAAATCAGGGTCCGTCTAGACTGGTGACAGTGTTCTTTGGGACTGTCTCGAGATCCATTAAGCAAGTCGAAGCTCCTGACTTGTTTGAATGGGATCACGGAATAACTCTGCATGCACTGCAGGGGAATCGGGCCTCATCTCGAGTTGATATGGAGCCCATGGAGCTGCTTTTCGTTGCTAGGGTGACCTCAGGGTCCGTCTAGACTGGTGACAGTGTTCTTGGGGACTCTCTTGAGAACCATTAAGCAAGTCGAAGCTCCTGACTTGCTTGAATTTGATCACGGAAAAGCTCTGCATGCACTGCAGGGGAATGGGGCCTCATCTCGCCTCTAGGGGGAAGTCTCATTGTTTTTCTCGAGTTGCGGCGGGGACCTGGGGTATGTTCTCGACTTACGGCGGGGATGGCCCTTCAAAACACGAGTTTCTTCAGTGATGTCAGGACTCCTGTCTAGTAACGAGGGACACCACAGGAATCTCCTCGAGGCTTGGCAGGGCAAAAGGGACGCTTCTCGAGGTGAGGCAGGGCACCCAAGGACCCTTTCCAGTAGCCACAGGGATTTTGGGATTCCTATCAGTATTCAAGAGGAGTCAGGCATCGGCACATTTTGAAGCAATGAACTCCGCGTGCCTCTCGAGGTGTCAGCGGGATGTGAGGCATTCCGTCAAAATGAGGCAGGGACCTAGGGCTTTCTCTAAGGTCTCCACAGTGGATTCAGACATCCCTTCATGTTGTGAGATGAAAGACGAGATTGTATTCAAGCCAATGCAAGAAATCCGGTCTCATTTCAAGTTAGGGCTTCTCGCTGTATATTCCCCTTGAGGCAGCATACTCGGGGTCCCTCCCACATACCTATTGCTGAGAGAAGCCTCCTCCTGAGGTGCTTCTGGAAAGTTGGAATACGTCTTGAGCCTAAGCCAGGGAATCAGCTCTCATCTCGAGACGATTTGGGGTACACGGAGCATTCCTCGAGTTGCTGTGCTGAAGTTGGTGTTCCTCTAGACTTGGGACAGTGTTCTCGGGGCATCTCTGGAGTTGCCTGAAGGAAGTCGAGCCACCGGTCGTGTTGAATGGGGAACGGGGAATGGCTCTGGAGTCAATGCAGGGGAATCGGGCCTCATCTCGAGTTGATTTGGGGCACATGGAGCTGCTTTGCGTTGCTGTGGTGACATCAGGGTACGTCTAGACTGGTGACAGTGTTCTTGGGGACTGTCTCTAGATCCATTAAGCAAGTCGAAGCTCCTGACGTGTTTGAATGGGATCACGGAATAGCTCTGCATGCACTGCAGGGGAATGGGGCCTCATCTCGCCTCTAGGGGGAAGTCTCATGGTTTTTCTCGAGTTGCGGCGGCGACCTGGGGTATGTTCTCGACTTACGGCGGGGATGGCCCTTCAAAACACGAGTTTCTTCAGTGACGTCAGGACTCCTGTCTAGTAACGAGGGACACCTCAGGAATCTCTTCGAGGCTTGGCAGGGCAAAAGGGAGGCTTCTCGAGGTGAGGCAGGGCACCCAAGGACCCTTTCCAGTAGCCACAGGGATTTTGGGATTCCTATCAGTATTCAAGAGGAGTCAGGCATCGTCACCTTTTGAAGCAATGAACTCCGCGTGCCTCTCGAGGTGTCAGCGGGATGTGAGGCATTCCGTCAAAATGAGGCAGGGACCTAGGGCTTTCTCTAAGGTCTCCACAGGGGATTCAGACATCCCTTCATGTTGTGAGATGAAACACGAGCCTGTATTCAAGCCACTGCAAGGAAATCCGGCCTACTTTCAAGTTAGGGCTTCTCGCTGTATATTCCCCTTGAGGCAGCATACTCGGGGTCCCTCCCACATACCTATTGCTGAGAGAAGCCTCCTCCTGAGGTGCTTCTGGAAATTTGGCATACGTCTTGAGCCTAAGCCAGGGAATCAGCTCTCATCTCGAGACGATTTGGGGTACACGGAGCATTCCTCGAGTTGCTGTGCTGAAGTTGGTGTTCCTCTAGACTTGGGACAGTGTTCTCGGGCCATCTCTGGAGTTGCCTGAAGGAAGTCGAGCCACCATTCTTGTTGAATGGGGAATGGGGAATGGCTCTGGAGTCAATGCAGGGGAATCGGGCCTCATCTCGAGTTGATTTGGGGCCCATGGAGCTGCTTTGCGTTGCTAGGGTGACCTCAGGGTCCGTCTAGACTGGTGACAGTGTTCTTGGGGACTGTCTCGAGATCCATTAAGCAAGTCGAAGCTCCTGACTTGTTTGAATGGGATCACGGAATAGCTCTGCATGCACTGCAGGGGAATCGGGCCTCATCTCGAGTTGATTTGGGGCACATGGAGCTGCTTCGCGTTGCTGGGGTGACCTCAGGGTCCGTCTAGACTGGTGACAGTGTTCTTGGGGACTGTCTCGAGATCCATTAAGCAAGTCGAAGCTCCTGACTTGTTTGAATGGGATCACGGAATAGCTCTGCATGCACTGCAGGGGAATGGGGCCTCATCTCGCCTCTAGGGGGAAGTCTCATGGTTTTTCTCGAGTTGCGGCGGGGACCTGGGGTATGTTCTCGACTTACGGCGGGGATGGCCCTTCAAAACACGAGTTTCTTCAGTGACGTCAGGACTCCTGTCTAGTAACGAGGGACACCTCAGGAATCTCTTCGAGGCTTGGCAGGGCAAAAGGGACGCTTCTTGAGGTGAGGCAGGGCACCCAAGGACCCTTTCCAGTAGCCACAGGGATTTTGGGATTCCTATCAGTATTCAAGAGGAGTCAGGCATCGTCACCTTTTGAAGCAATTAACTCCGCGTGCCTCTCGAGGTGTCAGCGGGATGTGAGGCATTCCGTCAAAATGAGGCAGGGACCTACGGCTTTCTCTAAGGTCTCCACAGGGGATTCAGACATCCCTTCAGGTATTGAGATCCAAGACGAGCCTGTATTCTAGCCACTGCAAGGAAATTCAGCCTCCTTTCAAGTTAGGGCTTCTCGCTGTATATTCCCCTTGAGGCAGCACACTCGGGGTCCCTCCCACATACCTATTGCTGAGAGAAGCCTCCTCCTGAGGTGCTTCTGGAAAGTTGGCATACGTCTTGAGCCTAAGCCAGGGAATCAGCTCTCATCTCGAGATGATTTGGGGTACACGGAGCATTCCTCGAGTTACTGTGCTGAAGTTGGTGTTCCTCTAGACTTGGGACAGTGTTCTCGGGGCATCTCTGGAGTTGCCTGAAGGAAGTCGAGCCACCGGTCGTGTTGAATGGGGAACGGGGAATGGCTCTGGAGTCAATGCAGGGGAATCGGGCCTCATCTCGAGTTGATTTGGGGCTCATGGAGCTGTTTTGCGTTGCTAGGGTGAAATCAGGGTCCGTCTAGACTGTTGACAGTGTTCTTTGGGACTGTCTCGAGATCCATTAAGCAAGTCGAAGCTCCTGACTTGTTTGAATGGGATCACGGAATAACTCTGCATGCACTGCAGGGGAATCGGGCCTCATCTCGAGTTGATTTGGAGCCCATGGAGCTGCTTTTCGTTGCTAGGGTGACCTCAGGGTCCGTCTAGACTGGTGACAGTGTTCTTGGGGACTCTCTTGAGAACCATTAAGCAAGTCGAAGCTCCTGACTTGCTTGAATTTGATCACGGAAAAGCTCTGCATGCACTGCAGGGCAATGGGGCCTCATCTCGCCTCTAGGGGGAAGTCTCATTGTTTTTCTCGAGTTGCGGCGGGGACCTGGGGTATGTTCTCGACTTACGGCGGGGATGGCCCTTCAAAACACGAGTTTCTTCAGTGATGTCAGGACTCCTGTCTAGTAACGAGGGACACCACAGGAATCTCCTCGAGGCTTGGCAGGGCAAAAGGGACGCTTCTCGAGGTGAGGCAGGGCACCCAAGGACCCTTTCCAGTAGCCACAGGGATTTTGGGATTCCTATCAGTATTCAAGAGGAGTCAGGCATCGGCACATTTTGAAGCAATGAACTCCGCGTGCCTCTCGAGGTGTCAGCGGGATGTGAGGCATTCCGTCAAAATGAGGCAGGGACCTAGGGCTTTCTCTAAGGTCTCCACAGTGGATTCAGACATCCCTTCATGTTGTGAGATGAAAGACGAGATTGTATTCAAGCCAATGCAAGAAATCCGGTCTCATTTCAAGTTAGGGCTTCTCGCTGTATATTCCCCTTGAGGCAGCATACTCGGGGTCCCTCCCACATACCTATTGCTGAGAGAAGCCTCCTCCTGAGGTGCTTCTGGAAAGTTGGAATACGTCTTGAGCCTAAGCCAGGGAATCAGCTCTCATCTCGAGACGATTTGGGGTACACGGAGCATTCCTCGAGTTGCTGTGCTGAAGTTGGTGTTCCTCTAGACTTGGGACAGTGTTCTCGGGGCATCTCTGGAGTTGCCTGAAGGAAGTCGAGCCACCGGTCGTGTTGAATGGGGAACGGGGAATGGCTCTGGAGTCAATGCAGGGGAATCGGGCCTCATCTCGAGTTGATTTGGGGCACATGGAGCTGCTTTGCGTTGCTGTGGTGACATCAGGGTACGTCTAGACTGGTGACAGTGTTCTTGGGGACTGTCTCTAGATCCATTAAGCAAGTCGAAGCTCCTGACGTGTTTGAATGGGATCACGGAATAGCTCTGCATGCACTGCAGGGGAATGGGGCCTCATCTCGCCTCTAGGGGGAAGTCTCATGGTTATTCTCGAGTTGCGGCGGCGACCTGGGGTATGTTCTCGACTTACGGCGGGGATGGCCCTTCAAAACACGAGTTTCTTCAGTGACGTCAGGACTGCTGTCTAGTAACGAGGGACACCTCAGGAATCTCTTCGAGGCTTGGCAGGGCAAAAGGGACGCTTCTCGAGGTGAGGCAGGGCACCCAAGGACACTTTCCAGTAGCCACAGGGATTTTGGGATTCCTATCAGTATTCAAGAGGAGTCAGGCATCGTCACCTTTTGAAGCAATGAACTCCGCGTGCCTCTCGAAGTGTCAGCCGTATGTGAGGCATTCCGTCAAAATGAGGCAGGGACCTAGGGCTTTCTCTAAGGTCTCCACAGGGGATTCAGACAACCCTTCATGTTGTTAGAAGAAAGACGAGCCTGTATTCAAGCCACTGCAAGGAAATCCGGCCTCCTTTCAAGTTAGGGCTTCTCGCTGTATATTCCCCTTGAGGCAGCATACTCGGGGTCCCTCCCACATACCTATTGCTGAGAGAAGCCTCCTCCTGAGGTGCTTCTGGAAAGTTGGCATACGTCTTGAGCCTAAGCCAGGGAATCAGCTCTAATCTCGAGACGATTTGGGGTACACGGAGCATTCATCGAGTTGCTGTGCTGAGGTTGGTGTTCCTCTAGACTTGGGACAGTGTTCTCAGGGCATAGCTGGAGTTGCCTGAAGGAAGTCGAGCCACCATTCGTGTTGAATGGGGAATGGGGAATGGCTCTGGAGTCAATGCAGGGGAATCGGGCCTCATCTCGAGTTGATTTGGGGCCCATGGAGCTGCTTTGTGTTGCTAGGGTGACCTCAGGGTCCGTCTAGACTGGTGACAGTGTTCTTGGGGACTGTCTCGAGATCCATTAAGCAAGTCGAAGCTCCTGACTTGTTTGAATGGGATCACGGAATAGCTCTGCATGCACTGCAGGGGAATCGGGCCTCATCTCGAGTTGATTTGGGGCACATGGAGCTGCTTTGCGTTGCTGGGGTGACCTCAGGGTCCGTCTAGACTGGTGACAGTGTTCTTGGGGACTGTCTCGAGATCCATTAAGCAAGTCGAAGCTCCTGACTTGTTTGAATGGGATCACGGAATAGCTCTGCATGCACTGCAGGGGAATGGGGCCTCATCTCGCCTCTAGGAGGAAGTCTCATGGTTTTTCTCGAGTTGCGGCGGGGACCTGGGGTATGTTCTCGACTTACGGCGGGGATGGCCCTTCAAAACACGAGTTTCTTCAGTGACGTCAGGACTCCTGTCTAGTAACGAGGGACACCTCAGGAATCTCTTCGAGGCTTGGCAGGGCAAAAGGGACGCTTCTCGAGGTGAGGCAGGGCACCCAAGGACCCTTTCCAGTAGCCACAGGGATTTTGGGATTCCTATCAGTATTCAAGAGGAGTCAGGCATCGTCACCTTTTGAAGCAATGAACTCCGCGTGCCTCTCGAGGTGTCAGCGGGATGTGAGGCATTCCGTCAAAATGAGGCAGGGACCTAGGGCTTTCTCTAAGGTATCCACAGGGGATTCAGACATCCCTTCAGGTATTGAGATCCAAGACGAGCCTGTATTCTAGCCACTGCAAGGAAATCCAGCCTCCTTTCAAGTTAGGGCTTCTCGCTGTATATTCCCCTTGAGGCAGCACACTCGGGGTCCCTCCCACATACCTATTGCTGAGAGAAGCCTCCTCCTGAGGTGCTTCTGGAAAGTTGGCATACGTCTTGAGCCTAAGCCAGGGAATCAGCTCTCATCTCGAGACGATTTGGGGTACACGGAGCATTCCTCGAGTTGCTGTGCTGAAGTTGGTGTTCCTCTAGACTTGGGACAGTGTTCTCGGGGCATCTCTGGAGTTGCCTGAAGGAAGTCGAGCCACCGGTCGTGTTGAATGGGGAACGGGGAATGGCTCTGGAGTCAATGCAGGGGAATCGGGCCTCATCTCGAGTTGATTTGGGGCTCATGGAGCTGTTTTGCGTTGCTAGGGTGAAATCAGGGTCCGTCTAGACTGGTGACAGTGTTCTTTGGGACTGTCTCGAGATCCATTAAGCAAGTCGAAGCTCCTGACTTGTTTGAATGGGATCACGGAATAGCTCTGCATGCACTGCAGGGGAATCGGGCCTCATCTCGAGTTGATTTGGAGCCCATGGAGCTGCTTTTCGTTGCTAGGGTGACCTCAGGGTCCGTCTAGACTGGTGACAGTGTTCTTGGGGACTCTCTTGAGATCCATTAAGCAAGTCGAAGCTCCTGACTTGCTTGAATGGGATCACGGAAAAGCTCTGCATGCACTGCAGGGGAATGGGGCCTCATCTCGCCTCTAGGGGGAAGTCTCAATTTTTTTCTCGTGTTGCGGCGGGGACCTGGGGTATGTTCTCGACTTACGGCGGGGATGGCCCTTCAAAACACGAGTTTCTTCAGTGACGTCAGGACTCCTGTCTAGTAACGAGGGACACCTCAGGAATCTCTTCGAGGCTTGGCAGGGCAAAAGGGACGCTTCTTGAGGTGAGGCAGGGCACCCAAGGACCCTTTCCAGTAGCCACAGGGATTTTGGGATTCCTATCAGTATTCAAGAGGAGTCAGGCATCGTCACCTTTTGAAGCAATTAACTCCGCGTGCCTCTCGAGGTGTCAGCGGGATGTGAGGCATTCCGTCAAAATGAGGCAGGGACCTACGGCTTTCTCTAAGGTCTCCACAGGGGATTCAGACATCCCTTCAGGTATTGAGATCCAAGACGAGCCTGTATTCTAGCCACTGCAAGGAAATTCAGCCTCCTTTCAAGTTAGGGCTTCTCGCTGTATATTCCCCTTGAGGCAGCACACTCGGGGTCCCTCCCACATACCTATTGCTGAGAGAAGCCTCCTCCTGAGGTGCTTCTGGAAAGTTGGCATACGTCTTGAGCCTAAGCCAGGGAATCAGCTCTCATCTCGAGATGATTTGGGGTACACGGAGCATTCCTCGAGTTACTGTGCTGAAGTTGGTGTTCCTCTAGACTTGGGACAGTGTTCTCGGGGCATCTCTGGAGTTGCCTGAAGGAAGTCGAGCCACCGGTCGTGTTGAATGGGGAACGGGGAATGGCTCTGGAGTCAATGCAGGGGAATCGGGCCTCATCTCGAGTTGATTTGGGGCTCATGGAGCTGTTTTGCGTTGCTAGGGTGAAATCAGGGTCCGTCTAGACTGGTGACAGTGTTCTTTGGGACTGTCTCGAGATCCATTAAGCAAGTCGAAGCTCCTGACTTGTTTGAATGGGATCACGGAATAACTCTGCATGCACTGCAGGGGAATCGGGCCTCATCTCGAGTTGATTTGGAGCCCATGGAGCTGCTTTTCGTTGCTAGGGTGACCTCAGGGTCCGTCTAGACTGGTGACAGTGTTCTTGGGGACTCTCTTGAGAACCATTAAGCAAGTCGAAGCTCCTGACTTGCTTGAATTTGATCACGGAAAAGCTCTGCATGCACTGCAGGGCAATGGGGCCTCATCTCGCCTCTAGGGGGAAGTCTCATTGTTTTTCTCGAGTTGCGGCGGGGACCTGGGGTATGTTCTCGACTTACGGCGGGGATGGCCCTTCAAAACACGAGTTTCTTCAGTGATGTCAGGACTCCTGTCTAGTAACGAGGGACACCACAGGAATCTCCTCGAGGCTTGGCAGGGCAAAAGGGACGCTTCTCGAGGTGAGGCAGGGCACCCAAGGACCCTTTCCAGTAGCCACAGGGATTTTGGGATTCCTATCAGTATTCAAGAGGAGTCAGGCATCGGCACATTTTGAAGCAATGAACTCCGCGTGCCTCTCGAGGTGTCAGCGGGATGTGAGGCATTCCGTCAAAATGAGGCAGGGACCTAGGGCTTTCTCTAAGGTCTCCACAGTGGATTCAGACATCCCTTCATGTTGTGAGATGAAAGACGAGATTGTATTCAAGCCAATGCAAGAAATCCGGTCTCATTTCAAGTTAGGGCTTCTCGCTGTATATTCCCCTTGAGGCAGCATACTCGGGGTCCCTCCCACATACCTATTGCTGAGAGAAGCCTCCTCCTGAGGTGCTTCTGGAAAGTTGGAATACGTCTTGAGCCTAAGCCAGGGAATCAGCTCTCATCTCGAGACGATTTGGGGTACACGGAGCATTCCTCGAGTTGCTGTGCTGAAGTTGGTGTTCCTCTAGACTTGGGACAGTGTTCTCGGGGCATCTCTGGAGTTGCCTGAAGGAAGTCGAGCCACCGGTCGTGTTGAATGGGGAACGGGGAATGGCTCTGGAGTCAATGCAGGGGAATCGGGCCTCATCTCGAGTTGATTTGGGGCACATGGAGCTGCTTTGCGTTGCTGTGGTGACATCAGGGTACGTCTAGACTGGTGACAGTGTTCTTGGGGACTGTCTCTAGATCCATTAAGCAAGTCGAAGCTCCTGACGTGTTTGAATGGGATCACGGAATAGCTCTGCATGCACTGCAGGGGAATGGGGCCTCATCTCGCCTCTAGGGGGAAGTCTCATGGTTTTTCTCGAGTTGCGGCGGCGACCTGGGGTATGTTCTCGACTTACGGCGGGGATGGCCCTTCAAAACACGAGTTTCTTCAGTGACGTCAGGACTGCTGTCTAGTAACGAGGGACACCTCAGGAATCTCTTCGAGGCTTGGCAGGGCAAAAGGGACGCTTCTCGAGGTGAGGCAGGGCACCCAAGGACACTTTCCAGTAGCCACAGGGATTTTGGGATTCCTATCAGTATTCAAGAGGAGTCAGGCATCGTCACCTTTTGAAGCAATGAACTCCGCGTGCCTCTCGAAGTGTCAGCCGTATGTGAGGCATTCCGTCAAAATGAGGCAGGGACCTAGGGCTTTCTCTAAGGTCTCCACAGGGGATTCAGACAACCCTTCATGTTGTTAGAAGAAAGACGAGCCTGTATTCAAGCCACTGCAAGGAAATCCGGCCTCCTTTCAAGTTAGGGCTTCTCGCTGTATATTCCCCTTGAGGCAGCATACTCGGGGTCCCTCCCACATACCTATTGCTGAGAGAAGCCTCCTCCTGAGGTGCTTCTGGAAAGTTGGCATACGTCTTGAGCCTAAGCCAGGGAATCAGCTCTAATCTCGAGACGATTTGGGGTACACGGAGCATTCATCGAGTTGCTGTGCTGAGGTTGGTGTTCCTCTAGACTTGGGACAGTGTTCTCAGGGCATAGCTGGAGTTGCCTGAAGGAAGTCGAGCCACCATTCGTGTTGAATGGGGAATGGGGAATGGCTCTGGAGTCAATGCAGGGGAATCGGGCCTCATCTCGAGTTGATTTGGGGCCCATGGAGCTGCTTTGTGTTGCTAGGGTGACCTCAGGGTCCGTCTAGACTGGTGACAGTGTTCTTGGGGACTGTCTCGAGATCCATTAAGCAAGTCGAAGCTCCTGACTTGTTTGAATGGGATCACGGAATAGCTCTGCATGCACTGCAGGGGAATCGGGCCTCATCTCGAGTTGATTTGGGGCACATGGAGCTGCTTTGCGTTGCTGGGGTGACCTCAGGGTCCGTCTAGACTGGTGACAGTGTTCTTGGGGACTGTCTCGAGATCCATTAAGCAAGTCGAAGCTCCTGACTTGTTTGAATGGGATCACGGAATAGCTCTGCATGCACTGCAGGGGAATGGGGCCTCATCTCGCCTCTAGGAGGAAGTCTCATGGTTTTTCTCGAGTTGCGGCGGGGACCTGGGGTATGTTCTCGACTTACGGCGGGGATGGCCCTTCAAAACACGAGTTTCTTCAGTGACGTCAGGACTCCTGTCTAGTAACGAGGGACACCTCAGGAATCTCTTCGAGGCTTGGCAGGGCAAAAGGGACGCTTCTCGAGGTGAGGCAGGGCACCCAAGGACCCTTTCCAGTAGCCACAGGGATTTTGGGATTCCTATCAGTATTCAAGAGGAGTCAGGCATCGTCACCTTTTGAAGCAATGAACTCCGCGTGCCTCTCGAGGTGTCAGCGGGATGTGAGGCATTCCGTCAAAATGAGGCAGGGACCTAGGGCTTTCTCTAAGGTATCCACAGGGGATTCAGACATCCCTTCAGGTATTGAGATCCAAGACGAGCCTGTATTCTAGCCACTGCAAGGAAATCCAGCCTCCTTTCAAGTTAGGGCTTCTCGCTGTATATTCCCCTTGAGGCAGCACACTCGGGGTCCCTCCCACATACCTATTGCTGAGAGAAGCCTCCTCCTGAGGTGCTTCTGGAAAGTTGGCATACGTCTTGAGCCTAAGCCAGGGAATCAGCTCTCATCTCGAGACGATTTGGGGTACACGGAGCATTCCTCGAGTTGCTGTGCTGAAGTTGGTGTTCCTCTAGACTTGGGACAGTGTTCTCGGGGCATCTCTGGAGTTGCCTGAAGGAAGTCGAGCCACCGGTCGTGTTGAATGGGGAACGGGGAATGGCTCTGGAGTCAATGCAGGGGAATCGGGCCTCATCTCGAGTTGATTTGGGGCTCATGGAGCTGTTTTGCGTTGCTAGGGTGAAATCAGGGTCCGTCTAGACTGGTGACAGTGTTCTTTGGGACTGTCTCGAGATCCATTAAGCAAGTCGAAGCTCCTGACTTGTTTGAATGGGATCACGGAATAGCTCTGCATGCACTGCAGGGGAATCGGGCCTCATCTCGAGTTGATTTGGAGCCCATGGAGCTGCTTTTCGTTGCTAGGGTGACCTCAGGGTCCGTCTAGACTGGTGACAGTGTTCTTGGGGACTCTCTTGAGATCCATTAAGCAAGTCGAAGCTCCTGACTTGCTTGAATGGGATCACGGAAAAGCTCTGCATGCACTGCAGGGGAATGGGGCCTCATCTCGCCTCTAGGGGGAAGTCTCAATTTTTTTCTCGTGTTGCGGCGGGGACCTGGGGTATGTTCTCGACTTACGGCGGGGATGGCCCTTCAAAACACGAGTTTCTTCAGTGACGTCAGGACTCCTGTCTAGTAACGAGGGACACCACAGGAATCTCCTCGAGGCTTGGCAGGGCAAAAGGGACGCTTCTCGAGGTGAGGCAGGGCACCCAAGGACCCTTTCCAGTAGCCACAGGGATTTTGGGATTCCTATCAGTATTCAAGAGGAGTCAGGCATCGGCACATTTTGAAGCAATGAACTCCGCTTGCCTCTCGAGGTGTCAGCGGGATGTGAGGCATTCCGTCAAAATGAGGCAGGGACCTAGGGCTTTCTCTAAGGTCTCCACAGTGGATTCAGACATCCCTTCATGTTGTGAGATGAAAGACGAGATTGTATTCAAGCCAATGCAAGAAATCCGGTCTCCTTTCAAGTTAGGGCTTCTCGCTGTATATTCCCCTTGAGGCAGCATACTCGGGGTCCCTCCCACATACCTATTGCTGAGAGAAGCCTCCTCCTGAGGTGCTTCCGGAAAGTTGGCATACGTCTTGAGCCTAAGCCAGGGAATCAGCTCTCATCTCGAGACGATTTGGGGTACACGGAGCATTCCTCGAGTTGCTGTGCTGAAGTTGGTGTTCCTCTAGAATTGGGACAATGTTCTCGGGGCATCTCTGGAGTTGCCTGAAGGAAGACGAGCCACCGGTCGTGTTGAATGGGGAACGGGGAATGGCTCTGGAGTCAATGCAGGGGAATCGGGCCTCATCTCGAGTTGATTTGGGGCACATGGAGCTGCTTTGCGTTGCTGGGGTGACCTCAGGGTACGTCTAGACTGGTGACAGTGTTCTTGGGGACTGTCTCGAGATCCATTAAGCAAGTCGAAGCTCCTGACTTGTTTGAATGGGATCATGGAATAGCTCTGCATGCACTGCAGGGGAATGGGGCCTCATCTCGCCTCTAGGGGGAAGTCTCATGGTTTTTCTCGAGTTGCGGCGGGGACCTGGGTTTATATTCTCGACTTACGGCGGTGATGGCCCTTCAAAACACGAGTTTCTTCAGTGACGTCAGGACTCCTGTCTAGTAATGAGGGACACCTCAGGAATCTCCTCGAGGCTTGGCAGGGCAAAAGGGACGCTTCTCGAGGTGAGGCAGGGCACCCAAGACCCTTTCCAGTAGCCACAGGGATTTTGGGATTCCTATCAGTATTCAAGAGGAGTCAGGCATCGTCACCTTTTGAAGCAATGAACTCCGCGTGCCTCTCGAGGTGTCAGCGGGATGTGAGGCATTCCGTCAAAATGAGGCAGGGACCTAGGGCTTTCTCTAAGATCTCCACAGTGGATTCAGACATCCCTTCATGTTGTGAGATGAAAGACGAGCTTGTATTCAAGCCAATGCAAGAAATCCGGCCTCCTTTCAAGTTAGGGCTTCTCGCTGTATATTCCCCTTGAGGCAGCATACTCGGGGTCCCTCCCACATACCTATTGCTGAGAGAAGCCTCCTCCTGAGGTGCTTCTGGAAAGTTGGCATACGTCTTGAGCCTAAGCCAGGGAATCAGCTCTCATCTCGAGATGATTTGGGGTATACGGAGCATTCATCGAGTTGCTGTGCTGAAGTTGGTGTTCCTCTAGACTTGGGACAGTGTTCTCGGGGCATCTTTGGAGTTGCCTGAAGGAAGTCGAGCCACCGGTCGTGTTGAATGGGGAATGGGGAGTGGCTCTGGGGTCAATGTAGGGGAATCGGGCCTCATCTCGAGTTGATTTGGGGCACATGGAGCTGCTTTGCATTGCTGGGGTGACCTCAGGGTCCGTCTAGACTGGTGACAGTGTTCTTGGGGACTGTCTCGAGATCCATTAAGCAAGTCGGAGCTCCTGACTTGCTTGAATGGGATCACGGTATAGATCTGCATGCACTGCAGGGAATGGGGCCTCATTTCGCCTCTACGGGGAAGTCTCATGGTTTTTCTCAGGTTGCGGCGGGGACCTGGGGTATGTTCTGGACTTACGGTGGGGATGGCCCTTCAAAACACGAGTTTCTTCAGTGACGTCAGGACTCCTGTCTAGTAACGAGGGACACCTCAGGAATCTCTTCGAGGCTTGGCAGGGCAAAAGGGAGGCTTCTCGAGGTGAGGCAGGGCACCCAAGGACCCTTTCCAGTAGCCACAGGGATTTTGGGATTCCTATCAGTATTCAAGAGGAGGCAGGCATCGTGACCTTTTGAAGCAATGAACTCCGCGTGCCTCTCGAGGTGTCAGCGGGATGTGAGGCATTCCGTCAAAATGAGGCAGGGACCTAGGGCTTTCTCTAAGGTCTCCACAGGGGATTCAGACATCTCTTCATGTTGTGAGATGAAACACGAGCCTGTATTCAAGCCACTGCAAGGAAATCCGGCCTACTTTCAAGTTAGGGCTTCTCGCTGTATATTCCCCTTGAGGCAGCATACTCGGGGTCCCTCCCACATACCTATTGCTGAGAGAAGCCTCCTCCTGAGGTGCTTCTGGAAATTTGGCATACGTCTTGAGCCTAAGCCAGGGAATCAGCTCTCATCTCGAGACGATTTGGGGTACACGGAGCATTCATCGAGTTGCTGTGCTGAAGTTGGTGTTCCTCTAGACTTGGGACAGTGTTCTCCGGGCATCTATGGAGTTGCCTGAAGGAAGTCGAGCCACCAGTCGTGTTGAATGGGGAATGTGGAATGGCTCTGGAGTCAATGCAGGGGAATCGGGCCTCATCTCGAGTTGATTTGGGGCTCATGGAGCTGTTTTGCGTTGCTAGGGTGAAATCAGGGTCCGTCTAGACTGGTGACAGTGTTCTTTGGGACTGTCTCGAGATCCATTAAGCAAGTCGAAGCTCCTGACTTGTTTGAATGGGATCACGGAATAGCTCTGCATGCACTGCAGGGGAATCGGGCCTCATCTCGAGTTGATTTGGAGCCCATGGAGCTGCTTTTCGTTGCTAGGGTGACCTCAGGGTCCGTCTAGACTGGTGACAGTGTTCTTGGGGACTCTCTTGAGATCCATTAAGCAAGTCGAAGCTCCTGACTTGCTTGAATGGGATCACGGAAAATCTCTGCATGCACTGCAGGGGAATGGGGCCTCATCTCGCCTCTAGGGGGAAGTCTCATTGTTTTTCTCGAGTTGCGGCGGGGACCTGGGGTATGTTCTCGACTTACGGCGGGGATGGCCCTTCAAAACACGAGTTTCTTCAGTGATGTCAGGACTCCTGTCTAGTAACGAAGGACACCACAGGAATCTCCTCGAGGCTTGGCAGGGCAAAAGGGACGCTTCTCGAGGTGAGGCAGGGCACCCAAGGACCCTTTCCAGTAGCCACAGGGATTTTGGGATTCCTATCAGTATTCAAGAGGAGTCAGGCATCGGCACATTTTGAAGCAATGAACTCCGCGTGCCTCTCGAGGTGTCAGCGGGATGTGAGGCATTCCGTCAAAATGAGGCAGGGACCTAGGGCTTTCTCTAAGGTCTCCACAGGGGATTCAGACATCCCTTCATGTTGTGAGAAGAAAGACGAGATTGTATTCAAGCCAATGCAAGAAATCCGGTCTCCTTTCAAGTTAGGGCTTCTCGCTGTATATTCCCCTTGAGGCAGCATACTCGGGGTCCCTCCCACATACCTATTGCTGAGAGAAGCCTCCTCCTGAGGTGCTTCTGGAAAGTTGGCATACGTCTTGAGCCTAAGCCAGGGAATCAGCTCTCATCTCGAGACGATTTGGGGTACACGGAGCATTCCTCGAGTTGCTGTGCTGAAGTTGGTGTTCCTCTAGAATTGGGACAATGTTCTCGGGGCATCTCTGGAGTTGCCTGAAGGAAGACGAGCCACCGGTCGTGTTGAATGGGGAACGGGGAATGGCTCTGGAGTCAATGCAGGGGAATCGGGCCTCATCTCGAGTTGATTTGGGGCACATGGAGCTGCTTTGCGTTGCTGGGGTGACCTCAGGGTACGTCTAGACTGGTGACAGTGTTCTTGGGGACTGTCTCGAGATCCATTAAGCAAGTCGAAGCTCCTGACTTGTTTGAATGGGATCATGGAATAGCTCTGCATGCACTGCAGGGGAATGGGGCCTCATCTCGCCTCTAGGGGGAAGTCTCATGGTTTTTCTCGAGTTGCGGCGGGGACCTGGGTTTATATTCTCGACTTACGGCGGTGATGGCCCTTCAAAACACGAGTTTCTTCAGTGACGTCAGGACTCCTGTCTAGTAATGAGGGACACCTCAGGAATCTCCTCGAGGCTTGGCAGGGCAAAAGGGACGCTTCTCGAGGTGAGGCAGGGCACCCAAGGACCCTTTCCAGTAGCCACAGGGATTTTGGGATTCCTATCAGTATTCAAGAGGAGTCAGGCATCGTCACCTTTTGAAGCAATGAACTCCGCGTGCCTCTCGAGGTGTCAGCGGGATGTGAGGCATTCCGTCAAAATGAGGCAGGGACCTAGGGCTTTCTCTAAGATCTCCACAGTGGATTCAGACATCCCTTCATGTTGTGAGATGAAAGACGAGCTTGTATTCAAGCCAATGCAAGAAATCCGGCCTCCTTTCAAGTTAGGTCTTCTCGCTGTATATTCCCCTTGAGGCAGCATACTCGGGGTCCCTCCCACATACCTATTGCTGAGAGAAGCCTCCTCCTGAGGTGCTTCTGGAAAGTTGGCATACGTCTTGAGCCTAAGCCAGGGAATCAGCTCTCATCTCGAGATGATTTGGGGTATACGGAGCATTCATCGAGTTGCTGTGCTGAAGTTGGTGTTCCTCTAGACTTGGGACAGTGTTCTCGGGGCATCTTTGGAGTTGCCTGAAGGAAGTCGAGCCACCGGTCGTGTTGAATGGGGAATGGGGAGTGGCTCTGGGGTCAATGTAGGGGAATCGGGCCTCATCTCGAGTTGATTTGGGGCACATGGAGCTGCTTTGCATTGCTGGGGTGACCTCAGGGTCCGTCTAGACTGGTGACAGTGTTCTTGGGGACTGTCTCGAGATCCATTAAGCAAGTCGGAGCTCCTGACTTGCTTGAATGGGATCACGGTATAGATCTACATGCATTGCAGGGGAATGGGGCCTCATTTCGCCTCTACGGGGAAGTCTCATGGTTTTTCTCAGGTTGCGGCGGGGACCTGGGGTATGTTCTGGACTTACGGCGGGGATGGCCCTTCAAAACACGAGTTTCTTCAGTGACATCAGGACTCCTGTCTAGTAACGAGGGACACCTCAGGAATCTCTTCGAGGCTTGGCAGGGCAAAAGGGAGGCTTCTCGAGGTGAGGCAGGGCACCCAAGGACTCTTTCCAGTAGCCACAGGGATTTTGGGATTCCTATCAGTATTCAAGAGGAGTCAGGCATGGTCACCTTTTGAAGCAGTGAACTCCGCGTGCCTCTCGAGGTGTCAGCGGGATGTGAGGCATTCCGTCAAAATGAGGCAGGGACCTAGGGCTTTCTCTAAGGTCTCCACAGGGGATTCAGACATCCCTTCATGTTGTGAGATGAAACACGAGCCTGTATTCAAGCCACTGCAAGGAAATCCGGCCTACTTTCAAGTTAGGGCTTCTCGCTGTATATTCCCCTTGAGGCAGCATACTCGGGGTCCCTCCCACATACCTATTGCTGAGAGAAGCCTCCTCCTGGGATGCTTCTCGAAATTTGGCATACGTCTTGAGCCTAAGCCAGGGAATCAGCTCTCATCTCGAGACGATTTGGGGTACACGGAGCATTCATCGAGTTGCTGTGCTGAAGTTGGTGTTCCTCTAGACTTGGGACAGTGTTCTCGGGGCATCTATGGAGTTGCCTGAAGGAAGTTGAGCCACCGGTCGTGTTGAATGGGGAATGGGGAATGGCTCTGGAGTCAATGCAGGGGAATCGGGCCTCATCTCGAGTTGATTTGGGGCTCATGGAGCTGTTTTGCGTTGCTAGGGTGAAATCAGGGTCCGTCTAGACTGGTGACAGTGTTCTTTGGGACTGTCTCGAGATCCATTAAGCAAGTCGAAGCTCCTGACTTGTTTGAATGGGATCACGGAATAGCTCTGCATGCACTGCAGGGGAATCGGGCCTCATCTCGAGTTGATTTGGAGCCCATGGAGCTGCTTTGCGTTGCTAGGGTGACCTCAGGGTCCGTCTAGACTGGTGACAGTGTTCTTGGGGACTCTCTTGAGATCCATTAAGCAAGTCGAAGCTCCTGACTTGCTTGAATGGGATCACGGAAAAGCTCTGCATGCACTGCAGGGGAATGGGGCCTCATCTCGCCTCTAGGGGGAAGTCTCATTGTTTTTCTCGAGTTGCGGCGGGGACCTGGGGTATGTTCTCGACTTACGGCGGGGATGGCCCTTCAAAACACGAGTTTCTTCAGTGATGTCAGGACTCCTGTCTAGTAACGAGGGACACCACAGGAATCTCCTCGAGGCTTGGCAGGGCAAAAGGGACGCTTCTCGAGGTGAGGCAGGGCACCCAAGGACCCTTTCCAGTAGCCACAGGGATTTTGGGATTCCTATCAGTATTCAAGAGGAGTCAGGCATCGGCACATTTTGAAGCAATGAACTCCGCGTGCCTCTCGAGGTGTCAGCGGGATGTGAGGCATTCCGTCAAAATGAGGCAGGGACCTAGGGCTTTCTCTAAGGTCTCCACAGTGGATTCAGACATCCCTTCATGTTGTGAGATGAAAGACGAGCTTGTATTCAAGCCAATGCAAGAAATCCGGCCTCCTTTCAAGTTAGGGCTTCTCGCTGTATATTCCCCTTGAGGCAGCATACTCGGGGTCCCTCCCACATAGCTATTGCTGAGAGAAGCCTCCTCCTGAGGTGCTTCTGGAAAGTTGGCATACGTCTTGAGCCTAGGCCAGGGAATCAGCTCTCATCTCGAGACAATTTGGGGTACATGGAGCATTCATCGAGTTGCTGTGCTGAAGTCGGTGTTCCTCTAGACTTGGGACAGTGTTCTCGGGGCATCTCTGGAGTTGCCTGAAGGAAGACGAGCCACCGGTCGTGTTGAATGGGGAACGGGGAATGGCTCTGGAGTCAATGCAGGGGAATCGGGCCTCATCTCGACTTGATTTGGGGCACATGGAGCTGCTTTGCATTGCTGGGGTGACCTCAGGGTCCGTCTAGACTGGTGACAGTGTTCTTAGGGACTGTCTCGAGATCCATTAAGCAAGGCGAAGCCCCTGACTTGTTTGAATGGGATCACGGAATAGCTCTGCATGCACTGCAGGGGAATGGGGCCTCATCTCGCCTCTAGGGGGAAGTCTCATGGTTTTTCTTGAGTTGCGGCGGGGACCTGGGGTATGTTCTCGACTTACGGCGGGGATGGACGTTGAAAACACGAGTTTCTTCAGTGACGTCAGGACTCCTGTCTAGTAACGAGGGACACCTCAGTAATCTCTTCGAGGCTTGGCAGGGCAAAAGGGACGCTTTTTGAGGTGAGGCAGGGCACCCAAGGACCCTTTCCAGTAGCCACAGGGATTTTGGGATTCCTATCAGTATTCAAGAGGAGTCAGGCATCGTCACCTTTTGAAGCAATGAACTCCGCATGCCTCTCGAGGTGTCAGCGGGATGTGAGGCATTCCGTCAAAATGAGGCAGGGACCTAGGGCTTTCTCTAAGGTCTCCACAGGCGATTCAGACATCCCTTCATGTTGTGAGATGAAAGACGAGACTGTATTCAAGCCACTGCAAGGAAATCCGGCCTCCTTTCAAGTTAGGGCTTCTCGCTGTATATTCCCCTTGAGGCAGCATACTCGGGGTCCCTCCCACATACCTATTGCTGAGAGAAGCCTCCTCCTGAGTTGCTTCTGGAAAGTTGGCATACGTCTTGAGCCTAAGCCAGGGAATGAGCTCTCATCTCGAGACGATTTGGTGTACACGGAACATTCATCGAGTTGCTGTGTTGAAGTTGGTGTTCCTCTAGACTTGGGACAGTGTTCTCGGGGCATCTCTGGGGTTGCCTGATGGAAGTCGAGCCACCGGTCGTGTTGAATGGGGAACGGGGAATGGCTCTGGAGTCAATGCAGGGGAATCGGACCTCATCTCGAGTTGATTTGGGGCACATGGAGCAGGTGTGCGTTGCTAGGGTGACCTCAGGGTCCGTCTAGACTGGTGACAGTGTTCTTGGGGACTGTCTCGAGATCCATTAAGCAAGTCGAAGCTCCTGACTTGTTTGAATGGGATCACGGAATAGATCTGCATGAACTGCCGGGGAATTGGGCCTCATCTCGTGTTGATTTGGGGCACATGGAGCTGCTTCGCGTTGCTGGGGTGACCTCAGGGTCCGTCTAGACTGGTGACAGTGTTCTTGAGGAATGTCTCGAGATCCATTAAGCAAGTCGAAGCTCCTGACTTGTTTGAATGGGATCACGGAATAGCTCTGCATGCATTGGAGGGGAATGGGGCCTCATCTCGACTCTAGGGGGAAGTCTCATGGTTTTTCTCGAGTTGCGGCGGGGACCTGGGGTATATTATCCACTTACGGCGGGGATGGCCCTTCAAAACACGTGTTTCTTCAGTGACGTCAGGACTCCTGTTTAGTAACGAGGGACACCTCAGGAATCTCTTCGAGCCTTGGCAGGGCAAAAGGGACGCTTCTCGAGGTGAGGCAGGGCACCCAAGGACCCTTTCCAGTAGCCACAGTGATTTTGGGATTCCTATTAGTATTCAAGAGGAGTCAGGCATCGTCACCTTTTGAAGCAATGAACTCCGCGTGCCTCTCGAGGTTTCAGCGGGATATGAGGCATTCCGTCAAAATGAGGCAGGGACCTAGGGCTTTCTCTAAGGTCTCCACAGGGGATTCAGACATCCCTTCATGTTGTGAGATGAAAGACGAGCCTGTATTCAAGCCACTGCAAGGAAATCCGGCCTAATTTCAAGTTAGGGCTTCTCTCTGTATATTCCCCTTGAGGCAGCATACTCGGGGTCCCTCCCACATAACTATTGCTGAGAGAAGCCTCCTCCTGAGGTGCTTCTGGAAAGTTGGCATACGTCTTGAGCCTAAGCCAGGGAATCAGCTCTCATCTCGAGACGATTTGGGGTACACGGAGCATTCATCGAGTTGCTGTGCTGAAGTTGGTGTTCCTCTAGACTTGGGACAGTGTTCTCGGGGCATCTCTGGGGTTGCCTGAAGGAAGTCGAGCCACCGGTCGTGTTGAATGGGGAACGGGGAATGGCTCTGGAGTCAATGCATAGGAATCGGGCCTCATCTCGAGTTGATTTGGGGCACATGGAGCAGCTTTGCGTTGCTAGGGTGACCTCAGGGTCCGTCTAGACTGGTGACAGTGTTCTTGGGGACTGTCTCGAGATCCATTAAGCAAGTCGAAGCTCCTGACTTGTTTGAATGGGATCACGGAATAGCTCTGCATGCACTGCAGGGGAATCGGGCCTCATCTCGAGTTGATTTGGGGCACATGGAGCAGCTTTGCGTTGCTAGGGTGACCTCAGGGTCCGTCTAGACTGGTGACAGTGTTCTTGGGGACTGTCTCGAGATCCATTAAGCAAGTCGAAACTCCTGACTTGCTTGAATGTGATCACGGAATAGCTCTGCATGCAGTGCAGGGGAATGGGGCCTCATCTCGCCTCTAGGGGGAAGTCTCATGGTTTTTCTCGAGTTGCGGCGGGGACCTGGGTTTATATTCTCGACTTACGGCGGTGATGGCCCTTCAAAACACGAGTTTCTTCAGTGACGTCAGGACTCCTGTCTAGTAATGAGGGACACCTCAGGAATCTCCTCGAGGCTTGGCAGGGCAAAAGGGACGCTTCTTGAGGTGAGGCAGGGCACCCAAGGACCCTTTCCAGTAGCCACAGGGATTTTGGGATTCCTATCAGTATTCAAGAGGAGTCAGGCATCGTCACCTTTTGAAGCAATGAACTCTGCGTGCCTCTCGAGGTGTCAGCGGGATGTGAGGCATTCCGTCAAAATGAGCCAGGGACCTAGGGCTTTCTCTAAGATCTCCACAGTGGATTCAGACATCCCTTCATGTTGTGAGATGAAAGACGAGCTTGTATTCAAGCCAATGCAAGAAATCCGGCCTCCTTTCAAGTTAGGGCTTCTCGCTGTATATTCCCCTTGAGGCAGCATACTCGGGGTCCCTCCCACATACCTATTGCTGAGAGAAGCCTCCTCCTGAGGTGCTTCTGGAAAGTTGGCATACGTCTTGAGCCTAAGCCAGGGAATCAGCTCTCATCTCGAGATGATTTGGGGTATACGGAGCATTCATCGAGTTGCTGTGCTGAAGTTGGTGTTCCTCTAGACTTGGGACAGTGTTCTCGGGGCATCTTTGGAGTTGCCTGAAGGAAGTCGAGCCACCGGTCGTGTTGAATGGGGAATGGGGAGTGGCTCTGGGGTCAATGTAGGGGAATCGGGCCTCATCTCGAGTTGATTTGGGGCACATGGAGCTGCTTTGCATTACTGGGGTGACCTCAGGGTTCGTCTAGACTGGTGACAGTGTTCTTGGGGACTGTCTCGAGATCCATTAAGCAAGTCGGAGCTCCTGACTTGCTTGAATGGGATCACGGTATAGATCTGCATGCACTGCAGGGGAATGGGGCCTCATTTCGCCTCTACGGGGAAGTCTCATGGTTTTTCTCAGGTTGCGGCGGGGACCTGGGGTATGTTCTGGACTTACGGCGGGGATGGCCCTTCAAAACACGAGTTTCTTCAGTGACGTCAGGACTCCTGTCTAGTAACGAGGGACACCTCAGGAATCTCTTCGAGGCTTGGCAGGGCAAAAGGGAGGCTTCTCGAGGTGAGGCAGGGCACCCAAGGACCCTTTCCAGTAGCCACAGGGATTTTGGGATTCCTATCAGTATTCAAGAGGAGTCAGGCATCGTCACCTTTTGAAGCAATGAACTCCGCGTGCCTCTCGAGGTGTCAGCGGGATGTGAGGCATTCCGTCAAAATGAGGCAGGGACCTAGGGCTTTCTCTAAGGTCTCCACAGGGGATTCAGACATCCCTTCATGTTGTGAGATGAAACACGAGCCTGTATTCAAGCCACTGCAAGGAAATCCGGCCTACTTTCAAGTTAGGGCTTCTCGCTGTATATTCCCCTTGAGGCAGCATACTCGGGGTCCCTCCCACATACCTATTGCTGAGAGAAGCCTCCTCCTGAGGTGCTTCTGGAAATTTGGCATACGTCTTGAGCCTAAGCCAGGGAATCAGCTCTCATCTCGAGACGATTTGGGGTACACGGAGCATTCCTCGAGTTGCTGTGCTGAAGTTGGTGTTCCTCTAGACTTGGGACAGTGTTCTCGGGGCATCTCTGGAGTTGCCTGAAGTAAGTCGAGCCACCATTCTTGTTGAATGGGGAATGGGGAATGGCTCTGGAGTCAATGCAGGGGAATCGGGCCTCATCTCGAGTTGATTTGGGGCCCATGGAGCTGCTTTGCGTTGCTAGGGTGACCTCAGGGTCCGTCTAGACTGGTGACAGTGTTCTTGGGGACTGTCTCGAGATCCATTAAGCAAGTCGAAGCTCCTGACTTGTTTGAATGGGATCACGGAATAGCTCTGCATGCACTGCAGGGGAATCGGGCCTCATCTCGAGTTGATTTGGGGCACATGGAGCTGCTTCGCGTTGCTGGGGTGACCTCAGGGTCCGTCTAGACTGGTGACAGTGTTCTTGGGGACTGTCTCGAGATCCATTAAGCAAGTCGAAGCTCCTGACTTGTTTGAATGGGATCACGGAATAGCTCTGCATGCACTGCAGGGGAATGGGGCCTCATCTCGCCTCTAGGGGGAAGTCTCATGCTTTTTCTCGAGTTGCGGCGGGGACCTGGGGTATGTTCTCGACTTACGGCGGGGATGGCCCTTCAAAACACGAGTTTCTTCAGTGACGTCAGGACTCCTGTCTAGTAACGAGGGACACCTCAGGAATCTCTTCCAGGCTTGGCAGGGCAAAAGGGACGCTTCTTGAGGTGAGGCAGGGCACCCAAGGACCCTTTCCAGTAGCCACAGGGATTTTGGGATTCCTATCAGTATTCAAGAGGAGTCAGGCATCGTCACCTTTTGAAGCAATTAACTCCGCGTGCCTCTCGAGGTGTCAGCGGGATGTGAGGCATTCCGTCAAAATGAGGCAGGGACCTACGGCTTTCTCTAAGGTCTCCACAGGGGATTCAGACATCCCTTCAGGTATTGAGATCCAAGACGAGCCTGTATTCTAGCCACTGCAAGGAAATTCAGCCTCCTTTCAAGTTAGGGCTTCTCGCTGTATATTCCCCTTGAGGCAGCACACTCGGGGTCCCTCCCACATACCTATTGCTGAGAGAAGCCTCCTCCTGAGGTGCTTCTGGAAAGTTGTCATACGTCTTGAGCCTAAGCCAGGGAATCAGCTCTCATCTCGAGACGATTTGGGGTACACGGAGCATTCCTCGAGTTGCTGTGATGAAGTTAGTGTTCCTCTAGGCTTGGGACAGTGTTCTCGGGGCATCTCTGGAGTTGCCTGAAGGAAGTCTAGCCACCGGTCGTGTTGAATGGGGAACGGGGAATGGCTCTGGAGTCAATGCAGGGGAATCGGGCCTCATCTCGAGTTGATTTGGGGCTCATGGAGCTGTTTTGCGTTGCTAGGGTGAAATCAGGGTCCGTCTAGACTGGTGACAGTGTTCTTTGGGACTGTCTCGAGATCCATTAAGCAAGTCGAAGCTCCTGACTTGTTTGAATGGGATCACGGAATAACTCTGCATGCACTGCAGGGGAATCGGGCCTCATCTCGAGTTGATTTGGAGCCCATGGAGCTGCTTTTCGTTGCTAGGGTGACCTCAGGGTCCGTCTAGACTGGTGACAGTGTTCTTGGGGACTCTCTTGAGAACCATTAAGCAAGTCGAAGCTCCTGACTTGCTTGAATTTGATCACGGAAAAGCTCTGCATGCACTGCAGGGGAATGGGGCCTCATCTCGCCTCTAGGGGGAAGTCTCATTGTTTTTCTCGAGTTGCGGCGGGGACCTGGGGTATGTTCTCGACTTACGGCGGGGATGGCCCTTCAAAACACGAGTTTCTTCAGTGATGTCAGGACTCCTGTCTAGTAACGAGGGACACCACAGGAATCTCCTCGAGGCTTGGCAGGGCAAAAGGGACGCTTCTCGAGGTGAGGCAGGGCACCCAAGGACCCTTTCCAGTAGCCACAGGGATTTTGGGATTCCTATCAGTATTCAAGAGGAGTCAGGCATCGGCACATTTTGAAGCAATGAACTCCGCGTGCCTCTCGAGGTGTCAGCGGGATGTGAGGCATTCCGTCAAAATGAGGCAGGGACCTAGGGCTTTCTCTAAGGTCTCCACAGTGGATTCAGACATCCCTTCATGTTGTGAGATGAAAGACGAGATTGTATTCAAGCCAATGCAAGAAATCCGGTCTCATTTCAAGTTAGGGCTTCTCGCTGTATATTCCCCTTGAGGCAGCATACTCGGGGTCCCTCCCACATACCTATTGCTGAGAGAAGCCTCCTCCTGAGGTGCTTCTGGAAAGTTGGCATACGTCTTGAGCCTAAGCCAGGGAATCAGCTCTCATCTCGAGACGATTTGGGGTACACGGAGCATTCCTCGAGTTGCTGTGCTGAAGTTGGTGTTCCTCTAGACTTGGGACAGTGTTCTCGGGGCATCTCTGGAGTTGCCTGAAGGAAGTCGAGCCACCGGTCGTGTTGAATGGGGAACGGGGAATGGCTCTGGAGTCAATGCAGGGGAATCGGGCCTCATCTCGAGTTGATTTGGGGCACATGGAGCTGCTTTGCGTTGCTGTGGTGACATCAGGGTACGTCTAGACTGGTGACAGTGTTCTTGGGGACTGTCTCTAGATCCATTAAGCAAGTCGAAGCTACTGACGTGTTTGAATGGGATCACGGAATAGCTCTGCATGCACTGCAGGGGAATGGGGACTCATCTCGCCTCTAGGGGGAAGTCTCATGGTTTTTCTCGAGTTGCGGCGGCGACCTGGGGTATGTTCTCGACTTACGGCGGGGATGGCCCTTCAAAACACGAGTTTCTTCAGTGACGTCAGGACTGCTGTCTAGTAACGAGGGACACCTCAGGAATCTCTTCGAGGCTTGGCAGGGCAAAAGGGACGCTTCTCGAGGTGAGGCAGGGCACCCAAGGACACTTTCCAGTAGCCACAGGGATTTTGGGATTCCTATCAGTATTCAAGAGGAGTCAGGCATCGTCACCTTTTGAAGCAATGAACTCCGCGTGCCTCTCGAAGTGTCAGCCGTATGTGAGGCATTCCGTCAAAATGAGGCAGGGACCTAGGGCTTTCTCTAAGGTCTCCGCAGGGGATTCAGACAACCCTTCATGTTGTTAGAAGAAAGACGAGCCTGTATTGAAGCCACTGCAAGGAAATCCGGCCTCCTTTCAAGTTAGGGCTTCTCGCTGTATATTCCCCTTGAGGCAGCATACTCGGGGTCCCTCCCACATACCTATTGCTGAGAGAAGCCTCCTCCTGAGGTGCTTCTGGAAAGTTGGCATACGTCTTGAGCCTAAGCCAGGGAAGCAGCTCTAATCTCGAGACGATTTGGGGTACACGGAGCATTCATCGAGTTGCTGTGCTGAGGTTGGTGTTCCTCTAGACTTGGGACAGTGTTCTCAGGGCATAGCTGGAGTTGCCTGAAGGAAGTCGAGCCACCATTCGTGTTGAATGGGGAATGGGGAATGGCTCTGGAGTCAATGCAGGGGAATCGGGCCTCATCTCGAGTTGATTTGGGGCCCATGGAGCTGCTTTGCGTTGCTAGGGTGACCTCAGGGTCCGTCTAGAGTGGTGACAGTGTTCTTGGGGACTGTCTCGAGATCCATTAAGCAAGTCGAAGCTCCTGACTTGTTTGAATGGGATCACGGAATAGCTCTGCATGCACTGCAGGGGAATCGGGCCTCATCTCGAGTTGATTTGGGGCACATGGAGCTGCTTTGCGTTGCTGGGGTGACCTCAGGGTCCGTCTAGACTGGTGACAGTGTTCTTGGGGACTGTCTCGAGATCCATTAAGCAAGTCGAAGCTCCTGACTTGTTTGAATGGGATCACGGAATAGCTCTGCATGCACTGCAGGGGAATGGGGCCTCATCTCGCCTCTAGGAGGAAGTCTCATGGTTTTTCTCGAGTTGCGGCGGGGACCTGGGGTATGTTCTCGACTTACGGCGGGGATGGCCCTTCAAAACACGAGTTTCTTCAGTGACGTCAGGACTCCTGTCTAGTAATGAGGGACACCTCAGGAATCTCTTCGAGGCTTGGCAGGGCAAAAGGGACGCTTCTCGAGGTGAGGCAGGGCACCCAAGGACCCTTTCCAGTAGCCACAGGGATTTTGGGATTCCTATCAGTATTCAAGAGGAGTCAGGCATCGTCACCTTTTGAAGCAATGAACTCCGCGTGCCTCTCGAGGTGTCAGCGGGATGTGAGGCATTCCGTCAAAATGAGGCAGGGACCTAGGGCTTTCTCTAAGGTATCCACAGGGGATTCAGACATCCCTTCAGGTATTGAGATCCAAGACGAGCCTGTATTCTAGCCACTGCAAGGAAATCCAGCCTCCTTTCAAGTTAGGGCTTCTCGCTGTATATTCCCCTTGAGGCAGCACACTCGGGGTCCCTCCCACATACCTATTGCTGAGAGAAGCCTCCTCCTGAGGTGCTTCTGGAAAGTTGGCATACGTCTTGAGCCTAAGCCAGGGAATCAGCTCTCATCTCGAGACGATTTGGGGTACACGGAGCATTCCTCGAGTTGCTGTGCTGAAGTTGGTGTTCCTCTAGACTTGGGACAGTGTTCTCGGGGCATCTCTGGAGTTGCCTGAAGGAAGTCGAGCCACCGGTCGTGTTGAATGGGGAACGGGGAATGGCTCTGGAGTCAATGCAGGGGAATCGGGCCTCATCTCGAGTTGATTTGGGGCTCATGGAACTGTTTTGCGTTGCTAGGGTGAAATCAGGGTCCGTCTAGACTGGTGACAGTGTTCTTTGGGACTGTCTCGAGATCCATTAAGCAAGTCGAAGCTCCTGACTTGTTTGAATGGGATCACGGAATAGCTCTGCATGCACTGCAGGGGAATCGGGCCTCATCTCGAGTTGATTTGGAGCCCATGGAGCTGCTTTTCGTTGCTAGGGTGACCTCAGGGTCCGTCTAGACTGGTGACAGTGTTCTTGGGGACTCTCTTGAGATCCATTAAGCAAGTCGAAGCTCCTGACTTGCTTGAATGGGATCACGGAAAAGCTCTGCATGCACTGCAGGGGAATGGGGCCTCATCTCGCCTCTAGGGGGAAGTCTCATTGTTTTTCTCGTGTTGCGGCGGGGACCTGGGGTATGTTCTCGACTTACGGCGGGGATGGCCCTTCAAAACACGAGTTTCTTCAGTGATGTCAGGACTCCTGTCTAGTAACGAGGGACACCACAGGAATCTCCTCGAGGCTTGGCAGGGCAAAAGGGACGCTTCTCGAGGTGAGGCAGGGCACCCAAGGACCCTTTCCAGTAGCCACAGGGATTTTGGGATTCCTATCAGTATTCAAGAGGAGTCAGGCATCGGCACATTTTGAAGCAATGAACTCCGCTTGCCTCTCGAGGTGTCAGCGGGATGTGAGGCATTCCGTCAAAATGAGGCAGGGACCTAGGGCTTTCTCTAAGGTCTCCACAGTGGATTCAGACATCCCTTCATGTTGTGAGATGAAAGACGAGATTGTATTCAAGCCAATGCAAGAAATCCGGTCTCCTTTCAAGTTAGGGCTTCTCGCTGTATATTCCCCTTGAGGCAGCATACTCGGGGTCCCTCCCACATACCTATTGCTGAGAGAAGCCTCCTCCTGAGGTGCTTCTGGAAAGTTGGCATACGTCTTGAGCCTAAGCCAGGGAATCAGCTCTCATCTCGAGACGATTTGGGGTACACGGAGCATTCCTCGAGTTGCTGTGCTGAAGTTGGTGTTCCTCTAGAATTGGGACAATGTTCTCGGGGCATCTCTGGAGTTGCCTGAAGGAAGACGAGCCACCGGTCGTGTTGAATGGGGAACGGGGAATGGCTCTGGAGTCAATGCAGGGGAATCGGGCCTCATCTCGAGTTGATTTGGGGCACATGGAGCTGCTTTGCGTTGCTGGGGTGACCTCAGGGTACGTCTAGACTGGTGACAGTGTTCTTGGGGACTGTCTCGAGATCCATTAAGCAAGTCGAAGCTCCTGACTTGTTTGAATGGGATCATGGAATAGCTCTGCATGCACTGCAGGGGAATGGGGCCTCATCTCGCCTCTAGGGGGAAGTCTCATGGTTTTTCTCGAGTTGCGGCGGGGACCTGGGTTTATATTCTCGACTTACGGCGGTGATGGCCCTTCAAAACACGAGTTTCTTCAGTGACGTCAGGACTCCTGTCTAGTAATGAGGGACACCTCAGGAATCTCCTCGAGGCTTGGCAGGGCAAAAGGGACGCTTCTCGAGGTGAGGCAGGGCACCCAAGACCCTTTCCAGTAGCCACAGGGATTTTGGGATTCCTATCAGTATTCAAGAGGAGTCAGGCATCGTCACCTTTTGAAGCAATGAACTCCGCGTGCCTCTCGAGGTGTCAGCGGGATGTGAGGCATTCCGTCAAAATGAGGCAGGGACCTAGGGCTTTCTCTAAGATCTCCACAGTGGATTCAGACATCCCTTCATGTTGTGAGATGAAAGACGAGCTTGTATTCAAGCCAATGCAAGAAATCCGGCCTCCTTTCAAGTTAGGGCTTCTCGCTGTATATTCCCCTTGAGGCAGCATACTCGGGGTCCCTCCCACATACCTATTGCTGAGAGAAGCCTCCTCCTGAGGTGCTTCTGGAAAGTTGGCATACGTCTTGAGCCTAAGCCAGGGAATCAGCTCTCATCTCGAGATGATTTGGGGTATACGGAGCATTCATCGAGTTGCTGTGCTGAAGTTGGTGTTCCTCTAGACTTGGGACAGTGTTCTCGGGGCATCTTTGGAGTTGCCTGAAGGAAGTCGAGCCACCGGTCGTGTTGAATGGGGAATGGGGAGTGGCTCTGGAGTCAATGTAGGGGAATCGGGCCTCATCTCGAGTTGATTTGGGGCACATGGAGCTGCTTTGCATTGCTGGGGTGACCTCAGGGTCCGTCTAGACTGGTGACAGTGTTCTTGGGTACTGTCTCGAGATCCATTAAGCAAGTCGGAGCTCCTGACTTGCTTGAATGGGATCACGGTATAGATCTGCATGCACTGCATGGGAATGGGGCCTCATTTCGCCTCTACGGGGAAGACTCATGGTTTTTCTCAGGTTGCGGCGGGGACCTGGGGTATGTTCTGGACTTACGGCGGGGATGGCCCTTCAAAACACGAGTTTCTTCAGTGACGTCAGGACTCCTGTCTAGTAACGAGGGACACCTCAGGAATCTCTTCGAGGCTTGGCAGGGCAAAAGGGAGGCTTCTCGAGGTGAGGCAGGGCACCCAAGGACCCTTTCCAGTAGCCACAGGGATTTTGGGATTCCTATCAGTATTCAAGAGGAGTCAGGCATCGTCACCTTTTGAAGCAATGAACTCCGCGTGCCTCTCGAGGTGTCAGCGGGATGTGAGGCATTCCGTCAAAATGAGGCAGGGACCTAGGGCTTTCTCTAAGGTCTCCACAGGGGATTCAGACATCCCTTCATGTTGTGAGATGAAACACGAGCCTGTATTCAAGCCACTGCAAGGAAATTCGGCCTACTTTCAAGTTAGGGCTTCTCGCTGTATATTCCCCTTGAGGCAGCATACTCGGGGTCCCTCCCACATACCTATTGCTGAGAGAAACCTCCTCCTGAGGTGCTTCTGGAAATTTGGCATACGTCTTGAGCCTAAGCCAGGGAATCAGCTCTCATCTCGAGACGATTTGGGGTACACGGAGCATTCATCGATTTGCTGTGCTGAAGTTGGTGTTCCTCTAGACTTGGGACAGTGTTCTCGGGGCATCTATGGAGTTGCCTGAAGGAAGTCGAGCCACCGGTCGTGTTGAATGGGGAATGGGGAATGGCTCTGGAGTCAATGCAGGGGAATCGGGCCTCATCTCGAGTTGATTTGGGGCTCATGGAGCTGTTTTGCGTTGCTAGGGTGAAATCAGGGTCCGTCTAGACTGGTGACAGTGTTCTTTGGGACTGTCTCGAGATCCATTAAGCAAGTCGAAGCTCCTGACTTGTTTGAATGGGATCACGGAATAGCTCTGCATGCACTGCAGGGGAATCGGGCCTCATCTCGAGTTGATTTGGAGCCCATGGAGCTGCTTTGCATTGCTAGGGTGACCTCAGGGTCCGTCTAGACTGGTGACAGTGTTCTTGGGGACTCTCTTGAGATCCATTAAGCAAGTCGAAGCTCCTGACTTGCTTGAATGGGATCACGGAAAAGCTCTGCATGCACTGCAGGGGAATGGGGCCTCATCTCGCCTCTAGGGGGAAGTCTCATTGTTTTTCTCGAGTTGCGGCGGGGACCTGGGGTATGTTCTCGACTTACGGCGGGGATGGCCCTTCAAAACACGAGTTTCTTCAGTGATGTCAGGACTCCTGTCTAGTAACGAGGGACACCACAGGAATCTCCTCGAGGCTTGGCAGGGCAAAAGGGACGCTTCTCGAGGTGAGGCAGGGCACCCAAGGACCCTTTCCAGTAGCCACAGGGATTTTGGGATTCCTATCAGTATTCAAGAGGAGTCAGGCATCGGCACATTTTGAAGCAATGAACTCCGCGTGCCTCTCGAGGTGTCAGCGGGATGTGAGGCATTCCGTCAAAATGAGGCAGGGACCTAGGGCTTTCTCTAAGGTCTCCACAGGGGATTCAGACATCCCTTCATGTTGTGAGATGAAAGACGAGATTGTATTCAAGCCAATGCAAGAAATCCGGTCTCCTTTCAAGTTAGGGCTTCTCGCTGTATATTCCCCTTGAGGCAGCATACTCGGGGTCCCTCCCACATACCTATTGCTGAGAGAAGCCTCCTCCTGAGGTGCTTCTGGAAAGTTGGCATACGTCTTGAGCCTAAGCCAGGGAATCAGCTCTCATCTCGAGACGATTTCGGGTACACAGAGCATTCCTCGAGTTGCTGTGCTGAAGTTGGTGTTCCTCTAGAATTGGGACAATGTTCTCGGGGCATCTCTGGAGTTGCCTGAAGGAAGACGAGCCACCGGTCGTGTTGAATGGGGAACGGGGAATGGCTCTGGAGTCAATGCAGGGGAATCGGGCCTCATCTCGAGTTGATTTGGGGCACATGGAGCTGCTTTGCGTTGCTGGGGTGACCTCAGGGTCGGTCTAGACTGGTGACAGTGTTCTTGGGGACTGTCTCGAGATCCATTAAGCAAGTCGAAACTCCTGACTTGTTTGAATGGGATCACGGAATAGCTCTGCATGCACTGCAGGGGAATGGGGCCTCATCTCGCCTCTAGGGGGAAGTCTCATGGTTTTTCTCGAGTTGCGGCGGGGACCTGGGGTATGTTCTCGACTTAGGGCGGGGATGCACGTTGAAAACACGAGTTTCTTCAGTGACGTCAGGACTCCTGTCTAGTAACGAGGGACACCTCAGTAATCTCTTCGAGGCTTGGCAGGGCAAAAGGGACGCTTTTTGAGGTGAGGCAGGGCACCCAAGGACCCTTTCCAGTAGCCACAGGGATTTTGGGATTCCTATCAGTATTCAAGAGGAGTCAGGCATCGTCACCTTTTGAAGCAATGAACTCCGCATGCCTCTCGAGGTGTCAGCGGGATGTGAGGCATTCCGTCAAAATGAGGCAGGGACCTAGGGCTTTCTCTAAGGTCTCCACAGGCGATTCAGACATCCCTTCATGTTGTGAGATGAAAGACGAGACTGTATTCAAGCCACTGCAAGGAAATCCGGCCTCCTTTCAAGTTAGGGCTTCTCGCTGTATATTCCCCTTGAGGCAGCATACTCGGGGTCCCTCCCACATACCTATTGCTGAGAGAAGCCTCCTCCTGAGGTGCTTCTGGAAAGTTGGCATACGTCTTGAGCCTAAGCCAGGGAATCAGCTCTCATCTCGAGACGATTTGGTGTACACGGAGCATTCATCGAGTTGCTGTGTTGAAGTTGGTGTTCCTCTAGACTTGGGACAGTGTTCTCGGGGCATCTCTGGGGTTGCCTGATGGAAGTCGAGCCACCGGTCGTGTTGAATGGGGAACGGGGAATGGCTCTGGAGTCAATGCAGGGGAATCGGACCTCATCTCGTGTTGATTTGGGGCACATGGAGCAGGTGTGAGTTGCTAGGGTGACCTCAGGGTCCGTCTAGACTGGTGACAGTGTTCTTGAGGAATGTCTCGAGATCCATTAAGCAAGTCGAAGCTCCTGACTTGTTTGAATGGGATCACGAAATAGCTCTGCATGCATTGGAGGGGAATGGGGCCTCATCTCGACTCTAGGGGGAAGTCTCATGGTTTTTCTCCAGTTGCGGCGGGGACCTGGGGTATATTATCCACTTACGGCTGGGATGGCCCTTCAAAACACGTGTTTCTTCAGTGACGTCAGGACTCCTGTTTAGTAACGAGGGACACCTCAGGAATCTCTTCGAGCCTTGGCAGGGCAAAAGGGACGCTTCTCGAGGTGAGGCAGGGCACCCAAGGACCCTTTCCAGTAGCCACAGGGATTTTGGGATTCCTATCAGTATTCAAGAGGAGTCAGGCATCGTCACCTTTTGAAGCAATGAACTCCGCGTGTCTCTCGAGGTGTCAGCGGGATATGAGGCATTCCGTCAAAATGAGGCAGGGACCTAGGGCTTTCTCTAAGGTCTCCACAGGGGATTCAGACATCCCTTCATGTTGTGAGATGAAAGACGAGCCTGTATTCAAGCCACTGCAAGGAAATCCGGCCTAATTTCAAGTTAGGGCTTCTCGCTGTATATTCCCCTTGAGGCAGCAAACTCGGGGTCCCTCCCACATACCAATTGCTGAGAGAAGCCTCCTCCTGAGGTGCTTTTGGAAAGTTGGCATACGTCTTGAGCCTAAGCCAGGGTATCAGCTCTCATCTCGAGACGATTTGGGGTACACGGTGCATTCCTCGAGTTGCTGTGCTGAAGTTAGTGTTCCTCTAGGCTTGGGACAGTGTTCTCGGGGCATCTCTGGAGTTACCTGAAGGAAGTCGAGCCACCGGTCTTGTTGAATGGGGAATGGGGAATGGCTCTGGAGTCAACGCAGGGGAATCGGGCCTCATCTCGAGTTGATTTGGGGCACATGGAGCTGCTTGGCGTTGCTGGGGTGACCTCAGGGTCCGTCTAGACTGGTGACAGTGTTCTTGGGGACTCTCTTGAGATCCATTAAGCAAGTCGAAACTCCTGACTTGCTTGAATGGGATCACGGAATAGCTCTGCATGCAGTGCAGGGGAATGGGGCCTCATCTCGCCTCTAGGGGGAAGTCTCATGGTTTTTCTCGAGTTGCGGCGGGGACCTGGGTTTATATTCTCGACTTACTGCGGTGATGGCCCTTCAAAACACGAGTTTCTTCAGTGACGTCAGGACTCCTGTCTAGTAATGAGGGACACCTCAGGAATCTCCTCGAGGCTTGGCAGGGCAGAAGGGACGCTTCTCGAGGTGAGGCAGGGCACCCAAGGACCCTTTCCAGTAGCCACAGGGATTTTGGGATTCCTATCAGTATTCAAGAGGAGTCAGGCATCGTCACCTTTTGAAGCAATGAACTCCGCGTGCCTCTCGAGGTGTCAGCGGGATGTGAGGCATTCCGTCAAAATGAGGCAGGGACCTAGGGCTTTCTCTAAGATCTCCACAGGGGATTCAGACATCCCTTCATGTTGTAAGATGAAAGACGAGCTTGTATTCAAGCCAATGCAAGAAATCCGGCCTCCTTTCAAGTTAGGGCTTCTCGCTGTATACTCCCCTTGAGGCAGCACACTCGGGGTCCCTCCCACATACCTATTGCTGAGAGAAGCCTCCTCCTGAGGTGCTTCTGGAAAGTTGGCATACGTCTTGAGCCTAAGCCAGGGAATCAGCTCTCATCTCGAGACGATTTGGGGTACACGGAGCATTCCTCGAGTTGCTGTGCTGAAGTTGGTGTTCCTCTAGACTTGGGACAGTGTTCTCGGGGCATCTCTGGAGTTGCCTGAAGGAAGTCGAGCCACCGGTCGTGTTGAATGGGGAACGGGGAATGGCTCTGGAGTCAATGCAGGGGAATCGGGCCTCATCTCGAGTTGATTTGGGGCTCATGGAGCTGTTTTGCGTTGCTAGGGTGAAATCAGGGTCCGTCTAGACTGGTGACAGTGTTCTTTGGGACTGTCTCGAGATCCATTAAGCAAGTCGAAGCTCCTGACTTGTTTGAATGGGATCACGGAATAGCTCTGCATGCACTGCAGGGGAATCGGGCCTCATCTCGAGTTGATTTGGAGCCCATGGAGCTGCTTTGCGTTGCTAGGGTGACCTCAGGGTCCGTTTAGACTGGTGACAGTGTTCTTGGGGACTCTCTTGACATCCATTAAGCAAGTCGAAGCTCCTGACTTGCTTGAATGGGATCACGGAAAAGCTCTGCATGCACTGCAGGGGAATGGGGCCTCATCTCGCCTCTAGGGGGAAGTCTCATTGTTTTTCTCGAGTTGCGGCGGGGACCTGGGGTATGTTCTCGACTTACGGCGGGGATGGCCCTTCAAAACACGAGTTTCTTCAGTGATGTCAGGACTCCTGTCTAGTAACGAGGGACACCACAGGAATCTCCTCGAGGCTTGGCAGGGCAAAAGGGACGCTTCTCGAGGTGAGGCAGGGCACCCAAGGACCCTTTCCAGTAGCCACAGGGATTTTGGGATTCCTATCAGTATTCAAGAGGAGTCAGGCATCGGCACATTTTGAAGCAATGAACTCCGCGTGCCTCTCGAGGTGTCAGCGGGATGTGAGGCATTCCGTCAAAATGAGGCAGGGACCTAGGGCTTTCTCTAAGGTCTCCACAGTGGATTCAGACATCCCTTCATGTTGTGAGATGAAAGACGAGATTGTATTCAAGCCAATGCAAGAAATCCGGTCTCCTTTCAAGTTAGGGCTTCTCGCTGTATATTCCCCTTGAGGCAGCATACTCGGGGTCCCTCCCACATACCTATTGCTGAGAGAAGCCTCCTCCTGAGGTGCTTCTGGAAAGTTGGCATACGTCTTGAGCCTAAGCCAGGGAATCAGCTCTCATCTCGAGACGATTTGGGGTACACGGAGCATTCCTCGAGTTGCTGTGCTGAAGTTGGTGTTCCTCTAGACTTGGGACAGTGTTCTCGGGGCATCTCTGGAGTTGCCTGAAGGAAGTCGAGCCACCGGTCGTGTTGAATGGGGAACGGGGAATGGCTCTGGAGTCAATGCAGGGGAATCGGGCCTCATCTCGAGTTGATTTGGGGCACATGGAGCTGCTTTGCGTTGCTTGGGTGACATCAGGGTCCGTCTAGACTGTTGACAGTGTTCTTGGGGACTGTCTCTAGATCCATTAAGCAAGTCGAAGCTCCTGACGTGTTTGAATGGGATCACGGAATAGCTCTGCATGCACTGCAGGGGAATGGGGCCTCATCTCGCCTCTAGGGGGAAGTCTCATGGTTTTTCTCGAGTTGCGGCGGCGACCTGGGGTAGGTTCTCGACTTACGGCGGGGATGGCCCTTCAAAACACGAGTTTCTTCAGTGACGTCAGGACTGCTGTCTAGTAACGAGGGACACCTCAGGAATCTCTTCGAGGCTTGGCAGGGCAAAAGGGACGCTTCTGGAGGTGAGGCAGGGCACCCAAGGACACTTTCCAGTAGCCACAGGGATTTTGGGATTCCTATCAGTATTCAAGAGGAGTCAGGCATCATCACCTTTTGAAGCAATGAACTCCGCGTGCCTCTCGAAGTGTCAGCCATATGTGAGGCATTCCGACAAAATGAGGCAGGGACCTAGGGCTTTCTCTAAGGTCTCCACAGGGGATTCAGACAACCCTTCATGTTGTTAGATGAAAGACGAGCCTGTATTCAAGCCACTGCAAGGAAATCCGGCCTCCTTTCAAGTTAGGGCTTCTCGCTGTATATTCCCCTTGAGGCAGCATACTCGGGGTCCCTCCCACATACCTATTGCTGAGAGAAGCCTCCTCCTGAGGTGCTTCTGGAAAGTTGGCATACGTCTTGAGCCTAAGCCAGGGAATCAGCTCTCATCTCGAGACGATTTGGGGTACACGGAGCATTCATCGAGTTGCTGTGCTGAGGTTGGTGTTCCTCTAGACTTGGGACAGTGTTCTCAGGGCATAGCTGGAGTTGCCTGAAGGAAGTCGAGCCACCATTCGTGTTGAATGGTAAATGGGGAATGGCTCTGGAGTCAATGCAGGGGAATCGGGCCTCATCTCGAGTTGATTTGGGGCCCATGGAGCTGCTTTGCTTTGCTAGGGTGACCTCAGGGTCCGTCTAGACTGGTGACAGTGTTCTTGGGGACTGTCTCGAGATCCATTAAGCAAGTCGAAGCTCCTGACTTGTTTGAATGGGATCACGGAATAGCTCTGCATGCACTGCAGGGGAATCGGGCCTCATCTCGAGTTGATTTGGGGCACATGGAGCTGCTTTGCGTTGCTGGGGTGACCTCAGGGTCCGTCTAGACTGGTGACAGTGTTCTTGGGGACTGTCTCGAGATCCATTAAGCAAGTCGAAGCTCCTGACTTGTTTGAATGGGATCACGGAATAGCTCTGCATGCACTGCAGGGGAATGGGGCCTCATCTCGCCTCTAGGAGGAAGTCTCATGGTTTTTCTCGAGTTGCGGCGGGGACCTGGGGTATGTTCTCGACTTACGGCGGGGATGGCCCTTCAAAACACGAGTTTCTTCAGTGACGTCAGGACTCCTGTCTAGTAACGAGGGACACCTCAGGAATCTCTTCGAGGCTTGGCAGGGCAAAAGGGACGCTTCTCGAGGTGAGGCAGGGCACCCAAGGACCCTTTCCAGTAGCCACAGGGATTTTGGGATTCCTATCAGTATTCAAGAGGAGTCAGGCATCGTCACCTTTTGAAGCAATGAACTCCGCGTGCCTCTCGAGGTGTCAGCGGGATGTGAGGCATTCCGTCAAAATGAGGCAGGGACCTAGGGCTTTCTCTAAGGTATCCACAGGGGATTCAGACATCCCTTCAGGTATTGAGATCCAAGACGAGCCTGTATTCTAGCCACTGCAAGGAAATCCAGCCTCCTTTCAAGTTAGGGCTTCTCGCTGTATATTCCCCTTGAGGCAGCACACTCGGGGTCCCTCCCACATACCTATTGCTGAGAGAAGCCTCCTCCTGAGGTGCTTCTGGAAAGTTGGCATACGTCTTGAGCCTAAGCCAGGGAATCAGCTCTCATCTCGAGACGATTTGGGGTACACGGAGCATTCCTCGAGTTGCTGTGCTGAAGTTGGTGTTCCTCTAGACTTGGGACAGTGTTCTCGGGGCATCTCTGGAGTTGCCTGAAGGAAGTCGAGCCACCGGTCGTGTTGAATGGGGAACGGGGAATGGCTCTGGAGTCAATGCAGGGGAATCGGGCCTCATCTCGAGTTGATTTGGGGCTCATGGAGCTGTTTTGCGTTGCTAGGGTGAAATCAGGGTCCGTCTAGACTGGTGACAGTGTTCTTTGGGACTGTCTCGAGATCCATTAAGCAAGTCGAAGCTCCTGACTTGTTTGAATGGGATCACGGAATAGCTCTGCATGCACTGCAGGCGAATCGGGCCTCATCTCGAGTTGATTTGGAGCCCATGGAGCTGCTTTTCGTTGCTAGGGTGACCTCAGGGTCCGTCTAGACTGGTGACAGTGTTCTTGGGGACTCTCTTGAGATCCATTAAGCAAGTCGAAGCTCCTGACTTGCTTGAATGGGATCACGGAAAAGCTCTGCATGCACTGCAGGGGAATGGGGCCTCATCTCGCCTCTAGGGGGAAGTCTCATTGTTTTTCTCGAGTTGCGGCGGGGACCTGGGGTATGTTCTCGACTTACGGCGGGGATGGCCCTTCAAAACACGAGTTTCTTCAGTGATGTCAGGACTCCTGTCTAGTAACGAGGGACACCACAGGAATCTCCTCGAGGCTTGGCAGGGCAAAAGGGACGCTTCTCGAGGTGAGGCAGGGCACCCAAGGACCCTTTCCAGTAGCCACAGGGATTTTGGGATTCCTATCAGTATTCAAGAGGAGTCAGGCATCGGCACATTTTGAAGCAATGAACTCCGCGTGCCTCTCGAGGTGTCAGCGGGATGTGAGGCATTCCGTCAAAATGAGGCAGGGACCTAGGGCTTTCTCTAAGGTCTCCACAGTGGATTCAGACATCCCTTCATGTTGTGAGATGAAAGACGAGATTGTATTCAAGCCAATGCAAGAAATCCGGTCTCATTTCAAGTTAGGGCTTCTCGCTGTATATTCCCCTTGAGGCAGCATACTCGGGGTCCCTCCCACATACCTATTGCTGAGAGAAGCCTCCTCCTGAGGTGCTTCTGGAAAGTTGGCATACGTCTTGAGCCTAAGCCAGGGAATCAGCTCTCATCTCGAGACGATTTGGGGTACACGGAGCATTCCTCGAGTTGCTGTGCTGAAGTTGGTGTTCCTCTAGACTTGGGACAGTGTTCTCGGGGCATCTCTGGAGTTCCCTGAAGGAAGTCGAGCCACCGGTCGTGTTGAATGGGGAACGGGGAATGGCTCTGGAGTCAATGCAGGGGAATCGGGCCTCATCTCGAGTTTATTTGGGGCACATGGAGCTGCTTTGCGTTGCTGGGGTGACATCAGGGTACGTCTAGACTGGTGACAGTGTTCTTGGGGACTGTCTCTAGATCCATTAAGCAAGTCGAAGCTCCTGACGTGTTTGAATGGGATCACGGAATAGCTCTGCATGCACTGCAGGGGAATGGGGCCTCATCTCGCCTCTAGGGGGAAGTCTCATGGTTTTTCTCGAGTTGCGGCGGCGACCTGGGGTATGTTCTCGACTTACGGCGGGGATGGCCCTTCAAAACACGAGTTTCTTCAGTGACGTCAGGACTGCTGTCTAGTAACGAGGGACACCTCAGGAATCTCTTCGAGGCTTGGCAGGGCAAAAGGGACGCTTCTCGAGGTGAGGCAGGGCACCCAAGGACACTTTCCAGTAGCCACAGGGATTTTGGGATTCCTATCAGTATTCAAGAGGAGTCAGGCATCGTCACCTTTTGAAGCAATGAACTCAGCGTGCCTCTCGAGATGTCAGCGGGATGTGAGGCATTCCGTCAAAATGAGGCAGGGACCTAGGGCTTTCTCTAAGGTCTCCACAGGGGATTCAGACATCCCTTCATGTTGTGAGATGAAAGACGAGCCTCTATTCAAGCCACTGCAAGGAAATCCGGCTTCCTTTCCAGTTAGGGCTTCTCGCTGTATATTCCCCTTGAGGCAGCATACTCGGGGTCCCTCCCACATACCTATTGCTGAGAGAAGCCTCCTCCTGAGGTGCTTCTGGAAAGTTGGCATACGTCTTGAGCCTAAGCCAGGGAATCAGCTCTCATCTCGAGACGATTTGGGGTACACGGAGCATTCCTCGAGTTGCTGTGCTGAAGTTAGTGTTCCTCTAGGCTTGGGACAGTGTTCTCGGGGCATCTCTGGAGTTGCCTGAAGGAAGTCGAGCCACCGGTCGTGTTGAATGGGGAACGGGGAATGGCTCTGGAGTCAATGCAGGGGAATCGGGCCTCATCTCGAGTTGATTTGGGGCACATGGAGCTGCTTTGCGTTGCTGGGGTGACATCAGGGTACGTCTAGACTGGTGACAGTGTTCTTGGGGACTGTCTCTAGATCCATTAAGCAAGTCGAAGCTCCTGACGTGTTTGAATGGGATCACGGAATAGCTCTGCATGCACTGCAGGGGAATGGGGCCTCATCTCGCCTCTAGGGGGAAGTCTCATGGTTTTTCTCGAGTTGCGGCGGCGACCTGGGGTATGTTCTCGACTTACGGCGGGGATGGCCCTTCAAAACACGAGTTTCTTCAGTGACGTCAGGACTGCTGTCTAGTAACGAGGGACACCTCAGGAATCTCTTCGAGGCTTGGCAGGGCAAAAGGGACGCTTCTCGAGGTGAGGCAGGGCACCCAAGGACACTTTCCAGTAGCCACAGGGATTTTGGGATTCCTATCAGTATTCAAGAGGAGTCAGGCATCGTCACCTTTTGAAGCAATGAACTCAGCGTGCCTCTCGAGATGTCAGCGGGATGTGAGGCATTCCGTCAAAATGAGGCAGGGACCTAGGGCTTTCTCTAAGGTCTCCACAGGGGATTCAGACATCCCTTCATGTTGTGAGATGAAAGACGAGCCTCTATTCAACCACTGCAAGGAAATCCGGCTTCCTTTCCAGTTAGGGCTTCTCGCTGTATATTCCCCTTGAGGCAGCATACTCGGGGTCCCTCCCACATACCTATTGCTGAGAGAAGCCTCCTCCTGAGGTGGTTCTGGAAAGTTGGAATACGTCTTGAGCCTAAGCCAGGGAATCAGCTCTCATCTCGAGACGATTTCGGGTACACAGAGCATTCATCGAGTTGCTGTGCTGAAGTTGGTGTTCCTCTAGACTTGGGACAGTGTTCTCGGGGCATCTCTGGAGTTGCCTGAAGGAAGTCGAGCCACCGGTCGTGTTGAATGGGGAACGGGGAATGGCTCTGGAGTCAATGCAGGCGAATCGGCCTCATCTCGAGTTGATTTGGGGCACATGGAGCTGCTTTGCGTTGCTGGGGTGACCTCAGCGTCCGTCTAGACTGGTGACAGTGTTCTTGGGGACTGTCTTGAGATCCATTAAGCAAGTCGAAGCTCCTGACTTGCTTGAATGGGATCACGGAATAGCTCTGCATGCACTGCAGGGGAATGGGGCCTCATCTCGCCTCTAGGGGGAAGTCTCATGGTTTTTCTCGAGTTGCCGCGGGGACCTGGGGTATGTTCTCGACTTACGGCGGGGATGGCCCTTCAAAACACGAGTTTCTTCAGTGATGTCAGGACTCCTGTCTAGTAACGAGGGACACCACAGGAATCTCCTCGAGGCTTGGCAGGGCAAAAGGGACGCTTCTCGAGGTGAGGCAGGGCACCCAAGGACCCTTTCCAGTAGCCACAGGGATTTTGGGATTCCTATCAGTATTCAAGAGGAGTCAGGCATCGGCACATTTTGAAGCAATGAACTCCGCGTGCCTCTCGAGGTGTCAGCGGGATGTGAGGCATTCCGTCAAAATGAGGCAGGGACCTAGGGCTTTCTCTAAGGTCTCCACAGTGAATTCAGACATCCCTTCATGTTGTGAGATGAAAGACGAGATTGTATTCAAGCCAATGCAAGAAATCCGGTCTCATTTCAAGTTAGGGCTTCTCGCTGTATATTCCCCTTGAGGCAGCATACTCGGGGTCCCTCCCACATACCTATTGCTGAGAGAAGCCTCCTCCTGAGGTGCTTCTGGAAAGTTGGCATACGTCTTGAGCCTAAGCCAGGGAATCAGCTCTCATCTCGAGACGATTTGGGGTACACGGAGCATTCCTCGAGTTGCTGTGCTGAAGTTGGTGTTCCTCTAGACTTGGGACAGTGTTCTCGGGGCATCTCTGGAGTTGCCTGAAGGAAGTCGAGCCACCGGTCGTGTTGAATGGGGAACGGGGAATGGCTCTGGAGTCAATGCAGGGGAATCGGGCCTCATCTCGAGTTGATTTGGGGCACATGGAGCTGCTTTGCGTTGCTGGGGTGACATCAGGGTACGTCTAGACTGGTGACAGTGTTCTTGGGGACTGTCTCTAGATCCATTAAGCAAGTCGAAGCTCCTGACGTGTTTGAATGGGATCACGGAATAGCTCTGCATGCACTGCAGGGGAATGGGGCCTCATCTCGCCTCTAGGGGGAAGTCTCATGGTTTTTCTCGAGTTGCGGCGGCGACCTGGGGTATGTTCTCGACTTACGGCGGGGATGGCCCTTCAAAACACGAGTTTCTTCAGTGACGTCAGGACTGCTGTCTAGTAAAGAGGGACACCTCAGGAATCTCTTCGAGGCTTGGCAGGGCAAAAGGGACGCTTCTCGAGGTGAGGCAGGGCACCCAAGGACACTTTCCAGTAGCCACAGGGGTTTTGGGATTCCTATCAGTATTCAAGAGGAGTCAGGCATCGTCACCTTTTGAAGCAATGAACTCAGCGTGCCTCTCGAGATGTCAGCGGGATGTGAGGCATTCCGTCAAAATGAGGCAGGGACCTAGGGCTTTCTCTAAGGTCTCCACAGGGGATTCAGACATCCCTTCATGTTGTGAGATGAAAGACGAGCCTCTATTCAAGCCACTGCAAGGAAATCCGGCTTCCTTTCCAGTTAGGGCTTCTCGCTGTATATTCCCCTTGAGGCAGCATACTCGGGGTCCCTCCCACATACCTATTGCTGAGAGAAGCCTCCTCCTGAGGTGGTTCTGGAAAGTTGGAATACGTCTTGAGCCTAAGCCAGGGAATCAGCTCTCATCTCGAGACGATTTCGGGTACACAGAGCATTCATCGAGTTGCTGTGCTGAAGTTGGTGTTCCTCTAGACTTGGGACAGTGTTCTCGGGGCATCTCTGGAGTTGCCTGAAGGAAGTCGAGCCACCGGTCGTGTTGAATGGGGAACGGGGAATGGCTCTGGAGTCAATGCAGGCGAATCGGGCCTCATCTCGAGTTGATTTGGGGCACATGGAGCTGCTTTGCGTTGCTGGGGTGACCTCAGCGTCCGTCTAGACTGGTGACAGTGTTCTTGGGGACTGTCTTGAGATCCATTAAGCAAGTCGAAGCTCCTGACTTGCTTGAATGGGATCACGGAATAGCTCTGCATGCACTGCAGGGGAATGGGGCCTCATCTCGCGTCTTGGGGGAAGTTTCATGGTTTTTCTCGAGTTGCGGCGGGTACCTGTGGTATATTATCCACTTACGGCGGGGATGGCCCTTCAAAACATGAGTTTCTTCAGTGACGTCAGGACTCCTGTCTAGTAACGAGGTACACCTCAGGAATCTCTTCGAGGCTTGGCAGGGCAAAAGGGACGCTTCTCGACGTGAGGCAGGGCACCCAAGGACCCTTTCCAGTAGCCACAGGGATTTTGGTATTCCTATCAGTATTCAAGAGGAGTCAGGCATCGTCACCTTTTGAAGCAATGAACTCCGCGTGCCTCTCGAAGTGTCAGCCGTATGTGAGGCATTCCGTCAAAATGAGGCAGGGACCTAGGGCTTTCTCTAAGGTCTCCACAGGGGATTCAGACAACCCTTCATGTTGTTAGATGAAAGACGAGCCTGTATTCTAGCCACTGCAAGGAAATCCGGCCTCCTTTCAAGTTAGGGCTTCTCGCTGTATATTCCCCTTGAGGCAGCATACTCGGGGTCCCTCCCACATACCTATTGCTGAGAGAAGCCTCCTCCTGAGGTGCTTCTGGAAAGTTGGCATACGTCTTGAGCCTAAGCCAGGGAATCAGCTCTAATCTCGAGACGATTTGGGGTACACGGAGCATTCATCGAGTTGCTGTGCTGAAGTTGGTATTCCTCTAGACTTGGGACAGTGTTCTCAGGGCATAGCTGGAGTTGCCTGAAGGAAGTCGAGCCACCATTCGTGTTGAATGGGGAATGGGGAATGGCTCTGGAGTCAATGCAGGGGAATCGGGCCTCATCTCGAGTTGATTTGGGGCCCATGGAGCTGCTTTGCGTTGCTAGGGTGACCTCAGGGTCCGTCTAGACTGGTGACAGTGTTCTTGGGGACTGTCTCGAGATCCATTAAGCAAGTCGAAGCTCCTGACTTGTTTGAATGGGATCACGGAATAGCTCTGCATGCACTGCAGGGGAATCGGGCCTCATCTCGAGTTGATTTGGGGCACATGGAGCTGCTTCGCGTTGCTGGGGTGACCTCAGGGTCCGTCTAGACTGGTGACAGTGCTCTTGGGGACTGTCTCGAGATCCATTAAGGAAGTCGAAGCTCCTGACTTGTTTGAATGGGATCACGGAATAGCTCTGCATGCACTGCAGGGGAATGGGGCCTCATCTCGCCTCTAGGGGGAAGTCTCATGGTTTTTCTCGAGTTGCGGCGGGGACCTGGGGTATGTTCTCGACTTACGGCGGGGATGGCCCTTCAAAACACGAGTTTCTTCAGTGACGTCAGGAGTCCTGTCTAGTAACGAGGGACACCTCAGGAATCTCTTCGAGGCTTGGCAGGGCAAAAGGGACGCTTCTCGAGGTGAGGCAGGGCACCCAAGGACCCTTTCCAGTAGCCACAGGGATTTTGGGATTCCTATCAGTATTCAAGAGGAGTCAGGCATCGTCACCTTTTGAAGCAATGAACTCCGCGTGCCTCTCGAGGTGTCAGCGGGATGTGAGGCATTCCGTCAAAATGAGGCAGGGACCTAGGGCTTTCTCTAAGGTCTCCACAGGGGATTCAGACATCCCTTCATGTTGTGAGATGAAAGACGAGCCTGTATTCTAGCCACTGCAAGGAAATCCAGCCTCCTTTCAAGTTAGGGCTTCTCGCTGTATATTCCCCTTGAGGCAGCACACTCGGGGTCCCTTCCACATACCTATTGCTGAGAGAAGCCTCCTCCTGAGGTGCTTCTGGAAAGTTGGCATACGTCTTGAGCCTAAGCCAGGGAACCAGCTCTCATCTCGAGATGATTTGGGGTACACGGAGCATTCCTCGAGTTGCTGTGCTGAAGTTGGTGTTCCTCTAGACTTGGGACAGTGTTCTCGGGGCATCTCTGGAGTTGCCTGAAGGAAGTCGAGCCACCGGTCGTGTTGAATGGGGAACGGGGAATGGCTCTGGAGTCAATGCAGGGGAATCGGGCCTCATCTCGAGTTGATTTGGGGCCCATGGAGCTGCTTTGCGTTGCTAGGGTGACCTCAGGGTCCGTCTAGACTGGTGACAGTGTTCTTGGGGACTGTCTCGAGATCCATTAAGCAAGTCGAAGCTCCTGACTTGTTTGAATGGGATCACGGAATAGCTCTGCATGCACTGCAGGGGAATCGGGCCTCATCTCGAGTTGATTTGGATCCCATGGAGCTGCTTTTCGTTGCTAGGGTGACCTCAGGGTCCGTCTAGACTGGTGACAGTGTTCTTGGGGACTCTCTTGAGATCCATTAAGCAAGTCGAAGCTCCTGACTTGCTTGAATTGATCACGGAAAAGCTCTGCATGCACTGCAGGGGAAAGGGTCCTCATCTCGCCTCTAGGGGGAAGTCTCATTGTTTTTCTCGAGTTGCCGCGGGGACCTGGGGTATGTTCTCGACTTACGGCGGGGATGGCCCTTCAAAACACGAGTTTCTTCAGTGACGTCAGGACTCCTGTGTAGTAACGAGGGACACCTCAGGAATCTCTTCGAGGCTTGGCAGGGCAAAAGGGACGCTTCTCGAGGTGAGGCAGGGCACCCAAGGACCCTTTCCAGTAGCCACAGGGATTTTGGGATTCCTATCAGTATTCAAGAGGAGTCAGGCATCGGCACATTTTGAAGCAATGAACTCCGCGTGCCTCTCGAGGTGTCAGCGGGATGTGAGGCATTCCGTCAAAATGAGGCAGGGACCTAGGGCTTTCTCTAAGGTCTCCACAGTGGATTCAGACATCCCTTCATGTTGTGAGATGAAAGCCGAGATTGTATTCAAGCCAATGCAAGAAATCCGGTCTCATTTCAAGTTAGGGCTTCTCGCTGTATATTCCCCTTGAGGCAGCATACTCGGGGTCCCTCCCACATACCTATTGCTGAGAGAAGCCTCCTCCTGAGGTGCTTCTGGAAAGTTGGCATACGTCTTGAGCCTAAGCCAGGGAATCAGCTCTCATCTGGAGACGATTTGGGGTACACGGAGCATTCCTCGAGTTGCTGTGCTGAAGTTGGTGTTCCTCTAGACTTGGGACAGTGTTCTCGGGGCATCTCTGGAGTTGCCTGAAGGAAGTCGAGCCACCGGTCGTGTTGAATGGGGAACGGGGAATGGCTCTGGAGTCAATGCAGGGGAATCGGGCCTCATCTCGAGTTGATTTGGGGCACATGGAGCTGCTTTGCGTTGCTGGGGTGACATCAGGGTACGTCTAGACTGGTGACAGTGTTCTTGGGGACTGTCTCTAGATCCATTAAGCAAGTCGAAGCTCCTGACGTGTTTGAATGGGATCACGGAATAGCTCTGCCTGCACTGCAGGGGAATGGGGCCTCATCTCGCCTCTAGGGGGAAGTCTCATGGTTTTTCTCGAGTTGCGGCGGCGACCTGGGGTATGTTCTCGACTTACGGCGGGGATGGCCCTTCAAAACACGAGTTTCTTCAGTGACGTCAGGACTGCTGTCTAGTAACGAGGGACACCTCAGGAATCTCTTCGAGGCTTGGCAGGGCAAAAGGGACGCTTCTCGAGGTGAGGCAAGGCACCCAAGGACACTTTCCAGTAGCCACAGGGATTTTGGGATTCCTATCAGTATTCAAGAGGAGTCAGGCATCGTCACCTTTTGAAGCAATGAACTCCGCGTGCCTCTCGAAGTGTCAGCCGTATGTGAGGCATTCCGTCAAAATGAGGCAGGGACCTAGGGCTTTCTCTAAGGTCTCCACAGGGGATTCAGACAACCCTTCATGTTGTTAGAAGAAAAACGAGCCTGTATTCAAGCCACTGCAAGGAAATCCGGCCTCCTTTCAAGTTAGGGCTTCTCGCTGTATATTCCCCTTGAGGCAGCATACTCGGGGTCCCTCCCACATACCTATTTCTGAGAGAAGCCTCCTCCTGAGGTGCTTCTGGAAAGTTGGCATACGTCTTGAGCCTAAGCCAGGGAATCAGCTCTAATCTCGAGACGATTTGGGATACACGGAGCATTCATCGAGTTGCTGTGCTGAGGTTGGTGTTCCTCTAGACTTGGGACAGTGTTCTCAGGGCATAGCTGGAGTTGCCTGAAGGAAGTCGAGCCACCATTCGTGTTGAATGGGGAATGGGGAATGGCTCTGGAGTCAATGCAGGGGAATCGGGCCTCATCTCGAGTTGATTTGGGGCCCATGGAGCTGCTTTGCGTTGCTAGGGTGACCTCAGGGTCCGTCTAGACTGGTGACAGTGTTCTTGGGGACTGTCTCGAGATCCATTAAGCAAGTCGAAGCTCCTGACTTGTTTGAATGGGATCACGGAATAGCTCTGCATGCACTGCAGGGGAATCGGGCCTCATCTCGAGTTGATTTGGGGCACATGGATCTGCTTTGCGTTGCTGGGGTGACCTCAGGGTCCGTCTAGACTGGTGACAGTGTTCTTGGGGACTGTCTCGAGATCCATTAAGCAAGTCGAAGCTCCTGACTTGTTTGAATGGGATCACGGAATAGCTCTGCATGCACTGCAGGGGAATGGGGCCTCATCTCGCCTCTAGGAGGAAGTCTCATGGTTTTTCTCGAGTTGCGGCGGGGACCTGGGGTATGTTCTCGACTTACGGCGGGGATGGCCCTTCAAAACACGAGTTTCTTCCGTGACGTCAGGACTCCTGTCTAGTAACGAGGGACACCTCAGGAATCTCTTCGAGGCTTGGCAGGGCAAAAGGGACGCTTCTCGAGGTGAGGCAGGGCACCCAAGGACCCTTTCCAGTAGCCACAGGGATTTTGGGATTCCTATCAGTATTCAAGAGGAGTCAGCCATCGTCACCTTTTGAAGCAATGAACTCCGCGTGCCTCTCGAGGTGTCAGCGGGATGTGAGGCATTCCGTCAAAATGAGGCAGGGACCTAGGGCTTTCTCTAAGGTCTCCACAGGGGATTCAGACATCCCTTCAGGTATTGAGATCCAAGACGAGCCTGTATTCTAGCCACTGCAAGGAAATCCAGCCTCCTTTCAAGTTAGGGCTTCTCGCTGTATATTCCCCTTGAGGCAGCACACTCGGGGTCCCTCCCACATACCTATTGCTGAGAGAAGACTCCTCCTGAGGTGCTTCTGGAAAGTTGGCATACGTCTTGAGCCTAAGCCAGGGAATCAGCTCTCATCTCGAGACGATTTGGGGTACACGGAGCATTCATCGAGTTGCTGTGCTGAAGTTGGTGTTCCTCTAGACTTGGGACAGTGTTCTCGGGGCATCTCTGGAGTTGCCTGAAGGAAGTCGAGCCACCGGTCGTGTTGAATGGGGAACGGGGAATGGCTCTGGAGTCAATGCAGGGGAATCGGGCCTCATCTCGAGTTGATTTGGGGCTCATGGAGCTGTTTTGCGTTGCTAGGGTGAAATCAGGGTCCGTCTAGACTGGTGACAGTGTTCTTTGGGACTGTCTCGAGATCCATTAAGCAAGTCGAAGCTCCTGACTTGTTTGAATGGGATCACAGAATAGCTCTGCATGCACTGCAGGGGAATCGGGCCTCATCTCGAGTTGATTTGGAGCCCATGGAGCTGCTTTTCGTTGCTAGGGTGACCTCAGGGTCCGTCTAGACTGGTGACAGTGTTCTTGGGGACTCTCTTGAGATCCATTAAGCAAGTCGAAGCTCCTGACTTGCTTGAATGGGATCACGGAAAAGCTCTGCATGCACTGCAGGGGAATGGGGCCTCATCTCGCCTCTAGGGGGAAGTCTCATTGTTTTTCTCGAGTTGCGGCGGGGACCTGGGGTATGTTCTCGACTTACGGCGGGGATGGCCCTTCAAAACACGAGTTTCTTCAGTGATGTCAGGACTCCTGTCTAGTAACGAGGGACACCACAGGAATCTCCTCGAGGCTTGGCAGGGCAAAAGGGACGCTTCTCGAGGTGAGGCAGGGCACCCAAGGACCCTTTCCAGTAGCCACAGGGATTTTGGGATTCCTATCAGTATTCAAGAGGAGTCAGGCATCGGCACATTTTGAAGCAATGAACTCCGCGTGCCTCTCGAGGTGTCAGCGGGATGTGAGGCATTCCGTCAAAATGAGGCAGGGACCTAGGGCTTTCTCTAAGGTCTCCACAGTGGATTCAGACATCCCTTCATGTTGTGAGATGAAAGACGAGATTGTATTCAAGCCAATGCAAGAAATCCGGTCTCATTTCAAGTTAGGGCTTCTCGCTGTATATTCCCCTTGAGGCAGCATACTCGGGGTCCCTCCCACATACCTATTGCTGAGAGAAGCCTCCTCCTGAGGTGCTTCTGGAAAGTTGGCATACGTCTTGAGCCTAAGCCAGGGAATCAGCTCTCATCTCGAGACGATTTGGGGTACACGGAGCATTCCTCGAGTTGCTGTGCTGAAGTTGGTGTTCCTCTAGACTTGGGACAGTGTTCTCGGGGCATCTCTGGAGTTCCCTGAAGGAAGTCGAGCCACCGGTCGTGTTGAATGGGGAACGGGGAATGGCTCTGGAGTCAATGCAGGGGAATCGGGCCTCATCTCGAGTTTATTTGGGGCACATGGAGCTGCTTTGCGTTGCTGGGGTGACATCAGGGTACGTCTAGACTGGTGACAGTGTTCTTGGGGACTGTCTCTAGATCCATTAAGCAAGTCGAAGCTCCTGACGTGTTTGAATGGGATCACGGAATAGCTCTGCATGCACTGCAGGGGAATGGGGCCTCATCTCGCCTCTAGGGGGAAGTCTCATGGTTTTTCTCGAGTTGCGGCGGCGACCTGGGGTATGTTCTCGACTTACGGCGGGGATGGCCCTTCAAAACACGAGTTTCTTCAGTGACGTCAGGACTGCTGTCTAGTAACGAGGGACACCTCAGGAATCTCTTCGAGGCTTGGCAGGGCAAAAGGGACGCTTCTCGAGGTGAGGCAGGGCACCCAAGGACACTTTCCAGTAGCCACAGGGATTTTGGGATTCCTATCAGTATTCAAGAGGAGTCAGGCATCGTCACCTTTTGAAGCAATGAACTCAGCGTGCCTCTCGAGATGTCAGCGGGATGTGAGGCATTCCGTCAAAATGAGGCAGGGACCTAGGGCTTTCTCTAAGGTCTCCACAGGGGATTCAGACATCCCTTCATGTTGTGAGATGAAAGACGAGCCTCTATTCAAGCCACTGCAAGGAAATCCGGCTTCCTTTCCAGTTAGGGCTTCTCGCTGTATATTCCCCTTGAGGCAGCATACTCGGGGTCCCTCCCACATACCTATTGCTGAGAGAAGCCTCCTCCTGAGGTGCTTCTGGAAAGTTGGCATACGTCTTGAGCCTAAGCCAGGGAATCAGCTCTCATCTCGAGACGATTTGGGGTACACGGAGCATTCCTCGAGTTGCTGTGCTGAAGTTAGTGTTCCTCTAGGCTTGGGACAGTGTTCTCGGGGCATCTCTGGAGTTGCCTGAAGGAAGTCGAGCCACCGGTCGTGTTGAATGGGGAACGGGGAATGGCTCTGGAGTCAATGCAGGGGAATCGGGCCTCATCTCGAGTTGATTTGGGGCACATGGAGCTGCTTTGCGTTGCTGGGGTGACATCAGGGTACGTCTAGACTGGTGACAGTGTTCTTGGGGACTGTCTCTAGATCCATTAAGCAAGTCGAAGCTCCTGACGTGTTTGAATGGGATCACGGAATAGCTCTGCATGCACTGCAGGGGAATGGGGCCTCATCTCGCCTCTAGGGGGAAGTCTCATGGTTTTTCTCGAGTTGCGGCGGCGACCTGGGGTATGTTCTCGACTTACGGCGGGGATGGCCCTTCAAAACACGAGTTTCTTCAGTGACGTCAGGACTGCTGTCTAGTAACGAGGGACACCTCAGGAATCTCTTCGAGGCTTGGCAGGGCAAAAGGGACGCTTCTCGAGGTGAGGCAGGGCACCCAAGGACACTTTCCAGTAGCCACAGGGATTTTGGGATTCCTATCAGTATTCAAGAGGAGTCAGGCATCGTCACCTTTTGAAGCAATGAACTCAGCGTGCCTCTCGAGATGTCAGCGGGATGTGAGGCATTCCGTCAAAATGAGGCAGGGACCTAGGGCTTTCTCTAAGGTCTCCACAGGGGATTCAGACATCCCTTCATGTTGTGAGATGAAAGACGAGCCTCTATTCAACCACTGCAAGGAAATCCGGCTTCCTTTCCAGTTAGGGCTTCTCGCTGTATATTCCCCTTGAGGCAGCATACTCGGGGTCCCTCCCACATACCTATTGCTGAGAGAAGCCTCCTCCTGAGGTGCTTCTGGAAAGTTGGAATACGTCTTGAGCCTAAGCCAGGGAATCAGCTCTCATCTCGAGACGATTTCGGGTACACAGAGCATTCATCGAGTTGCTGTGCTGAAGTTGGTGTTCCTCTAGACTTGGGACAGTGTTCTCGGGGCATCTCTGGAGTTGCCTGAAGGAAGTCGAGCCACCGGTCGTGTTGAATGGGGAACGGGGAATGGCTCTGGAGTCAATGCAGGCGAATCGGCCTCATCTCGAGTTGATTTGGGGCACATGGAGCTGCTTTGCGTTGCTGGGGTGACCTCAGCGTCCGTCTAGACTGGTGACAGTGTTCTTGGGGACTGTCTTGAGATCCATTAAGCAAGTCGAAGCTCCTGACTTGCTTGAATGGGATCACGGAATAGCTCTGCATGCACTGCAGGGGAATGGGGCCTCATCTCGCCTCTAGGGGGAAGTCTCATGGTTTTTCTCGAGTTGCCGCGGGGACCTGGGGTATGTTCTCGACTTACGGCGGGGATGGCCCTTCAAAACACGAGTTTCTTCAGTGATGTCAGGACTCCTGTCTAGTAACGAGGGACACCACAGGAATCTCCTCGAGGCTTGGCAGGGCAAAAGGGACGCTTCTCGAGGTGAGGCAGGGCACCCAAGGACCCTTTCCAGTAGCCACAGGGATTTTGGGATTCCTATCAGTATTCAAGAGGAGTCAGGCATCGGCACATTTTGAAGCAATGAACTCCGCGTGCCTCTCGAGGTGTCAGCGGGATGTGAGGCATTCCGTCAAAATGAGGCAGGGACCTAGGGCTTTCTCTAAGGTCTCCACAGTGAATTCAGACATCCCTTCATGTTGTGAGATGAAAGACGAGATTGTATTCAAGCCAATGCAAGAAATCCGGTCTCATTTCAAGTTAGGGCTTCTCGCTGTATATTCCCCTTGAGGCAGCATACTCGGGGTCCCTCCCACATACCTATTGCTGAGAGAAGCCTCCTCCTGAGGTGCTTCTGGAAAGTTGGCATACGTCTTGAGCCTAAGCCAGGGAATCAGCTCTCATCTCGAGACGATTTGGGGTACACGGAGCATTCCTCGAGTTGCTGTGCTGAAGTTGGTGTTCCTCTAGACTTGGGACAGTGTTCTCGGGGCATCTCTGGAGTTGCCTGAAGGAAGTCGAGCCACCGGTCGTGTTGAATGGGGAACGGGGAATGGCTCTGGAGTCAATGCAGGGGAATCGGGCCTCATCTCGAGTTGATTTGGGGCACATGGAGCTGCTTTGCGTTGCTGGGGTGACATCAGGGTACGTCTAGACTGGTGACAGTGTTCTTGGGGACTGTCTCTAGATCCATTAAGCAAGTCGAAGCTCCTGACGTGTTTGAATGGGATCACGGAATAGCTCTGCATGCACTGCAGGGGAATGGGGCCTCATCTCGCCTCTAGGGGGAAGTCTCATGGTTTTTCTCGAGTTGCGGCGGCGACCTGGGGTATGTTCTCGACTTACGGCGGGGATGGCCCTTCAAAACACGAGTTTCTTCAGTGACGTCAGGACTGCTGTCTAGTAAAGAGGGACACCTCAGGAATCTCTTCGAGGCTTGGCAGGGCAAAAGGGACGCTTCTCGAGGTGAGGCAGGGCACCCAAGGACACTTTCCAGTAGCCACAGGGGTTTTGGGATTCCTATCAGTATTCAAGAGGAGTCAGGCATCGTCACCTTTTGAAGCAATGAACTCAGCGTGCCTCTCGAGATGTCAGCGGGATGTGAGGCATTCCGTCAAAATGAGGCAGGGACCTAGGGCTTTCTCTAAGGTCTCCACAGGGGATTCAGACATCCCTTCATGTTGTGAGATGAAAGACGAGCCTCTATTCAAGCCACTGCAAGGAAATCCGGCTTCCTTTCCAGTTAGGGCTTCTCGCTGTATATTCCCCTTGAGGCAGCATACTCGGGGTCCCTCCCACATACCTATTGCTGAGAGAAGCCTCCTCCTGAGGTGGTTCTGGAAAGTTGGAATACGTCTTGAGCCTAAGCCAGGGAATCAGCTCTCATCTCGAGACGATTTCGGGTACACAGAGCATTCATCGAGTTGCTGTGCTGAAGTTGGTGTTCCTCTAGACTTGGGACAGTGTTCTCGGGGCATCTCTGGAGTTGCCTGAAGGAAGTCGAGCCACCGGTCGTGTTGAATGGGGAACGGGGAATGGCTCTGGAGTCAATGCAGGCGAATCGGGCCTCATCTCGAGTTGATTTGGGGCACATGGAGCTGCTTTGCGTTGCTGGGGTGACCTCAGCGTCCGTCTAGACTGGTGACAGTGTTCTTGGGGACTGTCTTGAGATCCATTAAGCAAGTCGAAGCTCCTGACTTGCTTGAATGGGATCACGGAATAGCTCTGCATGCACTGCAGGGGAATGGGGCCTCATCTCGCGTCTTGGGGGAAGTTTCATGGTTTTTCTCGAGTTGCGGCGGGTACCTGTGGTATATTATCCACTTACGGCGGGGATGGCCCTTCAAAACATGAGTTTCTTCAGTGACGTCAGGACTCCTGTCTAGTAACGAGGTACACCTCAGGAATCTCTTCGAGGCTTGGCAGGGCAAAAGGGACGCTTCTCGACGTGAGGCAGGGCACCCAAGGACCCTTTCCAGTAGCCACAGGGATTTTGGTATTCCTATCAGTATTCAAGAGGAGTCAGGCATCGTCACCTTTTGAAGCAATGAACTCCGCGTGCCTCTCGAAGTGTCAGCCGTATGTGAGGCATTCCGTCAAAATGAGGCAGGGACCTAGGGCTTTCTCTAAGGTCTCCACAGGGGATTCAGACAACCCTTCATGTTGTTAGATGAAAGACGAGCCTGTATTCTAGCCACTGCAAGGAAATCCGGCCTCCTTTCAAGTTAGGGCTTCTCGCTGTATATTCCCCTTGAGGCAGCATACTCGGGGTCCCTCCCACATACCTATTGCTGAGAGAAGCCTCCTCCTGAGGTGCTTCTGGAAAGTTGGCATACGTCTTGAGCCTAAGCCAGGGAATCAGCTCTAATCTCGAGACGATTTGGGGTACACGGAGCATTCATCGAGTTGCTGTGCTGAAGTTGGTATTCCTCTAGACTTGGGACAGTGTTCTCAGGGCATAGCTGGAGTTGCCTGAAGGAAGTCGAGCCACCATTCGTGTTGAATGGGGAATGGGGAATGGCTCTGGAGTCAATGCAGGGGAATCGGGCCTCATCTCGAGTTGATTTGGGGCCCATGGAGCTGCTTTGCGTTGCTAGGGTGACCTCAGGGTCCGTCTAGACTGGTGACAGTGTTCTTGGGGACTGTCTCGAGATCCATTAAGCAAGTCGAAGCTCCTGACTTGTTTGAATGGGATCACGGAATAGCTCTGCATGCACTGCAGGGGAATCGGGCCTCATCTCGAGTTGATTTGGGGCACATGGAGCTGCTTCGCGTTGCTGGGGTGACCTCAGGGTCCGTCTAGACTGGTGACAGTGCTCTTGGGGACTGTCTCGAGATCCATTAAGGAAGTCGAAGCTCCTGACTTGTTTGAATGGGATCACGGAATAGCTCTGCATGCACTGCAGGGGAATGGGGCCTCATCTCGCCTCTAGGGGGAAGTCTCATGGTTTTTCTCGAGTTGCGGCGGGGACCTGGGGTATGTTCTCGACTTACGGCGGGGATGGCCCTTCAAAACACGAGTTTCTTCAGTGACGTCAGGAGTCCTGTCTAGTAACGAGGGACACCTCAGGAATCTCTTCGAGGCTTGGCAGGGCAAAAGGGACGCTTCTCGAGGTGAGGCAGGGCACCCAAGGACCCTTTCCAGTAGCCACAGGGATTTTGGGATTCCTATCAGTATTCAAGAGGAGTCAGGCATCGTCACCTTTTGAAGCAATGAACTCCGCGTGCCTCTCGAGGTGTCAGCGGGATGTGAGGCATTCCGTCAAAATGAGGCAGGGACCTAGGGCTTTCTCTAAGGTCTCCACAGGGGATTCAGACATCCCTTCATGTTGTGAGATGAAAGACGAGCCTGTATTCTAGCCACTGCAAGGAAATCCAGCCTCCTTTCAAGTTAGGGCTTCTCGCTGTATATTCCCCTTGAGGCAGCACACTCGGGGTCCCTTCCACATACCTATTGCTGAGAGAAGCCTCCTCCTGAGGTGCTTCTGGAAAGTTGGCATACGTCTTGAGCCTAAGCCAGGGAACCAGCTCTCATCTCGAGATGATTTGGGGTATACGGAGCATTCCTCGAGTTGCTGTGCTGAAGTTGGTGTTCCTCTAGACTTGGGACAGTGTTCTCGGGGCATCTCTGGAGTTGCCTGAAGGAAGTCGAGCCACCGGTCGTGTTGAATGGGGAACGGGGAATGGCTCTGGAGTCAATGCAGGGGAATCGGGCCTCATCTCGAGTTGATTTGGGGCCCATGGAGCTGCTTTGCGTTGCTAGGGTGACCTCAGGGTCCGTCTAGACTGGTGACAGTGTTCTTGGGGACTGTCTCGAGATCCATTAAGCAAGTCGAAGCTCCTGACTTGTTTGAATGGGATCACGGAATAGCTCTGCATGCACTGCAGGGGAATCGGGCCTCATCTCGAGTTGATTTGGATCCCATGGAGCTGCTTTTCGTTGCTAGGGTGACCTCAGGGTCCGTCTAGACTGGTGACAGTGTTCTTGGGGACTCTCTTGAGATCCATTAAGCAAGTCGAAGCTCCTGACTTGCTTGAATTGATCACGGAAAAGCTCTGCATGCACTGCAGGGGAAAGGGTCCTCATCTCGCCTCTAGGGGGAAGTCTCATTGTTTTTCTCGAGTTGCCGCGGGGACCTGGGGTATGTTCTCGACTTACGGCGGGGATGGCCCTTCAAAACACGAGTTTCTTCAGTGACGTCAGGACTCCTGTGTAGTAACGAGGGACACCTCAGGAATCTCTTCGAGGCTTGGCAGGGCAAAAGGGACGCTTCTCGAGGTGAGGCAGGGCACCCAAGGACCCTTTCCAGTAGCCACAGGGATTTTGGGATTCCTATCAGTATTCAAGAGGAGTCAGGCATCGGCACATTTTGAAGCAATGAACTCCGCGTGCCTCTCGAGGTGTCAGCGGGATGTGAGGCATTCCGTCAAAATGAGGCAGGGACCTAGGGCTTTCTCTAAGGTCTCCACAGTGGATTCAGACATCCCTTCATGTTGTGAGATGAAAGCCGAGATTGTATTCAAGCCAATGCAAGAAATCCGGTCTCATTTCAAGTTAGGGCTTCTCGCTGTATATTCCCCTTGAGGCAGCATACTCGGGGTCCCTCCCACATACCTATTGCTGAGAGAAGCCTCCTCCTGAGGTGCTTCTGGAAAGTTGGCATACGTCTTGAGCCTAAGCCAGGGAATCAGCTCTCATCTGGAGACGATTTGGGGTACACGGAGCATTCCTCGAGTTGCTGTGCTGAAGTTGGTGTTCCTCTAGACTTGGGACAGTGTTCTCGGGGCATCTCTGGAGTTGCCTGAAGGAAGTCGAGCCACCGGTCGTGTTGAATGGGGAACGGGGAATGGCTCTGGAGTCAATGCAGGGGAATCGGGCCTCATCTCGAGTTGATTTGGGGCACATGGAGCTGCTTTGCGTTGCTGGGGTGACATCAGGGTACGTCTAGACTGGTGACAGTGTTCTTGGGGACTGTCTCTAGATCCATTAAGCAAGTCGAAGCTCCTGACGTGTTTGAATGGGATCACGGAATAGCTCTGCCTGCACTGCAGGGGAATGGGGCCTCATCTCGCCTCTAGGGGGAAGTCTCATGGTTTTTCTCGAGTTGCGGCGGCGACCTGGGGTATGTTCTCGACTTACGGCGGGGATGGCCCTTCAAAACACGAGTTTCTTCAGTGACGTCAGGACTGCTGTCTAGTAACGAGGGACACCTCAGGAATCTCTTCGAGGCTTGGCAGGGCAAAAGGGACGCTTCTCGAGGTGAGGCAAGGCACCCAAGGACACTTTCCAGTAGCCACAGGGATTTTGGGATTCCTATCAGTATTCAAGAGGAGTCAGGCATCGTCACCTTTTGAAGCAATGAACTCCGCGTGCCTCTCGAAGTGTCAGCCGTATGTGAGGCATTCCGTCAAAATGAGGCAGGGACCTAGGGCTTTCTCTAAGGTCTCCACAGGGGATTCAGACAACCCTTCATGTTGTTAGAAGAAAAACGAGCCTGTATTCAAGCCACTGCAAGGAAATCCGGCCTCCTTTCAAGTTAGGGCTTCTCGCTGTATATTCCCCTTGAGGCAGCATACTCGGGGTCCCTCCCACATACCTATTTCTGAGAGAAGCCTCCTCCTGAGGTGCTTCTGGAAAGTTGGCATACGTCTTGAGCCTAAGCCAGGGAATCAGCTCTAATCTCGAGACGATTTGGGATACACGGAGCATTCATCGAGTTGCTGTGCTGAGGTTGGTGTTCCTCTAGACTTGGGACAGTGTTCTCAGGGCATAGCTGGAGTTGCCTGAAGGAAGTCGAGCCACCATTCGTGTTGAATGGGGAATGGGGAATGGCTCTGGAGTCAATGCAGGGGAATCGGGCCTCATCTCGAGTTGATTTGGGGCCCATGGAGCTGCTTTGCGTTGCTAGGGTGACCTCAGGGTCCGTCTAGACTGGTGACAGTGTTCTTGGGGACTGTCTCGAGATCCATTAAGCAAGTCGAAGCTCCTGACTTGTTTGAATGGGATCACGGAATAGCTCTGCATGCACTGCAGGGGAATCGGGCCTCATCTCGAGTTGATTTGGGGCACATGGATCTGCTTTGCGTTGCTGGGGTGACCTCAGGGTCCGTCTAGACTGGTGACAGTGTTCTTGGGGACTGTCTCGAGATCCATTAAGCAAGTCGAAGCTCCTGACTTGTTTGAATGGGATCACGGAATAGCTCTGCATGCACTGCAGGGGAATGGGGCCTCATCTCGCCTCTAGGAGGAAGTCTCATGGTTTTTCTCGAGTTGCGGCGGGGACCTGGGGTATGTTCTCGACTTACGGCGGGGATGGCCCTTCAAAACACGAGTTTCTTCCGTGACGTCAGGACTCCTGTCTAGTAACGAGGGACACCTCAGGAATCTCTTCGAGGCTTGGCAGGGCAAAAGGGACGCTTCTCGAGGTGAGGCAGGGCACCCAAGGACCCTTTCCAGTAGCCACAGGGATTTTGGGATTCCTATCAGTATTCAAGAGGAGTCAGCCATCGTCACCTTTTGAAGCAATGAACTCCGCGTGCCTCTCGAGGTGTCAGCGGGATGTGAGGCATTCCGTCAAAATGAGGCAGGGACCTAGGGCTTTCTCTAAGGTCTCCACAGGGGATTCAGACATCCCTTCAGGTATTGAGATCCAAGACGAGCCTGTATTCTAGCCACTGCAAGGAAATCCAGCCTCCTTTCAAGTTAGGGCTTCTCGCTGTATATTCCCCTTGAGGCAGCACACTCGGGGTCCCTCCCACATACCTATTGCTGAGAGAAGACTCCTCCTGAGGTGCTTCTGGAAAGTTGGCATACGTCTTGAGCCTAAGCCAGGGAATCAGCTCTCATCTCGAGACGATTTGGGGTACACGGAGCATTCATCGAGTTGCTGTGCTGAAGTTGGTGTTCCTCTAGACTTGGGACAGTGTTCTCGGGGCATCTCTGGAGTTGCCTGAAGGAAGTCGAGCCACCGGTCGTGTTGAATGGGGAACGGGGAATGGCTCTGGAGTCAATGCAGGGGAATCGGGCCTCATCTCGAGTTGATTTGGGGCTCATGGAGCTGTTTTGCGTTGCTAGGGTGAAATCAGGGTCCGTCTAGACTGGTGACAGTGTTCTTTGGGACTGTCTCGAGATCCATTAAGCAAGTCGAAGCTCCTGACTTGTTTGAATGGGATCACAGAATAGCTCTGCATGCACTGCAGGGGAATCGGGCCTCATCTCGAGTTGATTTGGAGCCCATGGAGCTGCTTTTCGTTGCTAGGGTGACCTCAGGGTCCGTCTAGACTGGTGACAGTGTTCTTGGGGACTCTCTTGAGATCCATTAAGCAAGTCGAAGCTCCTGACTTGCTTGAATGGGATCACGGAAAAGCTCTGCATGCACTGCAGGGGAATGGGGCCTCATCTCGCCTCTAGGGGGAAGTCTCATTGTTTTTCTCGAGTTGCGGCGGGGACCTGGGGTATGTTCTCGACTTACGGCGGGGATGGCCCTTCAAAACACGAGTTTCTTCAGTGATGTCAGGACTCCTGTCTAGTAACGAGGGACACCACAGGAATCTCCTCGAGGCTTGGCAGGGCAAAAGGGACGCTTCTCGAGGTGAGGCAGGGCACCCAAGGACCCTTTCCAGTAGCCACAGGGATTTTGGGATTCCTATCAGTATTCAAGAGGAGTCAGGCATCGGCACATTTTGAAGCAGTGAACTCCGCGTGCCTCTCGAGGTGTCAGCGGGATGTGAGGCATTCCGTCAAAATGAGGCAGGGACCTAGGGCTTTCTCTAAGGTCTCCACAGTGGATTCAGACATCCCTTCATGTTGTGAGATGAAAGACGAGATTGTATTCAAGCCAATGCAAGAAATCCGGTCTCATTTCAAGTTAGGGCTTCTCGCTGTATATTCCCCTTGAGGCAGCATACTCGGGGTCCCTCCCACATACCTATTGCTGAGAGAAGCCTCCTCCTGAGGTGCTTCTGGAAAGTTGGCATACGTCTTGAGCCTAAGCCAGGGAATCAGCTCTCATCTCGAGACGATTTGGGGTACACGGAGCATTCCTCGAGTTGCTGTGCTGAAGTTGGTGTTCCTCTAGACTTGGGACAGTGTTCTCGGGGCATCTCTGGAGTTGCCTGAAGGAAGTCGAGCCACCGGTCGTGTTGAATGGGGAACGGGGAATGGCTCTGGAGTCAATGCAGGGGAATCGGGCCTCATCTCGAGTTGATTTGGGGCACATGGAGCTGCTTTGCGTTGCTGGGGTGACATCAGGGTACGTCTAGACTGGTGACAGTGTTCTTGGGGACTGTCTCTAGATCCATTAAGCAAGTCGAAGCTCCTGACGTGTTTGAATGGGATCAAGGAATAGCTCTGCATGCACTGCAGGGGAATGGGGCCTCATCTCGCCTCTAGGGGGAAGTCTCATGGTTTTTCTCGAGTTGCGGCGGCGACCTGGGGTATGTTCTCGACTTACGGCGGGGATGGCCCTTCAAAACACGAGTTTCTTCAGTGACGTCAGGACTGCTGTCTAGTAACGAGGGACACCTCAGGAATCTCTTCGAGGCTTGGCAGGGCAAAAGGGACGCTTCTCGAGGTGAGGCAGGGCACCCAAGGACACTTTCCAGTAGCCACAGGGGTTTTGGGATTCCTATCAGTATTCAAGAGGAGTCAGGCATCGTCATCTTTTGAAGCAATGAACTCAGCGTGCCTCTCGAGATGTCAGCGGGATGTGAGGCATTCCGTCAAAATGAGGCAGGGACCTAGGGCTTTCTCTAAGGTCTCCACAGGGGATTCAGACATCCCTTCATGTTGTGAGATGAAAGACGAGCCTCTATTCAAGCCACTGCAAGGAAATCCGGCTTCCTTTCCAGTTAGGGCTTCTCGCTGTATATTCCCCTTGAGGCAGCATACTCGGGGTCCCTCCCACATACCTATTGCTGAGAGAAGCCTCCTCCTGAGGTGGTTCTGGAAAGTTGGAATACGTCTTGAGCCTAAGCCAGGGAGTCAGCTCTCATCTCGAGACGATTTCGGGTACACAGAGCATTCATCGAGTTGCTGTGCTGAAGTTGGTGTTCCTCTAGACTTGGGACAGTGTTCTCGGGGCATCTCTGGAGTTGCCTGAAGGAAGTCGAGCCACCGGTCGTGTTGAATGGGGAACGGGGAATGGCTCTGGAGTCAATGCAGGCGAATCGGGCCTCATCTCGAGTTGATTTGGGGCACATGGAGCTGCTTTGCGTTGCTGGGGTGACCTCAGCGTCCGTCTAGACTGGTGACAGTGTTCTTGGGGACTGTCTTGAGATCCATTAAGCAAGTCGAAGCTCCTGACTTGCTTGAATGGGATCACGGAATAGCTCTGCATGCACTGCAGGGGAATGGGGCCTCATCTCGCGTCTTGGGGGAAGTTTCATGGTTTTTCTCGAGTTGCGGCGGGTACCTGTGGTATATTATCCACTTACGGCGGGGATGGCCCTTCAAAACATGAGTTTCTTCAGTGACATCAGGACTCCTGTCTAGTAACGAGGTACACCTCAGGAATCTCTTCGAGGCTTGGCAGGGCAAAAGGGACGCTTCTCGACGTGAGGCAGGGCACCCAAGGACCCTTTCCAGTAGCCACAGGGATTTTGGTATTCCTATCAGTATTCAAGAGGAGTCAGGCATCGTCACCTTTTGAAGCAATGAACTCCGCGTGCCTCTCGAAGTGTCAGCCGTATGTGAGGCATTCCGTCAAAATGAGGCAGGGACCTAGGGCTTTCTCTAAGGTCTCCACAGGGGATTCAGACAACCCTTCATGTTGTTAGATGAAAGACGAGCCTGTATTCAAGCCACTGCAAGGAAATCCGGCCTCCTTTCAAGTTAGGGCTTCTCGCTGTATATTCCCCTTGAGGCAGCATACTCGGGGTCCCTCCCACATACCTATTGCTGAGAGAAGCCTCCTCCTGAGGTGCTTCTGGAAAGTTGGCATACGTCTTGAGCCTAAGCCAGGGAATCAGCTCTAATCTCGAGACGATTTGGGGTACACGGAGCATTCATCGAGTTGCTGTGCTGAAGTTGGTGTTCCTCTAGACTTGGGACAGTGTTCTCAGGGCATAGCTGGAGTTGCCTGAAGGAAGTCGAGCCACCATTCGTGTTGAATGGGGAATGGGGAATGGCTCTGGAGTCAATGCAGGGGAATCGGGCCTCATCTCGAGTTGATTTGGGGCCCATGGAGCTGCTTTGCGTTGCTAGGGTGACCTCAGGGTCCGTCTAGACTGGTGACAGTGTTCTTGGGGACTGTCTCGAGATCCATTAAGCAAGTCGAAGCTCCTGACTTGTTTGAATGGGATCACGGAATAGCTCTGCATGCACTGCAGGGGAATCGGGCCTCATCTCGAGTTGATTTGGGGCACATGGAGCTGCTTCGCGTTGCTGGGGTGACCTCAGGGTCCGTCTAGACTGGTGACAGTGCTCTTGGGGACTGTCTCGAGATCCATTAAGCAAGTCGAAGCTCCTGACTTGTTTGAATGGGATCACGGAATAGCTCTGCATGCACTGCAGGGGAATGGGGCCTCATGTCGCCTCTAGGGGGAAGTCTCATCGTTTTTCTCGAGTTGCGGCGGGGACCTGGGGTATGTTCTCGACTTACGGCGGGGATGGCCCTTCAAAACACGAGTTTCTTCAGTGACGTCAGGACTCCTGTCTAGTAACGAGGGACACCTCAGGAATCTCTTCGAGGCTTGGCAGGGCAAAAGGGACGCTTCTCGAGGTGAGGCAGGGCACCCAAGGACCCTTTCCAGTAGCCACAGGGATTTTGGGATTCCTATCAGTATTCAAGAGGAGTCAGGCATCGTCACCTTTTGAAGCAATGAACTCCGCGTGCCTCTCGAGGTGTCAGCGGGATGTGAGGCATTCCGTCAAAATGAGGCAGGGACCTAGGGCTTTCTCTAAGGTCTCCACAGGGGATTCAGACATCCCTTCATGTTGTGAGATGAAAGACGAGCCTGTATTCAAGCCACTGCAAGGAAATCCGGCCTACTTTCAAGTTAGGGCTTCTCGCTGTATATTCCCCTTGAGGCAACAAACTCGGGGTCCCTTCCACATACCTATTGCTGAGAGAAGCCTCCTCCTGAGGTGCTTTTGGAAAGTTGGCATACGTCTTGAGCCTAAGCCAGGGAATCAGCTCTCATCTCGAGACGATTTGGGGTACACGGAGCATTCCTCGAGTTGCTGTGCTGAAGTTAGTGTTCCTCTAGGCTTGGGACAGTGTTCTCGGGGCATCTCTGGAGTTGCCTGAAGGAAGTCGAGCCACCGGTCGTGTTGAATGGGGAACGGGGAATGGCTCTGGAGTCAATGCAGGGGAATCGGGCCTCAACTCGAGTTGATTTGGGGCCCATGGAGCTGCTTTGCGTTGCTAGGGTGACCTCAGGGTCCGTCTAGACTGGTGACAGTGTTCTTGGGGACTCTCTTGAGATCCATTAAGCAAGTCGAAGCTCCTGACTTGCTTGAATGGGATCACGGAATAGCTCTGCATGCACTGCAGGGGAATGGGGCCTCATCTCGCCTCTAGGGGGAAGTCTCATGGTTTTTCTCGAGTTGCGGCGAGGACCTGGGTTTATATTCTCGACTTACGGCGGGGATGGCCCTTCAAAACACGAGTTTCTTCTGTGACGTCAGGAGTCCTGTCTAGTAACGAGGGACACCTCAGGAATCTCCTCGAGGCTTGGCAGGGCAAAAGGGACGCTTCTCGAGGTGAGGCAGGGCACCCAAGGACCCTTTCCAGTAGCCACAGGGATTTTGGGATTCCTATCAGTATTCAAGAGGAGTCAGGCATCGTCACCTTTTGAAGCAATGAACTCCGCGTGCCTCTCGAGGTGTCAGCGGGATGTGAGGCATTCCGTCAAAATGAGGCAGGGACCTAGGGCTTTCTCTAAGGTCTCCACAGGGGATTCAGACATCCCTTCAGGTATTGAGATCCAAGACGAGCCTGTATTCTAGCCACTGCAAGGAAATCCAGCCTCCTTTCAAGTTAGGGCTTCTCGCTGTATATTCCCCTTGAGGCAGCACACTCGGAGTCCCTCCCACATACCTATTGCTGAGAGAAGCCTCCTCCTGAGGTGCTTCTGGAAAGTTGGCATACGTCTTGAGCCTAAGCCAGGGAATCAGCTCTCATCTCGAGACGATTTGGGGTACACGGAGCATTCCTCGAGTTGCTGTGCTGAAGTTGGTGTTCCTCTAGACTTGGGACAGTGTTCTCGGGGCATCTCTGGAGTTGCCTGAAGGAAGTCGAGCCACCGGTCGTGTTGAATGGGGAACGGGGAATGGCTCTGGAGTCAATGCAGGGGAATCGGGCCTCATCTCGAGTTGATTTGGGGCTCATGGAGCTGTTTTGCGTTGCTAGGGTGAAATCAGGGTCCGTCTAGACTGGTGACAGTGTTCTTTGGGACTGTCTCGAGATCCATTAAGCAAGTCGAAGCTCCTGACTTGTTTGAATGGGATCACGGAATAGCTCTGCATGCACTGCAGGGGAATCGGGCCTCATCTCGAGTTGATTTGGATCCCATGGAGCTGCTTTTCGTTGCTAGGGTGACCTCAGGGTCCGTCTAGACTGGTGACAGTGTTCTTGGGGACTCTCTTGAGATCCATTAAGCAAGTCGAAGCTCCTGACTTGCTTGAATTGATCACGGAAAAGCTCTGCATGCACTGCAGGGGAATGGGGCCTCATCTCGCCTCTAGGGGGAAGTCTCATGGTTTTTCTCGAGTTGCGGCGGCGACCTGGGGTATGTTCTCGACTTACGGCGGGGATGGCCCTTCAAAACACGAGTTTCTTCAGTGACGTCAGGACTGCTGTCTAGTAACGAGGGACACCTCAGGAATCTCTTCGAGGCTTGGCAGGGCAAAAGGGACGCTTCTCGAGGTGAGGCAGGGCACCCAAGGACACTTTCCAGTAGCCACAGGGATTTTGGGATTCCTATCAGTATTCAAGAGGAGTCAGGCATCGTCACCTTTTGAAGCAATGAACTCCGCGTGCCTCTCGAAGTGTCAGCCGTATGTGAGGCATTCCGTCAAAATGAGGCAGGGACCTAGGGCTTTCTCTAAGGTCTCCACAGGGGATTCAGACAACCCTTCATGTTGTGAGAAGAAAGACGAGCCTGTATTCAAGCCACTGCAAGGAAATCCGGCCTCCTTTCAAGTTAGGGCTTCTCGCTGTATATTCCCCTTGAGGCAGCATACTCTGGGTCCCTCCCACATACCTATTGCTGAGAGAAGCCTCCTCCTGAGGTGCTTCTGGAAAGTTGGCATACGTCTTGAGCCTAAGCCAGGGAATCAGCTCTAATCTCGAGACGATTTGGGATACACGGAGCATTCATCGAGTTGCTGTGTTGAGGTTGGTGTTCCTCTAGACTTGGGACAGTGTTCTCGGGGCATCTCTGGAGTTGCCTGAAGGAAGTCGAGCCACCGGTCGTGTTGAATGGGGAACGGGGAATGGCTCTGGAGTCAATGCAGGGGAATCGGGCCTCATCTCGAGTTGATTTGGGGCCCATGGAGCTGCTTTGCGTTGCTAGGGTGACCTCAGGGTCCGTCTAGACTGGTGACAGTGTTCTTGGGGACTCTCTTGAGATCCATTAAGCAAGTCGAAGCTCCTGACTTGCTTGAATGGGATCACGGAATAGCTCTGCATGCACTGCAGGGGAATGGGGCCTCATCTCGCCTCTAGGGGGAAGTCTCATGGTTTTTCTCGAGTTGCGGCGGGGACCTGGGTTTATATTCTCGACTTACGGCGGGGATGGCCCTTCAAAACACGAGTTTCTTCAGTGACGTCAGGAGTCCTGTCTAGTAACGAGGGACACCTCAGGAATCTCCTCGAGGCTTGGCAGGGCAAAAGGGACGCTTCTCGAGGTGAGGCAGGGCACCCAAGGAAACTTTCCAGTAGCCACAGGGATTTTGGTATTCCTATCAGTATTCAAGAGGAGTCAGGCATCGTCACCTTTTGAAGCAATGAACTCCGCGTGCCTCTCGAGGTGTCAGCGGGATGTGAGGCATTCCGTCAAAATCAGGCAGGGACCTAGGGCTTTCTCTAAGATCTCCACAGTGGATTCAGACATCCCTTCATGTTGTGAGATGAAAGACGAGCTTGTATTCAAGCCAATGCAAGAAATCCGGCCTCCTTTCAAGTTAGGGCTTCTCGCTGTATATTCCCCTTGAGGCAGCATACTCGGGGTCCCTCCCACATACCTATTGCTGAGAGAAGCCTCCTCCTGAGGTGCTTCTGGAAAGTTGGCATACGTCTTGAGCCTAAGCCAGGGAATCAGCTCTCATCTCGAGATGATTTGGGGTATACGGAGCATTCATCGAGTTGCTGTGCTGAAGTTGGTGTTCCTCTAGACTTGGGAAAGTGTTCTTGGGGCATCACTGGAGTTGCCTGAAGGAAATCGAGCCACCGGTCGTGTTGAATGGGGAATGGGGAGTGGCTCTGGAGTCAATGCAGGGGAATCGGGCCTCATTTCGAGTTGATTTGGGGCACATGGAGCTGCTTTGCGTTGCTGGGGTGACCTCAGGGTCCGTATAGACTGGTGACAGTGTTCTTGGGGACTGTCTCGAGATCCATTAAGCAAGTCGGAGCTCCTGACTTGCTTGAATGGGATCACGGAATAGCTCTGCATGCACTGCAGGGGAATGGGGCCTCATTTCGCCTCTACGGGGAAGTCTCATGGTTTTTCTCGAGTTGGGGCGGGGACCTGGGGTAAGTTCTCGACTTACGGCGGGGATGGCCCTTCAAAACACGAGTTTCTTCAGTGACGTCAGGACTCCTGTCTAGTAACGAGGGACACCTCAGGAATCTCTTCGAGGCTTGGCAGGGCAAAAGGGACGCTTCTCGAGGTGAGGCAGGGCACCCAAGGACCCTTTCCAGTAGCCACAGGGATTTTGGGATTCCTATCAGTATTCAAGAGGAGTCAGGCATCGTCACCTTTTGAAGCAATGAACTCCGCGTGCCTCTCGAGGTGTCAGCGGGATGTGAGGCATTCCGTCAAAATGAGGCAGGGACCTAGGGCTTTCTCTAAGGTCTCCACAGGGGATTCAGACATCCCTTCATGTTGTGAGATGAAAGACGAGCCTGTATTCAAGCCACTGCAAGGAAATCCGGCCTACTTTCAAGTTAGGGCTTCTCGCTGTATATTCCCCTTGAGGCAGCATACTCGGGGTCCCTCCCACATACCTATTGCTGAGAGAAGCCTCCTCCTGAGGTGCTTTTGGAAAGTTGGCATACGTCTTGAGCCTAAGCCAGGGAATCAGCTCTCATCTCGAGACGATTTGGGGTACACGGAGCATTCCTCGAGTTGCTGTGATGAAGTTAGTTTTCCTCTAGGCTTGGGACAGTGTTCTCGGGACATCTCTGGAGTTGCCTGAAGGAAGTCGAGCCACAGGTCGTGTTGAATGTGGAATGGGGAATGGCTCTGGAGTCAACGCAGGTGAATCGGGCCTCATCTCGAGTTGATTTGGGGCACATGGAGCTGCTTTGCGTTGCTGGGGTGACCTCAGGGTCCGTCTAGACTGGTGACAGTGTTCTTGGGGACTGTCTCGAGATCCATTAAGCAAGTCGGAGCTCCTGACTTGCTTGAATGGGATCACGGAATAGCTCTGCATGCACTGCAGGGGAATGGGGCCTCATTTCGCCTCTACGGGGAAGTCTCATGGTTTTTCTCGAGTTGGGGCGGGGACCTGGGGTAAGTTCTCGACTTACGGCGGGGATGGCCCTTCAAAACACGAGTTTCTTCAGTGACGTCAGGACTCCTGTCTAGTAACGAGGGACACCTCAGGAATCTCTTCGAGGCTTGGCAGGGCAAAAGGGACGCTTCTCGAGGTGAGGCAGGGCACCCAAGGACCCTTTCCAGTAGCCACAGGGATTTTGGGATTCCTATCAGTATTCAAGAGGAGTCAGGCATCGTCACCTTTTGAAGCAATGAACTCCGCGTGCCTCTCGAGGTGTCAGCGGGATGTGAGGCATTCCGTCAAAATGAGGCAGGGACCTAGGGCTTTCTGTAAGGTCTCCACAGGGGATTCAGACATCCCTTCATGTTGTGAGATGAAAGACGAGCCTGTATTCAAGCCACTGCAAGGAAATCCGGCCTACTTTCAAGTTAGGGCTTCTCGCTGTATATTCCCCTTGAGGCAGCATACTCGGGGTCCCTCCCACATACCTATTGCTGAGAGAAGCCTCCTCCTGAGGTGCTTTTGGAAAGTTGGCATACGTCTTGAGCCTAAGCCAGGGAATCAGCTGTCATCTCGAGACGATTTGGGGTACACGGAGCATTCCTCGAGTTGCTGTGATGAAGTTAGTTTTCCTCTAGGCTTGGGACAGTGTTCTCGGGGCATCTCTGGAGTTGCCTGAAGGAAGTCGAGCCACAGGTCGTGTTGAATGTGGAATGGGGAATGGCTCTGGAGTCAACGCAGGTGAATCGGGCCTCATCTCGAGTTGATTTGGGGCACATGGAGCTGCTTTGCATTGCTGGGGTGACCTCAGGGTCCGTCTAGACTGGTGACAGTGTTCTTGGGGACTGTCTCGAGATCCATTAAGCAAGTCGAAGCTCCTGACTTGTTTGAATGGGATCACGGAATAGCTCTGCATGAACTGCAGGGGAATGGGGCCTCATCTCGCCTCTAGGGGGAAGTCTCATGGTTTTTCTCGAGTTGCGGCGGGGACCTCGGGTATATTATCCACTTACGGCGGGGATGGCCCTTCAAAACACGTGTTTCTTCAGTGACGTCAGGACTCCTGTCTAGTAACGAGGGACACCTCAGTAATCTCTTCGAGGCTTGGCAGGGCAAAAGGGACGCTTCTCGAGGTGAGGCAGGGCACCCAAGGACCCTTTCCAGTAGCCACAGGGATTTTGGGATTCCTATCAGTATTCAAGAGGAGTCAGGCATCGTCACCTTTTGAAGCAATGAACTCCGCGTGCCTCTCGAGGTGTCAGCGGGATGTGAGGCATTCCGTCAAAATGAGGCAGGGACCTAGGGCTTTCTCTAAGGTCTCCACAGGCGATTCCGACATCCCTTCATGTTGTGAGATGAAAGACGAGCCTGTATTCAAGCCACTGCAAGGAAATCCGGCCTCCTTTCAAGTTAGGGCTTCTCGCTGTATATTCCCCTTGAGGCAGCATTCTCGGGGTCCCTCCCACATACCTATTGCTGAGAGAAGCCTCCTCCTGAGGTGCTTCTGGAAAGTTGGCATACGTCTTGAGCCTAAGCCAGGGAATGAGCTCTCATCTCGAGACGATTTGGTGTACACGGAGCATTCATCGAGTTGCTGTGCTGAAGTTGGTGTTCCTCTAGACTTGGGACAGTGTTCTCGGGGCATCTCTGGGGTTGCCTGAAGGAAGGCGAGCCACCGGTCGTGTTGAATGGGGAACGGAGAATGGCTCTGGAGTCAATGCAGGGGAATCGGGCCTCATCTCGAGTTGATTTGGGGCACATGGAGCAGCTTTGCGTTGCTAGGGTGACCTCAGTGTCCGTCTAGACTGGTGACAGTGTTCTTGGGGACTGTCTCGAGATCCATTAAGCAAGTCGAAGCTGCTGACTTGTTTGAATGGGATCACGGAATAGCTCTGCATGCACTGCAGGGGAATCGGGCCTCATCTCGAGTTGATTTGGGGCACATGGAGCTGCTTTGCGTTCCTGGGGTGACCTCAGGGTCCGTCTAGACTGGTGACAGTGTTCTTGGGGACTCTCTTGAGATCCATTAAGCAAGTCGAAGCTCCTGACTTGCTTGAATGGGATCACGGAATAGCTCTGCATGCACTGCAGGGGAATGGGGCCTCATCTCGCCTCTAGGGTCAAGTCTCATGGTTTTTCTCGAGTTGCGGCGGTGACCTGGGGTAAGTTCTCGACTTACGGCGGGGATGGCCCTTCAAAACACGAGTTTCTTCAGTGACGTCAGGACTCCTGTCTAGTAACGAGGGACACCTCAGGAATCTCTTCGAGGCTTGGCAGGGCAAAAGGGACGCTTCTCGAGGTGAGGCAGGGCACCCAAGGACCCTTTCCAGTAGCCACAGGGATTTTGGGATTCCTATCAGTATTCAAGAGGAGTCAGGCATCGTCACCTTTTGAAGCAATGAACTCCGCGTGCCTCTCGAGGTGTCAGCGGGATGTGAGGCATTCCGTCAAAATGAGGCAGGGACCTAGGGCTTTCTCTAAGATCTCCACAGTGGATTCAGACATCCCTTCATGTTGTGAGATGAAAGACGAGCTTGTATTCAAGCCAGTGCAAGAAATCCGGCCTCCTTTCAAGTTAGGGCTTCTCGCTGTATATTCCCCTTGAGGCAGCATACTCGGGGTCCCTCCCACATACCTATTGCTGAGAGAAGCCTCCTCCTGAGGTGCTTCTGGAAAGTTGGCATACGTCTTGAGCCTAAGCCAGGGAATCAGCTCTCATCTCGAGATGATTTGGGGTATACGGAGCATTCATCGAGTTGCTGTGCTGAAGTTGGTGTTCCTCTAGACTTGGGAGAGTGTTCTCGGGGCATCTTTGGAGATGCCTGAAGGAAGTCGAGCCACCGGTCGTATTGAATGGGGAATGGGCAGTGGCTCTGGGGTCAATGCAGGGGAATCGGGCCTCATCTCGAGTTGATTTGGGGCACATGGAACTGCTTTGCGTTGCTGGGGTGACCTCAGGGTCCGTCTAGACTGGTGACAGTGTTCTTGGGGACTGTCTCGAGATCCATTAAGCAAGTCGGAGCTCCTGACTTGCTTGAATGGGATCACGGAATAGCTCTGCATGCACTGCAGGGGAATGGGGCCTCATTTCGCCTCTACGGGGAAGTCTCATGGTTTTTCTCGAGTTGCGGCGGGGACCTGGGGTATGTTCTCGACTTACGGCGGGGATGGCCCTTCAAAACACGAGTTTCTTCAGTGACGTCAGGACTCCTGTCTAGTAACGAGGGACACCTCAGGAAACTCTTCGAGGCTTGGCAGGGCAAAAGGGACGCTTCTCGAGGTGAGGCAGGGCACCCAAGGACCCTTTCCAGTAGCCACAGGGATTTTGGGATTCCTATCAGTATTCAAGAGGAGTCAGGCATCGTCACCTTTTGAAGCAATGAACTCCGCGTGCCTCTCGAGGTGTCAGCGGGATGTGAGGCATTCCGTCAAAATGAGGCAGGGACCTAGGGCTTTCTCTAAGGTCTCCACAGGGGATTCAGACATCTCTTCATGTTGTGAGATGAAAGACGAGCCTGTATTCAAGCCACTGCAAGGAAATCCGGCCTCCTTTCAAGTTAGGGCTTCTTGCTGTATATTCCCCTTGAGGCAGCATACTCGGGGTCCCTCCCACATACCTATTGCTGAGAGAAGCCTCCTCCTGAGGTGCTTTTAGAAAGTTGGCATACGTCTTGAGCCTAAGCCAGGGAATCAGCTCTCATCTCGAGACGATTTGGGGTACACGGAGCATTCCTCGAGTTGCTGTGCTGAAGTTGGTGTTCCTCTAGGCTTGGGACAGTGTTCTCGGGGCATCTCTGGAGTTGCCTGAAGGAAGTCGAGCCACCGGTCGTGTTGAATGGGGAATGGGGAATGGCTCTGGAGTCAAAGCAGGAGAATCGGGCCTCATCTCGAGTTGATTTGGGGCACATGGGGCTGCTTTGCGTTGCTGGGGTGACCTCAGGGTCCGTCTAGACTGCTGATAGTGTTCTTGGGGAGTGTCTCGAGATCCATTAAGCAAGTCGAAGCTCCTGACTTGTTTGAATGGGATCACGGAATAGCTCTGCATGCACTGCAGGGGAATGGGGCCTCATCTCGCCTCTAGGGGGAAGTCTCATGGTTTATCTCGAGTTGCGGCGGGGACCTGGGGTATGTTCTCGACTTACGGCGGGGATGGCCCTTCAAAACACGAGTTTCTTCAGTGACGTCAGGACTCCTGTCTAGTAACGAGGGACACCTCAGGAATCTCTTCGAGGCTTGGCAGGGCAAAAGGGACGCTTCTCGAGGTGAGGCAGGGCACCCAAGGACCCTTTCCAGTAGCCACAGGGATTTTGGGATTCCTATCAGTATTCAAGAAGAGTCAGGCATCGTCACCTTTTGAATCAATGAACTCCGCGTGACTCTCGAGGTGTCAGCGGGATGTGAGGCATTCCGTCAAAATGAGGCAGGGACCTAGGGCTTTCTCTAAGGTCCTCACAGGGGATTCAGACACCCCTTCATGTTGTGAGATGAAACACGAGCCTGTATTCAAGCCACTGCAAGGAAATCTGGCCTCGTTTCACGTTAGGGCTTCTCCCTGTATATTCCCTTTGAGGCAGCAAACTCGGGGTCCCTCCCACATAGCTATTGCTGAGAGAAGCCTCCTCTTGATGTGCTTTTGGAAAGTTGGCATACGTCTTGAGCCTAAGCCAGGGAATCAGCTGTCATCTCGAGACGATTTGGGGTACACGGAGCATTCCTCGAGTTGCTGTGCTGAAGTTGGTGTTCCTCTAGACTTGGGACAGTGTTCTTGGGGCATCGCTGGAGTTGCCTGAAGGAAGTCGAGCCACCGGTCGTGTTGAATGGGGAACGGGGAATGGTTCTGGAGTCAAGGGAGGGGAATCGGGCCTCATCTCGAGTTGATTTGGGGCACATGGAGCTGCTTTGCGTTGCTGGGGTGACCTCAGGGTCCGTCTAGACTGGTGACAGTGTTCTTGGGGACTGTCTCGAGATCCATTAAGCAAGTCGAAGCTCCTGACTTGTTTGAATGGGATCACGGAATAGCTCTGCATGCACTGCAGGGGAATCGGGCCTCATCTCGAGTTGATTTGGGGCACATGGATCTGCTTTGCGTTGCTGGGGTGACCTCAGGGTCCGTCTAGACTGGTGACAGTGTTCTTGGGGACTCTCTTGAGATCCATTAAGCAAGTCGAAGCTCCTGACTTGCTTGAATGGGATCACGGAATAGCTCTGCATGCACTGCAGGGGAATGGGGCCTCATCTCGCTTCTAGGGGGAAGTCTCATGGTTTTTCTCGAGTTGCGGCGGGGACCTGGGGTATGTTCTCGACTTACGGCGGGATGGCCCTTCAAAACACGAGTTTCTTCAGTGACGTCAGGACTCCTGTCTAGTAACGAGGGACACCTCAGGAAACTCTTCGAGGCTTGGCAGGGCAAAAGGGACGCTTCTCGAGGTGAGGCAGGGCACCCAAGGACCCTTTCCAGTAGCCACAGGGATTTTGGGATTCCTATCAGTATTCAAGAGGAGTCAGGCATCGTCACCTTTTGAAGCAATGAACTCCGCGTGTCTCTCGAGGTGTCAGCGGGATGTGAGGCATTCCGTCAAAATGAGGCAGGGACCTAGGGCTTTCTCTAAGGTCTCCACAGGGGATTCAGACATCCCTTCATGTTGTGAGATGAAAGACGAGCCTGTATTCAAGCCACTGCAAGGAAATCCGGCCTACTTCCAAGTTAGGGCTTCTCGGTGTATATTCCCCTTGAGGCAGCATACTCGGGGTCCCTCCCACATACCTATTGCTGAGAGAAGCCTCCTCCTGAGGTGCTTCTGGAAAGTTGGCGTACGTCTTGAGCCTAAGCCAGGGAATCAACTCTCATCTCGAGATGATTTGGGGTATACGGAGCATTCATCGAGTTGCTGTGCTGAAGTTGGTGTTCCTCTAGACTTGGGAGAGTGTTCTCGGGGCAACTTTAGAGTTGCCTGAAAGAAGTCGAGCCACCGGTCGTGTTGAATGGGGAATGGGCAGTGGCTCTGGGGTCAATGCAGGGGAATCGGGCCTCATCTCGAGTTGATTTGGGGCACATGGAACTGCTTTGCGTTGCTGGGGTGACCTCAGGGTCCGTCTAGACTGGTGACAGTGTTCTTGGGTACTGTCTCGAGATCCATTAAGCAAGTCGGAGCTCCTGACTTGCTTGAATGGGATCACGGAATAGCTCTGCATGCACTGCAGGGGAATGGGGCCTCATTTCGCCTCTACGGGGAAGTCTCATGGTTTTTCTCGAGTTGCGGCGGGGACCTGGGGTATGTTCTCGACTTACGGCGGGGATGGCCCTTCAAAACACGAGTTTCTTCAGTGACGTCAGGACTCCTGTCTAGTAACGAGGGACACCTCAGGAAACTCTTCGAGGCTTGGCAGGGCAAAAGGGACGCTTCTCGAGGTGAGGCAGGGCACCCAAGGACCCTTTCCAGTAGCCACAGGGATTTTGGGATTCCTATCAGTATTCAAGAGGAGTCAGGCATCGTCACCTTTTGAAGCAATGAACTCCGCGTGCCTCTCGAGGTGTCAGCGGGATGTGAGGCATTCCGTCAAAATGAGGCAGGGACCTAGGGCTTTCTCTAAGGTCTCCACAGGGGATTCAGACATCCCTTCATGTTGTGAGATGAAAGACGAGCCTGTATTCAAGCCACTGCAAGGAAATCCGGCCTCCTTTCAAGTTAGGGCTTCTTGCTGTATATTCCCCTTGAGGCAGCATACTCGGGGTCCCTCCCACATACCTATTGCTGAGAGAAGCCTCCTCCTGAGGTGCTTTTAGAAAGTTGGCATACGTCTTGAGCCTAAGCCAGGGAATCAGCTCTCATCTCGAGACGATTTGGGGTACACGGAGCATTCCTCGAGTTGCTGTGCTGAAGTTGGTGTTCCTCTAGGTTTGGGACAGTGTTCTCGGGGCATCTCTGGAGTTGCCTGAAGGAAGTCGAGCCACCGGTCGTGTTGAATGGGGAATGGGGAATGGCTCTGGAGTCAAAGCAGGAGAATCGGGCCTCATCTCGAGTTGATTTGGGGCACATGGGGCTGCTTTGCGTTGCTGGGGTGACCTCAGGGTCCGTCTAGACTGCTGATAGTGTTCTTGGGGAGTGTCTCGAGATCCATTAAGCAAGTCGAAGCTCCTGACTTGTTTGAATGGGATCACGGAATAGCTCTGCATGCACTGCAGGGGAATGGGGCCTCATCTCGCCTCTAGGGGGAAGTCTCATGGTTTTTCTCGAGTTGCGGCGGGGACCTGGGGTATGTTCTCGACTTACGGCGGGGATGGCCCTTCAAAACACGAGTTTCTTCAGTGACGTCAGGACTCCTGTCTAGTAACGAGGGACACCTCAGGAATCTCTTCGAGGCTTGGCAGAGCAAAAGGGACGCTTCTCGAGGTGAGGTAGGGCACCCAAGGACCCTTTCCAGTAGCCACAGGGATTTTGGGATTCCTATCAGTATTCAAGAAGAGTCAGGCATCGTCACCTTTTGAAGCAATGAACTCCGCGTGACTCTCGAGGTGTCAGCGGGATGTGAGGCATTCCGTCAAAATGAGGCAGGGACCTAGGGCTTTCTCTAAGGTCCTCACAGGGGATTCAGACACCCCTTCATGTTGTGAGATGAAACACGAGCCTGTATTCAAGCCACTGCAAGGAAATCTGGCCTCGTTTCACGTTAGGGCTTCTCCCTGTATATTCCCCTTGAGGCAGCAAACTCGGGGTCCCTCCCACATAGATATTGCTGAGAGAAGCCTCCTCTTGATGTGCTTTTGGAAAGTTGGCATACGTCTTGAGCCTAAGCCAGGGAATCAGCTCTCATCTCGAGACGATTTGGGGTACACGGAGCATTCCTCGAGTTGCTGTGCTGAAGTTGGTGTTCCTCTAGACTTGGGACAGTGTTCTTGGGGCATCGCTGGAGTTGCCTAAAGGAAGTCGAGCCACCGGTCGTGTTGAATGGGGAACGGGGAATGGCTCTGGAGTCAATGCAGGGGAATCGGGCCTCATCTCGAGTTGATTTGGGGCACATGGAGCTGCTTTGCGTTGCTGGGGTGACCTCAGGGTCCGTCTAGACTGGTGACAGTGTTCTTGGGGACTGTCTCGAGATCCATTAAGCAAGTCGAAGCTCCTGACTTGTTTGAATGGGATCACGGAATAGCTCTGCATGCACTGCAGGGGAATCGGGCCTCATCTCGAGTTGATTTGGGGCACATGGATCTGCTTTGCGTTGCTGGGGTGACCTCAGGGTCCGTCTAGACTGGTGACAGTGTTCTTGGGGACTCTCTTGAGATCCATTAAGCAAGTCGAAGCTCCTGACTTGCTTGAATGGGATCACGGAATAGCTCTGCATGCACTGCAGGGGAATGGGGCCTCATCTCGCCTCTAGGGGGAAGTCTCATGGTTTTTCTCGAGTTGCGGCGGGGACCTGGGGTATGTTCTCGACTTACGGCGGGGATGGCCCTTCAAAACACGAGTTTCTTCAGTGACGTCAGGACTCCTGTCTAGTAACGAGGGACACATCAGGAATCTCCTCGAGGCTTGGCAGGGCAAAAGGGACGCTTCTCGAGGTGAGGCAGGGCACCCAAGGACCCTTTCCAGTAGCCACAGGGATTTTGGGATTCCTATCAGTATTCAAGAGGAGTCAGGCATCGTCACCTTTTGAAGCAATGAACTCCGCGTGCCTCTCGAGGTGTCAGCGGGATGTGAGGCATTCCGTCAAAATGAGGCAGGGACCTAGGGTTTTTCTAAGGTCTCCACAGGGGATTCAGACATCCCTTCATGTTGTGAGATGAAAGACGAGCCTGTGTTCAAGCCACTGCAAGGAAATCCGGCCTACTTTCAAGTTAGGGCTTCTCGCTGTATATTCCCCTTGAGGCAGCATACTCGGGGTCCCTCCCACATACCTATTGCTGAGAGAAGCCTCCTCCTGAGGTGCTTTTAGAAAGTTGGCATACGTCTTGAGCCTAAGCCAGGGAATCAGCTCTCATCTCGAGACGATTTGGGGTACACGGAGCATTCCTCGAGTTGCTGTGCTGAAGTTAGTGTTCCTCTAGGCTTGGGACAGTGTTCTCGGGGCATCTCTGGAGTTGCCTGAAGGAAGTCGAGCCACCGGTCGTGTTGAATGGGGAATGGGGAATGGCTCTGGAGTCAAAGCAGGGGAATCGGGCCTCATCTCGAGTTGATTTGGGGCACATGGGGCTGCTTTGCGTTGCTGGGGTGACCTCAGGGTCCGTCTAGACTGGTGACAGTGTTCTTGGCGAGTGTCTCGAGATCCATTAAGCAAGTCGAAGCTCCTGACTTGTTTGAATGGGATCACGGAATAGCTCTGCATGCACTGCAGGGGAATGGGGCCTCATCTCGCCTCTAGGGGGAAGTCTCATGGTTTTTCTCGAGTTGCGGCGGGGACCTGGGGTATGTTCTCGACTTACGGCGGGGATGGCCCTTCAAAACACGAGTTTCTTCAGTGACATCAGGACTCCTGTCTAGTAACGAGGGACACCTCAGGAATCTCTTCGAGGCTTGGCAGGGCAAAAGGGACGCTTCTCGAGGTGAGGCAGGGCACCCAAGGACCCTTTCCAGTAGCCACAGGGATTTTGGGATTCCTATCAGTGTTCAAGAGGAGTCAGGCATGGTCACCTTTTGAAGCAATGAACTCCGCGTGCCTCTCGAGGTGTCAGCGGGATGTGAGGCATTCCGTCAAAATGAGGCAGGGACCTAGGGCTTTCTCTAAGGTCTCCACAGGCGATTCAGACATCCCTTCGTGTTGTGAGATGAAAGACGAGACTGTATTCAAGCCACTGCAAGGAAATCCGGCCTCCTTTCAAGTTAGGGCTTCTCGCTGTATATTCCCCTTGAGGCAACAAACTCGGGGTCCCTCCCACATACCTATTGCTGAGAGAAGCCTCCTCCTGAGGTGCTTCTGGAAAGTTGGCATACGTCTTGAGCCTAGGCCAGGGAATCAGCTCTTATCTCGAGACAATTTGGGGTACATGGAGCATGCATCGAGTTGCTGTGCTGAAGTTGGTGTTCCTCTAGACTTGGGACAGTGTTCTCGGGGCATCTCTGGAGTTGCCTGAAGGAAGACGAGCCACCGGTCGTGTTGAATGGGGAACGGGGAATGGCTCTGGAGTCAATGCAGGGGAATCGGGCCTCATCTCGACTTGATTTGGGGCACATGGAGCTGCTTTGCATTGCTGGGGTGACCTCAGGGTCCGTCTAGACTGGTGACAGTGTTCTTGGGGACTGTCTCGAGATCCATTAAGCAAGTCGAAGCTCCTGACTTGTTTGAATGGCATCACGGAATAGCTCTGCATGCACTGCAGGGGAATGGGGCCTCAGCTCGACTCTAGGGGGAAGTCTCATGGTTTTTCTCGAGTTGTGGCTGGGACCTGGGGTATGTTCTCGACTTACGGCGGGGATGGCCCTTCAAAACACGAGTTTCTTCAGTGACGTCAGGACTCCTGTCTAGTAACGAGGGACACCTCAGGAATCTCTTCGAGGCTTGGCAGGGCAAAAGGGACGCTTCTCGAGGTGAGGCAGGGCACCCAAGGACACTTTCCAGTAGCCACAGGGATTTTGGGATTCCTATCAGTATTCAAGAGGAGTCAGGCATCGTCACCTTTTGAAGCAATGAACTCAGCGTGCCTCTCGAGATGTCAGCGGGATGTGAGGCATTCCGTCAAAATGAGGCAGGGACCTAGGGCTTTCTCTAAGGTCTCCACAGGGGATTCAGACATCCCTTCATGTTGTGATATGAAAGACGAGCCTCTATTCAAGCCACTGCAGGGAAATCCGGCTTCCTTTCCAGTTAGGGCTTCTCGCTGTATATTCCCCTTGAGGCAGCATACTCGGGGTCCCTCCCACATACCTATTGCTGAGAGAAGCCTCCTCCTGAGGTGCTTCTGGAAAGTTGGAATACGTCTTGAGCCTAAGCCAGGGAATCAGCTCTCATCTCGAGACGATTTCGGGTACACAGAGCATTCATCGAGTTGCTGTGCTGAAGTAGGTGTTCCTCTAGACTTGGGACAGTGTTCTCGGGGCATCTCTGGAGTTGCCTGAAGGAAGTCGAGCCACCGGTCGTGTTGAATGGGGAACGGGGAATGGCTCTGGAGTCAATGCAGGCGAATCGTGCCTCATCTCGAGTTGATTTGGGGCACATGGAGCTGCTTTGCGTTGCTGGGGTGACCTCAGCGTCCGTCTAGACTGGTGACAGTGTTCTTGGGGACTGTCTTGAGATCCATTAAGCAAGTCGAAGCTCCTGACTTGCTTGAATGGGATCACGGAATAGCTCTGCATGCACTGCAGGGGAATGGGGCCTCATCTCGCGTCTTGGGTTAAGTTTCATGGTTTTTCTCGAGTTGCGGCGGGTACCTGTGGTATATTATCCACTTACGGCGGGGATGGCCCTTCAAAACATGAGTTTCTTCAGTGACGTCAGGACTCCTGTCTAGTAACGAGGTACAGCTCAGGAATCTCTTCGAGGCTTGGCAGGGCAAAAGGGACGCTTCTCGACGTGAGGCAGGGCACCCAAGGACCCTTTCCAGTAGCCACAGGGATTTTGGTATTCCTATCAGTATTCAAGAGGAGTCAGGCATCGTCACCTTTTGAAGCAATGAACTCCGTGTGCCTCTCGAAGTGTCAGCCGTATGTGAGGAATTCCGTCAAAATGAGGCAGGGACCTAGGGCTTTCTCTAAGGTCTCCACAGGGGATTCAGACAACCCTTCATGTTGTTAGATGAAAGACGAGCCTGTATTCAAGCCACTGCAAGGAAATCCGGCCTCCTTTCAAGTTAGGGCTTCTGGCTGTATATTCCCCTTGAGGCAGCATACTCGGGGTCCCTCCCACATACCTATTGCTGAGAGAAGCCTCCTCCTGAGGTGTTTCTGGAAAGTTGGCATACGTCTTGAGCCTAAGCCAGGGAATCAGCTCTAATCTCGAGACGATTTGGGGTACGCGGAGCATTCATCGAGTTGCTGTGCTGAAGTTGGTGTTCCTCTAGACTTGGGACAGTGTTCTCAGGGCATAGCTGGAGTTGCCTGAAGGAAGTCGAGCCACCATTCGTGTTGAATGGGGAATGGGGAATGGCTCTGGAGTCAATGCAGGGGAATCGGGCCTCATCTCGAGTTGATTTGGGGCCCATGGAGCTGCTTTGCGTTGCTAGGGTGACCTCAGGGTCCGTCTAGACTGGTGACAGTGTTCTTGGGGACTGTCTCGAGATCCATTAAGCAAGTCGAAGCTCCTGACTTGTTTGAATGGGATCACGGAATAGCTCTGCATGCACTGCAGGGGAATCGGGCCTCATCTCGAGTTGATTTGGGGCACATGGATCTGCTTTGCGTTGCTGGGGTGACCTCAGGGTCCGTCTAGACTGGTGACAGTGTTCTTGGGGACTCTCTTGAGATCCATTAAGCAAGTCGAAGCTCCTGACTTGCTTGAATGGGATCACGGAATAGCTCTGCATGCACTGCAGGGGAATGGGGCCTCATCTCGCCTCTAGGGGGAAGTCTCATGGTTTTTCTCGAGTTGCGGCGGGGACCTGGGGTATGTTCTCGACTTACGGCGGGGATGGCCCTTCAAAACACGAGTTTCTTCAGTGACGTCAGGACTCCTGTCTAGTAACGAGGGACACATCAGGAATCTCCTCGAGGCTTGGCAGGGCAAAAGGGACGCTTCTCGAGGTGAGGCAGGGCACCCAAGGACCCTTTCCAGTAGCCACAGGGATTTTGGGATTCCTATCAGTATTCAAGAGGAGTCAGGCATCGTCACCTTTTGAAGCAATGAACTCCGCGTGCCTCTCGAGGTGTCAGCGGGATGTGAGGCATTCCGTCAAAATGAGGCAGGGACCTAGGGTTTTTCTAAGGTCTCCACAGGGGATTCAGACATCCCTTCATGTTGTGAGATGAAAGACGAGCCTGTGTTCAAGCCACTGCAAGGAAATCCGGCCTACTTTCAAGTTAGGGCTTCTCGCTGTATATTCCCCTTGAGGCAGCATACTCGGGGTCCCTCCCACATACCTATTGCTGAGAGAAGCCTCCTCCTGAGGTGCTTTTAGAAAGTTGGCATACGTCTTGAGCCTAAGCCAGGGAATCAGCTCTCATCTCGAGACGATTTGGGGTACACGGAGCATTCCTCGAGTTGCTGTGCTGAAGTTAGTGTTCCTCTAGGCTTGGGACAGTGTTCTCGGGGCATCTCTGGAGTTGCCTGAAGGAAGTCGAGCCACCGGTCGTGTTGAATGGGGAATGGGGAATGGCTCTGGAGTCAAAGCAGGGGAATCGGGCCTCATCTCGAGTTGATTTGGGGCACATGGGGCTGCTTTGCGTTGCTGGGGTGACCTCAGGGTCCGTCTAGACTGGTGACAGTGTTCTTGGCGAGTGTCTCGAGATCCATTAAGCAAGTCGAAGCTCCTGACTTGTTTGAATGGGATCACGGAATAGCTCTGCATGCACTGCAGGGGAATGGGGCCTCATCTCGCCTCTAGGGGGAAGTCTCATGGTTTTTCTCGAGTTGCGGCGGGGACCTGGGGTATGTTCTCGACTTACGGCGGGGATGGCCCTTCAAAACACGAGTTTCTTCAGTGACATCAGGACTCCTGTCTAGTAACGAGGGACACCTCAGGAATCTCTTCGAGGCTTGGCAGGGCAAAAGGGACGCTTCTCGAGGTGAGGCAGGGCACCCAAGGACCCTTTCCAGTAGCCACAGGGATTTTGGGATTCCTATCAGTGTTCAAGAGGAGTCAGGCATGGTCACCTTTTGAAGCAATGAACTCCGCGTGCCTCTCGAGGTGTCAGCGGGATGTGAGGCATTCCGTCAAAATGAGGCAGGGACCTAGGGCTTTCTCTAAGGTCTCCACAGGCGATTCAGACATCCCTTCGTGTTGTGAGATGAAAGACGAGACTGTATTCAAGCCACTGCAAGGAAATCCGGCCTCCTTTCAAGTTAGGGCTTCTCGCTGTATATTCCCCTTGAGGCAACAAACTCGGGGTCCCTCCCACATACCTATTGCTGAGAGAAGCCTCCTCCTGAGGTGCTTCTGGAAAGTTGGCATACGTCTTGAGCCTAGGCCAGGGAATCAGCTCTTATCTCGAGACAATTTGGGGTACATGGAGCATGCATCGAGTTGCTGTGCTGAAGTTGGTGTTCCTCTAGACTTGGGACAGTGTTCTCGGGGCATCTCTGGAGTTGCCTGAAGGAAGACGAGCCACCGGTCGTGTTGAATGGGGAACGGGGAATGGCTCTGGAGTCAATGCAGGGGAATCGGGCCTCATCTCGACTTGATTTGGGGCACATGGAGCTGCTTTGCATTGCTGGGGTGACCTCAGGGTCCGTCTAGACTGGTGACAGTGTTCTTGGGGACTGTCTCGAGATCCATTAAGCAAGTCGAAGCTCCTGACTTGTTTGAATGGCATCACGGAATAGCTCTGCATGCACTGCAGGGGAATGGGGCCTCAGCTCGACTCTAGGGGGAAGTCTCATGGTTTTTCTCGAGTTGTGGCTGGGACCTGGGGTATGTTCTCGACTTACGGCGGGGATGGCCCTTCAAAACACGAGTTTCTTCAGTGACGTCAGGACTCCTGTCTAGTAACGAGGGACACCTCAGGAATCTCTTCGAGGCTTGGCAGGGCAAAAGGGACGCTTCTCGAGGTGAGGCAGGGCACCCAAGGACACTTTCCAGTAGCCACAGGGATTTTGGGATTCCTATCAGTATTCAAGAGGAGTCAGGCATCGTCACCTTTTGAAGCAATGAACTCAGCGTGCCTCTCGAGATGTCAGCGGGATGTGAGGCATTCCGTCAAAATGAGGCAGGGACCTAGGGCTTTCTCTAAGGTCTCCACAGGGGATTCAGACATCCCTTCATGTTGTGAGATGAAAGACGAGCCTCTATTCAAGCCACTGCAGGGAAATCCGGCTTCCTTTCCAGTTAGGGCTTCTCGCTGTATATTCCCCTTGAGGCAGCATACTCGGGGTCCCTCCCACATACCTATTGCTGAGAGAAGCCTCCTCCTGAGGTGCTTCTGGAAAGTTGGAATACGTCTTGAGCCTAAGCCAGGGAATCAGCTCTCATCTCGAGACGATTTCGGGTACACAGAGCATTCATCGAGTTGCTGTGCTGAAGTAGGTGTTCCTCTAGACTTGGGACAGTGTTCTCGGGGCATCTCTGGAGTTGCCTGAAGGAAGTCGAGCCACCGGTCGTGTTGAATGGGGAACGGGGAATGGCTCTGGAGTCAATGCAGGCGAATCGTGCCTCATCTCGAGTTGATTTGGGGCACATGGAGCTGCTTTGCGTTGCTGGGGTGACCTCAGCGTCCGTCTAGACTGGTGACAGTGTTCTTGGGGACTGTCTTGAGATCCATTAAGCAAGTCGAAGCTCCTGACTTGCTTGAATGGGATCACGGAATAGCTCTGCATGCACTGCAGGGGAATGGGGCCTCATCTCGCGTCTTGGGTTAAGTTTCATGGTTTTTCTCGAGTTGCGGCGGGTACCTGTGGTATATTATCCACTTACGGCGGGGATGGCCCTTCAAAACATGAGTTTCTTCAGTGACGTCAGGACTCCTGTCTAGTAACGAGGTACAGCTCAGGAATCTCTTCGAGGCTTGGCAGGGCAAAAGGGACGCTTCTCGACGTGAGGCAGGGCACCCAAGGACCCTTTCCAGTAGCCACAGGGATTTTGGTATTCCTATCAGTATTCAAGAGGAGTCAGGCATCGTCACCTTTTGAAGCAATGAACTCCGCGTGCCTCTCGAAGTGTCAGCCGTATGTGAGGAATTCCGTCAAAATGAGGCAGGGACCTAGGGCTTTCTCTAAGGTCTCCACAGGGGATTCAGACAACCCTTCATGTTGTTAGATGAAAGACGAGCCTGTATTCAAGCCACTGCAAGGAAATCCGGCCTCCTTTCAAGTTAGGGCTTCTGGCTGTATATTCCCCTTGAGGCAGCATACTCGGGGTCCCTCCCACATACCTATTGCTGAGAGAAGCCTCCTCCTGAGGTGTTTCTGGAAAGTTGGCATACGTCTTGAGCCTAAGCCAGGGAATCAGCTCTAATCTCGAGACGATTTGGGGTACGCGGAGCATTCATCGAGTTGCTGTGCTGAAGTTGGTGTTCCTCTAGACTTGGGACAGTGTTCTCAGGGCATAGCTGGAGTTGCCTGAAGGAAGTCGAGCCACCATTCGTGTTGAATGGGGAATGGGGAATGGCTCTGGAGTCAATGCAGGGGAATCGGGCCTCATCTCGAGTTGATTTGGGGCCCATGGAGCTGCTTTGCGTTGCTAGGGTGACCTCAGGGTCCGTCTAGACTGGTGACAGTGTTCTTGGGGACTGTCTCGAGATCCATTAAGCAAGTCGAAGCTCCTGACTTGTTTGAATGGGATCACGGAATAGCTCTGCATGCACTGCAGGGGAATCGGGCCTCATCTCGAGTTAATTTGGGGCACATGGAGCTGCTTCGCGTTGCTGGGGTGACCTCAGGGTCCGTCTAGACTGGTGACAGTGTTCTTGGGTACTGTCTCGAGATCCATTAAGCAAGTCGAAGCTCCTGACTTGTTTGAATGGGATCACGGAATAGCTCTGCATGCACTGCAGGGGAATGGGGCCTCATGTCGCCTCTAGGGGGAAGTCTCATGGTTTTTCTCGAGTTGTGGCGGGGACCTGGGGTATGTTCTCGACTTACGGCGGGGATGGCCCTTCAAAACACGAGTTTCTTCAGTGACGTCAGGACTCCTGTCTAGTAACGAGGGACACCTCAGGAAACTCTTCGAGGCTTGGCAGGGCAAAAGGGACGCTTCTCGAGGTGAGGCAGGGCACCCAAGGACCCTTTCCAGTAGCCACAGGGATTTTGGGATTCCTATCAGTATTCAAGAGGAGTCAGGCATCGTCACCTTTTGAAGCAATTAACTCCGCGTGCCTCTCGAGGTGTCAGCGGGATGTGAGGCATTCCGTCAAAATGAGGCAGGGACCTAGGGCTTTCTCTAAGGTCTCCACAGGGGATTCAGACATCCCTTCAGGTATTGAGATCCAAGACGAGCCTGTATTCTAGCCACTGCAAGGAAATCCAGCCTCCTTTCAAGTTAGGGCTTCTCGCTGTATATTCCCCTTGAGGCAACAAACTCGGGGTCCCTCCCACATACCTATTGCTGAGAGAAGCCTCCTCCTGAGGTGCTTCTGGAAAGTTGGCATACGTCTTGAGCCTAGGCCAGGGAATCAGCTCTCATCTCGAGACAATTTGGGGTACATGGAGCATTCATCGAGTTGCTGTGCTGAAGTTGGTGTTCGTCTAGACTTGGGACATTGTTCTCGGGGCATCTCTGGAGTTGCCTGAAGGAAGACGAGCCACCGGTCGTGTTGAATGGGGAACGGGGAATGGCTCTGGAGTCAATGCAGGGGAATCGGGCCTCATCTCGACTTGATATGGGGCACATGGAGCTGCTTTGCATTGCTGGGGTGACCTCAGGGTCCGTCTAGACTGGTGACAGTGTTCTTGGGGACTGTCTCGAGATCCATTAAGCAAGTCGAAGCTCCTGACTTGTTTGAATGGGATCACGGAATAGCTCTGCATGCACTGCAGGGGAATGGGGCCTCATCTCGCCTCTAGGGGGAAGTCTCATGGTTTTTCTCGAGTTGGGGCGGGGACCTGGGGTATGTTCTCGACTTACGGCGGGGATGGACGTTGAAAACACGAGTTTCTTCAGTGACGTCAGGACTCCTGTCTAGTAACGAGGGACACCTCAGTAATCTCTTCGAGGCTTGGCAGGGCAAAAGGGACGCTTCTCGAGGTGAGGCAGGGCACCCAAGGACCCTTTCCAGTAGCCACAGGGATTTTGGGATTCCTATCAGTATTCAAGAGGAGTCAGGCATCGTCACCTTTTGAAGCAATGAACTCCGCGTGCCTCTCGAGGTGTCAGCGGGATATGAGGCATTCCGTCAAAATGAGGCAGGGACCTAGGGCTTTCTCTAAGGTCTCCACAGGGGATTCAGACATCCCTTCATGTTGTGAATTGAAAGACGAGCCTGTATTCAAGCCACTGCAAGGAAATCCGGCCTACTATCAAGTTAGGGCTTCTGGCTGTATATTCCCCTTGAGGCAACAAACTCGGGGTCCCTCCCACATACCTATTGCTGAGAGAAGCCTCCTCCTGAGGTGCTTTTGGAAAGTTGGCATACGTCTTGAGCCTAAGCCAGGGAATGAGCTCTCATCTCGAGACGATTTGGTGTACACGGAGCATTCCTCGAGTTGCTGTGATGAAGTTAGTGTTCCTCTAGGCTTGGGACAGTGTTCTCGGGGCATCTCTGGGGTTGCCTGAAGGAAGTCGAGCCACAGGTCGTGTTGAATGTGGAACGGAGAATGGCTCTGGAGTCAACGAAGGGGAATCGGGCCTCATCTCGAGTTGATTTGGGGCACATGGAGCAGCTTTGCGTTGCTAGGGTGACCTCAGTGTCCGTCTAGACTGGTGACAGTGTTCTTGGGGACTGTCTCGAGATCCATTAAGCAAGTCGAAGCTCCTGACTTGTTTGAATGGGATCACGGAATAGCTCTGCATGCACTGCAGGGGAATCGGGCCTCATCTCGAGTTGATTTGGGGCACATGGAGCTGCTTTGCGTTGCTGGGGTGACCTCAGGGTCCGTCTAGACTGGTGACAGTGTTCTTGGGGACTCTCTTGAGATCCATTAAGCAAGTCGAAGCTCCTGACTTGCTTGAATGGGATCACGGAATAGCTCTGCATGCACTGCAGGGGAATGGGGCCTCATCTCGCCTCTAGGGGGAAGTCTCATGGTTTTTCTCGAGTTGCGGCGGTGACCTGGGGTAAGTTCTCGACTTACGGCGGGGATGGCCCTTCAAAACACGAGTTTCTTCAGTGACGTCAGGACTCCTGTCTAGTAACGAGGGACACCTCAGGAATCTCTTCCAGGCTTGGCAGGGCAAAAGGGACGCTTCTCGAGGTGAGGCAGGGCACCCAAGGACCCTTTCCAGTAGCCACAGGGATTTTGGGATTCCTATCAGTATTCAGGAGGAGTCAGGCATCGTCACCTTTTGAAGCAATGAACTCCGCGTGCCTCTCGAGGTGTCAGCGGGATGTGAGGCATTCCGTCAAAATGAGGCAGGGACCTAGGGCTTTCTCTAAGGTCTCCACAGGGGATTCAGACATCCCTTCATGTTGTGAGATGAAAGACGAGCCTGTATTCAAGCCACTGCAAGGAAATCCGGCCTACTTTCAAGTTAGGGCTTCTCGCTGTATATTCCCATTGAGGCAGCATACTCGGGGTCCCTCCCACATACCTATTGCTGAGAGAAGCCTCCTCCTGAGGTGCTTTTGGAAAGTTGGCATACGTCTTGAGCCTAAGCCAGGGAATCAGCTCTCATCTCGAGACGATTTGGGGTACACGGAGCATTCCTCGAGTTGCTGTGATGAAGTTAGTGTTCCTCTAGGCTTGGGACAGTGTTCTCGGGGCATCTCTGGAGTTGCCTGAAGGAAGTCGAGCCACAGGTCGTGTTGAATGGGGAATGGGGAATGGCTCTGGAGTCAACGCAGGTGAATCGGGCCTCATCTCGAGTTGATTTGGGGCACATGGTGCTGCTTTGCGTTGCTGGGGTGACCTCAGGGTCCGTCTAGACTGGTGACAGTGTTCTTGGGGACTGTCTCGAGATCCATTAAGCAAGTCGAAGCTCCTGACTTGTTTGAATGGGCTCACGGAATAGCTCTGCATGCACTGCAGGGGAATGGGGCCTCATCTCGCCTCTAGGGGGAAGTCTCATGGTTTTTCTCGAGTTGAGGCGGGGACCTGGGTTTATATTCTCGACTTACGGCGGGGATGGCCCTTCAAAACACGAGTTTCTTCAGTGACGTCAGGAGTCCTGTCTAGTAAGGAGGGACACCTCAGGAATCTCTTCGAGGCTTGGCAGGGCAAAAGGGACGCTTCTCGAGGTGAGGCAGGGCACCCAAGGACCCTTTCCAGTAGCCACAGGGATTTTGGGATTCCTATCAGTATTCAAGAGGAGTCAGGCATCGTCACCTTTTGAAGCAATGAACTCCGCGTGCCTCTCGAGGTGTCAGCGGGATGTGAGGCATTCCGTCAAAATGAGGCAGGGACCTAGGGCTTTCTCTAAGGTCTCCACAGTGGATTCAGACATCCCTTCATGTTGTGAGATGAAAGACGAGCTTGTATTCAAGCCAGTGCAAGAAATCCGGCCTCCTTTCAAGTTAGGGCTTCTCGCTGTATATTCCCCTTGAGGCAGCATACTCGGGGTCCCTCCCACATACCTATTGCTGAGAGAAGCCTCCTCCTGAGGTGCTTCTGGAAAGTTGGCATACGTCTTGAGCCTAAGCCAGGGAATCAGCTCTCATCTCGAGATGATTTGGGGTATACGGAGCATTCATCGAGTTGCTGTGCTGAAGTTGGTGTTCCTCTAGACTTGGGAGAGTGTTCTCGGGGAATCTTTGGAGTTGCCTGAAGGAAGTCGAGCCACCGGTCGTATTGAATGGGGAATGGGCAGTGGCTCTGGGGTCAATGCAGGGGAATCGGGCCTCATCTCGAGTTGATTTGGGGCACATGGAACTGCTTTGCGTTGCTGGCGTGACCTCAGGGTCCGTCTAGACTGGTGACAGTGTTCTTGGGGACCGTCTCGAGATCCATTAAGCAAGTCGGAGCTCCTGACTTGCTTGAATGGGATCACGGAATAGCTCTGCATGCACTGCAGGGGAATGGGGCCTCATTTCGCCTCTACGGGGAAGTCTCATGGTTTTTCTCGAGTTGCGGCGGGGACCTGGGGTATGTTCTCGACTTACGGCGGGGATGGCCCTTCAAAACACGAGTTTCTTCAGTGACGTCAGGACTCCTGTCTAGTAACGAGGGACACCTCAGGAAACTCTTCGAGGCTTGGCAGGGCAAAAGGGACGCTTCTCGAGGTGAGGCAGGGCACCCAAGGACCCTTTCCAGTAGCCACAGGGATTTTGGGATTCCTATCAGTATTCAAGAGGAGTCAGGCATCGTCACCTTTTGAAGCAATGAACTCCGCGTGTCTCTCGAGGTGTCAGCGGGATG